GGGGTGATAGAGTTCGAGTATAGCAAACAGCTTACCAACAAGCTTGTTCCTGGTTCAGGGTCCAGATGGTTTCAACTCTTTGGGGCACATGCCTACATCATGGGCTAACGTGGGGCAACAATAACCTACGGTAGGTAACGAACGCAAACGTCCAATGGAATCCTCGGCGCATCTAGACGAGGCCCGCACTTACTTACTACATGGCTGAAATTTCCAAGCTTTCGCGTTATGGCAGCGGCGAGCCTCATTACGAATCTGGTCGCCTTTCTACCAATCAAAAGGTCTTCCGAACGAATAAACGTGGACAGCTGGGCAGAAGTTGGAAGAGTCGAGCCTTGATGTCATTGCCACCAAGTGGGCTGAGCAGCGCTGCGGCCCGCGGGGTCTCGCTCTCGGTGCAGTATGTGTGCTGTTGGGTCCCTTTCTTGCGCTACGTGTAGGTGGAGGCGCAGCTAAACCACCCACCCCAGCCCAGCCAGGCAGGCACCAACTGAAGCGTTGGCTGAAGTCCGGATATACTGACAATAAATTTGATATTATTATCTTTAGATGCAACATTCTTCGAAGAACGCAGCATAATCCAGATCTGAATGCCTTGGTATCTTCTGATTTATCTCTACAAAGTTGGAAATGGTCTTGTATTTGTGCACCATGGTTTGCACATGTGCCTAGGTGGACCAAATACAGGAGACTTGATTGTGTACTCTGTACTCGGCATTTCACAGTATCTCAGATATGCGTAATGTTAGTCATCATTGCCCAAGCTATTTACTTCATTACACAATAGAGTACCGGCACACTATAGTACCATGCCCGTACCCACTGTATGACTGTTTGAATTCTCCGGTGGATATGAAGACAACATCGCGGCCTCCCGCCGGTGGATCATGCCCCGGCAAATGCGGCAGCGTGGTCCACATGCCGCTGTGCGCTACCGGAGTCGCCTATCTTCACCTGCTAAGAGGCCGCCCGCAAAATCGAAGACTTTCGAACGACTGACCCACCGAACAACACGGACAGACGATGCCGAGGCCCGGGTTCCCCAGTATAATGGAATCTCGAGTATTCTAGTAGCAATTGTCCTTGAGAGTGCTCAGCCCCAATTTGAACAGCACATTATCTTGGCCATGTCGACTGCTAGCTGTTCATAATCCATTATAGTCATCTCTGTTCTTTCTGAGCAATGACTCACATATTTCATGGTGACACGGCGACCGTGATTTCCAGGAAGACGTAATGATTATGAATACCCACATCCACTGGGTTTGCTTCTTGATGTCCAAACGCCAGCCTGGAAGAACGAAAGGAAAATCCAAACGGCAAGCACTTACACAGACAAGACCAAATTGCACTCGTTCGTCACGGGTCGAATAATTTGTCCCTCAATGCAATTCAATTTTGATTTCCCTTTGCGTCAGTGACTAAGTACTCGACGTTTTCTCATCATAATGGTACAAACGTAAACTAGGCGTTCCGGCCTCCATGGTTCGAAAGAAAAAAAAAGGCAAATCCTGCGCACAAACGCCCTCATAGTGTCGCCATCATGAATACATGTTCCCTCCTATGTTCTCTTCTTTCTGCTTCCTAGTCGCAAATGGCATTCCAGCCGCCGACCATGGTCTGGTTGCCAGCCACAAAGGTCTCGGGGAACAGACTGTTGCAGAGAATAATTGATTAGCAGAAGAGAAAAGAAAAAGCAAAGAAGGAAAAACGTGGGACAATGATTTAGACAAACGTGCCCAAACCGAGCCGCATGTGAAACAGGGTCGAAATAAGAAACGACTTACAGCTCAGTGTAGCAAGTGCAAGAAGAACCGACCTGGCCGCCGACTGCAAATCACGGGAATTAGCAACAATGATTTTCATACATGGTGGATTATCATTCGGTAAAGAGACTTACTGTACTCGACAAAAAAGCTCGAGCCTCCAGGAGCAGAGTTGCATGTGTATTGACACTTGAACTGGGCATAGGCAAAGCCAGTCTCCTTGGGGTCAGGAACACCATATGTCTGTAAGTGATTTTCTCTGTCAGCCTCGGCGGTCCTTCCCGCGTTGTCTACAAGGTAGATTTGGCGTAGAACAAGTAAAATGGAAAGAACATATCAAAACAGGATAAGACATGGCAGGAGTTTGATAGATGGAAATGAGAGAACTGTTGTACTCACATAGGTAGCGGCAACGTGCTGGCTGGCCCAGGTAGCCTCCGGCTTGTATCCCACGCCCGACTGAATGACGGTGGGCTCGGCCGGGGCGTAGTTGATCGTGTAGCCGGCAGTGACGACGGGTGTACCGGTTGTGCAGTAGGCCGAGGTAGTGGAGGGGCCAAAGTCGACGGGAGAGGCAGTAGCAGCCGCTACGAGGGCTGCCAAGGGAGCAAAGATCTTGATCATCGTGATGGACTGTTGTGAGTGTGTATTTGCAAATGTGTTCCGTTGATATGCAAATGAGGTGTGCGGCAGGCAGGTGTATGTACCTGGTCGAATGTTGTTGCTTGTCGTAAGTAGATGAAGTGGGTAAGGTTAGGTAGGTTGAACCAGGAACAGCCCAAGTTAAATAAATTTAATGACTGTCAATTGTGAAAGAGCGAGAATTTAAAATTGCTCTTGCAGTGAATCGATGGCTTATAGTTATGTTGGTCGATTGAGCCTGGACAGATCTAGACCAGATAGTTGAGTCGTCAAAATTTGTGTCACGGTTGGCTGCATCCACACACAAGATGGGCAAGAGGAACCCTCTACTTAGGCCGCATTAATGTAGAGTGCAATTGTAGGACAAGCCAACATTTATGAATGATGAGGCCAATAAGCCAGGTAGGCAGAACCATTTAGTTGGTGAAAAAGATGGCTGCCAACGTCATCCCAGATAATACGGAGGATCAATTCCCAGCGCCATGTATCACCCATATGTCGCTTCTCAGGCGTGCACAAAATTTCTCAGGTAGATGGTGCTTCTCAGCTGCCGTGACCAAAGAGGAGGAAAAGTCTCTCTTTTTTTTTTCTCCTCACTCCTCACGGCCCAACCATACAAGACATTAGTCTTTTGTTCCCCTTGATGGTGGGCAATTGTTCAAGAAGGTGTCGGTACTATATAAATGAAGTCTCTCCAAATGCGAACCGGATGTTACCCCAATACCCCTAGTATGCGACCTTCTGTAGGAAGAAATTGTTGAATGGGACACTTTTTGCATTTACCGTTGGGACACACATAATCCTTCTTTTTGAGATTGCAGCACCAATGAAAATCCCTGGTTCTGGGAGCCAACGCCCAGTTCATATCATGTATGCTTGCAAACTCGCCACCCCCCTGGGACGGATATGGGCATTCGGTGCAGAGGATTCCTTTCAATGCACCATTTACATGCATAGGCAAAATCCAGTCATCCTTGTCAGGCTGATATCATTTTGACCATCTCGAAAGCATCTGTTTTATTCACTTGAGGCAGAGGTTGCACGAATTGGTCAGAAGTATCGAATAACTTACGGCACAGATCGAGAAGGGCTCAAGGACTCGGTGTCAATTCGCAAGATGGCCGCTTTGAGTAGAGTATTTCAGGACACGACAGTTACGCAGTCAGCCGTGGCTCTTGACAGAGAGCATGGAGGGAGGGGGGCTGCCAGGAAGCTTACTTCAACATCCCACCTGTCATTTAACGAGGACTCCTGCAGTCGTCATTGGATAGCGGTGCCGTGCCTGAGATTGCCGCCAGGGGTATCATTGCTTATTTGGAGCATTGGTGATCGAGAGCGCGCCGGATTGATCGTTGCGAGCGAAAAGTTATCAAAACGTGGCAGCTGAATCGCTGCATTCCTGTGTGCACGTCTTTGGAATATAAAGCAAAGAAAATTGCGAGATTCGAGTAGCGAACTCTATAAACCTAATATAGTTTGATATACTAACGATTATATTGAGATAGATTTCATGGCTTTCAAGGATCATAGGGCGAGCGAGCCCGATGCCCACTGAGAGGCACACCCCCATCCTCAGTCACCAGAATCGGGTCCTCGAGCCGCACGCCAAAGCCCTTGTTCCAGCCAATCTCTCCCGCCTGCTCTGCCGTAACGTAAATGCCCGGCTCATTGGACACGACCTCGCCGAGCTTGAGCTTTTCCTTGTTGGCGCCGTTGAGGTACGGATGTTCGTGCATCTCGAGCCCGAGACCGTGGCCGAGCCGGTGCGTGTAGTAAGGGCCGTAGCCCGCCTTGCGCACGACCTCGCGCGATGCGGCATCGACTACCGAGCACGTCTCATTGGCGTGCATGAGATTGAATCCGGCAGCCTGCGACGCGTGCACCGTATCCCAAATGCTCATGAGCTCGGCACTGACGGTTGCGCCGTTGGGCAGCAGCGTGCGCGTCACGTCGCTGCCATAGCCATGCAGGATGGATCCAATGTCGATGAGGACAAACTCGCCATTGCTAAGCGTCTTGCCGTGCTTGCCGCCGTGCGGGTACGCAGCCTGGTCACCAAAGAGCACAATGGCCCAGAATCCCTCGCCGACGCCGCCGCGCTTGAATAGGTTGTGGGCGACCGTGGTAATGGTCTCCTGCGTCGTGTCGAGCGACAGGCAGCTCTGCAGCGATCGGACCAGCTGCAGGGTGTACGAGTTGATGCCGCGCAGAATGGCAATCTCAGACTCGGTCTTGACGGCACGAAGTGATTGCACCTTCTCCGACATGGGCACCACCTCGACGCCGGCCTTTTGCAGTCCCGCGGCAATCATGTACCTGGTGTGCTCGTCGATCATAACCTTGGACAAGCCCGTCTCGCGGGCAAATACCTCGTAGGGCGACTCCTCCTCGGGCCAGGCAATGACCTTCTTGTCCTCATAAACCATGTTCAGCCCAGCGATACGGCCAGCCTCGAACTTGGGTACCAGGTAGGAGAACTGCGCATCCTTGTCCAGGATCATGAGAAATGGTCGCTCCGACAACTCAAAGGTGTACGAAATGTTGGCGTAATACGTCGTAGAAGCTGATGGCTCGGCCACAAAGGCATCAACACCTGCATCACGGAGCGCCGCCGCCAAACGGGCCTGGCGCTCAAGAAACTCGGAGCGCTCAATCGGGTCCACGGCGAGGAGCGCCGTATTGGGCTTCAATAAATTCCAGGCGCAATCTTCGAGTGCCGAGGCCGCCGAGGCTGGTGGGTTTAACTTGTGCCAAAATTGCCAGTAAAAGTAGACCGCGTATACAAGGAGTGCTCTGAAGTACCAGTTAAAAATCACCGCCTTGACGCCTCTCTTCTTTGGAGGTCCGACGTGATCGGGTGGCGCGTCGCTCTGGTCCTTTCCCTTGATAGTCGCCATGTTTGCGGTTGCCGAACCTGATCTGGCTGATCGATCGTCGACAATGACTGGCTGGTAGTGACAGGTAGGAATTGTTGATGTTTGCTATCTACCAGCAGAGGTAGCCAAGGGCGATACCTAGCTGCAGCCTAGTACAGCCGACGGGTAACTGCGGTCTTTATCGGGGCTGTGAATCAATGTGGAGCATCTGGATCCATGAGACGTCACATGAAGAAGGCACTTACAGTTCGATGGCAGCAACGGTTAGATTAGGGAAATAATGCACAGATATGCATTGTAGAAATACGAAAGAGGTCATTATAGCGTACTCTGATGCATATAACTCTTATACCAATGTTTATACTAACCTGTAAGCATTGCGCGGCATATTATTAAGTTTGATAGATGTTGAAATACAGAGAGCATGGGCAGCGCATTCACAGCACCCCGGTCAGCGCTATCTCTACCTATGTAGGCATCTTTCAGCACATACATTTTCAAGTACCAATCACCAATCAGCTGCCAGTACCGCTACGTACCTACAAATGAACTGGTGCTATACCCGTGCAAGAAACATCAGCTCCCAATCATCTGGTTACCTGCTTCATATTTCACTTCATAATAGAAGATGTCGCCGCGAAGCAAGATGTGCTTTTGGATTTGTGACTGTGCAGCAACCTCTTTTAATCAAAGGTTCGACCAAGTCTGGTCTAATATCAAGCATAATTTGCGGCAGCTGCAATCCTGGGCTCAATATTTAGGTGTGACGTAGTAAAGACAAACATGAGCACTTGTCTTGTCCCTCGATATTTCCATCACAAAATCGAGCATTGTTTTTATTCACTGGTGGGAGTGTCGAGTCCTAAATCTCTTTCTCAGAAGTCGGCCGTGTCTTGCTGTCAATTTGCACATCTTGCAGCATTGCTTCCACCTAAGAAATACCAACTCAAAAGATGGCTAATCCGTTCGCTTTCAGACCAGCGCAGGTCACTTTTTGGGTCATCATATACTTCCTGCTATTGGTTCCGCTCATTTATTTACATGACTCTGTGCCTGATGCACCGAGCCTTTCACCTGCGCCTGGCATCAATCTCACTCAGGCTTGGTCGGATTTGATGGTATTGACCAACGACTTTCACCCTTTCAACAGCCATGAGAATGATGCCGTTCGTGACTGGCTCCTGGATAGACTGAAAGATATCCAACGACAGAATGATGCCGGGATTTCTATGGTGATCTTTGACGACAATGTCAGCAATGTCACCGTGGTGGACTCGTCCAACCAAGGTTCAGCCCCAGTACTGATCGGGTCGCGATCCAAGGCCCAAAATATCGGCACATACTACGAAGGGAACAATATTGTGGTATACATACCTGGAAAAGATGATCCACAGGGGCTCTGGAAAGAGCATGGCGATCAATCTCGAGAGACAAGCAACTCCACCGCAAACGCTGGAGTGCTGATCAGCGCTCATTTCGACACTTCCCCAACCTCTGTAGGAGCAGCTGATGATGGCGTCGGGCTAATCTCCATCTTGCAAATGGTCAGCTACTTTGCCCTACCAAAGAACCAACCACGGAACGGCATCGTCGCTCTCCTCAACAACAATAAAGAAGGTGGACTTTGGGGCGCCAGAGCTTTCCAAAAACATCCGCTCAAGTCTTTCTGTCGCACGTTTTTGAATCTTGATGCCGTAGGTATCGGTGGCAAAGCAGTCCTTTTGCGGGCAACAAGTCTCGGAGCAGCAAATGCCTATAAAAGTGTCCCGAGTCCTTTTGGCACTGTCTTGTCCTCGGAGGCCTATGACTTGGGTCTTGTCGAGGGTCATACAGACTACAACATCTTTGCTACAGAACTGGGAATGCAGGGTCTCGATCTGGGGTTCTATGGTTCGCAATCTAGGTACCACACGAAAGAGGACGATGTCCAGCACATCTCAGTGGATAGCATTTAGCACATGCTTTCCAACAGTATCGAGATTGTCAAGTATCTGTCGCGAGATTTGGAACTTCCAGACGACGAAGCCTCCAATGGCGTCTGGTTTGACGTGCTCAGCCAAGTTTTTGTCGCCTTTGGCTTGAATGAGCTCTTTGCTGTGTCAGTCACCCTCTTGGCGGCCACTCCGCTCATACTCCTCCTGATTGCATTCATCCTCCAACGATCGGACAAATATTACTTCTTCTCTTTCAAGAAGACTATTTGCGAAGAAGCCGTGCTTGAACCGGTCCTACTTGATAGCACCAGGGGAATTTTCCGGTTTCCGGTTGCTGTCATCATTGCTACAGGGGTGGTGGTTGTATCAGTCATGATTTTGAATACTTACAACCCTTTTGCCATATACGCCAATGCATACACCGTTTGGGCTACGACAATATCGCTCTTTTACCTGGTGTTCTGGGCCGTCATGACAATATCGAACGACGTTCGTCCATCTGCACTTCATCGTGGATACGTCATTTTCTGGCTTTTCACGATCCTGTGGATTGCCCTCACTATCATCACTGCATTGGAACACCAATTTCACCTCGCCATGGGCTACCCGTTCATTCTTCTCGAGGCGGTTGTTTCCATTGCAGCGATCATCAGTTTGTTAGAATTGTGTGCATTGCCTACCAAAACCAAATTTGCACAAAGTGAGTTCTATGGAATCAAGTTCTACCCTCCACAGATTGAAATGCATATAACACTAGTATACCTATATATACTAGGTACCTATGTAGCTCATGTCCAAAACTAACCTTTTGCTTCACTCAGGCGTTCATGATGACCACGAAACTCGAGACTTTCACGCTAACCTTTCGAGTAATGGGCCGCCTGAAAATGATGAAGAGAATCATTCTGACGAAGAAGATCATTTAGAAGTCAATGAGACAAGCCCGTTGTTTCAAGGAAACAGTAATAGACACTCAAGATTCCCTTCGACTACCTTTGGCACTGTCTATCGTCAATCAATCGCATCCATCAGGAAGATGGCACCAAGACCAATAGCCCCAGAAGTTACGGCTCTGCCATTTGGTGATGAGCAAATATGGTCAGCGAAACTCCCAAGTTCCCTATGGTTTGTGCAATTCCTACTCATTGGACCGTTGTTTCTCGTGGTTATAACAAATCACGCATTAGCACTGGTTGCTTCAATAAGCCAGAGCAATGTTGGAGAAAACCACCTGTTGCCTGCCTACTTGATGCTAGCAGCTTTCAGTGCTCTCTTCATACTTCCTCTCACCCCATTCATACACCGCGGTCAACGGCTTCTCCCATTGATCATGTTGGTCACCTGTACCATGACCATCACGTTTAATCTCATCACTTTTCCATTCGATGAATCCAACAAGTACAAGATGCATTTCTCACAAGAGGTTGACCTCAAAACTGAAAAGTCTGTTATTCATTTCATAGGAGTGGAGGAACATGTCCGTTACGCATTGACCAGGCTCCCATCTGCCATGGGCCAAGAAATTGTTTGTATTCCTCAAAAGCCCGGCAGTCATGGTCTCGACATCTGCTCGTTCGACGGATCCGATATGATGCCAGATCTTGGCGAAAAGAGGGTCAATAGCTGGGTATCATTCAGCTCCTCCAGAGATGGCAAGGACATTCGATTGACAATCGATGGCGAGGAGACCAGAAAGTGTGGGATGGATTTCTCCAACCCCATTACCTATTTTCAAGTTGATGGCAGCGACGAAGCGGTGGAGAAAGATTACCTGGACAACATCACACTCTATCGGCGAAGTTGGGACACGCCGTGGAATGTGCAAGTCAAATTAGCCACAGATGAAGAAGTCGAAGTTCGAGTATGGTGTGAATGGGGCGAATTCCGTCGCTTGCCCATCTTGGAAGAGGCTGTACATTATCTGCCTGAGTGGGTGACACTCACATCGTTTGGGAATAATCTCCTATACGGCTCCCGTACCTATACAGTTTAGTGCAGACTAGAAGATTACAAATTGCCTACATTGCATACCATATCATACACAGCAGTCACTATCCATCTGGTAGCACTGAAGCCCACAGGTACGAAGTGCTACATGAACAAAATTGAAGTAATCACGGTGTCACGAAACGCCTGCTGGGCGAGGAAACGAAATCCAACAGTGCCACGAAAAGCTCTCTCAGGTGCTGCAATATTCACTTTAGTCTCTCGGCAGGTCTCGAAATATTTCGAGAGCGATGCAGCAGAGCTTTCCCTATGATACAGAAAGGTTCTTTTAGTTACTACTTGTTTTATTACACGAGTCAATACCAGCGGACTATGTGCCCTGGTCTGCTTTGCAAAGAATACCTAGTATTAGTGCGGACCTTTTGACTAAGAAAATGGCAATCAGTGGTACAGGATATCAACGTCAAATAGCCTTTTGTTGTTAGTGCCGCGAAAGAAATGATCCGATTTCAAAGCCGCCACATCCAAGCACCAGGAGGCATTTACGCCCCAGGAGGAGGGGGAGGAGGAGGCTGGTCGCCAGGTGGAGGAGGAGGTGCATCGCCAGAAGGAGGCGGCGGAGGCGGAGGCGCTGCACCACCAGCATATTGCTGAATCAAAGCGCTGATATTGCCGGGCAACCCAGGTGGTGCACCCATAGCGTTACCACCAGGAAGACCGGGAGGAGGGCCCATGCCAGGAGCAGAGCCATAACCTGCATAGGCTCCGTAGCCGGGATAAGCTGGAGCCTGTGCAGCAGCAGCTTGATGCCAGGGAGCAGCACCACCACTTGCACTGGGTGCACCACTACCGTATTGCTGGCCACCATAATAGTCGTTGCCACCGTGGTGGTCACTACCTCGTCCGCGATCACCTCCTCGGTCGCCACGATCTCCGCGGTCACGCCAAGGCGCAGAGCCACCGTCGTTGCCGGAGTCGTTGTTGCGGGACCGCCACGGTGCAGGACCGCCAGTAGGACCACGCTGCCACGGCTTGGCATTATCACCGCCACCGTTGTTGTAGGAACCTGGGCCAGCCTCAATACGAGCAGGAGCAGCCCCGGATCCACCGTTGAGTTCTTGCATAAGTTGCTACAGAAATATCAGTTGGAGGGGTTCCAAAGCATTTGAGATCAGACAAATGACATACCTCGTACTCGCGGTCGACAGCATCTCCTCCACCAATCTGTCCAGCAGCTGGACGTTGAGGCGGGCCATCGTTGCGCCAACTGGCACCCTTCTGTCTGTCGGGACAATCGCGAGCCATGTGGCCAGCATTGCCACAGACACGACAGATGATATTGGCGGTAAAGTTTGGCTTGTCAGGACAGTCGTACTTGCGGTGACCAATCTGGCCACAGTTCTGACAGGCCTGGTTCTCATCGTCACGAAGGGTACCGTTCAGGGCAGCGAGCTCACGAAGTTGGTTACGCTTGAGCTCGTTCTGACCTTCGGGAATAGACGCAGCCTGTTGTGTTCATGTTAAATTTGTCGTGATTCAGCGTTCAGGTCTAGGTGTAGCAACTTACTGTTTCAATGATATTGTGAACGAGCTTTTTGGCCTTGTTGACCTTCTCCTCAGTGTCGGCCATGATCAGACAGTGCAGATCTTCCTCCTGGTTGCTGGCATGGGCGGCATCAGATCGTCCTTTGCCTTCCTTGACGGAACCTTTACCGCGAATTGCGATCTTGGCGCCAGACTCTGTTTCCATTTTCTTCAGTGTGTTACCACGGGGGCCAATAAGTAAGCCAACTTTACGGAGGAGCTAGGCGTTAGTATGTTGTCTATCATTCAAACGTGAAGCAGATTGGGCAAGGTTAGATGAATATCAGACTTGACCGCAGCCTGGATTCCATGGCTGCAGGGCATGGTCTGACAAAATCCTGAACGAAAAAGGAAAGGGAACTTGGTTAGAAAGGTTAGAGGGTTAGTAATCTCACTGAAGTTGATTTCCGGGTAGTCATTGACTGGCACATAGACCTTCTCCTGGGTCTTGGTAGGACGACGGTAGTCCTGAGGTGGGTGGTAGTTAGGAATGGTCTTCATGGCCTTCTCGATCAGTTTGTGGCGCTCATCCTCGAGGCGCTTTCGGTATCGGTATTCTCTGGTATTGACACGTCGACCGTAGTTGTCGTACTGCGGGGGAGGCGAAGGAGATCTGTGGTTGCAGGTTAGCAAGTGATTCTCAAACAACCCAAGCAGGATAATCATCACGACAAGAAACTTACCTGTCGCCATCGGCAGGCACGACATCGTCGATTCTGAGCTTCTGGCTGATTTCTTCGATACGGAGATGCAGAGTGTAGGCCTCAAGCTGTTCACTGGTCATGTTGGCTACAATGGCCGTGGGCAAGCCCATCAAGCCAGCAGCCTTGTTCTCAGAGGCATCACCCCATCGGTTTCTCTTCTTGCGTCGTCGCGGGCCATCGGCATCGGTGCGCGGCTCGGGGCTACGACCGCGCTTCAAGTCGCCGTTGCCATAGCTGTCGCCATAGCTGTCGCTGGTGTCGCGCCTGGGGGGAGGAGCGCTGTCGCCGTCGGCTTCGTCGCCACCAAAGCGTCGCTTTCCCAGAGGGATGTTGTTGGATCCCGTGATACCTTGGTTTCTCCAAGACATGGTGAAAGGCGTCGTCAAAGACGTTGTCTTGGGTGAAATTGTTGATGGGAAGGTAGTGGTTGAAAGGTGGTGGATTGATAAGATCAGTCCAACGCTGTAGGTTAAGCCAGAGGTAGGCAATTTTTGGAGGGTCCGCGCCGCGCCAGGCTACAAAACGCATGGCGAAAAGCTCGGGCCCAAGTCACCCGCAGAACTGTACATGATTGGACAGATATTCACTAAACATTTGAACGCGCCCCTAATGTTTGCTGTAAGAAAATATGATGTCTCCCTGGTCAGCTAGGTACAAGTGATTATTCTTTTTATTCTTTACTCGATGCAAGAGTATCTGTATCTCTGATTTACTTGACTATATTCAACCACATGTTTACTGGAAGAACAGTCTTGAAATCGCATTGATGACCCATAGATGCCCCAGACCTGATCAAGGAGTTGGCCAAACCAGCAGGAGCTTCCACGACAAAGTGGTGTCCACTGGTAGATACATACCTACCTTACCTCACATCACCACTTGGTGCAATCATATGTAATCCTCCAGGCCAATATCAATGGTGTTTTTTATGGCCATGATATCGTTCAAGTAGTGCACAACCATCTATATGCCCCATGACCTACCTCCAGCACCTACGACGAACACGTTTGAAAGGCGGCGGCAGAATCTTGGACCTGCAAATCTCGCAAGTGTGTACAATGCGTGGATCAGGCACAGAATATTCCATGCAAAAAGTGGTAGAGCCGCTCAACGACCCATCAAGCGCTTCCATCACACTGTCTGCCGTCGGTTGTCCAGATACACGAAGACCAGCTCCCATGAATGGCATTCCTCCGGTGCCGTACCGGTTGTACGGGGACCCAATCTGTTCAGGGCTCAGCGGCATTATTGTAGCTTTCGAAGCGGACTTTGGCAACCTACCCTGGTTGGATAGTGAAATGATGGAGCAGTGGCACGTGCAGCTGTGACTTGCAGACGGGGGAATTGATATGATGCACGATAAGCTTGTATACTGAGTTATGTCGCGATACTTTTATACTCTTTTCCCTGGACAAAGCCAGTCAATAGATTTATTTACATTTACGCGAGGCGGTGTCGACAAAGAATGCGAGACAATGTAATTCAATGAAACTTTAATCGTAACAAAGAATCACATCTGCTAGATTTGAGGATGGGCCATGAAAGTATACACGCGAAACTGGGAATGTCCAACATGCTAGTAGTAGGTAGAACAGTTCAAGAAATGCCTTGTCAGTTGTAACGTTTAGCCCGCTCAGTGTCATCACCCATAACATGAAATCAGTGGCTAGGTTCCTCTGGAGTTTCATCATATTATTATTTTATTACCACCCAATTCGTACATCGAACTTGGGGGGACACCTTGGTGTCTACCATTGCAATTATATCTAACAATCGAATCAGATCTGAACCCAGGCTCTATACCCGTGTATGGCGCCGTTTCTACAGCATGTACACATCTCTAAGAAAACCTTGGTCCGTCCCCAGACAACTGCCCAGTTCATAGCACCCTTCTTTTTATTTTTTTTGCCCACCATCATACACGTATCCACACAATAATCTATCCCGCCGCGATGACGACTGCATACCTCTAGTCGTGACAATCGTTCGTAAGCCGGGTCGTCAAGATGTAAAAAGAGTCACTAATACATGGCTCACGCTGCATTTGCTCGATCGTGTATTTCTTTCAAAACACGGTCGGACTTGTACAGCCTTGAGTGCTGGAAAGCAGAACAAATCACATCTTCGCCTCTTCTTCATGAATTTATGCCTTGCGGGAGCGAGTGGTGACACCGTTGCTCTTGGCAGAAGTCTTAACCTGGCTTCCCGACACAGCGGCGGCCACGACGTGAGGCTCAGGGACGGGTGCCTGAGACATACGGCGAAGAGACTTGCGAGCACTAGGCGCCTTGCCATCCTTCTTGTAAGTGGCGAAGTAGAAGGAGATGAAGAGGACGAGGTAGGAGGTGAGGACACCCATGCCGGAAAAGGCGGCGAACTCCTCGCCAGCGCACTTGCCAGCATTTGGCATCCACTGGAAGTAAGTCGAGGTAAAGTAGGTGTAGGATGCGAAGTAGACAAAGCCTATAGTTTCGGTCAGCATCAAGCAAAGCGTGGCAGATATCAAACAACTGAACATACCGAGATCGATGATGAACTGGATGATCTGGAAACGAGTGACCCACTCCTTCCACCAGATGCGAACACCACGGGCGCTCTGGAAGTAGTACCAGTACATGATGACGTGGACAGCCAAGTTCAGGTCAATGACAACCCATGAAACTGAGGTGTTGCCAATCAGCTGGGAGTAGCACAGAACAGCAGTAGCGCCATGGTGGTAGCAGTGCAAGAAGGCTAGGTATTCAGTCAGCATAAGATGGTTCTCGGAAGCGCTCGGTTGGTGGGTTTGGGCTTACTCAGAGGCTTCTTCTTGAGAACCAGGAAGACAGTGTCCAGAAGCTCGAGGTACTTGGTCAGGTAGTTCAACTAAATCTTGTCAGCTCGTGCCCACAAAGTAGAAGTCATCAGTGATGTGCTTACGTAGTAGAGAACGACCAGAGGCTGTGTCCAACCACCATCGTGGTCGCAGATGGCGTAGAAGATGCCCTTTCGGACGACCGTGGGGAGAAGCTGTTCAATGAAGAGGGCTAAGAGGATGGCGCTGATGGCGGTCAAGTAAAAGTTGTGGATGAGGAAGAGGGACTTCAGCTTGAAGGCCTCGCGTCCTCTCATCAGCTCACGTCCTCCAAAAATTACAATGTAGTATATAACAACGAAGATCGAGGTTTCCTTGAGCGTTGACATGGGCGTTCTGCCGGTGACGAACTTAAAGTCGTCGGCCGGGTAGCCGGCAACAAGCTCAAAGGCCTTGTTGAAGATGGGCCATAGCTGAACACCGAACGGTCTGTCGAGCGTCGGGATCGGCAGCGACTCGAAAAGAGCCGCAGGAGATGTGCTAGCCATGACTTGTTGGAAATGAGCGAGCAGCCCCTTTGCTGAAGTATGCAATTGACCAGTCTTTGTGAGGGAGGAGGCTTGTGCAACGAGAGCGCAAGCTTCTTCAACAGTCTCGAGGACGGGCGCAGCGGATCAGTCGAGGTGTCGCGGGCGCGAGCCGGAAAACGCGGGTCGAGAAGAAGAAAAAAAGACCCGGTACAAGGAGCGACAAGAAGAAGCAGAGAATCGAAGACGAAGGTGAACGCCTCTGAACAGTCGCTTCGCCAAGCAGCCTTTCGAAAGGTGGGAGAAGAAAAGTAGAAGAAGGAGAAGCCAGACAGGAATCACCGATAATATTATGGTCGCGTACCGTTCTTTTAGAAGACGGCTGCGAATTAAAAGGGGAAATAACAAAATGGCACTAAAGTTTTTCGTCGGCCATCGCAATTCGCCTAGCATTGGTCCCTAGGCCCCTGTCCTGGGGACTCAGCGGAGGCCCAGCAAGCAGAGAAAGCAGAGCAAAGCAGCATAGCGCAGCACTAGGACTGTGAGGACATATAATTCGGGATCCGCGACCCCCGGCGCCCGTGGAGTCCCCCAACGACAAATTGACCCAGTGGCCGTTTGGATATTACCATTTTACTGGCTGACTGTGTTCATAAAACGCGTACAGGACAGATTAGTACCAAGGCTGCCACATTCGGCGTCGCTACCAAGAACCGATAGAGCCGCGAATCCAGCTAGACCCAGCTAATTTGCGATGCTGCATATAGCGAAATTATACATTAATGTAGGCACCAAGGACGCCGGACCAATGAAAGCTATCGTGGATTATATTCAATCTCATGCCACGTGAGATGGATCGTGGACAATGTTAAGATGGCGTGCCTCGGCCACAGGCGGAGTGACCGCAGAACAGACTTTCACGATTCTTGGCCAGCGCAAACTATGGACTGGGTTGGAAATGCAACAAGGTTGGAATTCCATACTATTGTAAATCAAACTGCAAGGTACTGAGGTCACGGCACGTTACCCCCACAACCCAGAAGATTGTGCAGTATCAATGCCAAACGGACTGCATCTTCTGTCCGTACTGTCTAGTAATAGGTGGGTGCTCGGGTTTCAGTATAGCATTATATCCTCTGCTCAGTCAAGACAGGCATATAATCGAGTTGTCGGCATTGGAATATACTCAAAGGTCGATACTCTCATCAAAAATGGCACAGACAATTTGCTAGATCGGATCTGTCAACGGTTTCGCCGAGGCATGATCACACGTATTGCATACTGTGCAATTTTGGGACCAAGAGCAACTCCGCTATCCTGCATGTTGGCACCAGGGAGCCCACATAAAACCAGTGTGCTGTCATCTCCTGACCGAGGACTGCTTCTATCCGTCCAGCAAACGAATCATCACATGAAGCCTGCTTCGTCCTCATAAAGAACGCTGCAAGTCAAGTTTTTGAAGTAGTAGAACACTTGGAATAGTCATCAACGAATGACGGGGAGGATAATTGCATTATGCACACAACCTTAGGGATATTCCTTGCATGAACAACCATAATGTACTACTACCTCTGATTGATTCTATTGGTATAGCTGGGATTTCCGATCCGATACGGGATACTCGGGTCCTCGGCTAGGTTGCAGTGGATGCAATCATGTGCTTCAGATGCAACGATGATTTTCAAACAATGCAGCAGACTGGAACAATGGGATTCTGGAATGCTTTTGGCGGGTGGCTTGCCGATTTGATGCCACCTCCACGCGACGCCACATTTTGGGTGCACTGACGTTCTTGAGGTGTGGTTGGAACCTGAAGCCACCAGAGGGGACCCTGGCCTAGCTGCCTAGAGAGCACAGCACTGCACCTGTGGCTGAAGCATTGAAAGCTCGGCCAGCTCCACCGGCACGTCTGAGCCAATCAAATTACGTGAATTGAGCGACTTCCTTTTCTCCTCTGGTCCGCCACGATATTTCGAATCTCACGATTCAGTTGCTCCCAAAGAGACATTTCGCGACGCCCTGTCCCAAGCATCCACTTTTCGCCAGACACTCAATCACATCCATCCGCGACCGTCACGACGCAATGGCTTCCACCACTCTTCTCCGAACCCTCGCCCGCGGCCCCTCTGCCAGCATCTTCCGCGCAAGCCGGCCCGTTGCCTCCAGCCGTGCTGGTGCCATCGCTCCCATTGCTGCCTCCAGATTCAACTTCAGCACAACCGTTGCCCGCCGCAGCGACCCTCACGCCGAGGAGACCTTTGAGGAGTTCACTGCCAGGTGAGGACGCACTCTCGGCCTCAATTGCCCAGTCTTGCTCTGCAATGCGGAGCTGCCTGTTTATCGTGCCGTGGACTGCCCCATCAGACTATCTGCGCGCAACATCAGCTCCGATATCATCCAATTGGGCATCAAACCCCGTCTATGAGGACATCAGTAGCTGATATCGATCTCTTGAACAGATACGAGAAGGAGTTTGAGGCCGTACAAGATGTTTTCGAGCTGCAGGTAAGCGATCTCTGCCCGTCTTCCCAAACTCAATTTTCGGGAATCGTATGATCATGCCACTTTCGGCTCCTGCGTCATCTTCCACAACTGCGGATTACCGCCACTCTTCACCACATGGATCATGTCAACAGACAACTGATCATTACCATTGTAGCGCAACCTGAACAACGCTTTCGCCTACGATCTCGTTCCCTCTCCTTCCGTCGTCGTCGCCGCCCTCAAGGCTGCCCGCCGTGTCAACGACTTCCCCACTGCTGTCCGTATCTTCGAGGGCATCAAGGCCAAGGTTGAGAACAAGGGTCAGTACGAGCAGTACCTGGCAGAGCTCAAGCCTCTGCGCGAGGAGCTCGGCATCCTCCTCAAGGAGGACCTCTACCCTGAGGAGTCCAAATAAGCGAACAGCAACCGGCTTCGATTTGATACCCTCGGCAATACTCAATTCTTGAAACCTCGTCAACCAACTGACTAATTGGAATTGGAAGGGGGGATTCCACTCGGAAACAACGGTGTAGAGACTGCCATCCTTACGGATGCAGATGTGTATATGTCTACTACTTACAACCTTTAGAAGCAAAAGTCCCCAGGCGACATTGGTGAACGGGCAGACTCGGCTTTGGCGAACACTAGAGGACGGATTCCTTTTGTTGTGTAAAGCATCAATGAGAAACTTTAAACAAACACGAATCGATCTTCATTTGCACTGGTCATGTGGTAGGAGACGAGTACAATGCTTACCGTGCTTATAGTGACTTGCAACGAAGATGTCCACTACTATATTCGACGACTATTCTGGGATAAGATGTAAGAGTGGATTGGTCCTCACGAGGCTACCTTAACAAGTCGCTCCGGCTTTGTTGTTTCCACTTGCAATGACATACTCAGATGTCATTAGCAATGGTGGTGGTGGCGGGATCTACAATGATGCCGACGTCTTTTGCTATCTTCATCTGTATTCCTGGCGTCGATCTGAGCATTGCCATGTGCCCTGCAGAAATTACCTCCGTCCCTTATAGGCTCCTCGCAGCCTTCGCTCGCCTTGCACTGGTGCTGTCCACAGTGGACTGACACATGCTGCAGAAGAAACAACAACGAATACACAGTATTTCCCTGGGCGCCAGCCGGTGGGAAGTTCGATGAGCTCGTGTAGTAATTCTTCAAGGCTTGACCATACTGCCACTGTGGCAGTCCTGGTCTGCTCTGGGCCATCATGGCATCGATATCAGCCGCCTGCGGTTCCAGTGCACTTTCCTTCACAATTTTTGGGCTTTGACAAGTTAGTACTTGGCATTTGTGCAGGTCGCAGAAGCCTGGCGGTACTGCCAAGCCACCCGTTCGTACAATGGCACGACCGTTGTCACACGTCGGCCATAGGCAACGGTGGCTGTCGCAGTAGGTCTGGTTAGTGGGGCAGTGTATGTGGCATTGCAAAGGGTACGCATAGGCACAGAATTTTTCTGGTTGGTCTTGGGCCATTCTTAGAGTGGTGGTCGTTGATGTGATCTTTTATACTTCACTCCTCCGAGGCAAGAATAGCTTGCAATGCCGAGTTCCTCGTCTGTGGTTATGTTGATTGACAGCGGTAGAGTTCTTACTTTTACTGGAGCAGAAAATCATCTTTTATAGGTAAACAGGATTATTTGTGAGCTTACGAGTTCAAGTCATCGTAACCGATTAATTGTGTATCAGTTCGTTTAGTAGAGTGAGTCGGCGGCTCATGAGTCTGCATCACGGCCGTCTGCTGGACTGTGAGCTTGCAATTGTCATATTCCCGGCTTCTATACCTCCGCGAATGCAGTCGATCCCAACTTGCACCAAGAATAGGAGTCTCAAGCGATTATTTAAGCTCCGCTCCGACGCTCAACCAAACTTCAAGCCAGACGATACTTATGCCTGGCAATTCCCCCAACGTCGACCCTAACTTGATATACATGTCCAGAAGAACCATCATCTGCAATTGACGTGATAAACAGCGTCTTCATATCTGGCGATCCAAATGCTGGACAGGAGCACATTTTCGCTCCTGGCACCTCAACCTCGGCCACTGCCGTTCCCTCCGGAGAAAACCTGACGAGCTTCCCCTTGGAGTTTGCCGCGGTCCATATATATCCATCTTTGTCCACAGCCAACCCATCTGGCATACCGCCGTTCTCGAGATGGGCAAACAGGCGTCTATTCAAGGCACTCCCCGTCTTGACATCGTAATCATACTGCCAAATTTTACCTTGCGGCGTATGAGGCACATACATGGTCTTGTCATCTGGTGACCAAACGGGACCATTGAGCACGGCGCAGCCCTTTTCGTCTTCAATGGGGAACTCCTTGACCTCGCCATTCTCGAGACACCATAGCCGGCCGATCCGGCTCTCTTCGTCTTGGGCCATGGTGCCAGCCCACCACCGACCGCGGGCGTCAATGGCCCCGTCATTCATCCGCACCTTGTCGTCTAGCTCGGGGCCGTCCTCGCCCTGGTGTCGCACGCTGGCGATGCGCTTCAGCACGCCTGTAGACAGGTCTAGCAGAGCAAAGCCCAGCCTTGTTTGTACTGCGAGCAGGTCGATCCGGCCTTGGACCAGATCCAGCCTGGTAATCGGTTCCATAAAGGTATAGGTCCGCTTGGCATCCCAGCCTATGGACAATGGCACCCAGTGCACCAAATGGTGCTTGATGTCCACAAAGAAGAGACTATCTGAAGCCGCGTCGTAGAGCGGCGACTCGCCGAGCGCGGAATGCGAGGGAAAGAGCTCTTCGGCCGTGTACTGCTTCATGTTTGGAAGTTTTGTTTGGATTTTCCTCCTGAATGGTAGGACTTGTTTGAAATTACCTCGAAAGCCAACTCGGAGAGGACAAGCCGTATTTGATGTCGAGAATCTGGTCATGAATTTCGTCGTGGTCGTACCCGGTCTATGACGTAAGGTGGAACATTCGTCATCACGACGAATACGCAAACAGTGGACCTGAGTTAATCTGGATGAAGCTTTAGCAGCCATTTTGTCAAAGTAAATATGGAACTATTATTCATGTTTATGCACTTGATCGGAGGGGAAACTCCAGAGGTTGCAAATTGGTTGTATGGACGTTTTTGAGAACCTTGCAGATCGGCAATTTTTATAGTTGATGTGCAGTCTTGATCCGGCAATTAGTGGTTGAGCGGGGCGCGATCGCCTGGCGCCTAGTAGTATACAATCGCTGGCTTATAGTCCATCGATTCACAAATAAACAAGCACACGTGGAAAGCAAGAAACAAGTCCATTTTTCATATGCACTACTCAAATATTACAAGCCTTTTTCGAAAGCCCTTCCTAGGGTTCCTATTTTTTAAACAAAAATAAATACAAGTAAATGAACGCAAGGGCAACTCTGAATGTATTTCAAGTACTAGTCTTCATCCTTATCCCTACCACTCCCCCTTCACCTAGCTCTCATTGCTTTCATCGCTCATAGCAAGCAAAGCAACGTGTATCAGATTCATCGTAATTGTCGTAGGCTGCAGGTTGTGGATTCGTTGGCAGGTAGCGCGAGATCGATTGACGCTGCATGCAGGCTCATCGGCCTTTAGAAGTCTATTGTGGGCTGTCATTTTAAGAAGATGACGAGTTCCAACGCTTGTCCCAGTCTTCCAATTCGTTCTGGGTATTGGCAGCACGCTCCTGTGTGTTTTCTTCTGTGACATATTGAGATTCACTCAGAGAATTTGCTGCTGCAGATGGCTTTTCAGCCAAGTATCTTGCAAGCATAACAGACTCTTTCTCGGCATTTCGTTGTCTTATTAACAAGTCAGTACTTCAGTCCGCGATGCCATTCATCAAAATGCTGTAATCATATACGCACTTGTCAGAAGAATGAACAACGTCCATACTTGTTGGACACTTTGATTTCAAAGGTTTTGGGGCGATGATGGGAGGGAAAAGTCCAGAAATGTCCAAAAATGTCCAAAGACATCAAGTACGAATAATGGTACAACTATCTGAGCAAGTAGAGAAGGATTGTCTTGTAACTTTTTGACCATTCTATCTGATTCAGCGACTTGTGACCCTTTTTGTAAGAAAATAATCTGAGTTCCGTGTCATCGAAGATGTTGATCATCAAAGTCATGATCAAAAGATTTACCAAAGTCGATGATCAAAATATTGATCAAAGTCATGATTAGAACATCAATCAAGTCACTCTGAAGGTGTGCGGCCGAAGCCTATGCATTTCCTAATCCCTGTAGCTCACTTGGGAGAGAAGGAGTGTCTGTCTATTGGTCGAGGTTAGGAGGTTAGTTCGCAGGTAATTGCCTACATGGAACCTGAATAATAAGCCGTAGGGCGAGAACGCTGTCTGAGAGGCATCTTAAGTTTCGAAGTCAGTTGGAAGAGCCCAGATGTCCGACTTTTAAGCGGCTTTTCTGATGAGATGTCGGTGCCTATCAGAGAAATGTCCCGCAATTGATGCGGGCTGATTCCAATTGATGCAGGCTGATTCAGGAAGTATGGTCAAGAAGAGCAACGCCAAGCGGTCGAGGTACTGCAGATAATAGACAGAGAGGGGGGCAGGTGACTGGCCTAATGTAAGAAAGTGTTCGTTTCTAGAATGCTTTCTGCGACTTCAGCGCCTAGCTACAATAAGAAGGGCGAGTAATATCACGGTATCTGGTGGTCGTTACTGTTTGGCCGGCAGGGGGTCCAGAGCTTTAACAGGACCATCCTATACCCCCTGCAACGCCCGGCATATTGGCTACAATGTATGTACATATATATGTACAACACAGTGGCCCAAGAAAATCAACGGCTTGATCAAAATCGGTGGTAATAGCAATTGATAGGTACCTAGGTACATACATTGACTTGATCAATGAATTGGAATTTACATCAAATACTCAGTAAGTCTGCCCCTCACGTCAGATTTGCACAATAATATTGTAAAAATACTCCCAAAGAAACCGCAGAGGCAGCGAGTCAACAAAAATTGCAACGAAAGCAATAACTGGGCTTAAATCACGCCCCTGGGCGATCACGGAGCCTGGCGCCACAAGGATGGGCCGCGGCCGTTTTGAGCCAATTTGGTTTTGTGTATGTTTCGCGCAGGGCCCTCTCAAGTCTTAACAATTTACTTAGCCTGAAGCAGTGCCAATGTGATGATCAACCAGGATTCAGTGTATCGCTACACCTTAAGTGCATTTCATGCGATCACGAGCTATGCCGCTTCTGTGGGGTGACTGTGCCCAAAACCAGGCCCTGGGACTCATATAAAAGCAAGCGTGTGACTAGAGGTAATGCGAAAGCCCGGTCGAAGAAAAACAGACAAACAGATCTGGGACGGGAATATCCAAAGAGTTTTCCATCTACGCCGTATGCAGCCACCGATCTCATTGCTTGCCAGGCAACCAATACAAAACCTCGTTCTACAGAAATTCCAATAACCCCTTCGCTGGTATTACCATGCATTGGACACAAGCGTACTGGTATTCAAGAATGGCTAGGCAGCGTTGAGCAAGGCTCTTGCGTAAAGAGCTCTGCTATTGGCAGCCCTAGCAAATGGCCAGACTTTGATGAGTCTTCAGGGGTGAAGTTTCCAGCGCCAGGATCAGACACCAGGGTATCCATTGATCTCAAGTCCGAAGATCACGCGCCACACGATGCTACACCAGGCTGCAGCCTTACCTGTAACACGCATGCAAATGCAGCAGGAAGTTCCCTTCTATTGAGTTCCTCGAGTTGGCTCAATCCATTGTTGGGCCATCCGCTATATTCTATCATCGTTCAGGCCTGGGCCAAATTCTGGTCTGAAGACCCGGTGGACCAAGATGGCTCAACTGGCAACACTCAACAGTCCGCCACTCCCGCGCCCTCAGGCTCTGCGTCTGATAGTGGATCTAGCAAGAGGCCATCACAAGGCAGCAAGAGAAAAAGGAAATCGGACGAGAAAGATGGGACCGGAGACTCCAAAAGAACGAGACCTGATTCCGATAACGGCTCTCCAACGGGGGACAGCAAAAATGTTCTTGCGTGCCATTTCTACAAGATGAATCCTAGACAGCATCTTGAGTGTTTGCAAAGGGGATTTCATAACATCAGTGCCCTAGGGCAGCACCTTGGCAAACAACACAAGCTTGGTCCTATTCATTGTGGAAACTGTTGGACATCGTTTACTAGCGATGGAGAGCTTAGAGCGCATTTGCCGTTGTGCAAGCCCACGGGAGGTATTGCAGTGGATCATTTACCAGACGTCCCAAAAACACGGCAAGATCCCTCTTGGAAGTGGTACTGGATCTGGAGAAAATTGTTTCCGAACTTTACGCCACCAGATACGCCTTATACTGATGGTCCCGAGTATCAATTAATTCAGCAATTCGTCGACTTCTTCTCAGATCGCTATGCGCCAAACATTGCATCACAACTTGGATCTGAACCGTCACTGACGAGTGTCGTCGAGGTTTTAAGAGCAGCAGCGCGAGAGTGGGCATCTACGCCCGCCCATACGTTGAATTTTAGACCATTGCCGACTCCACCAACAACCATCTCTGAAGATGAGACCCGCACTTCACCTGCAGCACTTCAAGGGCTTTCAGAAAACACGAACACATATGGCAATTCCCAGCCGACAGAGTCGCTCGCCAATGGATCAGATGAAGGCATCGCTCCCTCAATATTGCTGGATAATGAGAACCTGCTCAACATGGGCCACCGCCCAACGGAAAGCCTCGCCGAAGGTTTTCAGGTACCTACCGTTCGCACAGACGAGATCAATACAGCGAATAACGCCACGACTTACACCGTCCTTGATTCCAGGACGGGTATGATTGCCGCCAGGTCAGAAGAAGAGAATACGAGTGCGTGGAGCCCAGAGCAAGCCTTCGTCGAGGAACCATCAAATGAAATTCCTTCTGAGGATTGGATCTATGCTGGCGGATTGACAGAGGAAGAAGATTGGATGCAGGAAATGAATTACGAAAACCTTGGTCTTTTACCTCCTTCATCTTCGAAGGACATGGATGAACCAGGGGAGCACCTTGAAGACTCTGACGATGAGGACCAACCATTGATGTACTAGCGAGGGTAGAGCAATACAAGTCAACTAAAGTCAAGCTGAGAATGCAGATGAAAGTGATGTCTATCGTTGCACTTTAGAATAGGCACGGCAACCAGTATTGGTCTTCACCTGACTCCACTCGGCGGGCGACTCCATTGGTTTCTGATTGGTTCTATCCGAATGTGATACGACCAGTGTCTAAAAATGAAGGGTGTAATTGAGATTATTTCTCTCCTAAGAAATGAATGCGTAGAAAGTAATTTGATACCCCTTCCTGTTGATTCCTGTTGTGTCACACGGACGGTGCCACACTCCACGACCATCCTATGGCACATCAGACTGGCCGTACATTGATGACTTGTGACGCAACCATAGCTCAGAATACCTTGGTAAAACTGGGATACAGAGATCAATACCCGTTTGCAAGGCCGTTCGAGGATTTGTGCGCCATGTGTTACCAGGACCGGTTGACGACAGCCAGCAGCCCCTCTGTAACCTGTCTTTGGGCGACTCCCAAGGCCTAAAGTAGGAGCATCATCTGGAAAAGCTCCAAAGTTCAGACACCTCAAGATTATAACCAATGTAAGATACTGCTTGTATCGAGATGGATGGGTATATACATGTTTCATGATTAATGGCAGTTCACAGTATTACAAGAGCCGTGTGTTAAAACTTCCATGTACTCTTACCATCATGAACACATGTCGCCTAACCTTGAAATTAGACAATTACATTGAAGGGGTATAATGTATAACAACATCAACTCTTACGCCTGAGAAAAAAATCCCAAAAAGTCAAACAGTAACATACCTACATATGTACCTAGGTATGTATGTACCTAAGGTACTTTTTATAATGCGGGATGGTGGGGCGTTACAAGCTTAACGGCTCCTGTATTAAAGCAAACGCCCTTCAATAGCAAATGTGTCTTGTGACGTGAACATTGCTCATGGTTCTTATAGTTTGGCTTGTGATTTTAATTTTTCATCCTATGGCAAGGAAGACGCAGGGCTCCCAAGGCTCTGGCAGCGGTGCACTAAAGGCAATGTTTCAAAGTAATATAGGTAAGTAGCTTGTTTGATCTCAGCCTCTTCAAAATGGTGGTTGGCCTTGATATAAAGGTTTGATCAATTTTTGTTTTCTCAGTCGTTTCACCTGGTTTACCTGAAATCAATACCTTTCACTTGCTCATGTGTTTATGGAGTGGTCATTTCAACCTCAATCACACGCTGAGCATACGCTGTACAGTGCATGCCTAAGGCTAGTAATCATTCCATCTACTTGCATTGGGTACTTGTCTCCCGCTAATCTCTAATCTCTTGGCAAAGACTTTTCTGATTCTAAATAATACCTGATGGGAAAAGAATCCCCATGGATTCCCTACCATAATTGTTGGTCGGTTGCGGTTGTTCAAGAAGTGTACGGGATCGGACACTCGAAATGTGGCGCAGTCGCCTTCGCAGGCGGCCACCCGGCTTGGACCCACTCCAACCCGCGCTGGAAGCGCGACACCAAACCGGAGACACAGTGATAGCTACTGGAAGCTTTGCGGCCGCCGGCAACACACAAGAGCACAAGGCCGGTAAGACTCAATACATCCACACCTACTGATGACACCTAGTACAATGAGTACTGATTTGGGACGCAGATGAGACCATACCGTCAATGAGCTCGACGGTTTCCGAACCTTCTGCTACTGCGAATCACGGCAAGAACGAGCGAAAACGGCCGAGCAGCCAGACGCCGAGCCAGAGCCAGCGAAGCAAGCGGCGCCGATCGGGCAGGCAGGATCGCAAGAAGAGAGAGCGCCCAAATACTCTGAAAAGCCAGGGGTTTTGGCCCATCAAGGGGATCGTGCAGGAGGCGTCCAAGGACGACGGCTCGAGCAAATATCTCGTCGAGTGGGAAGGCGAAGACGCAAACGGGGAGCCGTGGCCCCTCGAATGGGTTTCCGAAGTTACTCACGAGGCGCTGTATGCTTGGCAAACGGAACAAAAAGCAAAAGCTGCTGAGTCCCAAACGAACGTTGGCGACGAGGAAGAGGAAACCCAGCAGCAAGAGGTCAGGCCGAAGTGCACAGAGGTACTAGACTCGCAAGCCACGGGCGAGTCATCTCTCGAAACACAGAGCTTTAATCTGCTGAAGATTGAAGTAGAGCTCAAACAAAGGCCTGATTTCGACCCTTCTGCCTACCTGGCCGTCGCTGCTTCTTCAGATTCTGAGGCTCATCTGGAGGATTCTAAGGGTGATAGAATCATCCCTGATTCTCAGGAACCATCAGCGTTTACGACCGAAAATTCTGGCCCTCGTGTCGATACCGACTTTGCTCTTTTGGATTCGCTCGACTCCCAAGTATCGGAAACAGTAGCAGAGATTCCATCGCGACAGCCGGATTGGGTGACACAGCGACAGAGCCCGATCCCAGAGATCACCAGCTTTTTGCATACAATCCCGTCTCCTGTGCCTGAAACCAGCGCGCAGAACTCTCCTTCAGAAAACTGGAATTTGCAGCCCTTGTTTGGGCCGTCCGACTTTCAAACGCAAGAGCCTTGCAACTCCCTAGGTGCAGCGACTGACCCCGAAGGTTCACAAGATCAATCTTCCCAAACCCTGTTATCTTCTTCACTGCTATCTCGGCATCCCCAGCCAGGGATTGGCTCATTCGATATTCTATCCCAGGCCGCTCAGATTGTCCCCCATACCCAAAGTCAGTCGACGGGCACTTCAAGCCAGGCCCGCTTACTTCGGGACTCTGGCGAAAATAGCGAATTTCGTGGAGACATCGTGCTGGATTCGTCGCGGCGCTCTCAGAATCGCCAGGCTCAGTCGCAGAGTTCTACGCAAGCCTTTATAGGACTACATGGTAATTTACGAATTTCATCTTCAGCCCCTCCTGCCTACGGACTAGGTCCATGGCCATCACGTTCGCAATCATCAGGGCAAGCCTCTTTTGATGAGTCATCCACCACTCACGGAACCCATGATATCAGAGGTGTCAGGTCCGCATCACATTTTTCTTTGCCAGCCCAAACATCTGCATCAGATTTCAAGCCATCTAATATCGCTGGCTCAAGGCATAGTGAGGGACATAGAACCCTAGTACGCACGATGGAAGATCCGAATCCGCCCGGCGAGAGACGCCAAACCCTTCAGGAGAGGATGCGTCAACTGGCACAAATAAACTTCTCCGGGGGTCCAGCAGATACTCCACCTGTTGACGCCCCAAGCCCCATAAAGTCGCAGAACCTAGAGCTGGTACATCCTGAACTGCCCGAAGTTCCTCTGGAACCTGCAGATATTCTTCACATATCGCCATCTCTTTTAGTGCCTTCTGTGGAGATGGAGCACCAGGACCAGTCTCTATCTGCTTTTGGACACGAAACCATACCACTGCGAGAAACAGTGTACGAATACCCGCCCGTGCCGGACAATCTCAGCCATCTTCCCGACCATATGAGTCACGAACAGCCTGCGACTTTGGACCCGTCTAATCTAACCATGTCCATTGAACACGACATGCTGGGACCCGAGAACGACGATGATGGAAGTCCCTCAATACCGACCGACAATCTGCAAGCCCCTAGCGAGCACCATGCCAGCCCTGGCCTCACAGAATCCATACATGGCGATGTAGCAATCACTAACCAACCCAACATTCTTCCTTTCATTGACGTACGCCACCACGAGTACATTATTACTCTACCTCTTGCGAGCAACCTTCGTCCCCAGTACGTCGAGGTGATAGAGAGGAGCAATACCGATCTAGTGGCTTATAACGCGGCTTTCACCGTACCTCCTTACGAAACCCCCGACGCCGCGCTGGTTGCTCGAGTTGATGGTATATTCCAACAGCTATTGGACATTTGTGACCTTCCGCCCTCGTTGGAGGCTATTCAGAAAATGTCACCAGAAAAGGTGTCAAAGTACATGAGAAGTACCCACAGTAAATATGCCTTTGTCGGGTCGTTGTTGGAGCATCTGCAAAAGGCCGAGGCTACTGCTCCCAAAAAGATCTTGATTGTAGCCAGACCTGGTGCAATAACTAGTCTTTTGTGCACTCTTCTCGAATGCATGGGCTATCAACCATGCCATTTACGGGACGGCGAGATCCTTCAGGACGATGGCGCTGTCGGAGCAGCAAGCGGATCTTGGTGGCTTGGATCACTGATTGTCACTATTCACCCTTCCACTGATGAGCAGTACGTACTGCAGAGTGAATACGACGTGGTCATCGGCTTTGATCACACCTTCAGACGAGATCTTTTGCCTCGCTGGACTAATGAGCATCCAATAAGCATGCACCTTGTCCACACTACCAGCATTGAGCATCTTAGCATGCGTATTTCCGACAACATTGAGCCACTCACCCGCAAGAACTACCTCTTGCTTGCGGTATGTGCTTCGCTGCCCGAAATACTCAATCCAGACCTGGAGTCCGAGGAAGCCCATGAAATTACTGAACGCTTTGCCAATTACATTCATGGAGTCGATCTCGATGATTTTTATTGGGACCACCAAGAACCGCCGGACTCGATCTTTGAACACATTGCTGCCAACTCTCAAGGTTCTGCAACTCAATCTAACCCTTTGCCCAATGGATCTCCTGACCACGTTGTGGGCCGCAAACGGTCGTTGGTACGTCCCCTCTCCAACCAAGCTCTTATAGTGTGAATAGCTAACAAGGAATAGGACGGTGCCGATGAGACAGAGGCTGAGGCCAAACGACTCAAGACTGCCCCGCCAGGCATAATTACCACGAAAGTTGCCATTGCGCCACAGGTTCCCAGCACTCTGAAATCGTTCATCGGAGAGGGTGTCGCAGCGAGTGATGATGACTCCGTTGTTCAGATCTCAGTCTCACGAGCGAAAGAACTTCAGGCCAAGGTAAGTCTCCTAAACCATCAAATTTATTAATGGATACCCGTAGCTGACCATTGTAGATGGCAAAGCTCAAGGCAGAGCTCGCAAGCACCCGCCGTCAACGTGATCAGTACAAAGAATTGGCTGATCGATCCAACAAGGAGGTTGAGAGCTGGACCGCCTCGGTCAACCGCATTCAACCACGGTACATGGCTGCTTTGAGAGACCGCGGTATAGCTCATAAGGAGAGAGATACAGCGCAAAAACAGCATCGCGACCTTGAGAGTCTTTTACGGGTCACGCAGAAAGACTTGGCATCCACTAAGGATGCTCTATCCGAATCGAAGCAAAGGCTGTCTGAAGCTCAAGAGGCTTTGCTCAGCGGCGGAAATCCTAAAGCGGCCAAGATGGTCCGCATCGAGAAGGAATTGGAAGAAGGGCGGGTCCGAGTGGTAGATGCGGAAAAACGGAACGCATTGGCACAAAAGGACCGCGAATATGCCTCGGCCGAATACCAGAATGCCTCACACCATGCGGCAGAGCTCGCAAAGAAGAACGAGTCTCTCAATGACGAGATCGTGAAGCTCAAGCGTTTGGCCAATGACAATATCGTCAAGATCAACCAGACGCAACGAAACAATGAGGTCAAGGAACTCCTACGCCGCATTGAAGAGAAGAACACCATCGTCAGAGAACTAGAAAACGATCTCAACCGAGCCCGAGAACAGAACACGCAGCTCAGGTCGGGCCGCAGGGAAACGCGCCAGTCTAGTGTGCCGCGCAGCCCACGGCTTGCAGTTTCGAGTCCTCGTGGCCCCTCTAGGCGAGCCGCTACCGAAGTGGCAAGCGGCAGTGCGAGTCGAGGTGCCAGTCCTGCCTTTGGACCATTGGAGGCTGGTGCAAACATCATTCCCGGCGTTGGGAGTATATTTGCAGGCCAACAGCAGGGAAATGGCCGCTATGCGCATTTGCGAGATTAAGATTTGAAATGTTTGAACATGCAGGATATCAGAATTGACGCCAAGGGCTGGCCAGTTACTCTTCTGAGAAGACCTGCATGGTGTTGTATCGTTTTGTTTTCTTCAGGGGTTTGTTTGTGGTTCAGACGTAGTGTGTACATACCCGGCTGAAATACGCCTCGTTTGTTTAGATATTGATTTGCTATAAACCGATTAATCTTTTTCAGTCGGCTTCGAAAAGCTGGCTGTGCAAAATGTGTATGTAATTTTGTGAATGACTTTACTACAACACATGTTCAACTACTCTGCGTCTTCGATTTCCACGATTTCGACTTCCTCGTCTTCCTCTTCCTCTTCCGAATCAACATCACCCTCTTCATCCTCCTCCTCCTCTTGTTCCTTGTCCACCTTTTCGCGGCGCTGGCGGATCAATTTCACTTCTACCTCCTTGTCCCTACCCATCCCGATTTCGAACAGAGTCTCGGGCTGGTCTTCATCGAAATCCTCACCGTCCTTGAGATACATTTCCGTCAGTGGATCAATGAGCTCTCTTTCCACACCGTCAAAGATGCCTCGTGCTCCTGTCTCGGGGATATAATTCTCCTTGGAGAGGCGCGAGAACAGGCTCGAGTCATTCTTGACGGCGATGCGCACATTGCCAATGTACCGATCATGTTTCGGGTCCTTAGCCAACACTATAGGTTTGGCCACTTCGGCTTCGTAGTCCATGAAACCCTTGTGGGCAACGATTATGCTCTCGGCGTCGGAGAATCTTAGAAACGGCATAAAAGTCTTGATGCGGCCGGTAAGAGGTGCGCCCCATTTTGAAATGGACTCTCGACGTAGTTGTTGGCATAATTCGTTGACGCTGTGCGAATCGGGTTAGTTGATCTGGTCAGAGCAATGGGTCAAGAGTACCTACAGTCTTTCCTGCTCATTCACATCGTCAGATTCCAGGCCAGCCTTGTTCTTCTCGTGGAAACTGTGGATCATATTGTCGAATGCATTTGTAGCCAGGATCCAAATGGTCTTTTTGCAATCTACGACAAGTTTCGCATCACGGCGATCTTCATAAGTACCTATAAATCCAATCTTAGAGTTAAATCCAAGATCACCAATAAAGCGAATAGATGTGTACCTTCTTGAAAGGGGATCAACAGAGAGTTGTGCACCTGTTGTTCTGTCTTTTCGAATTCGTCCATGAAAATCACACTTCTCTTTTCATGTTGTTCGACGATGAAATTGTTGACGGGCGATCCTTTTGCCCAGTCCGACATGGGCGGACGCGCTCCAAATAGATCAGTCTCATTGTTCATGACTGTGCAATTCACCGGCTTCATTTCCACACCAAGTAGAGATCCCAGAGACTTGGCAAGTTCCGTCTTGCCGTGTCCACTGGGGCCAGCAAATACCAGTACCAAGGGCTTGTTTGACTGTCGGCTGAGGTGACTGTTAGGAAAAGTTAGTACAGAAAGAAGAAAAATATTATGATTGGGAAGCCGTGTTGATCTCAGAGTTCTGGGGGAGACGTACGAGAGCAACTTTCTCATGAGCCATCTCGTAGCAACAGGCTGCGCAATAATGGATTGGTAAAGACCCAAGACACCTTCGGCATTCTGGCGGAACACGACCGTCTTTTCGCGACCCGAGGGCTGGATAAACTTGCTGGCTCGGTCCAGAAAATACCGCATCGTGACATTGAGCGCGGCCGACATGACGGTGCTAAAGTCGGGCGTGCACCACTTTTTATTCTCGTCGCCGAGGTCGCGCATTTTACTCCGGTCGGGCCCTTCCTCGGGCAGGTCCTCGTCGTAGCGCTGATAAAAGGCGGCGGGGATGGACGACGGCAGGGCCCCGAGGACCAGCAGCGTCTCTACCGTCTTGGTCACGGTCTGCAGGGTGCGGCTCCCACGCAAAATGGCAAACACGAGCAAGGGGATCTTGTCCTCGCCGCACGTGATGTTGGGATCACCGCCGTACTTGACCCAAAGCCGAATAAGCTTGACATTGTGCGTCTCGACGACGTAAAAGATGGCCGGGTACTCGCCACCAATCAGGGCGTTCATATTCTCCTGAACAATGTCCTCGTCGTAATAGTCGAGGTAGGCTTGGACCTGGGTGTCAGTGGCACCCCCCTGGATGAAGCCAATGAGGCTCTCCAGCTCAAAGACGCCAGAGCCGTCGGCGCCGCCCTTGATGAGTTCGGCTGGCTTGTCAAAGCGCGGCAGGGCAGGCCAATAGGATTCTTCGTCATCTTCGTCATAATTCACAGTCTCTGAGTCTTCAGAGTCGTGATTGCTGTCCTTGTCAGTTTCAGACGATGGGGCTTCGCTCTCCGAATCCGTTCCGCTTGCCGTTTCTTCGGTATCTTTATAGGCGTCAAGAAGTTTGTACCTAGCAATGGCTTTGGCCACGTCATTGTCACAGATCTATTCGGGCGAGGTTAGCGAAAAGGGAACGGCTTGAACCGAAGGTAGAGCATTTGGTGATGGTGACATACCTTTAGAAGGCTCCTTGCTTCACGTCTAGTGCAGGTAGGTTGAGCGGCAATGACTTGCTCAATCTCGGTCTTTGTTGATTTACTCATACTGTCTGATTTCGTAATGTTCAAATTGACTGGTTACTTGGTTCGGATTTCAGTTGTCGGGAATGTATTTTGATGATTTTACGAGAAAAACTCAATGCTTGTTCGATATTGGAATATAAATAGACGACAGTAATGCATTTAGACGCATCTGAAACTTTTTCTTTGATGAAATATCTGAATAATCTTGTAGGTTCCCACGGCATTTTTGGAAACCCCCCGGAGCGTGCGCTACTTGTCTGGAGGTAACGATGGAGACAAGTCCTTTGATCATGTCTCTGTTTCTCTCATTATTCTATAAGAAAGCCATGGTGTTTTCTTTGAGAATAGCATACTCTGAGGTTGCATCTTGATTGATTTTCCAGCACCCCTCGTTCCGTCATGGAACATTGTCGAGGCTTTGACTAAATCCCAAGTCAAATGACTCACAATTTGGAAAGACATTCATTGGCATCCAGAAGAGTGAATCGTAAATGTTTCAATAGTATCAATCATACGACAGCTAGAGCTAGAAATATCGAGAAGCTTTGGTATTGAACCACCGTCTTCAATGCCTTCACTGATATTCCATTGGTGGTCGGCCTCCCAAGAGTGAAAGGGCCGACAATTCTTATAAATGCATCGCCTAGTTCTAGTGGACATTCGCTTTTGTCGTTCTATAAACTACATAACCAGATATCACTACATACTCAGCCCAATAGCAGACACCGAAATTCAGTCTCCATCATGTCTTTGAGAAACTCAGCAAGTCGCAACTCCCGCCTGAACCGTTCAGGCGGTGCAGTAAGCGCCGCAATACAAAGCGAGTTTGAAATGGAAATGGAAATGGAAACAGAGCGACCAGAAGATCCCGTCCCCTCCTCGAAAGTGGAATCGACCTCCAGAGGGCGACGCGAAACCGCTAGTACTCCGACGTCGAGCCGCTCCAAGTCCTTGAAGCGCAGTAAAAGTATAGCAAGATTGAGCGAACGACGAAAAAGCATCAGTCGGAGAGACAGTACCCATGCAAAGGAGGACGAGGACGAGAAGCTCATGAAATTCGTCGATAAACTCGCCACGGAGCGCGAGGAGCGCGAAAAGGTCGACAAGAGAGTGGAAGAACTGGAAGCCGAGCTTGCGGCGCTCAAGACTTCAAGCGCTGCGACCGAGCATGGACTCAAGCAGTCTTTGGGAAATACACAGACGCAACTGAGCCAGCTGCAGGAAGCTGAGAAACAAAGGGGCAAGGAGCAAGTTGCCGAAGCCACCAAGCTCGGAAAGTCTCAGCAGGATCTAGCCGAGTCCCAGAAGAAACTGGCAGAGATGGAGGGGAGGCACGACTTTGTACGGGGAGCCCTCGATGCACTCAGGACTTCAAGTGCGCTTGAATCAGTACAGATATCAGCGCTCAAGAAAGATATCGAGACAGTAATGAAGGAAAGAGATGTGGCGTTGCAACAATCACGGCTTACGATGCGCGCTCAAAAGGAGCATACCGCCACTTCCTCAAAGCTCAAGGATATCCAGTCGGAGCAGAAAATAGCCCAGGAAAGGGAGAAGGTCTTGATAAAAGAGCGCGACGCTGCAGTCTCCAAGCAGAAAAAACTCAAAACCGACATGATTGAGCTCGAGAAACAACACAAATCCGACATGACTGAGCTCCGGGAAGCTTCCAAGCCTATTTCGCGCATGGTTGTGATTTGCGTCGACTGCAGCGGAAGCCTATCTCGTGTCATTGGCGAGATTCAGCAGTGCTACCGAGATGTGGTTCTGTATCTCAAGGCCAAGTGCAGCGATGCCAGGGTTGCTGTCATCATGCACGGAAGCTCCCGCCAGACCGTTCACCGCCCTCATGTCATTTCGCAGAGGACATTGACCTTTCTGCGGGACACGGGCAACGCTGGTAGCGAAGACTATGCCTACTGTCTTGGCGAGGCTCACAAGATCTTGGCGCGCGAGGTAGCTGACAGAAAGGTCGTGGTCATGATTGGCGATGGTGACGCACAATACAAGTCTGAATGGGATCTCAAAAGCGCCGTCCAATACCTTTCTGCCAATCAAATCCCCGCCCACTCTATTGTCATTCCCAACGGAAAGCCTTGGTACAGCACTGGGGGAAACACCACTATGGGGTTAATTTCAAAGGATACTAGCGGTCGCACTGAGAGTAAGGATACCTACTTTTCGGTCCTGGACGAGTTTGTCGGTGGCAAGTGAGTGATAGTTTGAACAGATGTTGTACCGGAATAGAAAAATAAATGTATTGTCAGGAGGAGTGAGCTCAGAATTATTGGGGAAATGATTGGCATTTGTATTCAATACGACTTTCTGTGATATATGGACAGTGATGGACATTCCTTCATATCTCAATACAACACTGACCAAAACAAGACTGACAAACATGCCGTGAATTACGCATTGGGAATGTGTGCTGCAACCTCAATCTCGACTCGCATATCATCCGCTCCCAGTCGAGCGACACCTACTGCCGTCCAGATGGGCTGATGATCCGGCATCCACTTTTTGAAGTTGCGCGCCATGGCCTGGAGAGCTTCGTCATTGAGGGGAAGGTGATACGAGTTGACGCGGTAGACCTGTGACCAGCCTTGGCCGCCGGCCGTCTTGAGCGTCAAGTCGACATTCTTGAAAGCCTGGTCGATTTGCTCATTGATCTCCTTGGGGAATTGGATCCCCTGCTTTTCCGGCCACCAGCCGCCTGGATATCCAGGGTCAGTCCAAGAAGAAGAAAAAAGTCTCTGCGTTGAAGCGAGAATGGAGTTGATGTCACCTTGACCGGAGCACTCAATCTTGTCTCCAATGCGGACTGCTTGCTTGTACCCGAGATCCTTGGTGGCTTCCTCGCCGACGCCCGGGTAGTAGGAATACTGCAAATGGGCCATTTTGAATAAAGTCGTACTGTAGAAAGGGTATTTTCTTTTCGTTTCTCTTCCTTATTTTTGATGTGTTCCATGATAATCTTCTTCCCAACTACCAAGGGGATCGAGTTTCATTTATAGTCGCGATGAGCCACTTGAAAATAAGCAATCTCAACATTGTCACAGGTCTTGCTTACGAATCTGAGCATTTTTAATCCGACTTTTGGTCATGTTGCCCAGAGGTCCATGCTTTTGATGGAGTTGAAACGCCGCAGTCTGTTGGACTTGGCGCTTATGCTCTGCTCTTTCGATGCTGTACAGAAGCCCTGAAGCTTTTGCGCTGACTAATTTCCAACCCTACCACGACCAAGCCGCGAAAGAAAAACATATGAGCTAGGTAAGACCTGTGTTTCTCCTTGGCACGCGTCAGTTTATTGGAGTTCAACCTAAGCCGCCACTAGACTTCAACGAACAACCTCATGGGCACGGAAGCCTTTGGAATCAGGTGGGGGATTTTGACTTTGACGGTCGCTTTTGAGACCACAATATATAATGCGCCTGTGCGCTCCCCTCTTCCCCACCACATTGATAGAGTAATCGTGGACGGTGGAATCATATACTACACCAACCATGTGGAATCAGCATCGACTTCAAATGCACGAGCAACGTGCAAATCGCCACTAGGTACAGCACAATCCCTTCATGCAGTAAATGAAGCAAAATACTCACGATCCGCATATTATTAATTCCGAATGAGTATTCATGATCATATGGTACAGGGGCCTCTGTGCAGACCGAATCGGCAAAGTTTAGGTACACTATGGAGGCCCTGGTGAGAAAGGTGTGCGCATAGCTCAAATATTGCGTGGCTAAGTCCGATCTAATATACCATTTAATGATTTCCCGATGAAGATATAAAATAAACAAAATTTCTTTCTTTCAAGAAGAAATCAATCGACTAGAATCGGTGTCTGGGATAATGCGCGATGGCTTGAAGATATAGTCGTTGAGTTTCGACGTATGCTTCCTGTTAATAATGGTTCGCAAATCGTGGAGGTTATATTTTCTGGGATCAGCCACGACCGCAAGCGTCAATCAAAGTAAGACCTCGATACGGAGTTCTACGCCGGGGCTTTTATTGGCAGTGAGAGCCATTGCATTCAAACGGGCAATTGATGCTCATCGAAGTCGAGATCCATGTGTTTATATGGAATCGAAGACGGAACCACTGTCAGCTATTGCCCATCATGCTCATTCAAGACAACCTCTTGCTTGCGGTCCCCGGAGGATCTTCCTCTTGTTACGCCTCTCCTCTGAGGGAAGGCCTGAGTGGGCGGAATGATCTATCATGAGGTGCCAGCCAGGGGGCGAGTTCGTAGCTGCATGTGGTGCTGGTTCTGGTTGACAATATGGTTTGCATAGTTTCGACCACAGGATACTCTGCTGCCAAAGATGTGTACTCGATTTTGTCGAAATAGAAAGGCTGGCGAGACGCGAGTTGACGACGGCTACCGATAGACTGCATTATTTCTTCAGTTTTCTTCTCTATTGAGACTCAGTTGATGTAATCGAATTAAACGTACCGAAAGAGTGTTTATGTAAATGATAGACGCTGTCGTCTACCGTCTCAATGGCCGTAGACAGACTACAAGCAGCTAGTGCCGTTGCCGTGGTGGAAGCAGCTGTCAGGCAGGGAATGTCAGCAATAGAAACCGAATCGTACTCTCGTGATATGAACCATACAGAAGTACTTGATGTTCAACGTTCAAAGCGCAGCCAAGCGCAAAGCCACTGTGGGCAGCTCGAGCATCAGTGTAGTTACGAGGACCCGGATCTTACCCAAATGAACCACCACAGCCATCAGAGCAAGGCGGGCGGTCGTCGTGACTTGTGACAAGTGTCCACTGCAGGACAGCAGGTTTCATTTGGACAGCTCTGATCTGTGGAATTTTTAGCAACCTTTCGACAGAAAAGGCGGCTCATGGACGATTCAGCCATGTCGAGAAGCCACTCGCGGTTCCCATGTCGCGTAGTTCATCATGCTCGACTGGGACAAGACGTATCACGTATGCAAGTTTCGTGGCCTACATCTACCAGCCCATGAGCACCTCTGCTGGAGATCTTGCACGGTGACCTTTTGACTACCGATGCCTCCTGATCAGCGACATCTCGTATCTTTTCACCATCGCCGAAGGGGTGCAGACGCCACATCTGACTTGCGTCGCCGTCAACACCTGGCGCAAGGCATTGCTCACATGGACTTTTGACTGGCGGCGCGCTTGATTCTCATATGCCTGGCATCATCCCAGGATGGATATAAGCAGACCATCTTTCAGCTTGCCGATTTTGTAATCACTCTGAATTGAGAAGTGAAGTATTAACAAGACTAGGCAGTTGTTATTTCGCCACTAACAATGATTAGTTCACCTTTTAGGCTATTTTCTCCTGCATACTACTCTGGATACTGCGTACCAGGTAAGTAAGGAAGTGGCCTGGTCTGTCTTCAAAATTCGGCACATTTCTCCAAAGCTAATGATTGAGTGTAACCCCCCAGACTCATCAGATAAGAGCCGTACGCACTACAATGTAGTACAAAGTTACGCACGGGAAGAGCAAGGCCTTGGCAGCGTGTGGAGCAGAAGGATTCTCACCGCCGTCATAACATTGGTTGAAGCAGGGGGCCATTCGTTTAACATTCGGCGACTCGCATGGCGCCTGGATCATGTGAGTTTAATAAAGCTTGGGCAATAGACACAATCCAGCGCACGTGGGTTCTTCTGCGCATCGCCAATATTTCCGCTCTCGGCACGCTCAGAAATCAATATCTTTTCCCTTCATGGTGTCATTGTTAGACCAATCGCAACATATTTCCAGGTGTTCGTCATGAAAGATAAGCCACGTCAAGATTCATAAAAGAAGAGGTTCAAGTCTCCCCCAAGCGCCGCTGATCAAACGCTCTAGTCGTAAGCGCTTGCCGGACGCCGTTGCTAAGGGGACTACCCGCAACAGGAAAAAGCATCAAAGAATAGACAATAGGCAGTCTATATTAGCAAGACCGTTCATACTACTGTAGTACAAAAGTAGTGACCACTGACGACAACAAAAAAATCGGCCTAGATTAGTACGCCCGTTCCTGATAATTGAAAGGATCGCGCCGAGAGGCATCGCGCCGGACAAGACTTCAAAAAACATCACAAGATTGAGACAAACTCTAGGTCGGTGGGGGCAGACGTCGGGAATCTCAAAGTCTCCGTTGCGGAGTACAACCGGCCGCCGGGCACAGCCGCCGCGCAGCAACAACAAAAAAAAGTCTTGGATATTGAGCCCAAAAGAGACTTTATCATCTTAATCGACAACCCACGTGCAATGATGAGCAGCAGGGTGTCTCTCCCGTCTTTCCGCAAATCCGAACAACCCGGCAGGGAAGGCTCCTCATACACGCTCTCTCTCTTTCACTCTTGTACGGACTCGGACTCGGAGGGGAAGATCAAGAGATTTGCCAAGAATAGGGGACCAAATAGTGCCCCGGGTCTCGAAGGTTCCAGATTCTTGATTCTTGGGGGGGAAAAGGATAGAAGAACGTTTGCGGCAAGGCCCTCAAAAGAACTGTACATTCCCAAATAGACGCGATGATACCTGATAACGAAGGTGGCCAACTTATCTAGGCTTTGCTGGGTAATCTCTTGGCTCGTCTTGGTGCTAAAGATGCCGGTATTTGAATTTTGCAGGAGCTTAGGCAATTGGGATCAGCGGGTTTTTGGCGGGCATACGACGCTGGCAATGACCCCCCAAACTCCCCCTAGCAAAAAGTATAGAGTTCAACGCCAGGACGTTATCGGTGCTGGCTTTTGGGAACCCCTGAATCCGCGAACCTTCTCTGCTCCTCATGCCCAACCTGACTGCCCATCCACAGCCCATTGGTAGCCCATGGGCCCGGTGTTTCGGGTCCTCGGGAGGCAAATCAATCACCACATGGGCGCAGCGGGTCCTCCCCCCAAAAATCCTTTTTGGGTGTGAACCAGAACGTCGGTAGATTTTAATCTATTTTACCTTCGTCTTGATCTTGTCATTGCTCCTCATTGCTGCTACTGTACACGTTTTTTGAGTTGCCACTTCTCCCCGACAGGTGGATCTGTCTTTCCCCTTGAGCAACGAGGATGTTGATTCAGTTGATTGATAGTACTCTGTGATTTGTTCTGCACTCCAAAGAAAATGAACAAAGGGAAAAAAAAAAAAAAAAAAACGCGCATAAGCAGGACAGAGTAAGATTTTAATGCTGCGCATCGATGGAGTCTCTGATAAATAACCCACATGAAGTCTCCCAATCAATATTGTTACATAACATACCCTTGTGTCGAATGCACATAATCATATACTAGTACTACGGATAAACGATGGCAAAAAGAGCAAGGGTAATAATGAAAAAGCAAAACACACACATACATAGTACACACACACACACACACACTGACACACACCAGCCAAGGCCCGAATCGAAAGCAGCTGGCAGAAGAAAGCAAATTGTGATGAGGGCTTGAATGGAACGCGCCTTGCAGAATGCGCAATAGCCGCAGACAACGGTAACGGCCAATCCTTCCCGGAAAAGATAGGCGTCACTATACCAAGTGGATAAGAAATCACTGCTTAGATCGACATTTCGAGATCCCGGATTTAGATCCCGGTCACCTTGCCCCGGCCCATTGACCAATCGATAGACCGGAGCTTGGCGACACATGCCAGAACAAGACACATGGCCGCCCTGCCTCGCAACCATGGTGTACTTGTGGGTAGTGGTTCTAGTGGCAGCAGCCTCTCTTTTAGTGTTTCTGCGGGTTCCCCTGATTTCTGCATCGTTGTTGTTGAAGAGAGGGGGGACACACCTCGGGAAGAAAACGAGATGGATGAATGCTTGTTCCTAGCTACGCCTACCCTCAAACTACCTTAGCTTGACAGCCCACGACAGGAGCCGGCCGGCACCCGAGGGCACCTTTGCAGACTTGGGCGTCTGGCGTGTTGTGGCTGGCTTGGCTCACGTCTCTTTGACCTCCCGTGAGGATTACGACACTTTCTCGTAAGCTTTCCCCCCTCGAAAGAGATCATCATCTGAATGTTACGCTACGAACAATCTCGCCATCTATCGTATCTACCGAATACTATCAGATATCAGATCTTTTCCCATTGAGCATTCCAAGGGGGCCCGCGAGTAGTATACTGGTCTGGCATTAATCGAACTACTAGACGAGCTGAGCATGGAAGACCAGAGCAGAGTCCACAAAATTGCCGGATCCAGAGCAGAGGTTACATTGAAGTGAGCACGCAGTGGCCCTGCGCTTGCTTGCATTCGGCATCTAGGGCTGGTAATCTCGCGAGAGGCATCGCACCCTGGGCCCTGGCATGGCTCTGCTCTCTCTTTCTGTCTGGTACCAGGTGGAGCGACATGTCCGCCGATCAAGAGACGTCCGATCCGGACCCGCCATCAGAATAGAACCTAGGCCTAGGCAAAAATGGACCACTTTTTGACACCCTGGAGATGAAATATCTAGAAAGGCACATCCAGTCCTCTGGTGCAACTCTGGTTTTCTCTCTCTGATGGTATTTCCGGTCTTTCCTTGTGTTATATATCCACATGTCGCTCCTTGTCCTTTGATTCTAAACACCACCACCACCAAAAAAGGGGATCCGCCAGTAAAAGGCACGCTGCTGTCACCATGGCCGTCGAGAACCGCGGGCCACAGTTGCTGGTGGTATGCATCACGCTGTTGACGATTGCCATTATTTCCATGTCCTTGAGAATCTTTACGAGAGTATTCATCGTCAAGGGTTTCGGTAGAGATGACTTTTTGATGGTCTTTGCCTCTGTAAGTGATATACAATATTCCTGTTACATCGAATTAAATCACCCAGTTTGCTAACACCATATCTCTTTTGCAGATTTCATTCACTCTTTTCGTTACTTGTGCCATTACCGGCGTTCACTATGGAACTGGAAGGCATCATAAAGACCTTAGCACCCCACAAATTGAAACAGCAATGAAGGTTGGTGCAAATGTGCTGCTCTTGGCACGACATGATATGGCATACTGACTTTTGGACAATAGTACTGGTGGCTTTGCTATATTTGGTACTGCGTTTCAATGATTACTTCAAAACTCTCCATCGGCGTTTTCCTGCTTCGAATCACGGTCCAACGCATTCACCACTACATTCTCTATCTGGCCATGTTTTGCTCGGTTCTTACCGGCCTCGTGTTTTTCTTTGTCACTCTGTTTCAGTGCAACCCCATTACCTACTTTTGGTACAAGTCGGGACAGGAGGGAACTTGTGTCGACGCGGGCATCATCGCAGCCCTCACGTACCTGTACAGCGCCATCAGTGTGATTGCCGATTTTACTTTTGCCCTCTTGCCGCTCCACATGATTCGTGGGCTGCAGATGAACCGGAGGACCAAGTATGCTCTCATTCCAATTCTAGGAATGGGTTGCGTGGCTAGTATCGCCGTCGTTGTCCGCTTTGCCTACATCGAGAACTTTAAAGATCCAGACTTTCTCTGTAAGAGGCCCCATGGACGCGTCGACTCAGCTGAACCATTAAACTAACCTTTGTATCTCAGGGGCAACCTTGGACATTGCCGTTTGGTCGACAACCGAACAGGGTCTTGCCATCACGGCCGGCAGTCTCGCCTCACTTCAACCTCTCGCCAAGACCGTGGGTCAAAAGATGGGCATCTGGCAGACGCAGGGACGTACTGGCCGCAGCGCCAGCGACATGCACGCACGCACCTTTGGCAGCAACCAGATGTCGCGCAACAAGAAGAGTCGGTCGGCCAAGGACTCGTACGGCATGACGACGTTCGACATTGACGACGCCGAGGAAGGGGGCGTCTATCATCAGGGCGACAGCGACAAGGCGCACCCGGGCAAGAACCAAATCGTCCTTACCCGCGAGGTGGATATCACGACGAATGACAATACCACCACCGGCACCGGCGCCACAAATACCAAATCGTCGAAGCGCACCAGCCGCCTGTGGGCGGTTGCCGAGTCAAAGGCCAACGAGAGCGAGGAGGAGCTCACGGGCAAGTCGCCAAAGGATTCATATCTTGAGCAATTGGTGGTGCCACGAAGCTTCCTCGCGGACGAAAAGTCGTCGCAAAAGTTTTGAAATTTTTATACTGGTTAATAGTTAATATACCCTTCAAGCAACAAGGACGGCATTTTCGATTCTTCCCATACTTCTTTTCTCTGTGAAACACTTTGCTCATCGTGTGATAACTGTGACACCCTTTGCCATGACACCTTGGGTTCAACCCGTGGACTAAAATGGAGACTACCCACCACGATGGCTACAATAATGAATAATTGGCATACATACGGATACTTATTACTCAGCCCTGTTCAGGGGCTACCAAAGTCCGTATGAACCTGGTGCTGGAAATTCCCAACCAGCCTAGCTCGTAGTCTAGGCACCAGTTCCAACATGTGTGGGGTCGAGCTGACAGTTTCCTTGCTGAGACATGCGCCACCTCATCACTCTTCATCCACCCTTTGAATATTTGCAGTCCCACGACAACGACGACGCCAAGAGTCTCTCTCCTGTCTCTTCTCTTCTATTTGCCGCGATTCAAAGAACATGGCATCGTTGATTGGTAGATTTCTAAATCACCTTGCCCTCGGGCCCCTGGAACGCAAAGTGACTGAATATCTCAACGCAGCCACCTGTGGTACGTTGACAAAGTCTTCCGGGTTTTTGATGGATTTGCTCGACTTTGGATCTGACCTATACCCAAAGACTCTGTGGCTTCCGATCTGGGAAAGGTACTTTTGCCGCAACGGTGGAGAGCACGAGGGCATTTGCAGGTAATCTTTGGCCAGTACTGCATTCAAGACTCAGCAGGCGAGAAATGTAAGCCTTTAAACTGTCATGCTTGTTGTTGATGAAAAGATGAAAGAAGATGACTACTTATTATTATGGCAAGACTGGAATGAGGATAGCTTTCGTAACCATATTCGAAGTGCGCATCCAGAGTCTATAATCTCCGACGGCGCGGTCCGGCTTCTCTGGAGGAGTTTCCACTTTTACGCCTATCATCCATTCCCACGCCATCCTCAACAGGTGACCAACCTTGACTTTGACGCATTTCACCGCGCAGCTCTGCTCGTCGTTTTTCAATGTGATTCCCTCCTGGGCACTCGTGAGCTGGACTGGTTCTGGCGCCACGATGCAGCTTTCTTTCACAATGCCTGTTTTGCGCGGGTATTCAGGAGTTTGGCGGTGCCAGAGACTGCAACAATAGAGCAAGGCAAGTCTGTTAATCAAGTGAATGATGTGACACCTTCCTTGAGCGATGCCATGGATGTCCTGGTCATGGTCGGCCCTCAATTCATACATGCGATGCCTTCAGAAAGACAACTCGAAACTGTCGCACGGAGACTATTCATCAGCGGGCCAGCTGCAGAGCGAGGGTCAGCGAGGCGAGAAGACGTGTCGAACCTAATGGAATTGTTGCTGAGACTCGAATTGAACGAAGAAAAATGGGGCTCCTATTATCATTACGGTCATATTCTGCAAGCCGACCCGGCAAATGAAGAGTTTACCGAGGCCTTGGTTGATGCTCTAATGGGTGGTGAGAACAAACAGGTCATGACGCCGGAGCAGCTTCTTGAGGCAACATGCCTATTCGTGAGTATATGCAACAACTTTCAAAGGGGACTCTTTCTAAATCTTGTTGGCAGCCCAATCTTCCATTGAGATTTCAGCAGTTATGGGCTGTCTTGTTTCAACCTCCAATGGAATCACCTTGCTCGCTCCCGGCTGCATCAACTCACATTAGGGAAGGAGTCATCTCCCTCTTTCTTCCTCGACTTTCATTTGAGATCGATTTCCGCCCGAGAGAGGATAATCAGGATACCCGCATTACATTCGCAGAAGTCCTGGTGTCACTAGACTCATCCAATTTGGAAATGAGCTCTTTGAACAAAGCCCTCTCACTCCATTCCTCGGATCACGTTGTGCTGTTCACTGGTGACACCGAATCGACTCGGAGGGCTGTCATGGGCGTCTATCTACCAGCACCCTCATCAGTGATCAACTATAGCCTGGGACATACATGGCAAAGGTCCTCGCATGTGTTTTTCCAGTTGCTGCCCACTTTCCGGTTGCTATGGGGGACAAAGTCGTATGCCCGACTGGCAGATTTAATCAACACAAGAGACAAAAAGACGTCTCCGGGAGATGATATGCAAATCGACAACCCAAAAACTCTTACCGTGCCTTATTGGATAGGAGATGCTTCAGGCGAGGGCGTCCGGCTAAAGATTGACCCCGAGAAGAGAACGGTGGCACTCACTGGCGGCGACGCACAACTTCGAACAGACTTGAAAACAAAAAGAAGCAATGAAGTCGCCGAGGAGGACGAAGTTTTGATTCAGAATGCTCGGATGAACCTATTCACCGTCTAGATCAGTCAACCCACCTACACCGAGCTTCTAATGACTTGACTAGATCAAGACTCGGGTGTGCCATTTCATATCTCTTTTTTTTTTATGCTTCCAAGACGCCGCCGAATTCGCTTTCCTCGGTTTTCCTTCTTGCGATTGAATTATCCTGGTATTACGTCAAGCACTCCACGGGATCCGGGCTATAGCATTAAGCAACGGGGCACAGCAACAGCCTTGGGTATGCCGGTATGAGCGGGTCGCCCGGTCCCGGTATATACATACTAAAACGGACTTTTCGAGAATGCCGAGAAGAGCGCTACATTTTCCGGATCAGATTGGAGAAGATATTGCACGATTACCAAGCCGCGTTTCGGCGTCGAAAAGAAATAATATGATTTGGCGAGATCTGCTTACGATACCCCGATCTCTGCGCGGGGCTCGATCGGAATGCAACGATGTTCATCTTGTGTCACCCCAACGACCATCTATAAACTGCCGTACTTGCATGCACAATCATGCGAGCTCAATATTTCCTTCCGATTTCACCAGAAGTGGATTGAATTAGGCCAACCTCATCTACACATTAACAATGGCGAATTCCTCGACACCTACGACGATTGCGATCTTTGGAGCAACGGGCAGTACTGGAAGCGCGACATTGCGGTCTCTTCTCTCCAAGAAGGACCTGTCACTACATTTGAGGATCCTTGTTCGGTCCAAAGATAAACTAACCAAACTTGTCCCAGAACTGCTATCTCACCCTTCATGTAAAATCTGGGAGGGAAACCTGACAGATACCGAGACGATCAAGGACTGTCTCAATGGAGCCGACGTTGTGATTTGCACCGTCGGCGAGAACCGCAACATTCCCGGCGTCGACGTGATTCAGACGGCCGCCAAATCCATAGTAACGGGCTTGCGCGCCCTCAGGGAACAACAACAAGCAGGACGCACCAGCACCGCGGCATGGCAAAAGCCCCGGCTTTTGCTGCTTTCCTCGGTCACGTGGAACAAGCGCATCCTCGAATCTGGGTTCAGTCCCATTCGCTTCATTGTCAAGAGGGCATTCTACTACCCGTACGCCGACCTACTCGAAGCCCATAGGATATTCGACGAGGCAGCCGACGACGATCTACTGACTCTGCTCCTGGTCCAGCCGCCCGCGCTCATTGACGAGGCGCCGACGGGGTACGAGATTAGTGTGGACAAGTCGCGCGTGGGCGTCTCGTACGCGGACCTGGGCGCCGGCTTTGCCGAGCTCGCTACCGAGAGCGCTTACGATCAAGTCGGCGCCGTCATTGTCACGAGCCTGGGCGGCGACTCGTTTGCGAGGTATGCCTCGGAGTTATTGTCGAGAATCTTTTTCGGACTCTTGTCTGGAAATGTGCCGGGGTATTGGCCGCTTCAGCGTATGCTTCAGAGGATATGGGGTTGAAAAGAATCATCCAAATTGTAATGCGTGTGTGTGTGTGTATTACTCAGGCAATCTTCTATGACGACATCATTTTATGCGACACACTGGAACATCAGAGTGTGTACAGAGTACGGGTTGCCCCCCAATGAGACATCATCAACTTGAAGACCATCGGACATTTCGGCCGATTGTCGGACAACTCGTGATAGTCCGATATGGCCGACTCGAGCGAGAGGAGTCAATTCTTGGCAAAAAAGGACCCGAAGCTTGAGCTCGATCGACATACAGAGACTTTGGCACGGAGAGCAGATACTTTTGAACATGATGTTAGATACAACTCTTGCTACCTGATTTTGCAATAACATACTTTCCAAAAGAATAGAAAACAGTTTGGAAGTTATAAATTGACACTAGGCGTTGTCCATATATGGACCCGAACCATGATGACTTTAGAGGATTACCTTGGCACCGCTAGCACCACTACGTATTAGTACCTGGGGTTATTCCCCGATACGCAGCTTTTAGTGTAGATGGAGCGGCACAGACAGTCTGGAGAGCGGCGGCTGGGTTTAATACACGGACCCTGTCTACCCCGGAGCGAGCTGGCGGGGCTTTGATAGGTACGGTCGGCAGCCAAGCCGATAATGTTTCTCCTCCGGACCCCCTTCTTTTTTTGCAGCTGTGTTGTACATGCAATCCATGTATGATAAGCGGCGCAATAAGCTTGAGCATATCCTTTGTGCATGATATATATCATACGAGCGCAAGTTCCGATGACATGTCCGGTCGTACGCGGGACGTGTCGCGGACACGCAGCGGTTGTCGGAAGTGCCGAGGTGGGCGCATCTCTATAATCATGTCAATCTGCCGCGAGCACAACTGATGGCTCTCTAGAACGGCGGGTCAAATGCCCGGAGCAGCGCCCTACTTGTGGTCACTGCCGACGCCTTGGGTTCAACTGTTGTTATGATATTCGCTTGACTTGGCTTGACGTGACTGACGCTCGCAGCCCGGGACTCTGCGTTCCGATCCGGCCTCGTCTTACCCTAGTCGAGACATGGATGTTTCTAAACACTATTCAAAAAGACTTTGACCATGATCTTGCATCACCCAGCGATGCATCAGACAGGGAAGACATTTGTTCGATTTCCCCAAAGGCATGGCATGCTTCCCCGGTTGTTCCACCATCCAAGGCTCATCATGCGGGCACTTTACATCGATCATTGGCCAATATTCAAATGAATTCCATCGAGGGACACCTCTGGTCGTACTTTGATGAATACATGACACCTCAGTGCGTCTTGACGCCTGATTGCAATCCCTATCGTAACGTGATTCTCAGGCTCGCATCATCATCGCAAAGAGGACCCTTGTTCCACTGTGTTTTGGCCGTGGCGGCGAACCAACTACATAGTATCGGTTTGCGGCAGTATCAGCAGTTCATGTGGCTGCATCGGGCCGAGGCACTTCGAGAACTTCGCCGCAAGGTAAATGCTGCTGCTGCTGCCCCGGGTGGATTGGACCAAACCCCGGATTTCGCAGAAACTGCACAAATCACGGCTTCAACATTGATGCTGTGCTTCTTTGAGGTAAGATACAAACGGCACTCTTTCGACACTGACCTCTTCTAATTGTCAAGGTAGATCCTACAGGACTGTTCTCAAAGCTGGATTGTCCATACTACATTCGCCCAAACATACTTGTCACGATATTGCCACAATTCTTCAAGGTCTGCAGAGTATGATCAGTTCCATCGTTTCTGCATGGCATATATTCACTCGCATAATATCCTCGCAGCGACTGCGGGGACGAAAGTCGATAGTCATGATGCCGTCCATAGTTTTGTACATCCGCAGATGATGCGACCGTACTTGCACTGGCCGGATGTTCGACCGAGCTGCTTGCTATTATATCAGAGATCAACAGTCTCGACACAATTGTGAAAGGTAGACAGCCGCAAAACAGCGTCAATGACAAGATGCGACGCGACGATATTGAAAGGCGACTACATTCGCAGGGCCGAATGTTTGCCTCGTCAGCTCAATCGCCAGACCTAGAAGTCTCCATCATAGCCGAGGTCAAGCGTCTGGCAGCTATGCTGTACTTATACGGCCGGATCGACGGTGCAAGTCCCCAGGAAACGCACATGGTCAGGATCACAAAGCAGACCCTCGCGCTTATTCCCCAAATATCACTTCGAACCAACACCATACTCTGGCCCCTGTTCATTGTCGCGGTCCTCGGAGTACGGCCCGAGTGTGATGAAGATAGGAGACTGATACTGGCAAGACTGACTGCACTACAAGAGACGAGACAGTTGGGAAACGTCAAGAAGGCCCGTTGCGTTATCGAGGATGTCTGGAAAGCGAGAGACTTGAGAGCTTCCGATGCAACAAAAGGCTGGAAGATACTTGAAGGAAAGCACCAAACCATCAGTCTTGCCTAACAAAAATTAAGGTCTCATTGATCTCTATGAAAATGCATTGTCTGGATATATCCTTTCCCCTAAACATTTTTCGACTGTTTGATCTTACTGCAGATAAATAGCCCTTTGCGCATAAAAGCATCGCCACCGGCCAAAAGCTTCCGCCCTGTCATGTCGTGTACCGAAAGTTTTCCTGTTTCGAGTCGCTGATATCGACAAAACCATCCACGGTGCCGACATGCACGGCCTCTGGCTTTCCGTACCTGCGGTCGCGCCGCTTGTTCTCATAGGTCGAGAGGGCCCAGTACGCGAACAGGACCACCATGGACGCGCAGTAGCAAGCCAGCATGGTGACTACGCCCGTCGTGTACTTGGGCGCTTGGTTCGCTACAAATGTTTGCGGTCCAATGAGGTTTCCGGCGGCGTAGCCAATGGCGACGAGACTATTACCATGGGGAAACTTCAATCAGCTGAAGATCTTTTGGGGGTCGCTCTGCTTGATAGACTTACCTGTAAGCGATGGACTTTTTGGTGTGTCCAGCGACATTGGCTTGTGGTAGGGATATACCAATAACATAGGGCGCTACGAAGGAATGAGTTATTGTCGCGAGCAGACCATTACACTCGAGTGAACTTACGCCAGTAAAAGTACATAAAGTAAAGTCCAATCATTTGGCCAGGAATATTCGTTCGAGGCAATCCGTATACCAGTGCAGTACCGAAAATCGGCAGCAGTAGAGCCAAAGATGCAACAAGGGTTCGCCGGTTGTGCCATTTTGCTGCCAGGTAGCTGAAGACCCACGCGCCACCCGTGGCCACAATGCCAAACGGCATGGTCAACAGACTCGACTCTAGCGATCCGAAGCCGAGGTTGTTGATGATGATGGTGCCAAACGTCTGGAGACCGCCGTTGGGAATGTTGATGAGAATGTTGAAGACGACAATGAGCCAGATGCGGGGGTCGAGGAAGGCGTCGGCGACTTGATCCCATTTCCAGACTCTGTTGGCGATACCGGTTCTGTTCTCGGCAAGGCGCTGCACGGCATGAAACTTTTGTTCCGCAGTCAGGAAATGGGCATTCATGGGGCTGTCTGGCAGTAGGAAGAACATGGCAATGGAGTAGACCACATTGATTGAGCCAGTCATGATGTAGAGATACTGCCATTTAAATAGAGGCGCGGATTCCGGTATCTTGCCCACGACAAATGCAAAGAATCCATTAAAGACGGACGAAAAGTAGGCAAAACTGACTGTCTCGGAATCAGTAGGGCTCAAGGTGAGGGGAAACTGTGTCGCCGGCTACTTACTTGCGTTCCTAGGGGGTTGCTCGTCCTTTTTGTAGAATGAGGCAACAATCATGGTAAGGGATGGTGTTATAGCCGCTTCCAAGAATCCCAAGAAGAACCGGAGCACCATGAAACCAGCCCATGATCGGCATGCTGCGTAGCATACAGTCAAGATGGACCACAAGAGCGATGCAGTGCAAAGTAGTCGGGCTGGCGGGATGCGTTGGACCAGATAAGAAGCAGGTACAAGCCCAATCAATGTCTAATAAAATATCAACCATCATATTCGCATGGTATGAAGATCACAGGGGGGCATGACTGACTCCGAGTGGCAGTATACTTCCGAGCCAGCTATATTGCTGTCCGACCATGCCATTGTCTGTTTGGAATCCGTAAAGTGATGCTGTGCCAATCTCGACTTTGTCAACGGCAGCAAGGGTTGCAGCGAATAGAAGCTGTAGTCGACGTGATACAGGTTAGTTCACAGATGGAAAGATTTCTTGAAGACCAGGTATCGTCGCAACCACTCACAATAGGAATCATCCATGCATCAATCTTCTTGACAATCTTCTTCTCCTTTTCTGGAGTAATGGGGCCATATTCTTCAGTGTTTACCAGATATCTCGCGGCCTCGTCAAGATTCTTGTCATCTACATTCTTGATGGCTTCCGATGTTTCGCCCTGTGAAGCGGAAGCAGTTGGCTGAATGTGGTCCAATTTGGAATCCTTTCCCAGTGCTTCGGCCATGCTGTATCGGATCACAATGGTCAATACTTGTCACAACAAAGTTTGTCTCTCGGCATCCGATAAAGAGCCATAGAATCTGGTTTGTAAAGGATCGGAACAGACATGGTCAACTCTTTGTACATGAACTCAGAGGAGACGGAAGCACGCTCCAAGGCAATCCGTCTTATCATGGCGAGATAAAGTCACAAATACCCAAAAGTCCCGCTATCTAACCTTGTTCCAAGGAACCCGTGTTACACACACTCGAGCTCACAAAGTGGAGCAGCATACAAAGTCAGCATGAAGATATGCTGGACAACTCTACACTAGGCTTGCACCGCAATGCAAACAGTGCCCACGATGGCCGTCTTAATGGCTTGGCTCAATTGGTAGACAACAAGGACAGGGATAACGATAACCACTATCGCAATGGCCAGTCGGGCAACATGGGGTTCAAGATAGCTCCACAGTTTGGGGGAAGCTCGAAGCGACGTGCATATTTAAGTCGGGAGAGTGCCGACTATACACAGTATCAATCCAAGGCATAGGCCCCTAAATGCACTGTTCCATCTCCAGCACCGCACAGCGATAGGCATTGGTGATCGGCTTTTCTGCTATGCAGCCGCTACGCACCGGGTGCAGGCTCGAGTAGCAAACGATAAGGATCGGTAAGTAAGGCAGTTCGAATCGACGTGAACCCTCAATTTGTGATTTGGAGTATGCATGGTGAGATCCGTCATACGGCTCATGCAGCTCGTGTTTAGGATGTACCGAAAGCGGCTCCAGAGTAGTATATTGTATATCTTAGCCAGGATTCCCTCTTAGCATGAGGCGCTTGCTCTCCAGTGACTGTATACATGAATATTGACAAAATCTCAGCTCATCATGGCTGTCGACAAGCCCGTCCCGGCCGTTGAGCCCAAGAGCGTAAAATTTGCGATTGGTAAGGAAGTAGCACTCCGACAAAGTTCCAATCATGACTGACTGAAAAGCACAGATCGTGGTGGAACGTTTACAGATGTCTGGGCATCCATTCCTGGCCGTGATGATATCGTGATCAAACTACTGTCTGTCGATCCCGCCAATTATGATGATGCGCCATCGGAAGGCATTCGGCGCGTGCTGGAACTCGTGTCGTCGTCGCCCATCCCCAGACATACACCTATTCCCAAGGATCTTATTGATTCCATCCGAATGGGCACTACAGTAGCAACAAATGGTAAGATTGGAACCCGACGTCTGCGCCGAAACTTCAACTAATGTGACTGCTTTGTGTAGCGCTTTTGGAAAGAAAAGGCACTCGACATGCATTTGTCGTGAATGAAGGCTTTGGCGATCTGCTCGATATCAGCTACCAATCCCGTCCGAAACTATTCGAGCTGGGTATCCGCAAGCCGGAACTTCTCTACGACGAGGTCGTCACCATCTCGGAACGGCTCACGGTCGAGCAGTTCGACGAAGACGTCAACCGAGCTAGCAAGCCTCCATTGGTCGAAGTTCCCGGTGAGCTCGTGAGGGGAAGCACTGGTGATATGCTGCGCATTATCCGCCCTCTAGACGAGACCGAGGTACGCACCAAGCTGGCCGCAGTCAAGGATAGGGGCATCGAGACCCTGGCGATATGCCTGGCGCACTCGTATCTGTATCCCGCGCACGAGAACCGCGTCGCCGAGATTGCCAGAGACATGGGATTCAGCCACGTCTCGACCTCGTCGTCGGTGGGTTCCAACATGATCAAAATGATCTCTCGAGGCAGTTCCGCGTCGGCCGACGCTTACTTGACCCCAGAGATTGTGCGCTACGTCTCGGGCTTTGCGCAGGGCTTTGCCGGCGGGAATCTCGATGGCGTTCGTTGCGAGTTTATGCAGAGCGATGGAGGTCTGGTCAGTCACAAGAACTTTAGTGGTCTGAGGGGCATCCTGAGCGGTCCGGCTGGTGAGTCAAGCCTTCAGAAATTGTCAGAAACGGTCACTGACCCAGAGATACAGGAGGTGTTGTGGGATATGCCCGTACATCATATGAAGGGAAATCTCCCGTGGTGGGATTCGACAGTAAGTGGCCCAAGCCTTCCCGTCTCATGCCTTCATTATTGAACAATTGGTGACCTTAACATGTGTAGTGGGAGGCACCTCAACAGATGTAAGCCGCTTTGGCGGCTCATTTGAGCATGTCTTTGAGACCACTACTGCTGGTGTTGCCATCCAATCCCCGCAACTTGATATCAACACGGTCGCTGCTGGTGGTGGCTCAATGCTGTTCTGGCGGGATGGCCTCTTCAAAGTTGGACCAGACGTAAGTTTCATCGCATTCTCAAGCGACAACTCCAGAAACGCTGATGCTTTTTGAAGAGTGCTGGTGCCCATCCTGGGCCGGCGTCTTACCGGAAAGGCGGGCCCTTGACAGTGACTGATGCAAATCTCTTGTAAGCCGCTTCCATGTTGACGGCATAAATATGTTCATGGCTAATATTTCCTCAGCCTGGGACGGTTAATCCCAGAGTACTTTCCCGCCATCTTTGGTCCAAACGAGGATCTTCCCCTTGACTTTGACATTGTCAAGGAGAAATTTGAACAACTGACAGAGCAGATCAACCGAGATACCGGTCGCTCAATGAAACCGATAGAGGTGGCGCACGGCTTCGTAGACGTTGCCAATGAGTCCATGTGCCGACCCATCCGAGCCTTGACGGAAGCTCGCGGATATGAAACCAGCCAACACAACCTGGCCACGTTTGGCGGCGCCGGCGGTCAGCATGCTTGTGAGATTGCGCACAAGCTCGGTATCCAGCGCATCATTATACATAGATACTCGAGCATCCTGTCCGCGTACGGCATGGCCCTCGCCGAGGTCGTACAGGAAGCCCAAGAGCCTAGCTCAGAGACTCTGTCCAATGATGCATTGGCCAGGCTGGAGGGCAGAATGGCCGATCTAAAGACGAGAATCACAGATGGATTGATCGGCCAAGGCATACAAGAAGGATCCATTGAGCATGTTGCTTACCTCAACCTGCGGTACCATGGAACAGAGACAAATTTCATGATCCCCTCGCCCGCTGACGGAGATTGGAGATCTGCATTCGAACGAGAGCACCTCCGGGATCTGTCTTTTATCTTCCCAGCGGATCGAAAGGTACTTGTGGACGATGTGCGTGTTCGAGGTATCGGCAAGAGCAAAGAAGTCAGCCAGGGCAATGAGCAGCTCGTGTCTGACCTCAAGTTCACCACCTTTTCAGCAGTAAACACCGGAGAAGACAAGACTGTGAGTGAGAATGGTCATGGTTGATATGATTGGTTTCTAACTCTACTCAGGTCGATGCGTATTTCTCCAATGGAGGTACACAACCAACCAAAGTCTTCCGCCTAGGCAATCTAGCGTCAGGAAGCGTTGTGGACGGACCAGCCATCATCATTGACAGCACGCAAACAATTGTCGTAATTCCAACTGCACAAGCCCGTATCCTGAGCTCCCATGTAGTCATTGATCTCCAGAGTGAGAAGGGCCGTCAGGATGAGGAAGAGCAGCAACTGGTTGTCGATCCCATCAAGCTCAGTATCTTTGGCCACAGATTCATGAGCATTGCGGAACAGATGGGCAGGACACTTCAAAAGACCAGTTTATCCTTGAACATCAAGGAACGACTGGATTTCTCTTGCGCAATATTCAGCCCTGATGGTGAGCTAGTTGCAAACGCGCCGTAGGTATATCGTGATGCCGGTATCTGCTATATCTGCTAATGAGGAGCCAGACACGTCCCAGTCCATTTGGGAAGTATGAGTTACGCGGTGAAATACCAACATAACTTGCACATGGGAAATCTGCGACCCGGAGACGTTCTGGTCTCGAACCACCCAGAATCAGGTGGCACGCACTTACCAGGTAAGAAGCGCCATTAACCATGACTTGGCCGCCCTTACTAAGTAATCATGCAGACATCACTGTCATCACACCCGTTTTTGATACTGAAGGCAAGACAATCTGTTTTTACACGGCCTCAAGAGGTCATCATCTCGATATTGGTGGATATCGAGGCAACTCTATGCCGCCGTAAGTTCAATGTGCCTAGTCTCTACCTGATCAGATTGCTGATTTTCAACCAGTGACTCGACGGAGCTGTGGCAGGAAGGTGCTGCTATTAGATCATTCTTCTTGGTCAGGGACAATCACTTTGACGAAGAGGGTATCGTGCGCATCCTCCTTGAGCCAGGCAAATATCCCAACTGCAGTGGATCCCGCCGCCTCGGTGACAATCTGTCCGATCTCAAGGCCCAGGTGGCAGCAAACGCCAAAGGCAGTAACTTGATCAACGCTCTGATGGAAGAGTATGGAAAGCACACTGTCCATTTCTACATGCGAAAGATTCAAGAAAACGCCGAGGTTGCCGTCCGTAACTACCTCAAGTCGGCCCACAAGAAATTCGGCTCCCAGCCCCTCAAGGCCAAGGAGTATCTCGACAATGGCTCAATGATGCAAGTCGCCATCACCATTGATGAAAGTGGGTTCGGCACCTTTGATTTTGCCGGCACAACTTGCGAGATGTTGTCGAATATGAATGCTCCCCCAGCCATTACCTACTCAGCCTTGATCTACACGCTGCGTCTGCTCATTGGTTCAGACATCCCCCTGAACCAAGGCTGCTTGGCCCCGACAAAGGTAATCCTGCCCAAGAACTGCTTCTTGAACCCCAGTACCGGGCCCGCCGTCTGTTGCGGAAACACCCTCACATCGCAACGTCTAGTTGATCTCTTCCTCAAGGCCTTTAGGGCAGCCGCCAACAGCCAAGGATGCATGAACTGCTTTGGATTCTTTGGCAACTGCATCTCGGAGAGCGGCGAGGAGGAATCGGGCTTTGGCTTTGGCTACGGCGAGACCATCTGCGGCGGCGAGGGTGCCGGCCCGTCCTGGCACGGCGCCAGCGGCGTCCAGATCCACATGACCAACACGCGGACCACGGACATTGAGATCATTGAAAAGCGGTACCCGGTGCTCCTACGCGAGTTTTCCATACGCAAAGGCAGTGGCGGGCGCGGCCGGTTCCGCGGCGGCTGTGGTGTCATCCGCGACTGGGAGTGTCGTCATCCATTGACTTTTGGTCTCATCACTGAGCGCCGGGTTCACCAACCAAACGGCATGTTTGGCGGCGAGAATGGAGAGTCGGGCGCCAACTATTGGGTCCAGAAGACGGAGGATGGCGGGGAGAGATGGATCAACATTGGCAGTAGAGGTCAGGTGGACATGAAGGAAGGCGACCGGTGTGTGATACACACTCCTGGTGGTGGAGGTTGGGGAATATCGGAAGAGGATGAGGATGCTACGGAGCGGGTGGCCACGATGACTTCGGAAGCCAGTCAGATCGCCTATCCTCGCGCAACGGGTAGTTTTCATGCTTATGCGGCTGCCCAAGAAGCGTCCTCTTAGCATGTTTTGACAGGATCAAGGTGTGTACAAAGCAAGATGAACTGATCAAGCCATCATAAGGGGCGGCAAAACCATGTTGATTGACATGATGTTCTGTTTATCATGAGACACCATGCAATAGAGTTTGGTTCAAGATAGTGAACATCATTCTTGAGCTCGTGAAATTTTGATGTTCTTGTGGGGAGAGTTTTGAGAAATGAAGTGTCACGTAGAAAGAGGGCGATCAATGATTTCATTAGCAGATACAAGACCTATTCATGAAGGCGAGTAGTCGTAACCATCTGTAGCACTCAACACACTGGAAATTGTAAAGAAGCTGCCCAGAGACAAGCTAAAAGGTCGGCGATCCACCCGACAGCAATGGTAAGTTAGCGCCTTGACAGGCCTGACAGGGGTTCGGGGAATGGTCCCCGCTGTGTACAAAGCACCACAGGCACCGATAAGAGATAAGCAAAAAATTTGGGAGTCGCATCCCGCCTCGGGCTACCCAGTATTTCCACTGGAAGCTTTTCAATGTACCTGAAGGGAGCATTTCCCAGCAGCAAACTCTCGCCTTTCGTTCTTGTTACTGTTTGCCCGCAATGACCAGCAAATCGCCCTTCAAGACCACCTTTGAGGCGGCCGAGGTCATCAGGCCCATCTTCACTGGTGGCGCAATTGGTCTGGACAATGGCGCCCGCGTCCTGGCGACGACCTTGGGAGAGGATGTCGTTTTCACCGACCTGAAGACGGGGAAGCACCTGGGAAAGGTTGAGGGAGATGGAGAGCAGATTTCCACTCTCACGAGTATGTCAATGTTTTCAATATGGGAGTCATGTCTCGATCATACTGACTAGAAACAGTAACACCATCCGGATCTCACCTCATTGTGTGCTCGCGATCCTTGTCCATGCGCATTTACTCATTGAAGTCGTCCGAAACGAACAGCACCATTAGCCACCAACTCCTGCGAACCCTGAAGCCTCATGCGACACCCGTCATGGTTCTCGCTGTCGACCGAACTGGAACTCTTCTTGCGACGGGCGGAACCGACGGTGGAATAAAGGTCTGGGACATTGCCGGCGGTTACATTACCCACACCTTCAGAGGGCCCAGCGTTCTTGTGTCTGCGCTGCATTTCTTTGAAGTGGCCGCCAACTCGAAAAAGGCCCTTGAGCCGAGTAATGCAAAGGACGACAAGAAGAAGAGGCGAAAGTCACAGACCGCGGCAGATGAGTCGGCCGAGGAGGAGTCAGTGACTTCTAGATTCCGACTTGCTTCTGGTAGCCAGGACGGCAAGGTTCGCGTCTGGGACTTGCACAAGCGCAGCGTTGTGGCAAACCTCGAGTCGCACGTGTCAGATGTCCAAGGACTGGATTACTCCCCCGAGCAGGATGTCTTGGTGTCCGCAGGTCGCGACAAGACAATTATCTGGTGGGACGTTCGATCGTGGAAAGTACGAAAAGTTGTCCCAAGTTTCGAGTTGGTTGAGACTGTTGGTTTTGTTGCCGAGGGAAGCATCACATACACGGCTGGATCCAATGGTTGTCTACGCTACTGGGACACGGAGACGGGTCGGGAGCTCACCAAGGAGCAAAACGCAAAGGCCGAACCCGAGGCGATCGTGGGCGCCCTCTCGAGACCCGAGTTGCCTTTTATCATTTTGCTCCAAGTTGACCACACATTGGCTCTTTACCACCCGCCCACCAAAGAGTCCAGCTCGCAGATCCCAGAGCCATTCAGAAGGATATCCGGTACCCACGACGAGATTATCGACCTCCAGTATCTTCTTCCAGACTCCTCCATGATGGCCCTGGCTACAAACTCTGAAGACATCAGATTGGTCTCAGTCACCGAGCCTGGTTCCGGCGCCATGGTTTCGTCGGAATATTTTGGACAAGACGTTGCGCTTCTCAAGGGTCACGAAGAAATCATCATTTCACTTGACGTGGATTGGTCAGGACACTGGGTCGCAACAGGAGCCAAGGACAACACTGCTCGTGTCTGGAAAATTGACCCCGCCAACAATTCCTACACATGTCACGCCGTCTTTTCCGGACACGCTGAATCGATTGGTGCTGTGGCATTCCCGCGAACGAGACCGCAGGAAGGCTCAAAGGCATTTACTGACCCTTTGAGCCACCCGCCCGCTTTCCTGATCACAGGATCACAGGACCAGACCATCAAGAAATGGGAGATCCCACGTGAGTCACAGGGCACCAAGAAGGGTCTTCGCGCAGTGTATACCCGCAAGTCTCACGACAAGGATATCAACGCCATCGATGTGAATCCTTCGTCGCAACTGTTTGCTTCTGCTTCTCAGGACCGCACAGTCAAAATTTGGTCTACGCAAGAGGGTGAAGTCCAGGGTATTCTGCGCGGCCACCGCAGAGGTGTGTGGTCCGTCAGTTTCGCTCCCTCGAATACCCCTATCATTCAAGGCGAACAGGGCCCCGTGGCTGGAAAGGGTGCCATGATCACTGGCAGTGGTGATAAGACTGTCAAGCTTTGGAGTTTGACAGACTATACATGTTTGAGAACGTTTGAAGGCCACACCAACAGTGTTCTCAAGGTAGTGTGGCTGAACATACCATCTAATGAAGAGCGATCGAAGAAACCCACCCTATTTGCCAGTGCAGCCGGTGATGGCCTTGTCAAGGTTTGGGACGCCAACAGCGGTGAGACCGAGTGCACTCTGGACAACCATGAAGACCGAGTTTGGGCTCTCGCAGTGCAACGGCAGACAAACATGATTGTGTCGGGAAGTGGAGATTCGACTGTCACTTTCTGGAAAGACACTTCTTCGGAAACACAAGTTGCTGCCACCCAAGAGCAATTGAAATTGATTGAGCAGGAGCAGGAGCTTCAAAACCACATACACGCTGGCTCATACCGAGAGGCCATTGTGCTAGCGCTGCAGCTCAACCACCCCGGTCGCTTGCTTTCATTGTTCACGAGCGTAATCAACACAAAGACGCCCGAAGCTGGCAGCCTCACAGGACTGCTGGCTGTGGATAAAGTATTGGCCAGCTTGTCTGATGAGCAGCTATTTATGCTTCTCTTGAGATTACGAGACTGGAACACGAACGCAAGGACGGCGCACGTAGCACAGCGGATTCTTGGCGCTCTCGTGAGGAGTTATCCCGCATCAAAGTTTTCCAACTTGTCCGTAAAGGGTGCCCGTGGTCAGAAGAGTTTAAAGGAGGTCCTGAACGCCCTCAAGGTTTACACGGAAAGGCATTATAAGAGAATGGAGGAACTAGTGGATGAGAGTTATTTGGTCGAGTATACCCTGCAAGAGATGGACAGTCTTGCGCCAAGTCTGGGCGATATGAACATTACGGATGGCACAGATGGTGATGTGATCATGGCGGCATAGACTTGGAGTTGATAGAGTCGCTTTGTACATGTCAAATCAAAGTCAATTTTGAATAAGGAGGAGCCTATTCTAGCTCTTGCATGCTTGTTTGCTATATGTAGCAACCATTATAGGGCCCACGCCCAGCTGGTGACTGATGAAGGGTCATGGCATGACACGCTGAAGCATTCGGTATGGATTCTGCCAAGAGCAAGTAGGCAGTCTCAGGAGACGGTAACCTTGTAATAGATGGGATGGTGTGAGGAGAAGCATCTTCGCTAATGTCATGCGGCTCGGCCGCAGTTGGGGCGATCGGACGAACGCGACGCTCGGCGCTTGGCTCACCAGGAAGAGAATTTTATGACCGAGCATTGTTTGCGCAGGTGTCACTGATGACAAGGCTAGATTACTTGCGATTTGTGGTAAAAAATCTATCTGAAGTCGAGTCGTGCCCGTTCTTGTTTCGACTTGGTGGATATGGATTGGGGTCCCCCCTGGCCCCTAGTTCATCTCTTTTTTTTTTACCATGGATTGACTGGTGGAAACATTCCCACGCCCAGCGTTACACTGGGGGGCCCGCGACAAGAAAACCCCCGGCGGTCGAACGGAGCTGGGCCCCGGATTCCTCAAAGGGTATCTCGGCATAGATCTGGTCGGTAGATTCGTGCATATTCGTGCATGCGTGCAGGTCCCGTGCCACCATTCCTTTTTTTGAACTTTCTTATACTCTGTCACCCCCGTCCCCGGGCTACAGATTTGATGATGATCGTCGCATTATAAGATTGACCACTAGTCGTTCGTTTTATACTGTACATACTACCTGTACCACCAACGAGGTTGTTATACTCACCAAGGCCGGCCCTATAATATTTTCCAGCTTATTCGAAACTCGAAACAAGAGACCGTCCAGGCTTTACTTTCATTGTCACCAAATTTTTTGTTATTATTTCTCGTTCGTTTCAGCAAAAATGAAGTTTGCATCTCCCCTGCTGGCTTTGGCCCTCAGCGCGCTGCACGTCGCGGCATCGCCCACGCCCGTCGACGCCGAGCTGGCGCCCCGGGCCACGCCGACCCTCTACCTGTGCGGCGACAGCACAATGGCCAAGAACGGGGCCAACGACGGCGACACGGACGGCTGGGGCCAGTACATTGGCGACTACGTCACCATCACGACGGTCAACAATGCCATCGGCGGCCGCTCGGCGCGCTCGTACTGGGACGAGGGCCGCTTCGCCTCGGTCGCTGCCGCCGTCACCTCGGGCGATATCGTCGTCATCGAGTTTGGCCATAATGATGGCGGCTCCCCCGAGTCCAGTGACAATGGCCGCTCCGACTGCCCCGGCGCCGGGACCGAGACATGTGTCTCGGACAGCACGGGCGCGACTGTCTACACTTTTGTCTACTATGTCATTCAGGCTGCCAAGTTGATGACTGCAAAGGGCGCCACTGTCATTCTGTCTTCGCAGGTAAGAACCCAGTCCCCTTCTTTCATATTTGGTTGTACTTTAAGCATGTCTACAAAACGACAAGCTCTGCAAGAATTCACAGCAATATACACTCACCCAAACAAAATCGCTAACGAAACTAATTCAACTAGACCCCCAACAACCTCTGGGAGACGGGCTCGTACGTCTACTCGGCCCCGCGCTTCGTGGGCTACCAAAAGACGGCGACGACGGCCCTCGCCAGCTCGAGCGTCACCTTTGTGGACCACTTCCAGGCCGTGGCCAACATGTACGCCAAGCTGGGCAACAGCGCGACCAATGCCCTGTACCCCAACGACCACACGCACACGAGCCCCACGGGCGCCGACCTGAGCGCCCAGGCTTTCGCCGAGGCCATTGCCCAGGCCATGAACGGCACGACTAGTCTCAAGTCGTACGTGGTCAGCGATTACCCGACTCCGTACCGTTTGTAAAAGAGATGGCGTGTGTATGTGTGCACACAGTTCTGGCGCTGGGAATGAGGACGTCTTCGATTCTAAACTGTCTATATTTATCTTGCAAAAGCGTCATGTGGATGCATTATAGCCTTGTACATATATAGCATCAACTACCATATTTGAGCATTTTCGGCGAGTCTCTTGGTGTGATGGGTGATGTGATTCTTGCTGGATCCCAGAGATTATTTCGTTCCTCTTTCAAAAGTCGCTCATCGGTAGAGTCCTAGTCCCGGTCCCTTGAACAGGCGATCCTTCCAACTCTTCTTCTTGTTGGTTTCTTCGTCTGTTGTCAAAGTCTCGCCAGCTCTGTCGGCATTGACAATGTCCCAGTTCGTGCCGGCGTGCGCATAGCCGCAGTCTTCTCTAGCTGCATGCGGCTTTCCCAGGTTGCGCTTCGCCGTGGTGGGCTTGCTGCTTGACTGTGGCTTGCCCTCTTCCTGGACTGCTGCTGGCTTCTGATCATTTGTTGTTGCCGTCATATTGTAGGTAGGTCTTCTCAAATTGTGTGATGAATGTTGGAGAATTATGTCAAGTATGAATATTAAGAGGTTAGTAAATGCACTATGAAATATAAGCTTGTTTCCGGGTATCACGCCGGGTTTATACTTGAAATTAAGTGGAGACGATGATGGAATTGCAGCGGCGCAGCGGCGCAGCAGAGGAGCTGAGCCTTCTTGTGTGGGTGGGACGAGCAGTGATATGCAGACTATGGCGATCAGACATGTTTTGGGGGAAGCTTACAGGGAAGCCAATGCTCAGCCCTACAAGGTTGTAGTCATCTGCCATTGCCAATGTCCTTGCTGCACCAAGTCAGCGAGGCAGCAACACAACCAGTACAAGAACAACACTTGTCAAAGTCACAGGACAACGTAATGACTTTCGCAACGCGGTCTCAATGGAAGGTTCATGTTTTACTATTCCTTTTCAATGTCGAAATCATTGTTCTTGCTCTGGGACTGCCGATACCGAACCCCTGCTTGCTGTCTTCAAAGAACATGCTCGGCGTTTCTCAAAGACGTTGTTCGGCGACAGGAACGATTGTTATACTACATGAATCCGATTCCGAGAAGCACTGAAATAAGCTTCAGTGTATATATAACCTGGCTCAATGCCCTGACCAAAAATCATCATCTACCTCCATTCACTAGAAATTCCCAACAGCTAAAATCATTAACCCATCACATTCCCAAAGCCGAATCTTCAAGAGCTCGAGGCAATGCATTTCATCACCAAGGAGGGAGACGAAAAGTGTCTTCAAGCATGGAAAGTATTTCAGATCATCCCGGCAACTTTTACCTTGCAACGACTCTTGGCAACGAGCAAAAGTTTTGCCATTCTCGAATTCCGCGATAAACCCCTGCTTAAAAGTTTAGCCAGTAGAATCGCCTCCAGACACGTTTAGACTTAATGACATCGAGTGCAGGCCCTGAGCGTGGTCGCCAACGGTTAGAGCTGCAACAAGATATTCGGAGTTCGAGATAATATTTAGAAATCTATAGACAGACTTCTGAGACAATATCCTCCCACAAGATACACATTATAAGATAAGTAGCTGCGGATAATAATACAGACCAGGTAGTAAGTGCTACTACTGCAAATCTATTCAAAGTCAAAACAGTTATAGCCAAGGATAGATTAGCATAGCTTGTTTGTTTAATGGAAGCAGAAACACTCCAGAAGCTATCTACAGATTGGTGCAGCAGCCAATTCGAGTAGTCTGGGGCCGGACTCGGGCCGAATCTCTAACCGTATGCCTAGTACGCATATCGAGGAAAACAGCGCGGTCCCTAGCAATTCGCTGAAGATGCAAAGTCAGGCAAGGGGTGATGCGATGAGGCACTCCAAGCCATCTCTCAATGGAATTAGAAAACGAGCTATTAAAGCCGAAATTACTTTGTGAGATCCTTCGGTATTTGCCTTAGTAAAGCAGCACTCAAGATTTCAGTTTTAGAATAAAGACACGGACTGCCAAGTTCACACCCACAATGATTTTCTTGTTTTATACTTTTCTAACCTAACATCATGAGGACTCGTACTGTATCCATTGCGAAACAGGATGTGCTCTGGGGCCTCAAAAGCGGACCCAGCCCACCCGTACCTGAAGGATTCGAGTTGATATTCACTCATCCAAAAATCCCAAGCTAAAAAACACAAGAAATTTGAGTATTACAGAGTAGAAGCCCTTAGTATATGCTCAGGATATTATATCCACCATGGAGCCGTCCACATGGACTTGAACACATCTTCGACTCCGAATTCTCCTATATATAACCTGCACCGAAGTGGCAGTCGTATCGTCAGCCAGCAAAACGATGGGACAGTGACAAGGGCATACTTACCAAAGACTTTATTTGCCGTTTATCAACCTTTCCTTCCTACGACCAAGAGATGCTCTTGTAAAGTCGGTCATGGACTCTTGATGGTAGCTGCACAAATCTTGTAATTCGTCCAGGACCTTCACCATTTCAAGCTTAGCTCTTTCGATTGTCGCAGGATACCTTCCATCTGTTTCCCACCTCTTGATATCTTTCGTTATCTTCTCCAATTTACGCTTTTGTATAGATATATTGGAGCAAAGGTGACAGGATTCATCGATATGAATGGTGAAAGCAATAAGCTTCAATCCGCAGGTCTCACCTATTCGGTGCTCCTTTTCACATTGAGATTCTAATTTGCCCCATTTCCAAAACCCGCAAGCCCATCGTGTTTGCTCAAAAAAGCACATGGCATTCCAAGCCTTGTTGGCAAGTGGATCGAGAACTGAAGTCGAAATATGATGCTTACAACCTGGTGTATAACGGGGAGAAGGATGGTATTATGGCTGATATGGTAGAAAGGAAATCACATTAGATGTAATCAGACATGTTGCAGACAATCTTGTCAATAAAGTGGGGTGGCAATGCAGTTGGCTACAGGTCTTTTACCTTCCAAACCCTCGGTAACCAATCCCATCGTGCATGGAAACGCTGAGAGTAACCAATTCAGGATCACAAAAAGCATGACTATGCTTCTTCTAGGAAAATGTTTCGGGACAGAGGATGATTTTACTGCTCTCTTGTTGGGTGCTAGGCACCAGGCTAGGTAGCAATCAGTACCTGACTTTCCCCCGCAGCTGCAACAGCTTTCCGCCTACTTTTCACACCACACTATAGCTACACTTTGCCACGCATAGATTGAGAGATCCAAACCTAAAGATCATCACTCTTGTGGCCCCGTAGCTGGTATCACTTTCCTTTCCTTTCCGAATTACCTCTCCCGTTGTTTCCGTGTGTACCCGGTACAACCCCGAAGGCCTCTAGCCTTACATCTCTGGCCATCAACCTTCTGAAAGACCGTGATAGCAAGTAAGGGATGAAAACCAGGACCCAGGTCCAACTGCTAACAAGCTCGGTATTTCTCTTAGGCGGTCTGATGAGCATCGGACTTGTTCTACGTCCTATTCGCCGGAAGCACAACTGACTTCATGAAGAAAAGACATCCACTTCATCAGTACTGTGTAGCTTTTAGAACGAGACGCCCAGCTTAACGCGAGCGACATTGATGTGGACTCACCATCACATTCTGCTGGCATTGTCACTGTAATATTATCGGAGCAATATTTCTCCGGCCAGCTCGACGACGGTAAGGCCGCATTTAGGACTCGACCAGCTACGCGAGGAGCTTGAGTATATGGAACGGTGTTAGTAATCAAGTGGATAGCATGCTCAGCCATCATGTAGAGGAGCATCAAATGATTTAAGTGATTGGAGAGGGAATCGGCGATGCTATGGCGCAATCGAGGGGGCGGGTGATGGGTGCGAATCGTGATGTGTGCCGCGAGGAACTTGGCTGAGGAGCAGGATTACACACCTGGCATGCCTCTGGCCAATGCTAGGAATATACACCACTTATCATGCGAAAACAAGAAGCAAGGCATTTGGGAAGGTCCAAGAAAGTGAATTTGAGTAATCCCAGAATCATAGACGAGGATTCATCAGCCATTGCGATTTCTAAATATTATTATGATCTCTATCTTAGACCCAAATCAGCATGCCAGCTGTTTTCCCATTCAGTTCATAACGTATACTTATGGCGAGAGTTTCGTGCCCATTGGACGAGAAAGCTTAACCCCTTTGCCATAACGATCTTGAAACTGATTTCCCTCAGGGCGTCTATTGGGCGAGCCTTGATTAGGACCTGATTGTATGATCTCTTCATCGGCTTCTTTCAATTGATCTTGATTGCTCATTGACAGCTTGGTGAAAGCAAGTATAGTTTTTTGGTAACTGTCATCACTGATTTGTCCACCCACGTGCCGTGATCTGCCTTTTAAATCGATTCTTCTGGCAGTAACAAGGTCTCCTACTGTTGATACTGAGAAATCGTAGGTGTCATCAGCCATAGTAATATCTTCAAATACATTGCGCCGCTCGAGACCAACGAAGTCATCTGCCTCTGACACAAGCTTGATACATTGACGAACACTTTCGCTCGTTTCTTTCAGCTGAGAAAGCTGTATTGCAGTCGACTGTGACGCTGGAACTGATCTTATAGTTTCCATTTGTTTGTTGATGCTCTCCTCATGAATCTGCAATCGGGATACAAGAGCTTGAATCGAGCCTTTGGTGGATCCCAAACCTTCCTTGACATATTTTCGTGCCGAGTCGCGTTGCCAATACTGAGGGTTTTCCTTCACTGTTGGTTCCAGCTCCTCAATGCGCGCGGCTAATTGAGCACAGATCAAGAGACCTTGTTGAGTGCTGTCCTTCTCTTCCAGCATCGCTTGCCACTCAATGTCGTCATTAGCTGGAACAACAGTATCCCCAGCCGCTAGACGTCGCACTTTTTCATCAAGCTGGTGCAAATGTTCCTGCAAATCGTTGGTGGTATCGCGAATCATGTCGTGATAGTCGTCGAGGACTTTGGGAGTGATAGCGGCAACGCGACTGCGATTTCAAAGCAAGTTAACCCTCGTGGAACGGGGAATAGCAACGAGGATCTTACATATTTGCGTTAGCCAGAGCTATGTTTATCGTAGATTTATACCCAGCCAGCATAGCCTGGAAATCTGTGATATCTCCTTGCAGATATTTCTGCGTTAGCCAGTCCCGGAAGCTAGGCCGCGAAGCTGTTGAGTGTTTAGAACATCGAGCAATAATTTCGCCGTATTCCTCGCAGGCTCTGCCGCAGCGGTGGAGAGGAAGCTGAAGCGCTTTAAAATCGAGCTCGGGGTTGTTGTTCACCGTCTCCAGAAGCGACTCGAGAACCTCGGACAATTCCCCAAGTTCGTTTTTAAGAGCTCGTGCCCTTTTGTCTTGACTTTGAAAGTTCCGTACCGTCTTATATAGGGCCACGCTGGACTGAAAAGCGAATGTAACGAGAGCAATGACACCAGAGGATACGCTGAGTGGGTCTGCCATCGTGACACGGTTTTGCGCTAATGCTCTAGGGATAAACCGCAAAGAAGAAACAAAGGCTCGGGAGGCACAATTTCGTTACTGGGCGGGTGCTGCTATAAATCACTCATTCGAAGCGCCGGCACCTCATCGGGACTGACTCGCGCTGCATTAGACATTAGCGCTCAGCCCGACCCCGTAGCGCAATCGCTTATCATCCTTGAAAGGCCAACATGGTATCGTACTAGTGTATGGTATATCAGGCATATAGGCATTACACAGTAGACTACAACGAACCAGCGCACTGAAACCCCTCGATCTCCTGTGGATCTTCCGAAAAAAGGCCAATTCGGCCTCTAGCAGCACCGCAAGGCAGGTTCATGCTAGTCCAATCAGTCGTGCAGCTTCTCACGCCAGGAGGCGCAGTAGGTCTTCGACTCCACAAAAAGCCGGGTGCTTCCTGAGGGGCCTTGGTGCTCTAACCTATCGCTTTAATGCTACCAACTTCACATTTTATACCTCTGATGAAGGCGTTACCAAGTGGCTAGTGTGCATCTTGAGACGAAAGATCCTAATCGAATGGCCATGCTTTAATCTAATACTCTTTGCAGTTAATTCGTGCATCACTAGCTCTCAGACCCATCGAACAGAGCTTGAGGCGCCATATCTCGACCGCTGCTATCCCGGTAGCGCCGTATAATGCGACTTTTGCAGCTTTAAGCTAACGGCGAGATATCGGTTACCCGAAGGCATCGATCGCAAGGACGACCTGAGTATGCAATACTTTCACATACCTCGGACCAAGAGTGCGAGGATGTCAATTTCCAAGATATTCAGCAGGGGCGCAGGCGAGGCAAGCTGGGATACGATAAACTCCAATTAGGCAAGCTCTGCAGAGCTCACGGAATCAATTCACTCTATGTTCAACTGCTACAAGTCTGCGAAGAATTGCTATATCTAAATTACGGATGTCACGAAAAATAATCGTTATTAGTATAGAGAAATCTACCTATTGATGTGGGAAATAGCGTTCGAGGCAAGCAGGTGGTTCACCCATGGCTGGACGCTTTAAAAACTGCTCGCACCATTAAGCGTCAAATTTTTTTCTTTTAAAGGACGGATAGAAAGTTGGAGACAAGACCTCGCTAGACTCGCTAGAGACAATTATTAGTCGAATTACAGGCAATCCATCTTTCGCGATACTTGGACGCCCACTCTCAGAATCTCAATTTGAAGAGCGATTGTCTTGGTATAATAATCGCATAACCTCACGAGAAGAGGATAGGGTTTATTCTCTGCTTGGGATTCTGAATATAAGCGCATTAGTGATATATAGCGAAGGTTATCAACGTGCACTGGAGGAAACAAATCGAGATTCAGCTTCGAGAGGCCTACGGAAGAGGAGATCTTAGCATCAATTACAAACAGTACTTTAACTTTTCGCAGATCGCTTCTTCCAAGGGTAGGCCACCGAAACACACAATCACTAATGCTGGCGTCTTGAATCCGATTATGGCTGCAAAGAGGGGCAACATTTTCAAAGACATTACCATGTCCGATAATGCTTACAGTATATGCTTATTAAATACGAGCGTGGAGCTCAGGAATATCAAGATGACGGAGAAGGCCATGCATTTCTACCGCCAAGCTGACGATAAAACTTTCCAGAAATTTGTGAAGATTATTTCCATACCATCGCACACAATTCAAAGTGTCACTCAACGAATGCATAAAAGGCCTGAAAGCAGTAGTTTAATCCCTGAGCATGGCCTCGAAGTTATAACCGATGAATTCGGCGAAGAAAGCGCGTGTACTTGCAATAGTTGCGAGCATTCGAGGTTGGCTTAAAATTTTGAGCACTATAGCATTTAATGTCTAGACTGCTATAAGTAATTGCGTTACGGCTCACTCGGCCTGATATTGCCGTGATCAATGTTACATATGGATTGCGTGAGAGAATATCTTAATAATAAATATGCGAGTTGTGCTTAGAGCTTTATATCAATTTGTTTCATGTCCGGCAGATGTGGTCGATGCCAGATGTTTCGCGAGCGTGAAACCCGGGCCATGACGCTTGCCAAAAGGTGGCTCAGGCTTACGCGATACATCATCACCACCGTCCGCCGACATTGATGTTTTGCGGGTATGCTCCTGAAGTCCAGTCTGATGGTGAATACTGATGGTTTTGAAGTCTTGTGACAACTGCTGTAGGGATTCTTCACTAAAGTGACCTCCAGCTTGTTTCAATCTTAAGCCGTTGCCTCGATTCTTTCCGTTGACCGGTTTGCCATTCGTTGAAACCATGAATTGAATTGTATCATCCCCTTCCGCATGGTTCTCAATATTGCTGATCTGGGACTCCAGGACTGCATCAATATCTGTGCAGAAATTGAGGCAGTGTCTCAAGGTTTTCGCTTCAGCTTGAAGTTCATTCAGCGATGCCTGTTCACGAGTGCGTATAGTCGCAGATGAACCACTGCTGAGGCTATCGGTAATCGTTTTTCGACGTTTCTCGAGTTGTTCTAATGTGAAGCGCATGTGGTGCATACAACCATCCAGCCCTTCTCCAAAAAGCATTTCAGAGGTTGTGTTATGGCGTTGGCTATTGGTGGAGTTCTGTTCGTTCCCAAAAAAGTCGACTTGGATTTTCTCGATTGCCTGTGAGAGCATGGCACAGAACTCGAGACCCTTTTCTGTACTCCGTTGTTCCTCTTCCATGCTTCGGCGGACAGTTTCATCGAAACTCGGACCACTAGCCGCACGCTGAGTCAAGACCTCGAGTTTCTGCTGAACATCTTGTAAGTGAGCCTCCAAGTCCGTAGTTGTTGTAGCGATAAGGTCTCGGCAAGAATAGATAGCTTCGGTCGTAGTTGCGGATGCACGACTGCGAATATACGACCGTTAGCTACTTTATTAAAGAAGGACGCGGGGTGTCTCACAGATTTGCGAAGCTCAGCACGACGGTAATGGTAGACTTATAACCAATTAGTTGTTGCCGGAAGCCCTCAATGCCGTCGCCGCCGCAATATTTGAGCTTCGCCCAATCCCGGAAACTCGTCCGATCGACGCGAGAACGCGAGCAATACGTAAGTAATTCGTTTTGAACGTCATCGCAGGACCGCCGGCACTGCTCTAGTGTGAGTCTGAGGGCAGTAAGATCTAGGTCAAGGCCCAGATCGCCTGTCCTGGAGAGTTTCTGCAAAACCGATACTAGTCCCGATAGCTCCGTAAGGAGCTCCCGAACCTGGCGGGGATGGGACTTGAAATCATTAATCGTGTCATAAAGCTGGGCACCAGACTTGAACGCAAAGACTGCAAGGGCTAGGACGCCTGAAACCAGTCCCACGGGCTCCGCCATTGGACTTCAGGAAATATTTATCGGTCAAGGTCAAGACTGAGGTCGTAAGTTCTTTAGTGATAAGGCCGATGAACTGCTGTAGCTGCGGGATATATAGGCAAAGGAGATAGCCGCGCGTTACACTCGTACATACGTGGTAAAGCTATCTGTAAGGTGATTGGCTGAAAGCCGTACATTCATACAGACAAACAGACAATACGCATTATCATCACCTTGAAGTTTTGAGCAATTGCAGGTACGAGGATGCTACTTCGGCGGGCTGACGTGACTCGAAGTAGAACATGCGGAGTGGGGTGCTTGCATCGAGCTTAGCCACGACGATTAGTAGTGTATGAATAGATAAGCGCCAACGACCTACATTATGTGGGGTTGGTGTACCTAGCGGATTTTGAGCACCACTTATAAATCATTCTTGGATGTGCCGTGTCAGCAGCCGAAGCGAGCACCAGCCAGTAGGCGGGAAGGTCAGCCCCTCGTCAGGATCGATCAAAGCATGCAATGGATTCGCTTATCCATGAAGACCGACACCAGAATGCCACGAACATGCACCCATGCATTCGGCAAACAAGTGTCAGGAGCCATGCATTAGTCAATTGACATTCGCTGGCTGATAGCCCAACTTCATACAGCCATAAGTCTACCATAAAAAATGTGAAAAATAATTTTGAAATTATACAATAGATTGAATTCTCTTGGAGTTATTTCTCTTATTTTTATTCTTTCGAGATCAAGTGTTTTGACTGGTGATATGTAGAGTTGAAAACACAGTGTCTTGGTGACGAATGTCAATTGACTAATGCATGCATGGGTCCTGGTGTATTGAGCGCTTAAGAAGGACAAGAGGCGGGTCTGGTGCCTCTGGACCAACCCCACGGAACTTACCATGTCTGCCAGTTGGGGCAGCTGGTCGACAAGATTGTGGTCTTGATGTCGTGCCTGACTATGGATCGTCTAGATCATGACGATCCAGATGATGAACCAGGGTAAGGATCGTGCTCTTAACAACGATCCGAGAATACCATGAGTGAGGGAAGGAATGTATACACTAGGGACGGAGTTTCTACAGGTAATTACTCTTCGCTCAGTTTTACCTTGGCTAGCACTCCCAGTTAGCCATCTGGAGGCGCTTTAGCGGACTTGAAAATAGCCGATGGTTGATCGCCAACTAGCCCTATTTCTAAGAATAAGTCTACATTTTATAGAAATGATAATATGCTGTGTTCACAGTAGTAGTATCACCGCGAGGTCTACTTCATTCTCGGAGGTTCTTCGAAGCATTGCTTTATGCAAGCCATCGGTTCTCTGGCTTATTGAGAGATACAATATGGAGGGCTTATGGTCGCCGGCATTGTTTTCGCAGCTATTAAATAAACCGAATTCCAGAAAATCCGGCGCAACACCAGCTTTTACTAACCATCCTCCTGCCGCCCTTGAATTTAGGAAATGTAAATTACTATTTGCCAGATCAAACCACGGAAATATTTTTTTTGTGCAACAAGCAAATGCTTTTGGGGCGAAAAGCCATCCGGTGTTAGATATGTTCGTGCCGGAGGACCATTCGAGCTCTTCGGGCCGAGCACAAAGGGTGGGGGGATTGTCAACGGGCAGGAGAAGAAAGTGCTTCCCCATTGGACCATATACGATGGCGTGCAATGACGTCCGAGAGATCTCTATCGTGAGTAGTACCGCATTTGTCTCCTCGGCAATTTCAGGCGAATGCAGCGACACGTGTGCACGCTTATTTGGATGTAGCAATCTGCATAAGGCCGTGCGACCCCCCCCCTCTTTATTCAAAAACTTCATCGCCGGTCAGCCGATGTAGAATTGTTGATTGACTGAGATATTGGAGTCAAAATCAACAAAACTCTGCTCACGTACGTTCCGTGGCATATTACTATCGGATGCTGAGCAGACCACAAGCTTATACATTGTTTTACGAACTATCCATCTGCCAGAAACTTTCTAGCACGGAGTACCTGACACTATGCCAGCTTTACAATCTCAGCATCAAATATCGGATTTATCCGCTGAAGAGACTATAGTGCGACGAAACATCATTCCACACTATGTGACCCTGACTATCCCTCGAGTATCGACTACTGAGTATACGACAATATTTTTGGGATATATTACTGCAGACACTGCTCCACCGGCACGAGCAACTCAAGTGACAAGTTATGCCGCCACAAACGATTCAAACAAGCAAATGCAGACATCACTTACAGTTTTTGGTGTTCTTTTTGGTATTTTGATTGTGCTCGTGACTTGGTGTATCTGTAGCAGGACCAGAGTAGCACGAAAGAATCATAGAGGCACATGTTGTATTTGTTGTGTCGGACCAAGAGGGCCTCGCGGTCGCCGGGGACCTCGAGGGGCCGATGGGCTTGAAGGACAGCCTGGCCGTGATGGAAGCCGAGGCCCAGATGGATTAAGGGGCCCGCAAGGATTGCATGGGTCGGAAGGCCATCCCGGTAGGCATCCTCTTTCAACTCATGTTTACAGCGAATTGGAAATTGATTGCCGTCATTCAATTGCTGACTTCACCTTGTGTAAGGGAGTAATGGAAAAGACGGACGGGATGGCCGTGACGGAAAAGTTGGCCGTGATGGAAAAGATGGACGTGATGGAAAAGATGGACGTGATGGAAAAGATGGACGTGATGGAAAAGATGGCCGTGATGGAAAGGATGGACGACCAGGGACTGATGGGCGTCCCGGGCCCAATGGGCAGCCTGGGCCAGAGGGCCGGCAAGGTCCCCAAGGTAATCCAGGACCCATGGGGCCTGATGGACGAGCTGGGGCCAACGGCTCTCGGGGCCCACAAGGAGTTCCAGGGGAGTCAGGTCCTTCTGGACCTCGTGGACCTCGAGGTCTACCATGCGCGGAGAGTCCAGCAGATTCAGAAGGGTCGTCATACGGCGGCGGACGATGTGGCATTGGCGACAAAAAAGTTGTAGTCATAATGTGACAAGATATGCTAGGAACACAAGAACAGATAGCTGGATTACTTCGCTATGATTACGGCCAAAGTTGTTCCTGTATTTCCTTATTCTGTTGGAAGATGTGCTGCTCCGAATAAGCCATGACGATGCGGCACACCATCGGGAGTTTGATTTATAGCGTACTTCAAAGGGCTTGGACAGCTGTACATAGAACTCTCTTCGTTCAAGTCTCGGTAATCTATTGGCTTAAGTGAGAAGCATCTATCAATAGTAATGGTGTCCTTGAGGGCTGCACCATAGCTGCCTGCTGCCTACTGGTTGGGACGCTGAGGTTTTACTGATTACTTGGCAGGAAATAACCTCATCAGAGTAATTTTGGCGTTATTGGAAGTCATATTACGCTATAAATAAATGGTAGTGTAGTGTGCTTCAATGATCGATGTTGCCAATCCTCAATTACCACTTTTGATGCCTACCCCAAAGCTTCGCGGGTTTGAGTCGGGGAAACGACTCGATCCTTACTACGTATTATGGTTAGCAATAGATGGATACATTGACTATATAATTTCTTCTAAGAGAGATTGATATCTTTGCTATCTTTGCACAGTATCGTTATGAGTCGGCCAAAGGTGCTTGGTCTGGCATCCTTGTCTGAAAGCAGTTGCCCATTGATCCCCCCGCCCAATCACAAGTACAGCTCACCCAATGATGACGACGCATTATGGCAGCCACAATTCTGCATTGAAGCCTAACAGCCTGCCTTGCAATCTGCCTTGCGCACTGAGCTTACCATATAGATGCAGATTTTGCCATGACGGACCACCGGCATTTATCTTATATTAAGCATTATGGATGATCCAGAGAATCAGATCTGTCGGCGTCAGCAGGGTGAAATGCGTCAAGCTTTATCTGATTGGTTTCCCCTGGCTTGGGTTTGGATGACTTTTAATACTTTGTTCCGGAACACAATGATGACCACTTACTACCTCAAGAAGAAGTCGCGTCCAGGGAACCACGATTCTGCCGACTCACAAGAGACGCTGCATCGCACAGAGCCCAATGTGAATGGCCCTGATACGACTTCATCCACTGCTCTTGCTTCCTCATTACACCGCAGAGATCAGACGGGCGGCAGGAGCAGCATGAGCCATTAGCAGGGACAACGACAGCAATTCTGCAACGAATTGTCGGAGTGGTCGGAGACTCTCGTGCAGCCAGGATGCTTTGTTCTACTTCTTTATCAAGGAAAGCAGGAAGATTACGCTATCGTTCCTATGTTAATAAAGGACTCCGCAGACCTAATTAAGCAATAGAATTAAGCTCAAAGAACCTGGTATAGTAGAAGAGGAATGCTGAGATCGATCTTCCACTGGTATCGAGTAATATCTATCGAGGTGGCTGAAGTGATTATGTTTCCTATTTCGAGCGCATCAGACCGTGCTCTATTGACGAGATTGATAGATCACTATTGCCGGCCAAATATCACCTGAGAATATAGGCGAGTATATTGGTCTATACCAAGTAGAAGACTTAGAAATAAAGATCTGCGAATTGGAAGGGCAAGGGGCGGAGTATTATGATGATTCTTTCTACTGTGTACCGGACACAATTTATAGGACTCGCCATTACGCAAATAAATGTCTATCGATTTTCGGAGAGTATGGTCTAGGATGGGAGTGTCTTTATATAGAGCATGACGAAGCATAAAGAAATCGTGAGGTATTGAAACGCCGGCTTATGATCAAGCTGATCTTTCGGGACCCGGGTTTCGCCAAATTCAATTTATCCATAGAAGAATTGGGTCTATTGATAAGTTACCAGTATATCCCCTGGTATGCTGATGTTAAAACTTATAGTAGCTAAAGTGTTTTTAGGGCTTTGCTTAGCAAAATTTATTAGAAGCCTTGCCAGAGATTGGAAGAGTTATTGTTTCCAGGATTGGTGATTTATGAAGAATGGCTTATAAATGGAGTTAGAATCACTCTACCGCTCTCAGCTAGTGCGACATTGTTCATCGCAGTTGTTATTGCATGGCTGATCTTTCGTGACTGGGGAGTGGCTTGGCAGGTGGGAGGATGTTTCGTAGCGCTTATAAGGTTCTCGCTAGACCTTGATCGATCGACCTAACCTTAGATAGCTTCACTATAAGGTGGCTACTCCTGTGCATAGGTCGATTGGGCTATGCAAGCCATTGTTGTAGTGTTGAGTGGCTAGCAGCTTACCGAAAGGGCAAAGTACACTAATGGTAATGATTCTCTCCCGCAGTAGTAAACAGATATATATTGAGAAGCTACTTCATGGATCGATGGGAGAAAACCAATTGCTGTCCAGCAGTATGGCACAGATGCTAGCCAAATCTCAGCCCGCGATAAACCACTCGACGACCAGCAAAGAATCCTTTTCATCAATTGATTATCCATCAGGTTTCAAGGCGTATCACGTTGCAGTTCGATTTCCAACATTGCTTAGTCATTTAAACGTATATAGAATACCAGACTGTTTGACTGTTGTGAAATAAGAGGGATCGCGTCCTCGACCGATAGACTTCTCGCGGCATGTATTTCTCTACCGCATGCAGCCTCACACAACAGGGATTTCTTGGTTCGAACGCGTATGCTCTAGGAGGACGAGCATTCAAAGTCAAAAACGATGCTCAATGATCCAACGCATAAACACTCATTGATGCGGAACCATTCTAGTCTGTAGGTCGTAGCTGGACCAAGAGTCTGCGAGCTCTCACTTGCCTGCACAGACGAAAAATCAGGTGTCTCATCGGGTATGACTTCGAAAGTCGAGCATGATTTTGATAAGCAGCATGCGTTGGCCGATGCTCCATTTGCAGTTGTGTTGGCTGACTCGGAGACCTGTGGCAATTGAAAACATGCTTTCGACTCCGTCGGGCCTGATAGAAGATTATACTTGTTCACCCTGAGTTGATTAATCAGAATCTCCATCTCACTCGTTATGCACCCCAGCAGCTCACGAAAGGCCGTGATCTGTTCTACTTCATTCGGTGATTGTCCGGAATGGTCCAATTCGAGTATGAAGTAGGCCAAAAGACCCTCAGAAACATCGAAGAATGTCTGCTTCCGCTGATGCCACGGATCGGTAAGAGTTTTGACCAGATGCGAAAAGCAAGATGGCTTTTTGCAAAGTCCAAAATCACGAGTAGACGAGCATCTCTAGATTCGTTGAAACTGACTATGACCCTTTTCTTGCACGCCATCGATCGCGTTTCGGGTGACGCTGATGAGTAAGTTTGCTTGGCAACTGCGACAGACTCGACTAACATCGGGCAGAGCTGAAACTAAAGAAGAGATTGAAAATCTCCTGGGTTCCGCAAAAAACACTAAAATGAACTTCATCAAGGCTGAAATCTTTGACCAAGCCGTCGAACACCACTACGAACCCAGCGACAAGGACAACGACTTTATTGCTACTCCCATCGATGACGACAACAACAACAACAACAACGAGAAGCGTCCAAATAGTCCAGAAAGCTCTGACTCTGAGAACGGAGATAGCGAAAGCTACGAGATTTCACTCATCCAAAATGGTTATGATTATTCAAAAGTCGACTTGTCCCAATGGGTTCAGAAGCATAAGTCAAACACCAGAATACCGCTCCAAATCATGCTTGTGCTCTCTGACGACCAGTTCGTGGAGATTGCAGATCATTTAAAGGTTCAGATGGCAGTTACTAGCTATGCTCTCGTTATAATCTCTGGCCCGAGTTCGCATCCACAAGCTAGGTCAACACTGCGGAGATCGATCGACGAGAGGTTCTCTAAAGCTTCATCGAAAGGGATCCCAGAGACTCAGTCGATCGCTCAGTCTGAAGACTCGTTGAGCGACGGTGGTATGGAGAGCATGACAAATACATCTGAGACAATGGAAGACAGACTTGGATCGAGTTGGAAGTATACCCTTCCCAATCGACAAGAAATGCCTCGATCACAACCAAGTCCTCGTGGAAATGAGAACAACCCAGCGGATCCCTTCTTGTATAAGGTGCGCCAGCCTAGGACATTCCCTAGCGGATTAGATCATGAACTTCCGCCAATAACACCGCAATATGGTCATGAGCAATACCCACGCATCAATGCGCAAACTTACCCACAAGTTCAGGGGTTTCCTTGGAATTACCCGCAGCAGACCGCTTCGTTTCCATATCTTTTTTGACAATCATTGGAATCAGAACAAGCCATCACCACCCAACCCGGTGAGGCAGCCATCCCGAGAACCGCCCAGGGAAGATCCGGAAAAGTTGGAGATGAAGAAACAGCTTGATGTTAATAAAGCTGAATATGTAAAGAGTGAGGCTAAGGAACAGAAAAGGGAGTTTGAGGCGAGGATAAGGGAGGAGACCGAACGGGAGTTCAGATATAAGTTGGAGGAAAGAGACAGGCAAGAGGAGCTGTTGAACAAGGAAAGGGCAGCTGCTGCGGAAAGGGCCAAGATAGAGATCGAGGAGGCGAGGTACATGGCCGAACAGGTCACCCGAGACCTAATGGAGAAGGAAAGACAAGCGGCCGAAGAGCGTAGGAAGGAAGAAGCAGCGTATATTGCACGGGCCCAGCAAGCAGCTCGTGACCAGATTGAGGCAGAGAGGCGTGCTGATGAGAGTCGTAAAAAGTTGGAAGCTGAGACGCTTGCCAGGGCAGAACAGGCCGCACAGTTCAAGCTTAGGGCGGAGATGGAAGCCGAGGCAGCAAAGAAGAATACCAAAGGGGGCTCATTATCTTTCTTCAAGCGATTGGGTCGTTAGTCTTGTTTGTGTCAGACTTGTCGCGTCGGTTATTTCATTCGCGATGATTATTTTATTATCGGACTCTTGGATTTCCACCTACTAAAATTCCCGCATCACACATCCTACATAATGAACTACACACAGAGGAAACAAGCACTGAACATGTCAAATCTTCTCCATAACTCGATGTCTAGAGTATCAGTTGTTCGCTAAAGTTGGTGCGTGGCACGATCACACCGACAGTTTAAGATTGTGAGACGAGAGAGCTGAGAAGCAGACATGTAAACTGTGGTGCGACTCGAAAGGGTTGATTTTGTGGTGGATTATTTTCGTCGTTGCATTCCAGCGTTTTGATTTACATGAACATCATAATCTTGCAGGAGCTCAGTGTTCAGGATGATAAGTTATTGACTGAAACTATGCGCCTCATTCCCAACGCCGTGGACGAATATAATTGAAATGCAAAAACATGTAGATCGCCATTTTACATCTCTTTGCCGTCGTGGCACCTGTCAACGGGAGGTTCTCTCTGGAAGATGTGGCTTACGAATTCGTAGTAACTCGGTTTTTCTAGCCTTGAGCTTGATACTACTTTTAACAGGTCCCTTATAAGGCCAGTGCCTGGATGGTAAGTAGCAGTGACTTCACGGACATAACGGGAACCCGAAAGTTTGAATGGAAAACGATTATGGAAGCTAGCTACAGGCCACGAGACTGATGATTATTAGGCGTTGATGATCTCTCAATCTAGATATGGCAAAGCGTAGCAAAAAGTGAAGTACAGAAGAGAGCGGAAAGCTGTAGTAGCTGCGGGGAAAATTATATACTAGTACCTAGGGTGGTGCCTAGCACCTAACATCCCTTATTAGTGAACGCAACACTAAAAGGGGTATATGGAGTGTTAGGTTCGATTCCTAATGGCGCTAGTTACTGGGGTATTTATGAAGTTATTTTTTTCTAATAGCGCTATTAGCTAAATAGTATACCTATTAAGAGGTTATTATAAGGCCGGGGTTTAATTCCTTTAAAGATTTTTAAGTTTAAAGATACGTCGTAAATCGAACGCAATAATTCGTACGCAATAAATCGCAAGCCGTCGTTAGCCGTACGTTATAAGTCGAACGTCGACTAAATAAAGCTAAGGGCAGCTCTTAGCATAATGGGGACTTGTTAGTGAACGCAACACTAAAAGGGGGTATATAAAGTATTAGGTTCAATTCCTAATGGCGCTAGTTACTAGGGTGTCTATAAAGTTATTCTTTTCTTCCCTAACTATATAGCGCGGCTATACGTGCGAAAATGGAAGGCTACAGGATGTTTTAACACATGATTGATTTTGATCTTGATACTTGGTTCACTCCCTATTGAGCTACCTATATGGATTATTGTGCCGACTAAATAGAAATGTTCTATAAAGAAACTACAACTTTGGTGGCAGAGACGCCCCCTTTGCATAGATCGATCCCGTTTTGAATGTTTTCAAGCCCACTTCCCACGACGGTGGGGTCGGGCTTTGCCAGAAACTGTCCAGTAGCCAATGCTTCCGGTAGAAAGTCGTTGTAAATTGCCGAGCCTACTTCGTTGGCCTTGAGATCGCTACCCCAGATAAACTTGGTCTGGACGCCTTTGCACTTGGCCTTGACACCGACCGAAATGTTCCACCACATCATTTTCAACACAGCCCAGATGAAACCAACCGGGCCCGTGGGCAGGTCGCTCATGTCGAGTGGAGTGCTGGCTTGGGTGACAAATTTGCGGCCGGGTACCGCCGCAACTATGTCGATGCATGCCTCCAGAGACCCGGTACCGATGGCATAGGCCCCAGCACAGGTCTTGTTCTCCAGGGCAGCAATAATAGCCGGGACGGTCTTGGCTGCTTTGTAATTGAAAACCAAGGACGCACCGAGGGATTTCAGGTATTCAAAGTTTTTGGTCGATGAGGTGGCTACCACTTGGTATCCTGCCGCCCGAGCGAGTTGCATGGCATTGCTCCCAACACTGGTCGATCCTCCTCACACAATGACCACTGCATTCTTCGACGAATCGGCCGGCCTAGACACGTCGGTCTCAGACAGTGGCTTTGGTACCGGCAATGCGAGGTAGTCCTTCATGAAGAGGCCAGACGCGGCCGTCGATAGTCCCAGGGGGAGGACGCTCGCCTGCTCGTGAGACAAGCTTTGGGGGATTTTGGATGCCAGGTTGTAGCGCAGTACCGTGTACTCCTGGAAGGCGGCTTCGCTGCTCCCGCTGGCACGCTTGTCCGTGCCAACGGCATGGCCGACGACGCGGTCGCCTGGCCGGAATAGCTTGCTTGCGCGACCGCCAGACCCAACCTCCTCAACTACTCCAGAGACATCATTGCCGACAATGGCAGGATACTTGAGCCATGAGAATATCAGGGTGCCGAGAAGTTGCACACCGACGTCCACCGGGTTTATGGCGACAGCTTTGTTTCTGATGACAAGCTCGTCGGGGCCCGGGGCGACATACGGAGCCGGGCGGACCTCTAGGCGCTTACTGTTTTTGTCGACAATGTATGCTGCATGGTTTCGGGGTGGCATGGCCACTAAACGTAGTGGAGAGAATCAGTGCAACCCCGAGCAGGATTCGTAAGGACGTGTGACAGATATCGGCGCGGTCTTCACAGCTCGGGAGTTCGAACAGCGTTCAACGGGATTTCTCGAGACTGTCGCCAAGGCTTTCTCTTCACAGTATATACTTGCGCTTCGTGTGTGGAGTTTGATGTCATGAGCGTGAGTGTGATTTCGCCCAAAATTTAGATTCGAAATATATATAGTCCGGGGCTGTAGTTTATGTCCGCAGGTATTTGGCATGGAAAAATAACCCAGCAGTAGATTCGGGATAGGCAGCAGGTGGTGAAACCAGGAAGGCGGGGTAAAACCGGACTATTTCCCAAGTCCACTAATATTCGGTAGTTACTCAACCTACGTTATGTATAACGCTGCTTGTGGAACTTGTGGATGTCTTAGTATATACATCGCCACTTGGGAACGTTTGAGTACTTTGACGATGGAGGCACATGAACCTTAGGAGTAGAACACTCATTCGAGACCCTGGTAGTAATTGTGAATCAAGGTGGTGCTTTCTTAATAAAGCTTGGTATGGTCCGAGTGGCTGGCCGTGGACCCCCCAGCTTCCATGCATCAGTTTCATTCGAAGATGTTTTCCAGGAGGCGGGAATTTGTTCTGATATAATCAAACAAAAGAAGGGGCCTATCTGCTCTGAAATAGCCGTCAAGTTACTGCACTACCAAACAAGTGCATGATTGTTTTCTTGTCCTTTATCAACACGTCATCAACAGGCATTTTTGCTGTTTGGCGTGACCCGTTCAATATTATGTCACCTAAAATGTCTTGGCCTAATGATGATTCTATCTTCTTGCCCGCATCCTTCGATCACCCTATACCTTATAAAAGAGAAAACAAGCTGCCGTGGCCGGTATTGTCAAGACCAACCAGAGCCATATTTCGGTTGCGTCCGAGAACCACTCATTTCCGTCGAAAAATGGCATCGAAAGAAGGGCCTAGTTTAGTAAAAGCCAAGTTAGATGGCTAGAATAATCATCACGCGCCCAGCTTCGATCTCACTTTATGTGGAACCGTTGAGGAACCGTACTCACAGCAAATGTGGCTCCTGGAAGAAAGAACATTGTAACGACAGCAATCTACGTGAAACAAGTCAGGCGTCATGATTCCGAATTACCAATACTATAATGACTTACAGTCTTCATAGCTACGCTGTCCCGCTTCATCTCTTCGGCCAATGCATGAGACGCCTCGGCCATTTTGTGGCTAAGATTCGCGCTGTTAATTCGAATGCGATTGAAGAGCTAGAGCGGGGCATACAATTAGGTAAACCATTAATGTCGTCAGAGTAATGAGTCTCTTACAAGCGCCAGGATGTTCTGGATCTTCTCGAGTTCCTCGGCAAATGCATGCGTAGCTTCAATCTGTGAAAGTACCTGGCTCAATCCTCGCGATGCCGCCTCGAAGCTTTCGGTGGCAGAGCCACTGGAGCATTCATCATCGTAGACAGGCTCGTAATGTGCCACTAGGTCAACAACGACACCTTCCAGAGACTTTAATTCAGACAGGTACCGGTGAAGGTGAGCGGCGATCGAGTGGAGTGCGCGATTGATTTGCGTCAGCCTTGCTGCCGGGTTGTAGCCATCCGTATCGCCATTATCAAGCTCCTTCTGCAGGTCAAGCTCGTGGATGATGAGCTGCTCATGGATGCTGTTCAAGGCGTTGGTCCACCAACGGGAAGCGCTGCTAAGATATACAAGATGTATATAGCAGCCATAGCCGGCGTCAACTCCGAGGCTCCTCCTTTGTTTCATCACCTCCTCTATTCGTTGGCTCGGCTCCAGCGCTACCTTGGGCCAGCCCCCGTGCATGAAATCGAAGGCGAGAAATGTCACTCGCTTAGATACCATTTCTATGCGTGAGAATATGCCAACACAGGACCGACGGATATCGACCATTGCGCCTGGCAACGGGAGCCTATGGGAAGGGTTCATCTGGCTGGGTCCGATGGCGTCGTCTAGTATCCCAGCGGCATCAGGCACGCCTGCCGGGACTTGGACTCTGATGAGAAGAAAGTACCAGAAATCAAAAGCAGTCTGATTGTTCAATCGTATTTTGCGAGATCCGCGTCCGTTAGGGAGGAAGTGCCGCGAAAGAGTGAAGACGAATGCCGGAGGTATCATCAGTCGATCTGCGAGTGCCCCAAAACAGGCTTCAGAAATCCGTAATTTATTGGCGTCAATAGGAGCCTCAGCTTTCTGGTTCTGAACAAGATATTTATAAATAAAGCTACTCGTGTCAGGTGTTCCATTCAGCATCAAGGTAGTCTACGCGGCAGCTTACAACAAGTCGTATCTTGACTTATCGTCGATAGATGATTATTCATAAAGAATAAACCTCATGCTCTTCCGAGTAGTGGTTTCTGAACATCGAAAAGGTTGCCTTACCAGCGCCTCAATATCTTCCTTGCGGATGAGGTCTGTCTTGACCGGCCGGGAGCCGGTTCTCTGGACGACATGGTGAATCAATGTGTTTTCTGAAAGCTGAGACTGTCCAAACTCCTTGAAAGACTGGGCAATGACGTTGCCGTGCTCACTTTGAGGCAATAGAGCCTTTTTAGTGAACGTTATTGTTTACTTATGTGGTGTTTCGTGAGGACTCACATCTCTGGCGCGTAATTAGCTGCCTGGGGATCACTCATTTTGGCCTGTTGTATACTGGCTCTCGTGAAGACGAGAGTCTTGGGTAGCTAGACTGAAAATCGTTTCTCGAAGACGAGTTCTGTCGTTTTGTACATATGTAAGCCACAAGCCTTGTACTACACGGATGAGCCACTTCTTTCGTAAAATATCAAGTACGCATGAGTGACTGGATTAACCCTTGAATAATCATTCTCCTGTGTGCAGCCGCACGCCAGCCACTAATGCACGGGGGTGCCCAATTGATAAAGCTTGGAGGCTCCCATGGCTGCGCGGTGGCGCAGCCGAGATTTATTGGTACTCTGTACAGTTTTTGCCGTGTCGTGGTTATTGCCAATTGGTAAATGCTCGGCCATGCAGTCAGCCAGCCATGTTGGGCTGGCCACCTGCCAATGTACATACCAGGGTCGCAGCCACCAAAAGCAAAAAGCAGCCCGCAATGGCGATTGCACGGTCGCCTGCCTCGCCTTTGGCAGTGTCATCGGACCTGTCTAGAACTATTAGCAGTGATACGTAGTGAAATCTACAAGGGATTCTCGCCAAATCATAACCATTTTGCAACATTTCCCCCCGCCGGTAGGATCAAACCAACCTTAGCTTTTCCGGCCCTTATTTACCAGCTTTGACCGAAAATGCCCAATCGACAGCACCGCAAACAGAGATTCCAAACGTCCAGCCTTGACCCGTCATGGATTCTGCCAGACGAAGAATCTGCCGCGGTCGGTGTCGCCTTTGCCAATGCTTCTGAAACTGCCTCAATTTCCGACAGGTCGGTTATGCAGCCCGAGCCTCGTGCCCAAGAACAGGCGGACGATTCCGACACGAAGATTACCAAACCAGTTCCCAGCGCTGAGGTACCTCCTGAGGCCGCTGCCAGTACCAATGTTTACAGCGTTAGCGATTCCTCAAATAGCGCGACCCATTCATCCGTTCGTTTGACGCCGCCGAGCCGTGAAGGTCAAGATAAACAAAGGTCGGAGAATGAAGATAGATTGGCTGTACCGCGCAGTCAAGTCAGAAGAAGGCGGAGAAAACGATACACAAGCAAACATGCCCCTGACTGGCTTGAAAATGATGCGGCGGACACGACTTCTAGAGAGGCCGAGGGCGCGGGGACTGCAATTTTGCATTCCAGAGTGGAAGGCCTTGGACTGCAGGATAGGCCTCGGGGGGTTCCGGTCTGGGCTCCTCCTGAAAGCAGGCCAATCCGTTCCGAGCCGGTAGCTGACGTACCCTCTCCATTCCCAGTGTCAATCTTTCGCATTTCGGGGACGTCTCACTATAGTTCTGGATACGACGCACCACCTATAGCACCTCAAACACCCTCAACGTATTCACCCAGTTACAGGTTTCAGTAGCACGTGCAATATTTCCAGCGGTTCAAACATATCAGAGCCCTCGACCATAAGACAAATAATTGTATATTACCGTCCAAACATGTACAAATGCATTCTCTACTCTCCAAAACCAGGTAGATTACCGTAAATTTCCTGTGAGAAAAGTGTCTGAGTCAAAGTAGTGGGAAGCAATATATTCCAAAGCAGAGAACTGCAAAAGTCTGCTAAAAGCATCGACTACATAACGATCGTAGTGTGTTCATATATAATTTCAAGAGAACGTGCTGTCCTTATCCAAGGTAGTCCATGAGTCCCGAGCCATTGGCAGCCACATTCAAGCCAAAATGCATTTTACCGTGTCGTGCAGCAAGCCAAAATGCCCCGACACTGCCAACGGCTAGACGCTTTGTGTGCTGGGTAAGGCAGAAGGGCGACTTCTTCTGCATCACGTAAGTACTCAATAAGCAAGTGCTAACAGAGCCTGATGCATATATCCAGCGGACTTATTGGTCAAGGAGGCTGAGCGCCGAGAATCCTGGCCCGTCAATACAGTAGTGCTACCCTCCCACAGCCCCGCAGTTATGATCTTAAAAGGAAGGTTGAGGTCCCGATCCGAATTTCGACCTCGAGGACCTTCAGCTATAGACACTGGTACGATAAAGAAGACGAAACAGAGATAGCAAAATCATGGAGAACCGTCTATCCGTGTCCACACCAAACCGACCAATTCCAAATCGTCAACGGGGAAGTTCCAGTAGCTAGATCCTCAAGAGTTTCAAGAGTAGTACAACCCATGTCGCCTTTCTGACAAATGGTTCCTGGTCCTGACCGTTATTATAGAATTGCGCTTGAAACGAGCAACATGGATGGGTAAGAGCCAGCTTTCCGCGGCTGATGCCTCCAACTCGGAGCAGGTCACTCGGGATAGCAGCTCAATGTCATCGCCCACGGAGTCACCTGTCAGGAGTCCGACTCCATCAGACTCCCGCAACTTTCTTGTTCCTGGTTCCCCACTGGGTAGGACGTTTTCCGCAGCGGGTGAACCCCCATCGCCAAGCCCGCACCATAGCCAACCCATCGCTCTCTCCGGAGACTGCCAGCCAGTCCCACCAATCGACATTCCAGAGGGTGAACTACGAGCCGTTAACCAAGTGACTGTCGCTTTTGCCATTGATATCTCCGGAAGTACGGCAGGGAGCATCATTCGACAGGAGAAAGACGCCATTATGAGCGTCACATCGACGTTCGACTCTACGAGCCTCAGGCACCAATGTACCGTCCTCCCATGGTCACATAAATCCCACTCGCCGCTGAAAATCGACGAGATTGAAGAGATCAATTCTGGCGGAGGGACAGACCCTTCTGTTTTGCTCGAGAATCCTGTCTTTAGATCGCAGCTCCAAAGGTCGAATCTCTGGTTTCTTTTGACAGATGGCGAAATTTACAAGCCGGTGATAACCAAATTTGCCAATGCCATACCTGAGGCGAGGATACACGGAACTGCATGTGTCATTATCCTTTTTGGATACTCGAGATCATCTCCCTTAGAATGCAACGTGTCAGTTGGTATGTCCGTTTTCGCTGTGGCGCCGCATTGCATCTTCTTATTTCACGATGTTCGTTCAGCCAAAGTGTATATTCTCCAGGCAAAAGGCTGCTTCTCAAGTCTGCTCCCAGAGACTGAACGCTTCACTTCTTTTGGTACAGAGACCCGCTGGGATGAATTGGCTTGCATCACCTACAAGTCGCTGGCCCAGGTCAGGATCGCATCTCTCTCTCCGATATCCTTATTAGCATCAAAGAGGCGTGCTCTCCGTCCTGAGCAATCAGAGCGGCGGACGAGTCCAATAAACCATCGGCACACGTCAGGTCGCGCTGAGAGAGAGCATCAGTCCCAGCTTCGCTATGGCAACAGCACTTACCCTAGGGCTGCGCGGTCCAGTAAGCCCAAACAGCACGCTCGAAATTTGCTATTCATGCCTGGATTTGAGGGCACCAGAATCCTTTCGGATAATGACTTCTTCTCACCAAATTATGATACCTGCGCGCTATGCGGCGAACACAAGTCGATCCAGACACTCTTACTATCCACCAATAGGAACGGCGACGATGAAACACCAGACCTTCCCAAGGCGAACCGCAAAGCCCGACACAAGTATCCTCTGGTTCTTGGTAGTTACCCCGAGACGGATGTCATTCTGCCGTTCATGACTTGCGACGCTTGCGCCTTCGTCCTCCTCGAGGTAGGAGAGCTACCGAACGGAGACCGAGTCACGGCAGCACTCCCAATGGTCTCTCTATACAATGAGGTGAACCGCAGCAAGTGGCTCGAGCTTCTCAGCAGTGCCTACGAGCACCGCTTCCATGAACGTATCGTTTTTCTTGTCTTCCTGTCGTCCTTGTGCTCCGCTCTCGAGGACCTGACCACCAACGACGAACCCGGCTCATCCAGTCTCATTAGGGTTCTCGAGTCGTGCTGCATGACCCTGTGCCAGCTGCCGGGAATCTCGACCATAGCGGGCTTCACGCCCGTTGGCAGCCCCATTGCAAACATGGTGGACGATACGATGCCATTCGCGACGACCATTGGGGTAGCTTTCAACCGGCAGGCTACCCCGGGCTTGGAGCTACCCTGCCTGACGTACCCGATTGAAGGATTCTTGGCCATCGTTCGTCTAGCCAGCCTGACTGAGGACATTGAAGGTTATTCAATCGAGTCAATGGTCTGGAAGAAGCTCCTATACCACATGACAGGCCAGCACTGTGTGCTGCAGAAGCAACAGGGTGCCATGGAGGCGGATAAGACACTGAGGTCTGTGATCTACAGTGAAAATGTGGTTCAGCCTGACGGAATCGACGGTGGAAAAGAGCCGGTCCCGATTCTCTCATTTTCCATTTCTGCGCTGAGCGACACGCACCTGCTTCAACCATCATCTGAGATCATTGACCAATTCGAACGCATGGAGCAGTATTTCCTGCCCATCAAAGACACTACCAAGTACCACGCTGCCATGGCCGTGTTCCTACACCTGCTTAGTGCGTCGGTGGTTGACTCCGCCAGGATCCTAGATGCATCCGACTTTTTTCTCCATTTGCGGTACTCTCAGGACATTTCAACCTTGTTTTTATGATGTGTTCGATGACCCAAAACTGATAACTAGCGAGCAAGTATCCGCTATGGTGCACGCCGCGTATAATCTACAGCCCATCTAGTTAAGTGGGCCGGTTTCCAGCATGCATCCATAGGTACCTAGGTAGTCATAGTACAAGATTTTATGATCAAGTCCGGGACCAGATATTATGTAGCCTTCAAAGAAAAGGAAATTGTGACATAGTCTACGCATCTATATCCACGATGATAGCCTAGCTAGTAGCTACCATAGTGGAGCTTCACTTTTGGTCTGCTAGCGCAGTGGGTAGATGCGATAGAAATGATAAAGGCTGCTTATATTAATACAAACTCGACTGGGTAAACAACATGTACAACCATTATTTTCTGGTCCATCGGTGCCAGTCAAGGTTGGCCCAAATGTGTTCAGTAGGCCCAATAAGGCAGTTGGTTTGCCAAACGCTGGATCGCGTAATAGCTGGGTGATGAGCTTTGGATCGCAGGTGAAGAGGACGTTTTGAGTGGGAGAGACGGCAATGAGCGTGTCAGCGCCGGTGATGGCAAATGGGCTATACTTCTTGGCGGATGGGGAAGAAGGAATAGACGGAGCAAAGGCTGCTTGTATAGGGTCATCTGGGTTGGAAGGTATCCAGAGTGCCATATACGATCGAGGAGGAGCAAACTGCTTTCAGTCAGCCAATTTTGTGCGCCAAAAGTGGTCCATGTTTTGTCCCGAGCGCCCGAATAGTTGGGGGGGGGGGGGGGGGGCGTGGGGTTGTCACGCACGGCATCCATTGCTCCCTGCGCTTCTTTGGAAGCAAGTCCAGCAGCGGAAGGAAAAGACTTCCGGCAATGAGCCATGGAACGCTCGTTAGATTTGTTGGAAGCAAAACGTATTCGAAGCCAGAGGACTTGGCATGAGCGCGATTCTTGAGCAAGCCAAAGCCTAGAAAGCCTAGAGTCGCAGCAATGACGCTGAAGGTCGATGTCGCTAGTAAGGAATACATAGTGGTCAGGTAGGCCAGCGTCACTGCTAGGTGGGTGGAAGCCAGGTGGATGGGAAATGTTGTGGTGAGCAATCTAGCGCTTTCGCCTCTCCGGTTTCTTGGTCCGCAAAGGCGTTTGGCGCCGGTTAGTGAGGCTGGCAGGGTAGGAAAGCAGGCTATGGACGAGAGGGAAAGAAACGCAGAAGATTGATGACCTTTGAAAACTGCTGTGTGTTTCTTGATCTGTGCTTGGAAATCCAGCTTCTGCCTACAAGCCGCGTGACGGGAATGGAAATGGCTGTCTCATTCATGGCTGCAAGGGACTCTCAGGTCGCCTGGATCCCTGGAGGTATGAATGGATGCATGCATTGTGCGATTCCATACAAAGAGTGCCTCAAAGTCCGAGTCAAGAAATATTCGCTGCCGAGCAACCAACACGTTGCTGGATGATACATGACCCGGGAGTATCCGATCTGGCCAAGCAATCGAATGAGACCTAGATTCCTCTTCTCCCTCTTGTTCGTGGACCAAACAAGTGAAATCTGCAGTCAGCGTGGTGTTCGGGTACTGTAATTGATGTACCCATACAATACCTCCAGGGGCTGTTTAGTGAGAGTTGGGAAGGTTGGGGATTATGCTACTACCCCGCCAATTCCTCATTTATGCTGACTGACGGTTATTGCTCGGATATATACGCTTACCTAACATCAAGGATCATTGCTATTAATTATTACAACTACTACGGCAAATCGGCAGTGAGAAATTAAAAATTGACAATATCAGACAGCATCTTCCGGATACCATAGTAATACTAGATTGAACTTAATTCTTGGAACATTTTATGTAAGGAGACAAGGAATAACAAGTTCAACGGCATCCAATATTGTGCTCATTGCAATTGGAAGACCAATTGCCACCAGCGCTCGAACCCGAGTACTGTTCGTGCTTGGTTACTCTTTCACCATTTCAGCAAGTCGGATCGCCCAAACACGACCCAATGCAGATCCTATCTTGACCATTGGTCCTGATACTATCGTATTTAGAGGCCGATAGTCCGGTGGCAACCAGATTAGATTATCGCCGTTTTGGACAATCCAAACGTTATCAGCACTAATGCCATATTTGTAATAGCTACGGTTGCTTGCTGAAGCAGCTTGACTTGATGGTGCAGAGTCGATAGAAGGCGAATCAAAAGTAAAATAGCCCGTGTTCGACAAAATATGAGACGGATTATCTGGTTCAAACGATAAGTAATAAATACAGTGGTTTACCTTGATTGTTTCCACGCAGACGCCGGATACAACGTCCCACAGCTTGATCGTCTTATCGTGTGACCCAGATACTATCCTGCAGCCATCAGTTGAAATCGCCACGGCCCTGACTCGCGAGGAGTGGCCTCTGAGCGTCTGTAAGCAGGCGTCCGACTCGGTGCTCCAAAGCTTCACCGTGTGATCGTCGGAGCCGGACGCCAGCTGGTAGCTATCGGTCGAGAATGCTAGAGACCATACTGCCGCGGAGTGGCCCTGAAACGTCTGCAGGCACACACCGGATGCGACGTCCCAAAGCTTAATAGTATTATCATCTGAGCCAGACGACAGTCTAGATCCGTCGGTTGAAATAGCAACGGATCTGACCGGGTAAAAATGGCCCTTGAATGTTTGCAAGCAAGCGCCCGATTCGCTGTTCCAAAGCTTAACTGTTTCGTCGTCGGAGCCAGACACCAGCCGGCGGCCATTAGTCGAGATTGCTATGGACCATACGGCTGCGGAATGACCTCTGAACGTTTGGAGGCAAGTGCCCGATTCGGCGTCCCAAAGCTTGATTGTCTTATCTTCTGAGCCGGACGCCAGCCGACGACGGTCAGCCGAAATTGCCACGGACCATAATGGCAAAGAATGGCTATTGAGCTCTTGTAGGCTGGCATTCGACTTGGCATCCCAGAGCTTGATCGTATTATCTTCGGAGCCGGATACCAGCTTATCTTTATCGGCCGAGATCGCTACAGAATAAACCGAGTTAGAATGGCCTGGAAGCGTTTGCAAGCAGGCGCCTGATTCCGCGTCCCAGAGCTTGACTGTTTTGTCTTCTGACCCAGATATTAGCCGGCGGCCGTCAGTCGACATTGCCACTGATCTGACCCAGTAGGAATGGCCTTGGAAAGTCTGCAGGCAGGTGCCTGACATAGTGTCCCAGAGCTTGACCGTATTATCGTCGGAAGCAGAAGCTACCCTATAACTATCGCTCGACATTGCCACAGAATTGACCGAATCAGAATGGCCTTGGAGAGTCTGCAGGCAGGCGCCTGATTCGGCATCCCAAAGCTTGACCGTATTATCATCGGAAGCAGAAACTACCCTATCGCTCGACATCGCCACGGAATTGACCGAGTTAAGATGGCCTTGGAAAGTCTGTACGCAGGTGCCTGATGTAGTGTCCCATAGCTTGACCGTATTATCGTCGGAGGCAGAAGCTACCCTATCGCTCCAAATCGCCACAGAATTAAGCGAGTCAGAATGGCCTTGGAGCGTTTGCAAGCAGGCGCCTGATGCGGCGTCCCAAAGCCTGACCGTGTTGTCGTCGGAGGCAGAAGCTACCCTATCGTTCGAAATCGCCACAGAGTTGATCGAGTCAGAATGGCCTTGAAGAGTGAGTAAGCAGGCGCCCGACTCGGCATCCCAGAGCTTAGCTGTTTTGTCTTTTGAGCCGGATGCTAGTCTGCGGCCGTTGGGCGATATCGCCACGGAATGGACCGTAGAGGAATGGCCCTCGAGGGTCTGTAGGCAGGCGTTCCAATCCGCCTCAACTTCCGGTGCCAATTCTATCCAAGTAGGGTATTCCTTTTGAAACAGCCATTTGATAAGACTGTTCGTCGGGCTGAATATGAGCGCTGACGTGTACGTCTGCAATGGAGCAATTCCAATGCCCCCTTTTTGTGAAAAAAGAAACCGACGAGCATCGTAAGCAAGACGTTGCAGCTCCTCGGAGTTAACGTTTGCCTAAAAGAAATTGGTCTTTCTATCCATTGTGATGATGAGATTTAACAGAAATGCGTGCTTACCAGGACTCTTGCCAGCGTTTGCATTGCTTGAACACCTTCTGGGATGTTGCGCATCAAACTTAGAGCCTCAAGCCACTGCAGGAATTTGGTCTTGAGAAAGTACAGAGTGATATTGATCACTGAGTTTTCGTTTATGCCTCCTTTTGTCACGAGCTCTGCGTCTTCAAGATGATCTGCCCAATAAACACAAGAGTATCGAATACGCGACAGCGGATCAGGAGAAGGAGTCTTAACTTTATGAGTCAGATATCCAGGGTTGCGCAGATTATAAATGTCACGCCTTAAGGTGTTGCATAAACGATCCATCGAATCTGCGAAGATCTTCCCGTGTTGGCGTTGAGTACCAGATCGTACAATCCTGTGTGAAGCTTTCCCGAGCAGGAATTCTTTTGCGGACTGATGAACGAAGTAAACCGTCCCTTCGCGAAGTGTGAGGAAGGAGCCGCATAATTCAATGATGCTTTGAACTTCATCTTGGTCGAGGTCTTCGGTAGAGCGGACCAGGCCCTTTAACTCATCTAAGGTTATTGGTCGATATACTATCGAAACTAGGGCCAGGATCTCGCGACAAATTTTGGCATCCACAGACTCAAATAAATGTTCAGTCATCCTCTCGTAAAGGTCGTCGAGCCCTGCAGGAAATGAATTCAACATGCTTAGCGTATGCCTCTCTGCAACCTTGGGACTTGCAAGCTCCTGGCAGACCAGGGCTACCCACAGGAAAGTCCCTTCGGCGTTTCCCATCAAGTGGCGTCGCACAGCTTCTTTTGTTGTGTCTTTTTTATATGGCTTGGTTCTTGCCAGCTGGTCTACCTTGTAGTCGATAAAGAAGTTGACAGCGTTGGTGACCGCATTTTGATTCACCTCGAGTTGGAGCGTATTGAGGTGCTTTGCGCTATTGAGCTTTGCTTCTATGTCTGGCCAATTACGACTGGATACAATCCATCGTACTTTCGGGCAATCAACGATAAATCCAAGAAGTTGTTCCCTATCGATAGAGCACTCGTCTAAGGCATCGATAATTATAATAGCGTTTTTCACACTCGGGTCGTTCAAGACAGCGATCGCGATTTGTCGAACGTCGTACCAAGCGTTGGCACCAGCGAATAGCTTCTCTCCTTTATCATCATACTGCTTTTGTATATGCTGAATAAGCAAATCGTTTTGGCTGGCAAGGTGATAAATCAATCCCCGTAACACAGATGTCGCGTTGTTCAGTACGTTTATAGTGGCTTGGCAAAAGAAATAGGCCAGTGGGGCTGAGAAGTCTTTTTGCAAATGATCAATAATACCACAAAGAAGCATCGTTTTGCCTTTTCCAGGATCCCCTCTGATCCAAAGAAGTCGATTATGAGGGTCGTTGCGAAATCGATTGAAGTTTTCATGCGTGAGAATCCAGGAGTAAGAACCTGCAAGTAAGCCGCCTTTGGTTTCTTCGATACGCTTTTTGTCGATGCGCGGGTCCGTCACGAAAAGGTCACGTAAGCACTGCCTGTCTTTGTCGTCTCGGTTTCGTCTTTCTTGTTGTCGAGTTTGATCCCGAATAGTGAGGTTCACTTTGGCAACTTCGGTACCAACTAATTACATTTTCGTCAACACTCGATTCTGGAGGACAGACTTAAAAAGCGCGGAAACACGTACCATTGAAAAGAGTATCGACGAGCTTCTGCTCAGCCTCTACCCTGCCAGTCCCGACTTTGCGAAGAAGGTCTTTTGCATAAGCAGCCGCTGCCATGGCTGCATAGCCTTGCCACTCTTTGCTTTTATGTGTATCCGAATAATCACAGATGCCACGGATGATGAGGCATGGGAAATGGTTCATAAGCCCGGCAGCCTCCATTTCAAAGCACAATACGTCCTTCTCAAATGAGAGCCGATCGCGCATATATGCATCCCTCATTAGCTGGTTTGCCGAAGCAATAAGTCCAAGATGAATCATTGGGCCATTTTGATGCGCTTGGAGTCGCGCAGGTCTCGTAACCAACTGCGATGCATCGACACATACGGCTGTGCACTCCTGGTCTTTATCTCCGGCATGCTTATACACAGAGCTAAACAGCCTATCCGTACTTGGGTGCGGCTTTCCGTACTTCGCGCGTAAATGTGGCTTTTTATCGAGAATACGAATAATATTCCTGTCGATGCTATTGCCGTCGCTTTCATAATCAGCCTCTAGGATAGAGATTGCCCTCAATAGGCATTGTGGTGGCTGATTTAGGTGTCCAGTCACCTGAAAGCTCTCATTTTGGATAGTCTTGCCGAAATCATATTGAAGCACGCCCCCCAAGCCCGAGCTAGGTGAGCTTACAACAATATCGCCGAGCCGAATGTCATGTCTTCTGCTAGGTGCGCCACCGCCGATGCCAACCATCAAAGCGAAGCGTAGCTTAGGAAAGCTGTGCGCCATGTCTCGAGCAATGATTGCAGCGCTAACAAGACCATATTGCCCGTAGGGCAATGCAACGATGACAACATTATGCCTTCCAATCTTTCCGAGAATATACGTATTATCGTCGTGGTCGGGTAGCTGGTCTGCGTCGTCATGTGTCTCATCCAGAAATTGCTTGGCCGCAACGAGCTCTGTTCCAATAGCACAAATCCATGCAACCGTATAAATCGTCAGGTCGGACATATTTCATAGTCATCGGTCATATTGAAATGGGATACCATTGCGCAGACCAAGACATGAAGTGTTTGAGTGAGGGAACGTGATACGTTGGACACGATAGGATCAACCCGCTCCATTAAAGGCCTTGTGGAAGGCAGTGGTGAGTCGTCATGGTTGTCTATGCACTTCCGTGGCGATGCTGCAGCTGTATACCTTGGGTCAATAGCTAGCGAAGATCAAGTAGCCGTGCAGGGGGATGAAGATACACCGGTCTGATCTGCCGGCGAACCAAGCACGATTCCAGCCCACCATCTCGCTTTGAAGCTTTGCTATCGTCATCCCGACACTTAGTGTTTCTTGCCAATCAGCTCGTTATTTCTCGGACGATGCGTAAGATCGAGGACTTCCGGAGTTGTTTAGCCAGGGTATAAGTCTATGGCTGTTACCATTTTGTAAGAGCCGGTCAGCCTCAGATATAGTGGCGCAGCGTTGTTGTCGGGTAAAGGATAACAAAAACTGATTCGGATTATATGAGAACACGATATCACCACAGTTGTGGGTCATATTCAATGTTTTGGTATCATGAGTCTGACCAACCCATCTGCAGGCTGAAGATTTTCGCAATGAACTCGTTCTAGGATTTGATCCTTTTGAGAACTTGTGTCTTCCTTGCGTGCTTGAAAGTCTTGATAGCCTCGAACATTCAGCACGGTGTTCTCAATTGCCTGAGTTGAAAGCCCGCTTCATAGTTTCAAGCTCTCTTTCATGACTAGTAACAGCTGTTTCTCTAGTCATCCCCGGCGTCCTTGGCCGATTCAATTATCGTTGGGGCCATTACGATATGAGCAACCCTGTACCCCAACATCTCTGGATGTGGAGGGTAGTTGCCAGCTCTAGATTCAATGCACCTATGACCGAGCGGCCGGTGTGAGAAACATGCAAATCCTTGGTGAGGAGGCTGATCGCATACACTATACAATTTATTGGTTTATGATATCGATCTGCGGGGGCATAGTTGGGCCGCAGTGCTGCCTAGCTGTTCTTCTACCCTGTTCCACCCTGCGTTTTTGGTTATGGTCCCACCTTGATCCACATTTTTACGTTCTGGCACTCATTTCCAGGAGATCAATAAAAAATCATATATTCACTACCTGCTTGCTGATCTCGCTCGCTTTAGGAACATGCACCGTTGCAGGGAGACGAACATGCGTCTTGGCCGAGACAGATACGGGTGAGAGGCATATCGAGATAGGGAAGAAGGATGCTTTATGAAATTTATCTTCTTTTGGTGTAGCTTGAAGGCGAGGAGGATTCCGTGATGTAACACAACCTTTTCGCAAGCCAGTCAAGAATTTCAGACAAATGCACCTATAATAGCATTCGTGCGTGTTGCTGTGACTATACCGCTGAGCGTGGGGGCGGATACCAATAATGTCGCATCTGGACCCCCCTTGGAAGTTATGCGGTATAACGAATCCGGCTGTCAGCCAGACTGACATCCAAATTCAGCCAGACTATTGCTTTTGTCATTGCGCATCCATTCTCCACCGCCCTTGCCCTTGAGCAATTCCCAGCTCATCGCGGGTTGGTCCTCGACGAAATCTCCGATCTTCTGCTATAGGTACAGGTCTCACCTACCGCAAGTACTCTTCATTTCTTTGCAAGAAGGTATCGTATTGAGTTATTTGCGTTACAGACTCCTCCACGCATTCGCTCAAATTGGACGATAGCAGGGTTGAATCAAGATTATGCTACGGAGCACTTGATTATAGGCGCTACTTACGGCGCAGCGTGGCACAATCTTGAGGTTGCGACGAAACTGGATAGCTACAGACTAACTGCAAGAGCCGAGGCTTTCGAAAAATGCCTGCCTTTCCGGAGCTTCGTCAGGCTAGGTGGCCATATTGCAGCAGGGTTTTGACACCCACATGGCTCGCAAGTACACTACTGAAAAGGGCCTTACAGTATACGCTGCGTCGAGCTGAAACGTCGGCGAATCAGATTCGATCGCAGCCCATCATCTCTTTGTAGCCTTGCCATAGCAATCACAGCAACTGGTTTTTCTTACCACTCAAGTGCGCATGGGCGATCTCATCTGTCTTGATTATTAAGTCGCGACGGCTGTGCTGCCCTTGAAAGAGGGTGGAACTCGATCCGTCTTCTCGGTGCCGAAACCTGCTTACTCGATTCGTCTCCTCGGTGCCGAATCCTGTTTTCTCTGTGAGAAGAGTGACCGAAAGCGACCAATCCTATATCGGAAGGAAAAAAAAAAAAAAAAAAAAAAAAAAAAGAAAAGAAAGAAAAAGCTAGCCCCGGCATGCCACAACGACCCATTTGGGCACGCAATGAAAACGGCGAAAACTACAAATTTACAAAGTCATCAATTCATCACTGATCCGAATACTGGGCGGCCGCTTCTCAGACCATCTATGGCAGAGTGGACGGGATGCCAAGTTTTCTAAGAGGTATAGTCGTATGTATCAGTGTTTTTCGTACTCGTATTTATATTAGGATCATATTCTAGAGGGGTTCTCTATAAAAGTGAGCTGGCAGGGACCCACTCATTTTCTATCACGTTGGCTGCCAAGCGGCGCCAGCTGCAACGGCATCTTCAAATTTCAACCCTGCGCATCTGAAAGTGATGATATCAGCATTGTTGAAGGGCAGCTCGTAGGGATCCATAATTGAACCCATCCTAGTTCATCCAACTCTGGGGATCTGTAGTCGCCTATAACCATGAGATGACACCGGCGGCTTGATTTTGTTGTGGATACTAGAAAAGTCGCGGCGAGATGCGGTATGCCGATTTCCTCATCGACTTGGCCTCGGTCGTCCAAGCTTCGAGGTCCGTCGCTTCTAGACATCTGGAGCTGCGTGGGAGGCAACTGGACCGCTACGGCAAGACGTCGAGTATAGTGCGATCCATCAAGGGTCAGAATGCACGAGCACCGAGGCCGGCAGGCTCAACAACAGATGCATTTACAGCCTCGCAATCAGATGCTGCCGCGTCGCATGCATCGGCTCCGGGCTCGGAACCTACCGGAGTGAACCCCCCTGGATTTGAGTCTTCATCGTCCAGGCCGGTACATGAGCCAACGCTGTCGGAGCGGCGCAACGCATACCAGGACCTCGCTCAAGGGTCATCGAAGCAGCCTGTTCCTGAAGTCCCACTTACGCAGTATGATCAAGGACGGCCTGGCTTTCATCCTGCAAATCCCAGTGATGCCGCGCTTCATGCCAGTCTGAATGAATCAGCACCCAAAGCGCCTGCTGCTGCTGCTACTGCTGCCGCCGCCGCCGGAGAAGATGTGCCGCCAGAAGTGGATGTCAACATCTTTCACACTAATCGTGGCGCCTCAATGCTCGATGGCCACAAGGACTATTTGGGCAAGATACGGCCTGCGACGCCTCCTCCAAAGCCAAGCTGGTTCAAGGACTTTGGTCATGATAAAAAGGCCGAGTCACCAGCGACAGCCGTCCCAGAGCAAACGAAGACGCACGAGCCTGAATTACAAGCGGCAGAGTCGGCAAAGTCTGCTGAATCTGGGGCGTCTGCTGATGTAAGCGCATCAAAGGATGAAGTGACCATCTCAACACAAGATCCATTGGAAACTCCAAAGGCAGAAGAGGTGCCGGAACCCAAGCGTCAAGGCGCAGAGAAGGAGCATACAGAAATGGTCAAGGAAGTATTGGCTCAAGCAGAAGCCACGGCACCGGAAACAAGCACTATGGCGCCAGCCATGGATACGGCCAAGCCAGCCTATGCGCTCCGCGAATCCAAGGTTCCCTCCTCCAGACTCGGTCGAATGTGGAACTATGGCAGTCTGGCTGCGGGCATGCTCGGAGGCGCCATCAGCGAGGGAGTCAGCCGCGGCTTCGGCGGTGGCTCTGGCCAGGGATCGGTATTGCTGAGTTCTGGTAACATGGAACGTCTCGTCTCCAAGCTCTCCCAGATGCGAGGTGCCGCCTTGAAATTGGGTCAAATCATGTCGTTCCAGGACTCCAAAATGCTCCCTGCACCGATCCAAGAGGTCTTGCAGCGAGTACAGGACCGCGCCGACTATATGCCTGCATGGCAACGCGACCGTGTTCTCACGGCTAATCTTGGAGCCGAATGGCGAGACCTGTTCTCCGAGTTTGAGGAGACGCCCATTGCGGCAGCCTCGATTGGTCAGGTCCACCGTGCAACGTTGAAATCTGGCGAAAAGGTTGCTGTCAAGATTCAATTCCCTGGTGTTGCCGATTCAATCAACTCTGATCTGGACAATCTTTCCATGCTCCTCCTGGCTACCAAGATGCTGCCGCGTGGTCTGTATCTCAACAAGACCATTGACAATGCCCGTGTGGAATTGGGCTGGGAATGCGACTACGACCGCGAGGCCACCTGCGCCCAACGATACCGCGAGCTGCTCGAGGGCGAGGAGGACGTCTTTGTCGTGCCCAAGATCTATCCCGAGGCATGCGGGAAACAGGTGCTGACCATGGAGTTCATGGCGGGCATTGGCGTCACGCGCGTCACGTCGTTTACGCAGGAGCAGCGCGACTGGATCGGCACTCAGATCCTGCGGCTGTGTCTGCGCGAGATCACCGAGTTCCGGTTTATGCAGACGGACCCCAACTGGACCAACTTCTTGTACAATGCCGAGACGGAGAAGCTGGAGCTGCTCGACTTTGGCGCCTCGCGCGAGTACCCCGAAGAGTTTGTCACCATGTACGTCAACCTGCTGGCCGCGGCGGCGCGGTCGGACCGTGACACGGTCAAGGACCTGAGCGAGCGGCTGGGCTACCTCACGGGCCACGAGAGCAAGACCATGGTCGACGCCCACTTGGCCAGCGTGCTCACGCTGGCCGAGCCGTTCCTGCAGAGCGCCCCCGACGTCTATGACTTCCATGACCAGACCATTACGGAGCGCGTCAAGGCGTTGATCCCCGTCATGATTCGTGAGAGATTGGCCCCGCCGCCCGAGGAAACCTATAGTCTGCACCGGAAGCTCAGCGGTGCCTTCTTGCTCTGCGCTCGACTTGGTAGCCAGGTCAGGTGTAAGGAGCTCTTTGAGCAGGCCCTGCTAAAGACAGACTTGGAGGTCAAGAGGTAATGTGTATCATATTTTGAAAGCAATGACGAGGAAACAAAACTGTATCACCACTTTTGTACACATGAAACAGATGATGGACCAAAACTGTTGCATCATAGAGAAGCGAGGCACCAAAGCCTAATGGTATCATAAAACAATATGTAGACTATTCTCCACGAGCCAAAAGCTAGACCATTCTTCTCCTGATCTCGTAGTTTCTTTGATTTCTTCTACTCCCCAAACATTGCCGCCTATCGTGCTCGTCTCTCCATGGGCAACTCCTTTCTCTCCTTGGCCACATCCTTCTTCCGACGGCGCACAATGGCCTTGTCGACCTGCCGCTTCTTCATGCCCTGGAAGCGCTCGGTAAAGACGCGCTTGCGCTGCTCGCTCTTCTTGAGGTAAAACGGCTGGCTCTTGACGCCCTGGCGCACCAGCTCCTTTTCCTTTTTGCGGTGCTCGTCAATGACGCGGTGCTCGGCGTCCCGGCGCTCCTGGGCCTGCTTGCGCGACTGCATGCTCGCGAGCTCGCGCTCCAGGCGCTGCTTCTCAAAGGGGTCCTTGGTCTTCTTGATGCGCGTCCGCAGCGCCGCCATTTCCGAGTCGCGGTACGAGCCCAGGAAGGCATAGTTGCGCCGCAGGGCGTCCTGGGCGCGCTCGGCGTCGGCGGCCGTGCTGTGGAGGGGTGGTCCGAAGCGCGGGTCCCGCGCCGCCGGCTTGCTGGCGCTGGCCACGTCGACGACCTGCCTCCGCCGCGTCACGGGCTTCTTGGACGTCATTTCGGCCGGTGCGTGCTTGTGCGCTCGTCCTGCCACGGGCTTGATCTTGCTCTTGCCGTGTCGGTCAAACTCTTCCGGGGACGAGTCCGAGTCCGAGTCGTCTCCAGATTCTTCATCGCCCGGCTTCTTGTGTTTCCGCCTCGAGACCGCGGGCAGTGATGCCTGTGCCTTGGCGAGGGCGCCGAAAGATATTTGCGAGGCGGCTAGCGAGGGGTTCGAGGGTTCTCCGTCGTCGCTGTCGTCCTCGTCGTCCTCGTCTTGAGATTGTCCGTCCTCATTCATCGCAGATCCCGACAACGAGGCTCCGTCTTGGTCTTGGCTGTCGTCTGAGGCGTCATCGTCGTCGTCTTGATTCCCGTCTTGCGACGACTCGCTCTCGTAGTCTTCTGCAAAGTCGGGCTCGGGTTCGTCTTTTCTGGCGCGCACCCGCCTTTGCAGTCCCGAAAATGGGAATTTTCGTTTTGATTGCTGTGAATGATTCATAGCTTCGCCTGTGCTAAATTGTCACAATTTGAGAATATAAAGTCAGAATTTTGGAAATAATTGGGAGATGTTGCAAGAGCCGATGCGGGAATCAACTGATTTTCTTGAATTCTTATCGATAAAGCAAGAACACAGCCAGCTCACATTAATGCATACATAGTGGGTGGGTAATGTGGGGTATGTTTCAAGTGGATACAATACACGACTTATACTACCTAATCTTTTTGGGAATCCAAGGTTTGTGTATTCAGTACAAATGAACAGATCTTGGGTTTCAAGTTAGTTGAATAAAGTGCACAAGATCTAATTGCCTCCCACAGCCCACTGGAAATAGCCGTCAAGCCGGAGGTCCCGGGGCCTGATGCTTTTATCCGCCAGAACGAGAGTTGTATCCATTACCTTAATCAAAGACTCAAAGTCAACTTTCCACAAACCTCAACCTAGGTAGGTATATATGTGTGCCCAGGTCCCTGATACTGAACAGCACATGATTGGCGGAATCGCTGGCATATATATCAACATTTGAAGTAAATAAAAGGCATTTCTGTTTCTTGTCTTATATATCGATTTGTCCTTCTATGATTTGGCAATGTATAACTATCAATTGCATCATGGGATTGAGGGCGACTATCAAAAGTAAACGTTATCTGTCTTGCATGTCAATTTACCTCAATCGAGTCGAAGCAAAAAAAAAAAAAAAAAGGCGCGCGCCCAAAGCCAAAAGATGGCGTGAGACGTGTTCGATCATCATGCGCGTCGTGTCGCGTACCGTGCTGGTACAAAATCTTGTAAGTTGTGTCTCAGGTAATATAAATACTAGCAGAACGTGAAGACTTATCTTTTATCTCAGGACCTGTCTCAGGACCTGAGTTCTGCTAGTATTTATATCACCTGACAAGTTATATTTTATTCCTTATCGTGCATTCTCTAACCACTGGCCGAACCATCATGGCTAGTACAGCGAGGATCGATCCTGCTTTGTTGAGCCCCAATGACACGTTTGTGTTCGAGTTCGATTATGACGCGCCACCAATGCGTCCCGAGCAGCGTGAGGTGTGCATTCAGTGGCTTCGGTCTATCCACTTTCTCGAACCTGGCGGCCGCAACGAGATTAATTGGCGAGTCATTAAAGAGAAGTGGATTCAGTTCTCACAAGAACGATCCAAGAGTGTACACCTCCGACGCTGGCAAGAAATGTTCTGGCCCTGGATAGACGGCCTTGAAGGACTTTCCGAACGATGGCCTGCGGCGGCGCGGACCCTCTTGAACCAATGTGCGGATGGCCCAGATGCCAAGGCCTTTGAATCTTTCGGTGCCCGATGGCACGTGGAACCAAGACGGCGTCTGCATACGGTATGGTCAGGTCTATTCATGTTTTTGCTATACAATCATCCCTGGGGTGGAACAAGAGAGCTTTTCGACATGGGCTTATATGCCCCCATAGATGAGGACTGTGAAGTTTCAAGCCAGGATTCATTGATCCTACCAGGAGATGACTCGAAGTTGTCCTGGGAGTTAGGCGACCTATGGATGTCTCTCATATCGCGGTATCCCCGTGCCCATGTAATGGCGGACACGCATTCCCTCGTCATCGATGCTCTAAAGGGCGTTAGGGAAACGAAAGCGGACAACAATGCGCTGCTCTGGTGGACGGCCATCTTGGTACGGTCCGCAGTGTCGGTGTCCGACGGGAACGGCGACGACTGGATCAGCCACGGGAAGTGTCCGTTCGGGAATCTGTTGGCGCCAGACCTGGACTTGCTCAAACGAGTGGAAGCGATACGACACTATTGCAAAGTGATGGTGCTGGACCACGCCATGTATACATGGGCCCCCAGAAATGTAATACACGGGCTTTGCAAGGTTGAGACGCAGCTGAATAGCCAAGACACGAGCTGGATGAACGGGATCGACGGGATCCGCCCTGACGAGCAGCAAGACCAGATCAACACGGATTCGGCGGCATGGGAAGATGTGCTATCGCACTTGAACCAAGTAGGGGGAAGGCTACTTGGAGGCAAGAAAGGTACAGCAATGTATGAGATCAATCGTCTATACCGAGGGTTACGAGACTGTGTCAGGGAAGACACGGAAAAGACGGCAGGAGAAGGCGCACAGGGCCATGTCTTGGATAAAGTCAAAGAAGAGCACAAGGAGGAATCAAATCAAAGGAAAGAGTCAAAATAGAAGAGTAGACCAACCACGAGATCCGGTCCAAATCGTCGACGGCGCCTTTGCCTCGAACTCTTGGATCATGGAGACGTGAGGGATGATGGTGCAGTCGGGTCACCTAATCAGGGTTCTGAGTCTAATGCGTTGACATAAGTCTGATTTCTTTCTTCCTCCTCCTCTTTTGTGGTATCTTTTAGTCAGCATCTTATATACCTCTTTTGCGCACCAACACGAAACAACCACGTAGAACAAAAAGTAACCTGGAAATTGTCTGAGCATGCAAATATCTAGAGGTTATGGGTGTTTGGCTATTCAGTGACAATCAAATTTCTACCCCTAGATTCAACGGCAAAGTATCGGAGGAAGTGGTACTTTTGGCAGTGGGACGGTTCTGCTTTCATTGTGCTTCTTCCCCTCGTCGGGCTACGGAGTCACACACGCTTGTTGCGTACACACTGTTCAAGTCGATCAAATCAATAAACTTGATCGAGGCGTCTCTCGCTACCATTTACGTGGCAACGTGCACTTGGGCAAAACATTTGGTTGTGTACTTTGGTTTGGAGTCTCGATTTCAACTGGAAAATGTCTGGAATTCTCATTGTACCAAGGCAACTTGTGGTTGCTCCATAATAGTCTGACTATAGGACGTACATATACAAGTAACAAGCAGTATCGTAAAAGATCATACATTCATTCCTTTATAGAGATAAATCGATCATCGCTCCAAACATAGCACTACTAAATATGAAGATCATTCCATCAGATCATGGCCCATACCACAAGGGCCCTTGGCCACTAGGATGGGCACTATGTGGAGATGTATCTTGGACCTCCGCATTGTGTGCCATCTGTGTAAAAGGGATTGCCCCTTGTCCCCCGGTCATAAACATGGGCACCTGCTGTTGCGCTCCTGGAGTTTGCTGAATGGGAAAGTAACCAGATGTCTGAGAGTGCTGGAGTTGAGGGCGCCCCTGCATCATGTCTAGGTCCATGGCATCGTTTTCTATCGGTCGAAACATCTGTTCAATTGAGCTCTGGTCCATGAGGAAGTGGTTAGGCGACAGGACCGGGTCCGAGTAGCTGTCCAACATGGCTGCATCATTACCATTCCATGTTGTTCCGATTCCCGTAAAAGCGTGATAGTCTGTACCTGACCCTTGAGCACCATACATCTGGCTGTTGTAGAGATTATCAGCGGCGGCTTGCTGAAGAGGATGACTATGCGGTATCTGGCTCGGGTGTACAGGGTTCTGCGGCGGAATGACGTGTTCCATCTCATGAGGTATCGAGCCCTGTCGCTGACTTGATGAGCTGTTTGATACCTCGTCGATAGGATGCAGGTAGTCATCATTTGACAAGTGCGTGCTACCAGGGCTACACTGCTGTGCCATGCCACTTGAGTCTGGAGTCAAGCGGTCAGATGGACCCTCCAGACTGTTGTGTCTGTTCAACAAGCTGATGTCGACTGCCCCTGCCATGGTAGTTGGTCCCGGTTGGGTGCCTGGATTTGTGATGCTTTGGTTTCCACTGACCACGCCAGACTGTTGGAGCGTGCTGGCAAACTCGACCATGCCCCTATTCAGTATGACCGCGACTTGTTCATATGATATGGGCCTAGTATTGTCCATCTCATGGAGTAGGCGGTTGGCCAAACTTGGGATATGATGATCTCGGAAATCCTTCACCAGCTTATGGAATTCGGACAAGTTGACAAACTCATCCTTGTAGGGGGTAGGGGGTCGAGGTAAACCTTGAAAGAGTGTATCCCAGATGAAATACCACTGCTCCTCGAGCGACACTTTATGGTTCGTTCGTGGTCTCAAGATCTCGTGCTGCTTGGGTGTCATGCCCTCTGGATCCCCACGCTCCCGGATTTCACATCCCTCCAAGAGATGCCGATCAAGATGATCCTGGCTGTTGAAGCCATCGCGACAGCGAGGGCAAACTACAATCAAGTGGCAACGCTTCAAGTGCTGCTTCACATGCTTGATTTCTCTGAGTTCATAGTTGTGGCAATGCTCGTAGCTGATTGGATCTTTCTTGGCAAAGGGGCAGGCTAGGAGTACCTGCCGCTTCTGCTCCGCATCAGGACCTTGCGTTGCGTTTCGTACCTTTCCACCTCGAGATCCACTGCCGTGACCAATTCCCTGATTTGCTTTGCTTTGGCCTGTTGCCCCTGGAGGATCATTTGCCGGAGGTGTTGGTATAGAGGAGGCGCCATCAAAGGAGCCATTCTGTCGCCCTCGAGACCCGCTGGGACGGTCTTGTACTCCACTCGCCGGATGAGATCGAATTGGCAGATTGTGAATCCTAGGTTCAAAGGGTGAATGCTCGCCATCGTGGCTGGCATCTTCACTCTCGGAGGGCGTGTCGTATTCAGAGTCTGTACTTGATAAGGTCGAGTCAACACTACCAGACGCCCCCTGGCCGACGCCAGAAGCGAACGAGCTACCAGCGCGGGCCAATGGCGGACGCTCGTTTGTTACATTGGGGCCGCGGTTGATACTAGAGTCATGCGGGTCTGGGTTTGGATTCCTCCTGGTTGGCACAATCGGTTCAGAAGCACCGTGATCATTGATTGGAAACCTCGAGATGTTCGGACGATCCAAAGACGCCCTCCGACTGTGCGAAGATTCTGGATCGTGGGCGGCGTCCTTTCTGAAAGCCGATGGGTCTTTGTCAGCTATTGACATGAACGTCTCATTTCCTGTTATTTGTATACCGGCAGGGAGGCCGATGACACTCGCATTGGTGATACTAGTGCGCCGCGACATGTCGTTTGAGAATATCGAAGGCGCCAGTCCGGACTCCAGTGATGTCCTGCTGGGACTGAACAAGCTCGAATTTCCGCTCTTGAGTCGGGGCTGCCACATTTTGTGAAACATGGAACTTGCCACGCTAGGTGGGCGACTCGATCTTTGTGGCTTGGCATTGTTGCTGGCGTTGGAAGTTACAATGCTTGAAGAACTTGGAGTCGTTGCAACACCAGCTGGTCGCTGTCTAGCATTCTTGAGCGCCTCTTTGACGTTTGTGCTCCACACTCCTCCCACGTAACTGATCGCCGTCTTTCCAGTGTTGTCTGCAATGGTTGGGTCTGCTCCTTTCTTCAGCAATTGCTGGACGATATGGATCCCCTCGGCATGAGACGCAGCATACTGCACAGCCACGATCAATGGAGTCTGCCCACCAGGTCCCCTAGCATCAAGATCGAGATTTTTAGCTTTATCAAGCAGTGTCTTGACAATCTGTCGACGACCACGTTCACATGCCATGTAGAGGGGAGTCTGAGCATTGTTCTCGGCCAGATTCGCGTTGGCCTCGATTTCGAGAAGAAATGACACCATGTCCACCCAGCCAACCTCACACGCTGCATACAAAGGAGTCTTTCCAGAATGGTCCTGCTTGTCCCTTAGGCTTGGATCCTTGCTTAGATAGAATGCAGCAATCTTAGTGCCATCCTTTTTTGTCGATCGTTCTAGCGACGCATCGCGACAGTGTAGGCAACGATGGAGCACCGTCTTTCCTTCTTCGTCAATAACATCAGCTTTTGCTTTGTGCTCGAATAGGAGTTGGCTGATAGTCATGTTGCGTGTCTCGGCCGCTGTGAGGAGGAGTCGAGAGATGATATTGGCGGATGAGGGACGGGTCCGTTCCGTCCAGGCCAACATGGTTTCGATAATGTGCTTTGGTTCGTTGCGCAGGATAGCACGTTCCATAGCTGGGACATCAAAAGCATGGTCGCCAAGCTCAAAGCCTTCCTTTGTGCACCAATCTCCAGCTTCGGAAATTCGACCAATAGCGATGTTTCTGAATGTTTCTTGACCACTCTTTTCGACCAGCCACTGCACCATGTCTCGAGCACGGTTGAGATCAGCCGCGGTAAAGTCATAAAGATCAGCTAGGCATTGAGCTATGGGGAACATGTGCTCAACGGGAGCCGGCTCGAGCTTCAAAAGTGTCTTCAGAGACGAGTTGAGATATTCTTGTGCCTGCACCGATTCGTCCATGTCGCTTAGCCTCATGTGCAGGAAGCCAACTTTGGCATACAGTAGACCATAAGCGAGGGTATCAATCTTGCAACGGCGAGCCTGTTGCCCAGATAGAGTTGTCAGGTCGGGGAAGAGGGACCTGTCAACGGTTTCGATGTCTTCACACAAGAGGAGAATGGCCGCCTGTCTCAGCTGGGCCTCTACTTGAGCAGCAGGGGAGACTCCCCCAGCAGAGAGATCCCGGCGCAGGTCAATAATCTTTTTGTGGTAAGTGGCGGCATCTCGGTAGTTTCCAGCGTGCCTGGCATCTGCTAGATTCTTCTGGTGAGACTTGAGTTCGGCATATAGCCGCAAGACATCCCGGCGACCGATGGTAGATTCGCGTTCCGACGTATTCCTGGGTGTGATGGAAATCGTCGAAGCCGGTGAAGCGCAACTCTCAGTTGTGTGCCGTGGTTGATCGGCGCTCATTGTTGGTGGTAGACTCATAGTCGGTTAGTGGCCGCAGCAATAACACCCAACTAGGCAGCTTTCGAAAAGTCAGATAATCGGGCAATCTAGCGCCGATTTCTTTTCGCAGATGCACTTTTGAGGCCGATGTTGTTGCTCTCAGGTTGATAAATTGATGCCACCGACCGATGGGTTGATTTAGAATCAATGTCGAACTCTGAGCTCTTTCTGTTGTATTTTGTCCCAATCTGATGTCAGAGCCCAACGCAAAATCGAGTCAGTCAGCTTGGGGTAAATGGTTTCGTCTGTATGGTCAGGGCGGGTGAGTTGGAGATGCCGAGCCTTCGTGCCAATGTTGGACAGACATGAAAATGGCTAACGACGGCAGCAGGCAGACAGACAGATGACACCAAACAGACAGCTAGGAAATCAAAGCAAGCAGAATATGAGAGTTTCAGTCCTGTGCGATGTAGCCAGGCCGTCTGTCTCCTCGGTTGTGTCGCGTATGTCGAAGGTCTGCGACTCGATCGAGCAAGTTGCAGAAAACGTGGTGGAAGTGGAAGAAAAGAGGCAATGGGGAACGACCGAGGAAGAAGCTCGACCCACAGGAGACCAGGGCACGCTACTGCCTACATATTGTTGCTGAGTGTCACTGGCGGGGGAGGAAGGGGGGCAATGAATCTGGGGATGGTACCAGGTAGCCAGGGCGCTACTATGGTTAGGTGGCGGGCTTCTAACTCCATTGGGCACCATCGGTAGTTTAGCCTTTGATCTGGATCACTGAAGCCCAGCGAAGCCCTGGCTGTTGACGTCGCTGGTCTGTGTCATTGTGCAACTTCACAGCTGAACAGAGCAAACAAGGCACATTGATTCAAAGTTGCTTGCATGAAAGATTCGGGCGGTGCAGTGACTCGGTGTCAGACAAATCGTCATTGGCCGTTGATGCTATATTGACGTAGGCAGGAAGCAAAGAAAACGACTGGTGATCTACGGATGGGCTAAACTACCTCAAAGACGCGACAGCCACCGCCCTTGGCCCACGGGAAGATTGGGCGGTGCGGTGTGGTGGCATTCAAGCACTGACAGTTGACTAGGATTTCTCACCTACGGCATACCTCCCACAGTATCTTTTTAGGTGTTACCTAACGTTAGGCTAATAAGTGAGGACCTACCCAGAAGGGTAATGGTAATGGCTGTGCCCCCGCTCTTGCAGAATCTGATGGTGCATGATTTGATGCGCAGAGATTGGTTCCGAAGTGATGGATTTTCAAGGGGGACTGATAGTGGACTGACCCTCTACATTTATTATTCTTTTTCTGTTATTTTGAGCTTTGGTCGGTCCTTTTCTCCGCAAAAACCGTTTGTTTGGGAGTGGCACCAACACTTGCGGTTTCCCCATGGGAGCCCCACGGTCAACATACACTGCATGTCGTACATATATTCCGTAGCTATCCCATGTTTATCACTACTACATACAAGGTACATGGCCACACTTATCAGTAAAATACACAAAGAGGGTGCATCTGGTTTTGATTTTGTTCCTTCCTCGTTCTTGAATGTAATTTGATTTCTCTGCATGTATGTATCATCGCTTAGAGCATCGGTATTGCAAATGCAAATCGCCGGCCTTGAAGCACGCCGACCATGAGACGTTACTTCGTGTTACGACGTTGACGTTTGAGGTTATGTCCCCAGGCTCTCGGCCCTATAAGGCAAGGCATACATGGTGGTTTCGGTATCCAAATTAAGAGACCATGATGATACCTAAAGTTTACTTTGGGGACTGGGTTGATCTTTGTTGGCATAACCGGTTGGTTAGGGGGGCCCGGGTACTGGGTTGCTGGGTAGCACAAGAGCAGTGATGCTTTGACAGAGTGCGCCGGTCAAGACGCGGTTGAGTATGTTGATAATTTGTTGTTGGCTAAGTTTACCATCCATGATGTACCTAAACCCTGACGGATGGCAGATCAATGGCAGGCTGGGGATTATATGTATGTACCCTTTCAATTCATTGTTTAGGTCGCAACCGATGAAACTAAAGGTAAACCGAACAGTCGGGTTCGTGCCGTTGATCTTCTAGATCGACACGAATGCCGCCCACAATGATAGCGATTATTTTTTCATTCGCTCGTTAACGTCCATGGCTAGTTTCGTTTCTTTTTCGCCTTTCTCTTGACTTGCATTCAACCTAGTCAGCGTCGCAATGGAGGGTCGCACATTTTTTGCCAGAGTTGAGAGGCTTGAGACGACCCAATCCAGCGCGCGTGCAGAGTCCCCCGGACCAGGGACTTTTGGCTTACGTTACCCCACGTTCAGCTATTACTCCAATGTTAATAATAAATTTATGCGCCAACCTTGTCTCTTGCGCCCATCCCACTTACTTTTGCGTTGACCGAAAGGGTCCACACCGCATCCATCGGTTCGATTCATCGTCGTCACAGCCAGTCGAACCCAGCAGGCCCCAGTACGGTGAATGCACACACACGATTTCATCAGTCTTTTTTTTTCGCTAAAGAAAAGTACCACGATACATACCTTTTCTTCAAATTTACCACGACTGCCTCACCTCGTACAATACAATTATCCTGCCCGTCTCAACCTTGCCAAGCTGCTGCGCCAAGCGTTGGCCTTGTCCATGATCCGATCCGGCTACGCGTCCCGTGCTTGCACTACACTAAAATAATACATGTATCCAACCTAGCCCAGCCTCAGTGAGTCCCTACGCCAAATCAGCTTGCGCTAGGTGCTGTGCGTGCCGTCTCGTCTGGTGGGGAGCTCGGGGTACTTCGTACATTACTTGGCGTCGCTTCGTCACTTATTTTTCCTCTCCCTTCCTCCCTCGTCGCCCCCCGAGTGAGGCTGATTGGGCTGGCCGCTGCGAGAGGTCGGGGCCCCTCATCTCATCCTTCACGCCGGCGCATTTTTGGGAGCACAATCGTGACCTTTTCACCACCATCATTTTAATCTATTCATTCTTCAATTGTTCCTCTGGACTCGCTAAGCCTGTCCAGCCTGTTGATTGTTACCTCGCCAGGCAAGGCTGTGTGTCCCCACAGACGAGACAGATACCTGCCGCCCGACTACCTACCACGTATTGTGAGCACCACAATGTCTCCTTAGCCTACTGGGGCGGCCAAAGCGAACGACATGAGAGCGACAGCCGGTGGGCTCTTGTCGCAATGTCTCCACTAGTATTCAGGATAAAGGTAATCCCCAGTTCTTCAAACCTCTCGTCCGGGGAAGGAGGCGCATGAAGCCAAAGTCGATGGGCCTCGTCTCTAGCCAATTACGTCTCCTGTTCGTCTTTGATACAATTGCCGATCCGTATCCTTTTGTTGCTATAGTCGATCATCCGTGACTGTTCTCCATATCTTCTATCTCCGTTCCGTGCCACTTAGCGAGTTGGCGTATCTAATTGGCAGACCTCCTGACTCAATGTAACTTAGAAAAAAATGAGCCGTCGCTTCGCCAACAATGATGCATATCTTGGTGATGCCCTCAGTAAGCCTTTACTCTCTTCTCGTCACCCGACGACTCCACCATGGTTGTCGCATCACCATACGCATCCAAGGCCGTGGGCCGGGCATTGCACGAAAACATGCGCTAACTTTCTCTTCCCAGGCCATATTCGCGATGAGGATCTGGCAGCCGACGTGGAGGCTTTCCGCGACCAGTGGCTGTCCGAGGTCGATGTCAATGATCTGAGGAGAGCTGCAATTGTGGGCAAGCATCCAAAAACCTATGAGGACATTAGTCGTGGAACCTGGACAGGGCCTACCGAGGGCCTCGTGGAGCTTGACCCCAAGGAGAAGGAGGCTCTCCTGAAAGAGCTTGAGTCTGCCATGCCCGAGCCAGGCATGGTGCTTGTCATTCTCGCCGTCTCTCTCGCTGCCTTTCTTCAAGGTCATGTACAAACCTCCATCAATGGTGCTTCACTCTACCGCGCCAATATTGGTCTACCATCAAACGAGACCACGTTTGGAATGTCACCCGACGGCAGCAATACGGAAATGTGGATGGATCGGAATATACTCAGGCCATCACAGCCATCTCCAAACGATTGGCTATTAGGAATAACAAATGCCGCCCCCTTTTTCAGCGCTGCTCTGCTGGGCTGCTGGATGGCTCTACCATTTAGCGACAGATTTGGCCGCAAAGGATCAATGATTGTGGCAGCCGCGATGGTAATGGTAACCTCGGCCCTGTTGGCCATGATTCCGGTAATCAGTACCTCGCAACCAAAATGGCAAATCATACTCGGCATCAGGATCGTCAATGGAATCGGTAGGTCCCGCTGAGTACTAGACCCTTCATGGCGCGTATTGATCATGTTCTAGGCATGGGCATCAAGGCTGTCAACACGCCAGTTCTCGCCTCCGAGACCGCAGTCGGATACTGGCGCGGTACTTCGATTCTTGCTTGGCAGCTTTGGTACGTCTGAGGACATCGTCTCCAGCTCACAACATTCATGTGCAACTTCTTAAACTAATGCATATTTCAGGGTCGCGTGTGGAATCTTCGTTGGCTTCATCCTGAACTTGTGTTTCTCCCAAGCCAAGGACGAAAATCTTGCCCTAGCATTAATTCTTGGGGCGCCAGTGGTGCCGTCAATCGTGCTCCTTGGTGTCTTGGCTGTATGTCCGGAAAGCCCTCGCTACTACCTCCGACGTGGTCCAAACTATAATCCGAAAAAAGCATATGAAATCATAAAAACTTTACGAAGAAGTCCGGTGAGTTTAATCTGTTCAGAGACCGCCAGACCTTTCACTCATCATTCTTCAAGTTGATCGCATTGCGAGATATCTATCTACTTCACAAATCAATCCAACAGGAGGTGCAAGTGCAGTACAAGAAAAACATGGATCTCAGGACATTCGTCACCTTTATGGAAACGGCTGAATTTGGTGTTTTGAAGGACTTTGTCAAGCAATTTCGAGAACTCTTTGCAAAAAGGCGCAACAGAAATCCTCTAATAAGCAGCTCCATTGCTGCCCTCGCACAGCAATTATGCGGAAGTAAGTTTCCGACGCCTTTCGACTTGTTCTCACTTGACTAACAAGCTCTCAGTTAATATTTTAGCTTTCTACTCTGGTAGGATATCTTTCCATCATGCTTGCGGATCTCATGAACGTACATGTAGCTGACATGCCCAGGGACATTTTTTAATATCTTTTCTAATAACAAGAACATTGCAATGTACTTTAGCATTGGTTTTGGTAAGTCTTTTATGAAAATTTCCTCCGCAGGAATTGTGGGCTCTAACTTGCGTTTCAGGCTTTCTCAATTTTGTCTTTGCTTTACCTGCGATCAGGCGGATCGACACAATGGGCAGACGCAGATGGCTGCTCATAACATTACCATTCATGTCGCTCATGATGGCGGCTGCAGCTCTTTCTTTCTTGGCGTTGAACAACGAATCGATACCCGAATCCCCCAAGGTCACATGCGCCTTGGTTGTTTTGTTTCTCTATCGTGAGTGATCCATGCCTCTATTGCTGACTCCAACCAAAATTAACTTTTTTTTTTTAAGTGCATACTATCTTTTATTCCCCTGGACTCGGTACGTTTCGTTCCTGCTTGAGATTTTCCTGTACACACTAACAGAGCCAGGACCTATACCCTTCACCTTGGCTGCTGAAAGGTATGTCTCTTTGCAAGCGGACTAGTTGCAGGCATATACTGATATGATATGAGTTAGCTTTCCCTTGTCTCACCGTGAAATCGTGAGTATATAGTGGCGGTGCCGGCTTTCTATTTACTGACACGAATAGGGTTGCGCTTTCGCTATATCCGTGAATCTATTCTTTGCTGCCTGCCTTTCCCTATTCTGGCCAAGGTCTGTCATCAGTTTCTTTGTCCTCTGTCTCTTCCCTTCCAAATTGAGCAAGATGACTGAACTTTGCTATAGCCTCATTGCCGGAATTAGTTCACCTGGAACTCTTGGTCTATTTTCCTTCTTTAATGTATTGGCTTGGGTACTAGTATTTCTATTCGTGGAAGAGACGCGTCGCATATCACTCGAAGACTTAGACTACATCTACGCTGTATCCAAGAGCAAGTTTTGGAAATTCCAGCTGTACGAATATGCGCCTTGGGTATTGAAGGGATTTGTTTTGTCCATCTTTGGAAAAAGGCAAGCATCCACGGATGATGCCACCGACGATGAGTCGATATCGCAGCACCCGCGGCATGGACCTCGCCCGCAACTGTACAAACCACCTGACTTTGACAGCGATCAGCTGGACCAGTCAGGCTCCGAGGTGGAAATGGACGATTTCGATCCGGATGGGATTTCGGAAGTGAGTCGCGCGTAACCTCTTGCTATTGCTTTGGTACCATATGTTACAAAACCAATGATATTAAGATTCTGACATTACCCGTCAGGTCATTTCAAACAAACCAGATCCCAGATGATGTCAGCAAATCGGCAAATTTTGCAGCCGTAGCAATTTATCAAAATGTCTTGTTATGTGGCATTCAGATGATGTCCTATTACTTTTCTTGGCACCAATTGGTGCCAATTGGTGCAAAATGTAACATGAACATTCATGACTGTTGGTTGAGATGTCCCAAGAAGTACATGATCAAGTATAGAATACTGCAGCCAACTCAGAACCCACTTCCACAATGATACCAGGGCCCAAACCCTGTCAAGTCAACCTCAGTCCTACCTTGCCCTTGCAGCAAGAGCACAAAGGTGTGCTGACTACCTAGCCGTGTTCCTGACCGAGAAGCTTCAAATCCCGTTCCAGAAGCCTTCTAGAACAAAGAGGGCTGATTGCAGCCACAAGATTCCACGTGCTATAGACGTCATTGTACACATTCCAACGGGTCCGCACCGATGTGCTCATGCCGGGTCCCTGGCTCTCATGCAACCAACAACCCCCCATGTTCAAGTAGGAACATGGGCTGAGGCCACTGGTACCAACACGGCAGCAGTTGGTAAGGCAGCACAATCGTGACCACGCCCTTGCCTGTCAATTACCGGGACCATGGACGCGGTTCACTTCCTCTGCCCTCCCATTCGGGTCACAATACGGTAGGACCAGTCCTGCGACTCCTTTTCCCCCACGCGAAGCAGCTTCTTTTTCTTCTTGAGCCAACTGCTGTCAACGGGAAACACCACGACAATATGTTCTCGTCTTTAGACTCATGGAAAGCACCAACCAAGTTGTGAGTCATTGGCGATCAGGCAGCACGATAGCTTCAGCACGTCTATCGTGGAAGTTACGACCTGAGCTCGTCGCGAATCACTAAATAGCCATGGCATGTTGTTTCTAAGAGACAAGACTACAAGGCAACTCTATAGTTGATTGATCAAACCCCCTTTGCCAATCCTTTTCATCGCCCGTCCGTCCTCAAGCAACGCCCAAAAGCGGGCGGATCAGTGGCATGACCCGCCATTATAAACAAAACCTTCCATTGGCCATTTACGAATCTTGATCCAATGGTACCTGTCCCACAGGTGAAGAGAATAGGCAACCCAGCACTATAATAGCCACATGAAAACCATTCTGAGAAGTGACAAGAAGGCTCGCCATGGCATCTCACTCCGACGCATCAGCCGCGAGCTCATCCCAAACTCGGTAGGTCCCGAGGGCGCAAGTGGTCTAAAATCGTCGAGTCACGTCTTTGATTCTCTGAGATAGATCTTTGAAAAAAGCTAATCAAGAGCACTTGCTGATAGGCAATCAACACAAGGCAAGAACACACCCAAGTCCGTTAGGGACTATGTATCCGGGGGCCAGACGACGCCCGTCGAACACTTGTCGGCAGGGGGTGGAAAACCAACCGCGGTGAAGGACAAGGTCGAAAAGGCAAAAAAGGCTATCGATAAATGGGAACAAGAATGGAAGAATGCCAGCGGTGGGACGTGATGGTTGTATGTTGTGTCCCGTGTGGATCCAATGGGTCCTGGAATCGACAGCACTTGGTCTTGCAAAGATTAAGGATGCAAGAATTACGTCCAGATCAATCACTTGTGAGGTCAGTGTGGGTATAAGGGTTGCTGAACATGATGCTAGGATTTTCCATCTCTTTGAATCAGCTTGGAGTCGGCTCTTGTAATTTGGCATCATTCTTGTTCTGGCTTGGCTTTGCCGGTCCTGTATCATTTAACACAGTTTTCTTGCTTTACCATGGACTATCAGATTCTTATGCAGATGAGAAGTTGTGTCTCTAGACATCCATCATGATGTCCGGGGTATAGCTCTTGAAACTCTTGGGCTTACCGTCTGAACCATGTCAACAATAACCACCAGCATGGCCAGTCGTGCCTCTATTGACATTTAATAGCAGATCCAGGCATCATGCCGTCGATTCTCATTCCACTTTCATTGCAAACAGGCACTTTGCTGTCTCGGGGAACTTAATCGTATCTCCACGTTCTTGTCTCTCAATCAAGCAAGATACGTCAATAGTCAACAAGCAATGACGGGGGGGGATGTTTAGAAGGATGATGAATCTGAACAATTTCATATTCCACATATATTTTGAATCCGGTATATCCTGTCTGCAGTACGAACAGACCAGTGTTTGAAATGGAGATCTCCTCGGCGATGCGATGCGCTTTGCTTTATATTATCATCGTTGCCGTTGTTACTTTTCAACCAAGATGCCTCAAAGTCAGGAAAGGATGCGCTGGGAACTAATTTGAACACACTGAGAATCTTTACATATGAGAAACATAAAAAGATTTATCTGGTTGTTTCCTTTCTTCAATGTCGCAATTAGATGTCGCCATCTCACGACCATTGGCAGGCTCATCATGAACAGCACAATTGCAGGAGAGAAGAGATGATGGAAAGGAACAACCACTGTTATACGCGCGAGATGTATATAGGTTAAATAAGTCCCAGGTTGCCTTGATTACTCTACCGACAGCAAAACATGGTCTTTTTTCATAGGCATCGGGACCCTTGAGACCAGATTTAATGTCTCCACTTTTCTGGCTGCTGCAGATCCTCCATGAATCGCGACCCAAGACGGATAATTTCATCGCGCTCAGAGGCACGTGAAAAGTCACCTTTACATGAACAACAACAAATGAAAAGATTCTGTATCTAGAACCTACAATCTCCCTTCTGCTCGTGGTTGCCCAATGCCACCGGCCACTGCATCATCACGGCCAATACTTGTCGTGGCGCAAGCCGTCTCTGGCATCTCTAGGAGAAGACTCCAGTTTTTTCATCCTCTGCAACGGCAAACGCCGCCGCTGCAGCAGCACGCCTACATTTCGGCGCGGCACATTTGCACTTCGCCAGCGACAGCGCCGACTGCTTCTTTACCGGCCGTCGCGGACTGTAATAGTCCCAGAATCACAACACGGGAGCCGCTGTCCAGTGGTGATGAAAAGCACAGTACCACTGTCAACATCATGAGCCCCCGAGACTTTTATGGCGGGCGCGCAAATGCGCAGCAGCCGCCGCCGCCACCATTTAACCCGTTCGCTGGAGTCTTTGCGCCCACAATGATGATGCCGATGCAGGCGCCTACATTTACTCCGTGGTCGTCGCAGCCACCGTACAGTGGACAGGACTACAATCACCACCAAAACCATCATTGGCAAGGGCACCAGGGCCAAGGGCAGGCGCAGGCCGATGAGGTCGTCGCATTAGACGCGGCAGAGGACAGTGATTCGTCGCCCAGCGTGGGAGGAGAGCCGACGCCCCAGTCGACGCCTCATCAAACGCAGACAACTGGGATACCCATTCTCGATGGATCATCATCTGCCAAGAAGCCGCATAAAAAGAAGCAAAAGAAGCTGCAGCAGCGACAGCAACAACAACAACAACAGCAGCAGCAGCAGGCCGAGGCAACCACGGCCACGACGAGACCAGCCAAGAAGCGACCCTACGCCAAACCCACTGCAGGATCCGGCGGCGTGCCCAACCCGAGCACGGCCTACATTGCACAGTCGGCGCGGCCTCCGTCGACTCTGGCAGTGCCGCGGCGGATCCTGGTCATCATTGACCTCAACGGCACGCTGCTGCACCGGCCCAACTCGAAAAAGTCGTCGACCTTTGTGGAGCGGCCGTTTACCCGGACCTTTCTGCAGTACTGCCTGCAGACCTTTGTCGTGGCCATCTGGTCGTCGGCCAAGCCCGAAAACGTGGGCAAGATGGTGCCGCAGATCCTGTCGCCGGCCGACCAGGAGCGCCTCGTCGCCGTCTGGGGCCGCGACACCCTGGGCCTCAGCGCCGACGACTACAACCAGCGCGTGCAGTGCTACAAGCGCCTGGAGCGCTTCTGGGGCGACGAGTCCGTCGCCACCAGCCACCCCGAGGCGCACCTGGGCCGGCGCTGGGACCAGACCAACACCGTGCTCATTGACGACTCCAAAGAAAAGGCGCGCTCGCAGCCGTACAATATCATCCAGCTGCCCGAGTTTGAGGGCGACATTGAGGAGGGCGGCTACGTGCTGCCCCAGGTTCATAATTACCTCAATGAGCTGGCTTTTCAGCGCGATATTAGTTCCTTTATTCGCGAGAAGCCGTTCAAGTTTGACCCTTCCTTTACACTAGCTGCAGCCTAGATAAAGAGAAGAGCAAAGACTTGAAAGGCTAGTATTCAAGCGCATCAACGCAAAGACAGCAGGGTGAAAGATCATTACATCCGTTTCCTCGCGTCGGGGTGGAGACATGACCAAAACAACAAACCCCCAGCAAGCATCACCACGAAAACTGGTTTGGCAATACTTGCATATAGATCTATTTTTCTCTTCCGCCGCAAATGAATATATAGAGCCCAGAACCGGGAAGACATGGAACATGTAGATGAAATCCATCTACATGAGAAGAGCGATATCTAACAATACGGCAACGATACATGCCAAAGGACTTGTAAAGACTTTGCGTCATGAAATATGCAAGGCATAGAGGCAGTATGGAATGTACATTTTGAGGCTTGAAAACAGGATTGGAATCGGGGCTGATGTCGATAGACGGACTGCACCCCAAGATATGAACATGTAGATGTAAAGATACACACACACACGCACACACGCACGCCCAATAAGAGAAAAGGAAGGGATGGATGAATACAGATATAGACAATAATTGTGTGGCAGAGTCTAGACCACACTCAAAATATCACGGCATTCTGTACAGTCATTGCCATGACGGATAATAAACAAACACAAACATGGCGACACTCCGTAAATTTAGACAACAATCTCTGGAACTTGTTCACGCCATAGATTTTGATATATTCTCTCCAAACAACACCAATGCAATGCGCCGCCCACCTCATTCCCAGAGATGGAAAATGGTGGTAAAAAAAGCACATGCTGGGCGCGGCTCCGCTGTTGCGCATACACAAGTCGCGTCGAGTTGGCCTCTTTGGCATTTCCACATCATGTGTGCGCATCATGAATGAAGAGCTGCATTTTGTTTCAAGCATGATTGTTTCTTTTGTCCTATCCTTCTATCTTTCTTCCCCCGGTTCTTTTGTATCGTTGCTAATATTATGCATACGCCCCTCCTCCTCAAGTACCTAGGCTTGCAATTCAAATTTGTTCCCACATTCGCCAACTACCACAGTTCAATCAACCCCCCCAATTTACGAGGGAAAAAAATTTACCATGTACTGATTGGGCTGCTGCTACTCCATTCAGCATATGTATGTATGTGTGGCAGGAGACCTAGGAAAATAAATAGCTCTCTCGTATAGACCTAGACATGCAAATCTCGTATTTGCGACAATTCTCCAGAGGGCCTGGTTGTCATGTACATTGCCTGGCGAAATCGTTAAACCCCTGTCAGAAAGAGTGATGGTGTCAAATGCTGAGGTGTACTGTTGGGGAAAAAAAGAATCCCTCCATATATCTCTGACTTGGTAGTAATTAAATGCAGCCGCAGTCATGTTTTGCTTATCCCGAGTCATGACGGTGATATTGTGTAGCGCGACCCGTGTCAGCTCACCGGGGTAAAAGGGACATTGCATCGTCGCGAGCGAGGCTGGGATCAAATATACTCTCGTTTATTTTGTTATTGCTTGCCTTTTCTACCATCATCTTTTGTTTTCCCTGATTCTGGGGTGTCTTTGCTTGGATATATTGGGTCCTAGACCAGGAACAAACCGATCTATATGGCCACTAGTTCCGGTCAATATGGAACGTATTCCTATAAAAATAAATCAATGCTGGGATGGGTGGTGCGGGAGGTCGGGAGATGCCATTAACACTACATGCCTAGGGCCAGTCTTAGTCATCTGCAGATGGCCCGAAACAGCGGGAATAGAATTGAGACAATGACGCACATATGGTAATCTCTGGCCTGCCCTTATATCATTAACCAAATATGGTCACTCCGCAATCCATGTTTATCTTTTCTTTTCCTCGTTGGCTGAAGGTCATGAGAGTCCCGGGAGCGCGGCACTGCTGCAGAAGGTGATCAGTAGTACAAGGTACGCAGTCAATCTTTGGCAGCCCAGCCACCAGGGCTGCACCATTGGACAGCGATCGCAGGCGAAGTCCAATTTGTTGGAAAAGCAATTCATTTGTCCGACCTGGGGGTTTGCCGACGGCATGACAAAAGCTGAAACTCTGAAACAGAGAATTGGTTGCAACAGTCGTAGAGTCCCAACAGTGTGGTAATATAAGGTTGGCATTATAGGCGGCCAGAGACACGGATACGCTAAAACAAAATCGACGGGAAGCAACCGGCTGCTGTGGGGGAGAGGATGGATCTTCCCGCAATTCACAGTGTCCAGATTTTGAGATCGTCCACATATCTCCGAACTCACCAGTGGATTCGTTCCTTGTCCTGCGTACTATTGCAACAATGTTTCGCAGAAAGCCAAGCCGGTGCAAATAGTACATAGCCTCCTCGGAGACCGGCTAACTTAAAACTTGTTTGCAGCAGTCGTCGGTCTGCAAGGGGCACATGCTGCTGACAAAGCCATCTCTGGTCCCCCCCATGTTGATTGCACTACAGCAGAACACTGCAGACCGGTATTATATTGCCTATGCATTATCGACTGGGGGTATTGTTTCGTGGGAAGCCTATATCATTCGACAGGCGGTTGAGGCGACGGGCAAAGCAAGTGACGTCCTTTGCCAATTCGTCAGATTAATGATCAGCCACAAAAGGGGGTGCATAAAAGAAAAGCGAAGAGGGAATGCAGGACTGTCGCGGACTTGGCCGAATCGGCCGGAAAACACCAGAAGGAATCCACCCAGCTTGAAATCTGTCATCTTAAGGCTGCAGCCTTGCAAAAGGTGATCTCCGGAACCCTTGCTCGATGGCTGGGCCTTTGGGGGCGGATCTGTTCAGGCAGAGGGGTTTGCGTATAATTGTGACAGCTCATCGTCGTCAAATTTCGGATCCCCGGTCATGTTGTTGGCTGGCAGCTTTAGCTGCCAGGGTGGTTTCTGCGACAGATCCCTTGCTCTATATTCTTCTCCATGCACTCCTCTCAGCTCTCGAGGATTCATTCAATGGGCACAGCTTGTAGCTGAGACACTTACTCCTGAATCGTTACAATGACTATTACATACGACAAGTTAAGCTGAGGCCCATAAACTCAGCAGCAGTGGGGAGAGGGGTCCGCCACAAAGACCCTTGAACGATCATGCATCCGGTCTGGGTACATAGTAGTCTGGACGTGCCATTGCCAAACCCTGGCGGAGGGGCGATGGATCCTCCCCCTTCTGGTCCAGGCAGATGCTATTACAAGTACCGTACTGCTTTTGGGCGAGAGAGGAGCTGCCATCTCTCCGGGGGTCCTCCGCGCCCGATCGATAAACAGGGCGGCGTTTCTCTCTGAGCCAATGAGAAGACGCAGTCGACCGTAAATGGCAATTCGCCAAGTCACTATGTCGAGCGATTCCTCGTGATCATGTCTCATAGTAGAAGACAAGTGATCTCTGCTTTGGTTGGGGCTGCGATACCCTCTCAAGAGTTGCCACACCACCTGCACATCTTTCATGGCCATGTGACACAGTGCTTTGCAGGTTGTTCTTGAGCTCCGACTCCCATCTTGTTGGATGGCACTGGTGAACGTGATCTGTAGTGCTCAACATGGACCCATGTTATTTCAAGTCTCTCTTCTTCACCGGGGGGGCGAAGAAGCATAACCATCAGGCCCGAGAGGGTTGCCATTAGGCGCCCATGGTCGTTGACCGGGGTTCGACGCCCCTCTGCAGAGCAGATGGGCAGTGCTACTCCGGAAATAATCAATTCCCCTGATTTTCCCTTTCATGATTTCCGGTCCTCGACAGAATCATGGGAGAAAGGTGACGAGACGACCTCCTAAACGGCTGCGGTAATAGGTACCGTGTAGTACTGACGACCAGGCGGAGCACACATAGCACCCAGCGAACCTAGCCACAGCAGCTAGCATTGGGAGGAACCCCATGAGGGTGGAGCCATAGCTGAATGCTACGTGATATTTTGTATCATGGCTGCTGGAGACATGTGCCCAATGAGTAGCAAGGGTGCGAAAGGATGGCTATGACATTTCAGCATCATGTCTGATAATTGGGTAGCCACGGACCCGAGTCTTTGGGATCATAGCATGCAGCAGTTCGCAGGAGCAGTCTCGGCGTAAGGGTGGTCGAATCAGTGGCTGAATTTTGACGGGTAAGGCGCAGGTCCGACAAAGGCGAAGTACGGACAGTCTGAGTCAAATAATTGCTTTTTATCATTGTTCACCCATCGACCATTGGGCTTTTGCTAAGGCTGAGAGAGATGGATGGTAATGATGATGATGCGTAGTCTAGATCGTGTTTGGTGATTACCTACCTAGTAGGCAGACAGACAAGTGGTAAATGGATGCTGATCCCCCAGACGTCGATCTGGGGCTGGCTCAATAGTGCCCAATTGCGGAGGCTTGTCGCTGGGTAGTGTGTCGCTTGGTATACCGATTAGAGTATTCTTTTTTCTTTTTCCACCCTCGTTTCTTTTCTACATCTTTGGCAGATTGACGCCTGATAGAATTTCGAGAGGAGGATTTGATCCGTTATTCCAGGCTGAACAACCAAGGTAGGGCCGAAGCTTGGGTGGTGGTGGTGGTGGTTGTTCTTGTTGCGCCTGCCTTCAGGGGCGTGAAGCCCAAGTAGGCATGTATGTACATTCCTGTGCGGCTACATTAGCGTCAACCACAGGCTTTAGTATACTAGGTACAAGCTAGGTACTGTACATCACATATCTGATTATGTATTCACTGCAAACACTAGCTCCTCCAAATTGTACATAGTTCAGGTACAATACCGCTGGTTGGATGGTCGTATTGTGTTGGAATATGCATGGGCAAAAAACGAAAAGACCCTTGAATGTTCGCATACACACCATTTCACCAGAATGGCACTTAATTCCACCATGTCACTGGTCGAATGCGCAAGGCGCCGAGAAATGATCTTCAACCGTCTTGTCCATATTCGCCGATTGGGCATTGTTTGTGCCCAATGAAAACGCCTCCCATGACGACGTCGCCTCACAATTATAACCCATTCTTCAATGGTCTTTAGTATAGACTTACACAAGAGAAATAATAGAATTAAAGAGAAAAAAAAGAGGCGACAAGGTAGGTATATCCTTATCATTTTATTTTGTTTTTTTCTTTCACTACTTGCTTGTTTGATATCGTCTCTGATGCAAATAATACAAGTCAATTTCGAATTGCCTGGCCATGTACATGTACAAGCCCCGGGGTATTACCAGCTACCTAAGTGAGATACATACGCTGTCATCCATTAGACCATCAATTAATAATGACCAAAACACCAAAGGCTTTCTTTCCTAGTAGCCTCCCCGCCAAGTCATGATTGCCCGTGAGGGCAGACGAGTCTTTCTTTCTCTATATTTCTTTTTGCCCCTGTGTATGCTCCCTCAGGGCCACCAGGGTATCTCTCTTCCGAGCTCACCCATGTACACAGATACAAGTAATCAATAACCAAAATTCCCCTTTCCGTTAGAATTCCTTTTCAAGCTGCTCTTTTTTTTGTTCTCCCTTTCGGGTTTTCTTTGCGGTTTTGTTCCTGTTTGTTTCCTCCATTCCCTAGCCTTGGTAATGACCCAGGGCAGAGGCTTTCCCAATTTGCAAATCCCTGTGATTCCGTTCCGTCATTTCTGCGTCGACATCCTCGTTGCCCGATTGCCAGCTTCGCCCCAAATGTCCTGGGGGGTCAGATGCATATGATCGGGCAACAAGAGGTATTATCGTTGCCTCGTAGCATTCATTGGTTCTCTCTCACATAATGCGATGCCATCGCTCCTCCTCGCCCAGACCGGTGTCGTAGTTTCTGGGATGATCCTTCCAAAGCACTGCTAACGACAGGGGAATCATTGCTCAACAGACAAATTCAAATCCATCGAAGACAGCCTCGGAGCTCTGGGCTTCGAGGGCAAAGATGGTATAGTACATCAAATTCCAATAACAATAGCGCCCATGTCCACGCACTCGATGCATAGCACTAGGGAACAGAACATGAGGCTTGTGGAATAATTCGCTTAGCGGGAAGCACTGTGGCTTGGCCCGGCAGCATTGGTGCTCGTGTCGGCGTCATCGTTGTTGTTGCCGCCGTAGAGATCAAGACACTCTGTCAGGACTGCAACCAAATTAGTACTTTTGCAAAACCACCAATCGGATTCGCTGAGATGGGCACTTACTCTCCACAATATGTTCTTCCCACACGCCATATTCGTAGTCCACCAGACCATGGCGCTCGATTCCATCGCACATTCGAACCAGTTCCTTGCCCATCTTATTCAGCCTTTCTTCTGTGATCAATGTCTGGCCCCTCTGAGGGGCAATGCCGGATTCGACCATGTCCTTCTGCTTTTGTAACAGTCCAAGCCATGCATGGTTAAAGTCATTCCAGAGCTTGATGCGGTCGTGGTGAAGTTCGGGGTTGTCAACAACTAGACCTAAAGACAAGGTTGATTTTAGCATACTGCCTTTGTTTGTATGCAGAGAGAGAGAAAAGAGTGAAAAATCCTTACCCAGCTCATTTGCCTTTGACAAGAGCCAATCAGATACACTGAGGAGAGAGTCGCTGGCTGTCATTAGGACACCGTTCCGAATATTGGTGAAGATCTCCTTCAGAGCTGATTGATATTCGTTATAAGCCTGCCCCATGTGGCCGTAATCCTCTTCCTCCTGTTGGACAGGCTGCTCTTGCGGCGCGCTCGCCTGTGACATTCCGCTCATTGACGCCATTCCGCTGGGGTAGTTCTGAAGCATGGCGCGTTGGTCTCCCGGGCTTTGTTGATATACTGCAGAAGTGCTCGAAGAAGTCCCTTGACCTTGCAAACCAGACGCAGCAGCCGAGTTGGTTGGTTCACCCGGGAAGTAGGGGGCGGCCACATCGGTTGGCATAATCTGCATTGCTGCAGGCTGCCGAGACGGAAACTGTTGACTCGTATCGTAGACGGCACTTTGCGCACCCGCTTGCGGGACGTTGTACATCATGGGAGTGTTGTAGGCGCCGAAATTCTGTGTTGTTTGCCTCGTATCCTGCCCATACTCGGATTGGTATGGCATTGTGTTTTGTGGCATGGCGGTCGAGAAAGCCGCGGCTTGTTCCTGATAGTAGCCGCTGTACCCACCCGTTGCTCCCATGCCTCGTGCCGTCGTAGGGGACGTGTTGAGAGACGCGGGGCGATACCTGTCAGACGCGCCTGTGCTTGCGCCGTACGGTCTCCTCTGCGCATTTGGATCGGGGTATCTTGAATTCGAAGTTGTGTTTATAGGCGCTTCGTTCTGCCTCCTCCTACGCGCGTTTTCATCCATGCCACGGTCGTACTGATTGCCTGACGTCTGGAGTGGTGATCCAAGCCGGTGGTGTACCTCCGGCAGCGGAGTGGGCGTAGAGTAGATTAAGGCCAGTTTGCTTCTAGAGCCGGCCGCGAGACCGACTTTGTTGGAAATAGGCGACGAACCGACACGTATCGCTTGTGTCTACAAAGAGGCAGAACTTTTCCTGATACCCAGTGGTGGTGTAGGTTGGCGCGCGTTGTGTAGCTTACCACAAAGTACGCAGGACCAGTAAGAGGACTTATCGCAAGGTCCTGCCAAGTGGATGATATTAACTTGGTTCGTGGTTGACAGTCGCGCTGCAGACTATGTTCCTGGTGACAAAGAAAATTCCGGTCTTTCCTCTGCTTTTCTCTCTCCTCTAGGGATGGTGGCGGTGATATATGGTGGGACTATTGGCAGCCTTGAAGGAGCGAGTGGTTTATTTTTTTCTTCTTCTTTCCTTCTTGACTTTTGGGAAAGGAAGGCGGCGCAACAGGGAATGAAATAATCAAGGACTGCCTGCCGAGTGAAGGAACACGTCCAAGTGGCAGACTCAGAGGACCCTCGATCTGTATGTACTAAAAGAGCGGAAAGCTTTGATTCATGCCTTAATCGTAGACACAGTAGTAGTAGGGATGATGATGTCCCCGCCGTCGGTCCTCCCAGATTTGACCTTGACCTTGACCTCTCTAGATCCTTGGGCCGGAGTCGTAAACAGAAAAAAAAAATAGCCCGAGTGGGGGAGAGGTAGTGTACCGACTTGTTAACGGTTGTCACTATTGGTACTAGGAGTATCCCGGAAGAGATTACAGAGGTACTCAGGCGGAACAAGCAGTGACCTTGCGTCGTCTTCGTTCAGATAGAAAGCCGCACCAGGGTCTCACGAGCAGGCAGGCTGGTGGTAGGTGCTTTGATTTGGGCGATCCGCTTTGCCTTTGACTATAGACGTTGACGGAGGGGAATAGTAGAAAAAGAAGACGAGGTTGACAGGGCAATGTTGCTTCCAAATAGTCCTGAAGCCAATGGTGTCTGGTTTCTGGTGAATCAATGAGGACTTTTGAACGGGTGGTAGGAGTATTGATATGACCAGGAGGACAAGCAGGTGGTGCGGACGGAACCTTGGAGGCTGCTATATTGGCGGAGAAAGAGGAGGGTCACCAGGCGTGATGTTACTTGAGTAGCTGGAAATGTATGAGGAGCATGACCAGGGCAAAAGCAGAGAAAGAAAACAGACGAAAGCCGAATGGGGAATACGGTCAGGCTGACGGTTGGTGTTGTGTACTTGGAGTGGAGACGGCCTGGTTGTTAAATGTCGGAGGATTTTCATCTAGCACATCGGTGATCTCCTTGTTGACATTGGCCGCGGTGTGAACAGGTAGGCGATACCGCACGGCAGTGATGTCGTCCGGGAAAGAGGTCAGTCGGACTAGTGGTAAGTAGGTAGTAGTGTACTGTGTAGAGAACACGACCAGTGAAAAAAAAAGTAAGTCTTTTTTTTTTCTTAGTCCGGCAATATAATCTAGTGTAGTCAGATGGTGCCAGACGGGGAAAGGGCAAGGCGAAGAGGTCCCATTTGAGTGACTTCTTTTTTAGAGTGATGAGCAGGTAGTAGTAGGTAAAACAACTGAGGAAAGAGAGAGTGTGTGGATCGACTCGGGGGGGTCTTAGCTAGACTAGCTGGTAATATCCAGGTTTCGACGTCTTGATCTTGCTTTCGCACGTACCCTGGGGCTGTGGGTAGGACATGGGAGAAAAACATTGATAAATTGATTAATCGACGGGTTGATTGGATCGATGCTGAAAAGGGAAAGTAGACAAAAAAAAAATATGCCCCCAAGGTTACGAATAGCTCACTCGCGCAGTTCAGTGGAAACGTTGATTGATGCACCATTGATGGGGGAAAAGAAAAGCGTAAAGTGGGAATACAAGTTATCATTGAAATAGAAGGACTACATGGGTCATGATTTAGGTACTTAGCTCTTGGCAAAGATTCCTGGCAGAAAAATACGGGATTCGGTTTGGTCTCTGTCGTTTAATCTTTTTATCTTATTTTATTTTCACCCTCCTTATCCTTCATTTAGCTTTTTTCTTACTATCTCTCTTTTTTTCTTCCCTCTTCCCTGGTGACCGACGGAGAGAGCGAAAATGGCGTGCACAGGCAATCAATGTGGATGCCAGGCCTGAGCTACATTATGGACTAGCATTTACTTAGTTCGGTACCAACTAGATTATGCCACACCCAGGTGTCAGTCAAGTGACTGAATTAGCAACTGTAAGCTATATCTAGGTATGTATGCTTTTTTTCCCATCCCCCTTGAGTTGGAGGAGGGTGGCCCGAGAGGCTGTAAAATCCTAGCAGAACGGGATTGCACACGAAGGGGGAAAAAAAAAAAAGGATGGAAGAAAGCCTTTCAAAAGGTACGGCGCATGTGGTAATTGCCTTCCCGTTCCTTTTTTTTTTTCAATTCGGGGGACCTAAGACCAACCCTGAAGTACGTATGAGGTAGGGCAGGAAGAAGGGAGGGAAAAAAGCAAGGTGAGCTTCGAATGCTTCCTAAGCTCCGAGTTGGTGGGTTAGGTTTCCCAAGGGTGACTAAGCCCAGCCCGGGTCTGACGCAACGCGCAGACTGGGAAGGGGTTGCGAGAAGATTGGCGATTGCCTCAAGGATACGATACCTGATCCTGTCCGTGATCAACTGCTGGGACGCAGGCTTCAGGCTTCAGACGAGCAGGAGCGGAGGCCAACCCGAACGCTAAGATAGTCACGACCTTCTTTCTGTCAGGGTCCGCAGCTCTGGGGTTGTCGGGCCGGCGATTGCTTTCTTTGTCTTCTCTCAATGCTATTTCATGAGGATATATTAAATGAGAAACCGCGCGTGCGCTTGCCACTTGTAAATCACGGGCAGGCACTGAACAGTATGCATGCAGGCTTGGCAAAAGACATTAAAAAAAAGGGGACCATCTCAAACAAGGTTGATGGGAGGCACTGCCTCAAAACTCCTTTGTGAGTCCCCGGAAAGTAGAAGATAATTGAGGACGACGGTAAGAAGACTTCTCGTAACTACCTACTTTTGCTGTTCGGATGCCGCCTGACTTCGTTTACGTACCTACATTATGGTAGCCCCGATGAAGAATTGGCTCTCAATGGTGCATGAAGTGCGGCGGTTAAAGGTTAAAAGAGACCGACCAGGAATCGAGGTGTGACTTGCATCGATACCCTTCAAGTTTTAATGCACCCAAGTGCCGGGCCCCGAGTGGCGGAGAGCTGTGCCGCATTGAATTATACATGTACCTCTTGCTATTGTAGGTACCGAGGTAGTATAGCTTTCAATGTTTGTTGGATTATCATCGAGACATTCGTTTGCGGCAAGATTCAAAATCTTATTGTAGGTCATGAATGTTGGTAACGACCTCCAACAATCTTAAAAGCATTCAAATTCAGCCATACTCAACCTTGAACCGACGAGATTAGGGCAGAATATGACTCTTCAGTTTGCTAGATCCGCGCGGCACAGTCTCCTAGGGAACTGCCGCCTCGACGACAAAGAATCATCATGGACCCGGTAACAAAAAGTTGGTGCCGATGTGTTGGAATCATGTAATGAATAGCAGCTTGGTGGGCTGTCGAATATCTACAGTGGGGAGTGTGTTTTGACTCGAGATATTGACATATTTGCAAGCACTGTTTTTCTTTCAGATTTCATGCCACCATATACATAAATGCGTGACAGGAATAAGAATGAGATGTGAATGCGCCCGTCCTGATCAGTCTCTTCATCTGTGTGTAAAATGTGATAATGAGTACTCTTGTGTTGGGCCTCAAAAGCGAGCTTGCCCTGAACTTGATGGCATTCGAGCTCCAGGCGATGCTAAGACATAGTAGTTGAAGATGAAATATTGCATCGCGACGATTGATTGGTTGTCCAACTCGAGGCCAGAGAATGGCACTAAAATAAAGCTTTCCAATCCAATGTCTTTTTCGAAGCAAACGCCCCCGAGCCGAGCCCGGCCCATTTTAGCTCTGGGCTGAAAGATTTGCCCCTTGGGCTGTCTACATACCTTGTGTATGGGCGCAGGTGGTGGTAGTGCATGTACGGACGGTACGACGGATGGGATTGCTGATGGGCGCGGCGCTGTAGGTTAACCGACCTAACGAGGCATGACTTCGCTGACGGATGATTCGACAACTGCTGCCCAACCAATGCAATTCCTTGTTGACTTTGCGGCCCTACGTTCTATGACCTTCTTTCGCCTCTGTGAACAATTGTTAGTTCGTACAGTGTACATAGCTAATGTAAAATCCAAACAACTCGAGATGGCTTGGGGAAAGAATTCCGTTCTATCCTCTGATCTTTCGGAACGCGGGCATCTTTTGATAACGGGGGTCAAGCCTGGAGTTCTGGAGTCGAGGTACCGAGGATTGCAGACCCCAGGTTTGCATATTTTGCTGGGGAGGAAGCAAGCAAGCAAGCAAGCAAGCAAACAAGCAAGCACCTGCTCAGTGCGCCAGTGCTCCAGTTCCAGTGCTCATCAGCGCTGATTTCATTCATTCACTCGCTGAATCTACCACCACCAAAAGAACCATGTTCCATGTCAGTCGTTGAAAGGGCCAAAGAAGGTGACCAGGTCAGGGGCAATCACGAAGCATGTCGTCAAAGGAGTGGGGCGCTAGTCAGGGTAGAGCTTCAAGTTTAGATCGTCTCTCATCCACTCATCCACTCACCCACGGCAGGGGCCAGCCAAGATGGATTTTTTTTTTCTGGAGCCACTGCCGAATTGGAAAACCCCCAGTCCGATATCCCAGGCGGCGCCCAGGGCCAAAAATGACAGCATTCGGAACTCGTCAAGGCGACTTGATTAGTGGCGCCAGTAGAAGGAAAAGAACGACAAGAAGAATACATACATAGTCCGCTACCAGCACCAAATCGAATCCACATCACTGCGTCACAACCGTTTCTCCTCTCGGCTTGACCTTTCACAGAGCGTCCGTGTTTGCATCCACGTGTCTGTTCAATTGCATCTCGTCGCAATGGGATCATCAAAAAAGAGGTAGAGAAATTGCCTGCCCGTGGCTGCACCTGAGCTGCCGACCACAGCCCTGCGACCTTTGCGCACTTACAGAGTACCAGGCATTATCTTCGCCTCAAAAGGATCTGTGACAAGTTTCTTTGCTCGGACGCAACGCAACCCACGGGCCTGGAACCTATAGCTTGGCTTCATGGCATAACAACTTCGCTATTGTTGTTTCGAGTATCTCTTGCGGCGCCCATTTCTCACAACACCGGTCGAGCATTATTCAAGACATCGTCACAAACACGTCGAGTGGTTCCCTTGTGCCTGGACGAGTCGGTATCTCTGATCCGTCAATCCCTCGCCAATTCCCCGCAAACAGGCCAAGTGTCGTGAGGCACAGCACCTTGGCTACCACTGGGACTGCACTAGATCAGCTACCTTGCACCCAAGCTAACACGCTATCGACCCCTGCTGCATTCGCAATGCAAGCAAGCAATGCAGCAAAGCACGATTCCGCCCCTGGCAGAATTCCCAACTGGGGGCCTGGCGATTGTTCTGAGCCCTTCCTTCATCAATCTGACTACCTAGTGGTGGACCTAAGATCAAACCCATCGTCATTGGAACCTTACTCAAACAGTTCAAGTGCTGATGGAGTTCCATTACACGCTAGAAGCTGTCGATCAACCTCTCAAGCCAGTTTGCCGACTAGTAGTAGTACTCTCCAGTTTCCCAAAGCCAACCACAAAGCCCTCATCTTTTTCACACCTTTTTTTTTTTCATCATTCACCGTCGTGAGCTAACTGTATGCAGGAACGTTCATCCAAGCAAGTACTCTCTCCCACTCCTGGCAATGTTGTTACGCAGCACAGTTGCGCAGTGGATACTCTGGACTGAAGAAAATGCATAGTACTGGCAAGTCATTCTCTGTATCCATGGCACCAGATACCGAGGATTGTCGGGTCTCGACGAGTAATCAAGCGGCTCCTCTCTGGCTCGCGCTCCGAGCCCAGCCAGTATACATAGCTATCCCAAGTCAACAGCTTTGAGGCGGCATAGCATTCTTGCTGCCGTGCATGCACCAGAGGAGAGACGACGTAGCAACCGTGGTTATCAAGGTCGAAGGTAGAGCTGCATACAACCAACAGACGCCTCGCCCAGTGTTTCCATGGATCAAAAGTACAGTACCTTCATACAGGCGGCTGTCGTTTCCCATTTGGTACTATAGTCGCACAGTTGGCCAATTGAAGCACAATATGGCCATGCCATTCACAAGCACATGAACGAATTTCCTTCGGCCCGGCATTGTGGTAATAACACCTACTTCGTTGTACATAACAAAAATGTCGCGGAAGCCGCGGCCAACTGGTCGAGTCGTCTGTGGAGATCCAACCATGTTCCACCTCGTCTCTGGCTTGTCTGCTTGGTCTGCCTCCGCGCGAGTAATGAGAGGCCCTACTACTGCGCGCTTGAGGGACCCTCACGCGTATTCGACTGCCGTGACTGCAACCGTTCCAGAACACGACCGCACGCCCGGCCAATCACACGCGTCCAAGTGCTTACTTGCCTGTCTTCGCGTTAAACTCGGCCGGCTATGCATGCGGCTTCACTCGTCAGCCTCATCTACACTGTCGACATAGTTGTATGCAGCAGGACGTCTGACGCGAAAGTCTCCAACGAGGCTGCAGGGTCCACTAGATTACATCGTATTACGGAATCGTCAAAAATTCTTTCTCCAAGAAGCAAGATCTGTCAATTCCCAGCCCCATACGTAGATCTCGGCTTCAGGACTTTCAGTCTCGGAGTCAAGAACAAGTAGCCGATGCATGAAAAGATATTTTGACTGGCCATCTCACAAAAGCGACTAATGGCAGCGGCGTAACCTCAATCTTGTCATCTGTACTCAACCTGGAGTATAGCAGACTAGGCCACCAGCCTGGTTGTTTATTCGGTAAAGTAGGTATGTACTATTCTACCACGGCCCAAAATAAGCTGTTAGTCAATTGATCCTTTTTACACCCCCCTCCCCTAGTACTTGCTCTCTTGGCAGAGTATTCTTTCACACTATCTCGAAGATGGCTGGTCGTTCTCATGCATTGCGCCGTTGGTAATACCTACTTGGGTGTTTCCCACTCTCGAGTTGCGTCGAACCGAAATGGCACTGACGAATGCTGATGCAGTCAATCCATTCTAGCGCCGCGCCAATGGCTGTGAAACCACCAACGTCTATTCTAGTCCTTCTAGTCCTTCTAGTCCTTCTAGTCCTTCTAGTCCTTCTAGAAGGGTTCCGCGCCAAATCCCCCCTTGCAACGCCATTGCATGAAATGGTGGGCTAAATTCATCACACAGGTACGGACGGTCCGGTCTGTGCGAGAGGCCTTGCATCTCGCAGTCTTCACCATTTCAAGCAGTATCAAATTGAACAACCTGCACCAGCTTTTACCGAGAGGGCCCACCACTATACTTAGTAATATGGCCTTGAGACTCGGTTTCCTCAAATTGGGCACCTTTACAGCCATGACACCGAGCGTCATGTCGAGGTACAATATCAACCAAATGTGATGCGTCATTTCCTCCGGTCAACCCACTCCTGTTGGGCTTGTTGTCCCTTCTCTAGCACAGATCTAACCTAGGTAGCTCCCGACATTGACGGCTGGCCGCCGCGAAAGTCTTCCCGTACCCAAAACGGCTCTTGATGAAACCATGACCCTGCAAGCTACGGGGTGCAGTAGACGAAGATCTGAGGTATGTCAGATCTCTCGGAGTTGGGATCTCCTTGACGATTCACGATTAGAGCCTACAAAACAACAAACGACATGCCACCAACCTACCAGGTTATTGCGTACAACTCCTCTTCCCATTGACAGAGTGACTATAGATGCATACTGGACGATCAAGTCGACTCTTCCATCGCTTGTTCTCCCAATTCAGTCGCGAGAGTATTGTGAGAATTGACCCTTACTTGGCATTTTTCGCCCAGGTCCCCCGGGGGATTTCGGCAAAGCCGAAACACTATATTGACAGATGATTGATATGCCAACAATAGATACGGGAGTCGATCACGATAGTATTTGCACCCCCGGCAACTTCCTTCGTACTTTACTGTGTATAGCGCCAATTCATTTCCCAACTCGCATGACCGGGCTTTCCCTTCATGTCCGCAATCACGGACTACCTGTTACAGTCTAGCCAGCTACGTTCGGTCTCGCAACCCAAGTCCCATCTGTCAAATCCCATACGCTAAACTAGATCTCATGGCCATGGCTTGGCCCATGTCCTCGTGCTCTCTCTATGCTGTCCCTATTCGCCTACGATCAAGAGGGCGGTCGCTGAGTTTACAGGCTTTGTGACCTGGGTTTTGTATGCTAAACGCTAGTAGCCCCAAGATGGGCAGAAGTTCTCTTGCTATTCTATCTAATCGTGCTACACTCCGTCATCGACATCCGCAAGTCTGCGCGTATACAACACACGACCGGGGCCGACTCAAAGCTAGCCGTGCCAGAACCATAGTCTCGGGATGCATAATAGTAGGCACGTTTTTAAATACACACGAGCTCTTTAGCCCGATACTTGAAGTTACATATTGCTACATGAAATGTACAGCTGAGTCGTGGATTCTTTCTGCAAGCACGGATCGAGCCGGGAATGCCGCCCTTTCCTTTCTCCATTGTTATCCTGAAACTTCTTCGCTTGGAAGGCCCCAGCCTCAGGTGCAGATCTACAAATTGATTGGATGGCACAAGAGCCCTATCATGAAGCCCGGACCGCGTAGTGGTAGGGCTGATTGATCATGGTTCCTCTCGGGCATGTGAGAGAAGAACGCAAATAGGAGGTAATCTCGAATGAGCTGAAAACACGAATCCCACCCCTTGCACGATGACGCACAAAGCGACTCGACAGATTGATCGTACTCTCTGTGGGATACCAACATGACATGACGATTATCGCTTGACCCAGGTAGGCATCTTTCTAGCCTTGACGTGACCATGCTTCTTTCTCTCAACAGCTCTGGGATCACGTGTAATACATCCGGCTGAAGTAATATTAGCATCAATGTTTCTCTACGAGCAAAGGGCTGTGATATGGTCGAGGTGGTGTTTATCCATGCCAGACATGTCAAGAATGACATGATGGAACGGCTTTCACTCGACCTGTAACGATTCCGGGGACATGGACTCAGCTTACCTCGTCTCAATGGGTTCTTAAGGGCCGGCTCGTGAACACACAGGGCCTTGGCTACGGCCAAGGTCATTGCCTCGGCCTGACCAGTCGTGCCACCACCAGTTACGGTGGCCCATACATTGTATTTGTCCATACGCTCGGTGGATTTGAGAGCCCACATGGCGGACTCGCGATCGTGAACTCTGCCGAATGCGTCGGTCAAAGGCTTGCCATTCACGAATACCTCACCCGTTCCCTCAATAACGTAGGCACGAGCGATGGAGCTCTTCCTCTTGCCAACTCCCAGGGCTCGGCCAAACTTGTCCACCGGCAGGAACTTTGGCCTGTTCAGGTAGTGGTTGACGTCGCGTTTGAATATCGAAATACCCTTGATGACGTCCTCGGGCATGAGATCTGGGTGAATTTGGTTGAGGCGCTTCACCAGACCCAAACATTGTGCATAGTCCTTTCCCTTGACCTGCTCACCCGATGCCAAGCGGTACTGTTGCCTCGTTCGCCATGCCACGGGCGTCACCTTGTCTTTGGGCAAGGTCGGCAGGCGCGCATATTTCCGGGCCAGTTCCTGTACCTCTACAAAACTATCCATAAAGTACGGCTGTCTAGAAAAGTATGAGGGCGAGACGGGCACTGCGCGGGCGAACGGCGCGTGTAGAGTGCTCAGCGATGGCGTCAAACGGGAGCTGCCTTCGGGTGCTGCTGAGTTCTGTGCGGCTCCTGCCCCGAGTGCTGCGAATTCTGATGCGGACTCAGATGTGTTGTTGTCATTGGTCTCAATGGCCAACTTTGGCGTCGTTGTCGAGATGGCCCTGGAGACGACGGCACCGGCAGGGGTCTGCTTCTTGGATCTGATGGCGAGTGTCGCGCCCCATTGCGACTTTGCTGTCGGCCGTATGTCCCTAAGACAGCGGGTCGCCGTATACCTCAGCGTCGACATGTTGCGTACTTCTATCGCGATATCGGCATGCCAATGGGCGGCGCGCTGGTGTCTTGTAGGTCGATCGGTCGGACAAGTAGGCACCGGGGGGCTCAAATTGATGCCCGGGGTGCTGCTACTGAGGAGCTCGGGGGAATCAGTCGTAAATGCGGATCAGGAATACCTTCACCTTCATTGGCAAACAAGCCAACCTAAGCACTTTGAAGTTTTGTCCGAGCTAAAGGGAATTGATTCGCCGGCACCCGATGTGGCTGAAGCTTGGGACACGGACACACCAGCCACTTTCTTTCCCTGCAGCCAGCCACACTAGGTGGGTAAATAATTGTGGCCTGAGCAGTTACCGTTTGGTGTAATACCCTTGACTCACGAGGCGGGGCGAAATATTTTTTGATGACCCCGCCAAACTGGCCAAGATTGTGTGATTTGTATCCATCCTCTCCCAAACATTTGATTGCTTCCCAACCTTTCTTCCCAAAACAACAGAGGTCAATCATCGCCATCATGTCGTTCGGAAAGGTCTACACCAAGGAGGTAAGCAAACCAAACAGTCGTCGTCTCGAGCGTTTCTGCTCTCGAGTCTGTTGTTTCTTGTCGTCGTCTACTTTGCGCAGCTTGCTAACTCGACCTTCTTTGCCAGCGCAACCCCCGCACCACGGCCATCCTCGCTGTTGCGAAGGCCAACGGTCTGGACATTGAGACTGTCGTTGTCGACACCGTCAAGCCCACCCCCGAGTTCCTCAAGCTCAACCCCCTGTCCAAGGTCCCCGTCTTTGTTGGCACCGATGGCTACGTTCTGACCGAGTCCATTGCCATTGCCATCTACCGTAAGACTCTTCCTACTCTTGGGTTCCTTCAGAACTTGATACGGCCCAATCTTTCCCCCCCAATTCGCCAGTGCGAAATGGTGCTCTACATGATGACCTAGAATATTCTAACAGTTATCCCTATCTGAATCATTTTTTTGAGGATACCGGTTCTATATCTGACACATTTGCCCAATAATGTTTTTTCCAATCTTTTGCAAAACTTGGCTTTGTTCGTGGGAAAACAGGAGGCTAACAAATTTAATCAGTCACTTCCCAGAATGAGAAGACCACTCTGCTCGGCAAGACCAAGCAGGACTATGCTTCCATCCTGAAGTGGGCTTCCTTCTTCAACATGGAGGTTCTCCCCAACCTCGGTGCCTGGTACCGCCCCCTGCTTGGCTGGGACGCCTACAACAAGAAGACCATCGATGACGCCCAGAAGGCCGCCGCCAAGGCCATCGACGTTGTTGAGAAGCACCTGCTGAACAGCACCTTCCTCGTTGGCGAGCGCATCACTCTCGCTGACCTGTTCGCCGTTGGCATCATCTCCCGCGGCTTCCAGTTCTTCTTCGACAAGGAGTGGCGTGCCAAGAACCCCAACGTCTCTCGCTGGTACGAGACCGTCTACAACCAGAAGATCTACTCTGACGTTGCCCACCCCTTCGAGCTCCTCGAGAAGCCCGCTCTCGAGAACAAGCCCCCCAAGAAGGAGGCTGCCCCCAAGGCCGAGAAGCCCAAGGCTGCTCCCAAGCCCAAGGCTCAGGCCGAGGACGAGGACGATGTCCCTGCTGAGCCCAAGGCCAAGCACCCCATCGACCTCCTGCCCCGTGCCACCTACCCCCTCGATGAGTGGAAGCGATTCTACTCCAACAATGACGAGGCTGAGTCCATGAAGTACTTCTGGGAGAAGGTTCCCAAGGACGAGTACACTCTGTGGTCTGTCAAGTACAAGTACGATGACGAGCTCACCAAGACCTTCATGTCCTCCAACCTGATTGGTGGTTTCTTCACCCGTCTTGAGGCTTCCCGCAAGTTCCTCTTCGGTTGTGCTTCCGTCTACGGACAGGACAACGACTCCATCATCCGTGGTGCTTTCACCATCCGTGGTGACGACCACGTCGCTGCTTTCGACGTTGCCCCCGACTGGGAGTCTTACGAGTTCGCCAAGCTCGACCCCGAGAACGCCGAGGACCGCGCCTACGTCGAGTCCATGTGGAAATGGGACCAGCCCGTCACTGTCGACGGCAAGGAGTACCCCCACGCCCAGGGCAAGGTCTTCAAATAAACTTGTGCAACCTCTGATGGTGATGTAGTCGAGTTGTCCAAGAAATAATACGTGTTGATGAGTCTTACGGTACTTTCATGAAGGCGGAGCCAAAAAGTTGATAGAGCCAGCAAATTGACTGATTTCGACGCTCCCCAATATGATTTGTCTTAATCTAAATCCTTGTGACATTCTAATTATTATTCGTGATCCAACAGTCGTTGAGATTTTGAGGACTGAAATAACCATGTTCGGTATATCGATCAATCCATGACCTGTGACGGTAGAGTGTGATACTCGACTGCTTAGTGCTCATATGGCTCTGAGTCCTTCGTCTGTACTTTACTCAGACAATATGGCAAATAATGCACAGTTCACTAATCTACCACTCACTATACTTGTCTGGCAAATGAACTACAGGATCTGCGCCTTGATGAACACGTATACGTGACTGAATATATTTTTGGAATTACCTTTATTCTTTTGTTTCGGAGACGTATATGATTCTTTTTTTTTTCCAACCTCGAAACGCCTCGAGATAGAATGCTGTTTAGAGATGGGCTAGATTGGAATGAATTCTATTGTTATTCGAGTACAACGCAAGACATCCCAGAATGACAATGTGAAGTAGTATATGCCGGCCTCTGTCTAGGGCGAGAAGTTATACAAGCAACAAGAGATCATTACGCCACAAATCATGCCAGGAATCTAGAACACCGTGCGAGCAGCATGCTCTCTGTTCGACATGTTTCGGATTATATCTTTACCTTTTCTTCTTAGCCCTTTTATTTTTTTTTATTTTTTTTTATTGAGCAATGGGACGATTTATAACATTGGAAATTCATGGAATGGCGGAACGGCAGTCGTCTTTTGAATGTAGAAAAGGAGTGAGGAGGGAGGAGGGGTCCAAATATGCGCGTTTCTGCATCCTCAAAGTCTATCTTGTGCGTCCCGATGCATAACGGCCGGAAATCATGCATGACCCGGGAGCATAGTTGCATATAATGACGAATACTCTCTTTGATCCTCGAAAAGTACGTTGATGGCGGGCGCGTCGAGCAAAGTCGATTCAACAGACACCAGCGGAATATTGTACACACCATCGGTCAGACGTTTGAATACAAAAGGCACGGGAGTGATACGCGCAGGCAGGACAAGTTTCTCTTTGTTTTTCTGCTTCCTGTCTTCAATGACTCAATAGAAGTGCTTCTCGAGCCGGGTGGCTGTACATATATGTATCCCTTGGCCAGATTTCCTCCAGTTGTGTGAAGCGATCCTGATAGATTGGAACAAGGACAATAAATATTTTGTGTGAATAAAAACTCAAACATGTAAATCAATCGTGTCTCATTATTACGTGGTCTATATGCACGCTTTCGAGGTATCTAGAACTGATCTATATTCTGCAGTCAGTATCATTGTTCCAAAAACACCATTGAATCATCATGCCCTGAGCACAGGGGCTAACAATCGCTTTCGATTAGCGAAAAAAGAAAGAACTCACCTAATGTCATGCTCATGCTGACGTCCGTGTTCTCAACCATCTTGGTAAACTCTTCAAAGCTAATCTTGCCGTCCTTGTCCAGGTCCGCCTCCATGATGGTCTTGTCGACAATCTGCTGGAGCTGCTGGTCCTTGAGGTTGGAGCCGACCATCATCTTGAGGACAATGAAGAGCTCGCCGTTGCTAATGTAGCCGTCGCGGTCAATGTCGTAGACCTTGAAGGCGAACCGCAGCTTTTGCTCCTTGTTACCCTTGGAGCTAAAGGCGCTCAGGCCCGACACGAATTCCTGGAAGTCCACATCGCCGCCGCCGTCCTCGTCGAAAATGGCAATCATGCGCGTTGCCAGCGGGTTGGATGAGATTTGCGGGAGGGAAAGGAACTCGTCGCGCTCGATCGTGCCAGAGTTATCCTATGGAACGAGAAATATTGGGTTAGCAAAGAACTGTAGCACTTACGTGCAAATCGCTACTCTCCCCTCTCTCTTTAAAACCTTACAACAAGGAGAGGGAAGCAGTGCAAAAAAGAGGCACAATGGAGAAGCATCTTGCAACCTCATATCTTGCTTGCGCACGACAAAGTGGAATATGTAGTACCTTGTCTAGCTTCATGAAGCGCTTTCGCAACCTGTCCACCTCCTCGCGGTCGACTATTTATACACTCATGTCAGTTTCCTGTATTCTCAAGGTTCTTTGAACATTCTGCGAGGGTGAGTGGGAGGATATCCTACAATTCGACCCCTGGACAATATTGTCCAGCACGGCGCTCGTCGAGTTACCCATCTTTTATGGTCTAATATCGATCCGGTTTTTTGTTTTGTTTTTTCTGTCCGCCTTTTGATCAAGGGGAGCTGGCGCCCGAGAGATCGAGGGTTCGGGTTATGGAGGTTTTGTTGGGTTGTGTCGCGTGTTGCCTTTGCTCTTGCAGTAGACCAGCTCTTTCTTGACTGAAAAGGTTGTGGTTTGGAATAGCGCAAGTACAGATTTTGTGCTGCACAATGTCTCGACTCGATATGCGGGATGCTCTCCTTGTAGCTGCCAGTGCGTGCGCTCAATAGTTGAGAGGGAGTATGGGGGTGGGTAAGTATCAAAGGAAGCTGAAGAGGCGAGGCTGAATCCAAATCCTAAAGAAAGCCAGAACCCCTAACCTTGGGTACAGCGTAAATCAGCCTGGGGAAACTCCCCCCCACTGAGGGGGAGGGATGGATGGGAACGGAGCTTGTGTGATAAGATCACCGATGATTGGGTCACGTGGCCAAGAAGCAGAAAATCACATACGAAAAGTACATCAAGGTATGACAGTCAATTCGGTCACAATCATTCTGTCAACAAAAAAAACAAAGAAATAGGAGAAAAGAAAGTCTATAGAAATATGATAATCTTTGTATTATCATTTGTACAAGTGATGCTGCGGCACTCTAGATACCTTGTCAATCAATTAAAATCACAACAGCTCTAGGAAAATGGATTAAAGAAAATGTGGTAAAAGATGATGAATGAATGAATGACATGTTTGGTGGCTGGTGCCTTGCGCTTCCCCCTCCTCTGGAATTGGAATCATAATTCTGCTGCGTCCATTCAACCCCCTTTTCAAGTTTTGTTCTACGATTTCGGGGGGCTTTCTCGTATTCGGCGCTAGCAGTCAAAGAGCCAATTGTGGCGCCAACAAACGACTGGGAAGAGTCACAAAGGGCCAAAGGACCTCCAGGTGTGGCGTCACCACTCTGCACCTCCCAAGCTAAGCTCCAAATCGATGCTCTTTCCCCCCCAAGGCAAAAAGACCTTGGGCTTTCGGGCACGGACAACAACCACCTGAACTTGGCCTTTGCGGGGCAAATGCAGCGGTAAAAGTTTTTCAACGTCAAGCCATCCGACGACCGCGACAGCGACCTCAAATCGCATCTCCGACGACGACAAGAACGCGCATTTTTCATCAAAAAAATTCAATTTCCTTGTATTTTAATGTTTGAATAATCGTTTCCACGTTTTTTTAGCCACAAAATCCGTCGTCTAGGCCATCGAAAGGGCTACCCCTCGCCCGGGCGCGCCTACCCTCCTCTTCCCCATCATGTCGCTGCAACGAAAGGTCCGCATAAAGAAGCTGAACTCAAAGACGGCTCTTCCAGTCCTCATCGAGGGCCAAATCAACCCAGATGAATATGAATCTCTAACTACCGATATTTCATCTACTGCCGGCGTCGACCAAGGAGAGAGCAATGTAAGCAGCACAATGTCTCCACCCCCGTCCCTCCCGGATGACTAAGCACACCTGGCTTGGTATCTCTCGGATATAATCGGGTATAAACGAGAAAGACACCAGCCAAGAAACATCATGACATTCATTCATCAGATACCGTACCACTACCTTTAAACAGCATCTTACTTACCATTTTCAAAATTAGGAAGTTCATTTGCAAGCTGCCATCAAGGGCACTGGAACCACAAAGGAGGACAATGAGATTCCAGTGCCCCCGCCTCAGGAGAGCGAAGAGGTCAACTATGATGACATATATCCTCGCGTCTACCCAGAACCCCGGAATTATATCAAATTCTCGGAGACTGTGGAGGAGACGCTAGGTTGTCTTTATGACATGACGACAGAGGATGACGAATATTTGAAAACTTACAACGCAAAAAAGTCGCCAAAGGAGCAACTATCAGAAGATGACTTTGAGCGCATCATGGAGCTCTTTGAGCAAACGGCTGCGGGGGAAGCCCCTTTCGCAGCCGTAGACAACACCGTCGTTCCGTATGAGACCATGGTCATGCACATGCTACATACGCCTGTTCACAAGCTTCAGACTCATGCCAAGGTGGTATACGAGCACTGGAAAGGGTTGCGCCAGGACAAGGGCAAACTGCATCCCTCTCTCAAGTTTGAAACTCATTCCGAACAGGACGACTTGGATCCCTACGTCTGTTTCCGAAGACGCGAAGTCCGCCAGACAAGGAAAACCAGACAGCGGGATGTCCAGGTTGCAGACAAGCTCAAGAAATTGCGCAGGGAGCTCGAGGATGCTCGGCTACTCGTAATGATGTCTCAACATCGTGAGGCTTTGAAACAAGAGCTCTTGTCTTTGGATAAAAAGTTGTTTGAGCATCGTGCCATTTTTAAGGAGAAGAAGAACCGGCTCGGCATTCCCAAAAACGAGGACGAGGATCTACTCATCAATTCAAAGCCAACGACAGCACAGAAGCGCAAGGCCCAAGAGGTCCAACCGCCCGTCCGTGCTGCACAGAACACACAGTCACGCCTCGTGGTTCGCGTGGACGGCAGGCCCACCGAGCAGGATTTGCCCTTGCTGTCTGAAAAGATTGAGGAGAAATGGGCTGAACTGCGTCGTGACGTTGAGCACAAGGCGACGACACACAATATGTGGAATCGTGACTATATCGATCTCACAGACAAGCCACTGCCTCCTGTCAAAAGAGAGCAAGAGCAGAGCTTTAGGCCAGCGAAGCCAACGTTTCTTCCCACTCCGCCGTCTAGTGAGTCGGATCAAATGGAGTTGGATGTTGAGGAATGTGAGACCTCTTTCACGGGAGCACTGTCCTCGCAACTTGAGCAGTTTGGTATCGGTCATCCATCACCACTGTTTGATGAACAACCCACTTTTAGCTTTCGCCGTCGTCAAGGAAGGGGTGGTCGGCTCTGGGTTGACCGTCGAAGGATCGATCGTCGGGATCCAGCCACGCGCCTGGCTAGTCCTCCAAGTGATATGGATGTCGATGAAGCCCGTCAGTTCGACCGTGCAAAGTATGACCAGGACAGCGATAGTGAAGACGATCAGGTCTACCACATCGACCCATATGATCAACGGGCGCTTAAATTTCGCGCGCTGATACCGCCGCCTGTTCCCACAGCACCTCGAGGATACTATCGGCAATTGCCCGAAGGCGCCAATGGCGCACCGAATCGTCCGACTCCATCTCAGCCGTCTTCGGCAGCTCCAACGCAGACACAAACGCCGCAAGCACAAGCACAAGTGCAGGCGCAGCCCCAAGTCCAAGCTCAAGCTCAGTCACAACCACAATCCGCGGCATCTTAGGGCGATTTCCGGAACGGGTGGGATAAGCATGACCCTGAAATCCTGGCGATGGAGGCTAGAGATCAACTTTTTGAGCCGAGATGATTTCTTGGAACGCTCTCTCCGTACCCAATCTCTTCCTTCATCATTACCCCCTTCTCCACTATTCTTAATAATCCGAGCTTCTGGTGGAGCTCTCGGCGTCACCGCCCGGATAGGGTGACTATACACCAAGTACTGTATCGGTACAGTATCGCATAAGCGAAAGGTGATCTTGGTTGAGAGCAGATTTGGCAGCCGAAAGCGAGCGCTCTTCATGCAGAAGGCGCTGATTTGTTGTATGATATATATTTTGCTTTTTTTTCTCGGGTGATGACTGCATAGCGAGGAGTTGGGATTGAGGCAGTTGAAAGCGTTGCAATTGTGACGCCGATGAGGCATTGGTAGATCAATGTAATTTGTAACTACCATGACATTTGTATCGATGCGACGAATGATGCGAGTTCGAATTGTTTCGTGATTGCCGAAATTCTGTAGGTTGGGATCGTCTTTGGTGTGCCGGATGGAATGCGTGTGACAAGAGCCGGCATGGGTCGATCGCCTTGTTTCAGGGATGCCTCCTGCGTCAGTATTGTAGCTTGGAAATTCTCTCGGTCTTTGAGTCGGAGATTGAGAAACGTCTTGTCCAGCTGTTGAGGATCATCCTTCGTGTGCAAAAACTGATTATTTGATCGTGAGCACTCGGGAGTCTTTGTCAGACTGCTTGTCGCTTGCAGTTTTGCACACCCAGTGGAAGGAGTGCACCTGCGGAGAGGGTATAAGCCCGAGCTCCAGCTATGCAAGAGAATAATGCCGCGAACCCGAGAAAGATTCCTGTGATGGAATACTTTTAAGTGTACCAGGCTTCAGGGATGCTTTCTCGTCGTTGACAGCTTTAAAGGCCCAAGGTTGACCGCTTTCTCGGTGGTAAACTCTGGGTGTTTAGGTTGTTCGGGGATAAGCAAGCCCATTCTGTGTCGCAATTTGACTTTAGGCCTCTCCTTTTTTCTTGCTTGGGGGTCCAGAGAAAAGGGTATATAGCTCAAGCCCGCCCATGAGCATTGGGAAATCGCAATTTCAAGTGAAGGCTTGACCACAGGACTGACAATCCGGAGGCATGGTGGCTTTGTTGGTCGTCGGTCGGTCGGGCGGGCGGAGAGGTGCGAAGAGCGGAGGGAGGGTAGCAAGCTGGGCATCCGAAGTTGGCTACCTTATGTAAGATCCATGGCAGTCTGACTATTGCCCGCCCGCAAAGGTGCGAGGGAAGAAATTGCGAGCGAACTTGACTGATGATCTGATAGAAAACGACTGCTTTGTAGTGAGAAATTTAGTAAAGGACTAAAGAATGAGGAGGATAGATAGAGCAAGCAGGAGAAGAGGAGAAGGAGAGGAGAGACAAGAGTTGTGCGGGAGAGTGTGTGCATGTGTACAGTAAAGCGGAGCTCGGGGGGATGGATGGATTGTCATTCACATACGGCACGGTACCTGCACTGCTTGTGACCATTTTTGGTAGCAACCCGGGAACCGAGCGCCCGTTTCTTTTTGGTGGGCGGTCCCCTCGATGGGCCGCCCGGGAATTGGGACAAGAAAAACCCACGACGACAAAAGTGAGAGGTGTATGAAAAGGGAAGGTCGACAAGACGCACTCGACAGTGACTCGAGGCAAAGAAGAAGAATAGAGAGGAAAATAGTGAGAAAAGTTTGGCGTGGGAAAAAATGTGAAGGGAAAAAAAAAAGATCTTCTCTCGGCGGATATTCTTGTCCCAAGGTCGGTCTCCATTGTGGTCAGTGGTCGGCTTCTTTCTGCTCACTGCTGCGTATTAATGTGCTAAGAAATGGGCATCTTTCATCTCTCGTGTGAGTGGATAGGCAAGCGGCGGGGTTCCACTTTGAGAGGTTCGACAGTGAGGAAACAAACGCCTACAAGAGACCCACTCCATGTTTTTCCAAGGGTCCTCAAGGCCGGGAGTGTGTCTCTTGGGCGCATTTTTGTGCATGTCTGCGATAAGATACCAGAAGCGTAGGTACTTTTTGCTCACAGCTTCGCGTGCATTTTGCGCCAGACAGACAGCTAAAGCAACTTGAAAGACAAGTCTCGTTATCCGTGCACGCTATCGATAAGCATAGCTTCAACAAGGCCAAACGGCTTTGCGACCCCGCGATGACTTCAGAAAAGTCGGGTTTGCAGTTGGAACATTTTGTGTTAGGAGAGAAGTTCATGCGCGCCTTGACATTTCAACAGATTATACCACGGTGATCACAAACTGGAACATGATCTAGGATCTTGACAGGAAAGCAACATCCTTTTCTCTGTCGGGTCACCAAGCAATATACCAGCTTAGGTCGCGCAACATACCCAATCCACCTCGAGAGCGGGGCACTATCCAGACTTCAAGTCATCCGACACTCCTCCCGGGCTACAATCGTGACCAACACTACTACCGAGCCCATTGAACGATCGACCGAACCTCGATGTGAAAAGACTGTTACTCAAGAAATATCGATCATTTGACTTGCGAAGCCTCTAATTTCAAGTCCGCCCATTTGGGGGACTCCAGGGTCGAATCCCATACATACACAGAAATAGATACAGTCATGTCGAAACGAACAACACATCCAACCTCTGGGCCGCTGTACGCGCTAGGCCTAGAGGGCAGCGCCAACAAGCTCGGCATTGGCGTCCTCTCCCACGACCCGACCGCCAGCACCACGACCATCCTCTCCAACGTGCGCCACACGTTTGTCTCGCCACCGGGCACGGGATTCCTGCCCAAGGACACGGCGCTCCACCACCGACGACACTTTGCGCCCGTGGCCCTGGCGGCCCTGCGCGACGCCGGCATCCGGCCGGACCAGCTCTCGTGCATCTGCTTCACCCAGGGGCCCGGCATGGGGGCGCCGCTGACCTCGGTGGCCGTGGGCGCGCGCGCCCTGTCGCTGCTCTGGGACAAGCCCCTCGTCGGCGTCAACCACTGCGTCGGCCACATTGAGATGGGCCGCGTCATCACGGGCGCCTCCAACCCCGTCGTCCTGTACGTCAGCGGCGGCAACACCCAGGTCATTGCCTATGCCTCCCAGCGGTACCGCATCTTTGGCGAGACCCTCGACATTGCCGTCGGCAACTGCATCGACCGCTTTGCCCGCACCCTGCGCATCCCCAATGATCCCTTCCCCGGGTACAATGTCGAGCAGCTGGCCAAGAAGGCGTCGGAAAACGGCCGCACCCCCGTCTTGCTCGATCTGCCCTATGCCGTCAAGGGTATGGACTGCAGCTTCAGCGGCATCCTGGCCGCCGCCGACATCATGGCCGCGCAAATGTTTGCCCAGGACAAGGTCCTCGCCGAGGGCGGGAGCCTCAAGGACGGCGAGGTACGCATCACGCCTGCTGACCTCTGCTTCACGTTGCAGGAAAACGTTTTTGCCATGCTCGTCGAAATCACGGAGCGGGCCATGGCGCACGTTGGATCGCGGCAGGTCCTCGTCGTTGGTGGTGTCGGCTGCAATGAGAGGCTCCAGGAAATGATGGGTCAGATGGCTGCTGATAGAGGTGGCAGTGTTTATGCAACAGACGAGAGATTCTGTATTGACAATGGAATTATGATCGCCTTGGCTGGTCTGCTGGCCTGGGAGACGGGATATGAAACAAAGCTAGAAGATAGCATGTGTACACAAAGATTTAGGACGGACGAGGTACACATAGCATGGAGAGAGGATTAGAGAGATGGAAAGGATTTAAAGAAAAGAAATCATGAAGTAATGTCAATACCCCATTATACCAATAGCAGCGTATCGTGGTTACCAAACACCCTCATACGCTTGGTGCATTGTTACAAGGGGATGATCGACACGTGTATTTGTTCGAGTTGTTCTTTGTATTTATAATCAGTTGTTCCAGCAGGCGACTACAGTGCCTAGAGACCGATGATCACGGTTCATATATGTACAGAGGTAAATTACCCGATGGTACCTACTATACAAAACATAGAGGTCCATGGTCTCTGATCATAAGATTATTGATCTGAAGAAATCGATGCAAACATGTGTATTCCTATGGATCATCCTTGTCTGCCATCTTGGCCCTTGGACCGGCTATCAACTGTCGTCTGACGTTGGCTTATAGACAATTGTTGTCACATACTGGTTGTAGGAAATTAGAACACTTGTACAAACCTATAATTATTGCAAAGAAGACTCACTTTATTTCTGTATCTCGTGGTCGCTGATACAGCTAGCACGTTGTTCTTAATGCTACTTGTAGCAAGATGGTTCAATATGGTATGGTTCGGCATATTCAGGACGCTATTGTCGTCCTTGATGAGAGCATTGGCGTTCATGATGGGCTTGCTCAAGAAGCCTGGAAGCGCTGGCGGAGTTGGCAGCTTGTCCAGAGCACCCACGGACAATTGATAAGCCCTCGAATCTTCTGGTTGATCAAAATCGGCCAGATACTGGGGGATCACTCCACTGAACCTCTCGGGCGGCGGGACGGCCTTTGTCTGAGGCTGTTTTGCTGTAGCCTCTAGATCTGTACCCGAGGGTTGCCTCGAGGGCAAGGCTTGGGCCTCGGTTGCCGACTTGGGTGGTGTTGCGCCCAATGTGAGATTGCGCGCTGGGGTTTCTTCTCCGCTCACTTCGATATAGTTCACCAGGTTATTGCCAAAATCGACAGTTGTTGGCAAGTGCATCGAGGTCTCCATGCGGCCGTCCACCAGAAATTTGATGTGATGTGTTCCAGGATATACAGGTATGACTGCTTCAAGAACACCTTCTCGACCTTTGCTATACATGGGGGAAATTTGATTAGCTTTGATCAATATGTTTTTCAGTGTACCCATATTTGAGGAGATCGGCGACGAGCCATTGAGATCAGGCCGCAAGGTTCCACTCTGACATCTCCTCCAGTTCATGTGCGTACACGTCACATATGCAGAACGATCACTTACGCAGGGTGTAGTCTTTGCTTTCGACTCCATTGAAATGGCGTGCCTGTAACATAGACCTTCTGGCCGCCTTGTAACCATTCGACTCTTGTCTGCACTGTTCTCGTCTTGTCTACTCTTAGTTCTTCATCATCATCGTCATCAGTGCCTTGGCTTAGACCTGACGATTTTCTAGTGAGATCGGCGCCGGTTGACTCCAATTCCCGATCTAAATTGCTTTCAAGCGTTTCGATGGAGGGCCCTATATCTGCGGGCGCAATTACTGGCGACCCGGGCGTGTGAATCTCTTCCTCGATAGGCAGGGGCAGCCTGGGCGGCCGCGGTAAGTTGTACGACATGTCTGTGACACTTGCAGAAGCGGGATTGTTGGTCAGCAAGGGATCGTCTCCAAACTGCGAAGGTGACCTTATGGACGACTCGGCTGTATTGTGTTGAGAGCTGTGGGTCGTAGGTACATCCACCGGCTTGCTTGGCTCAGCATCTTGGTCGTCCGTATATTTCGATCTCGGAACAGATGACCGAGAGCTTGGTGAATTTGATGAAGCGCCTAGTATCGACAACGGTCTTGTAGTGCCAGTAGCTCTCGGGCCGATGGTTGAGCCTTGGGCCGAGACAACACTTGCTTCGGCAGAGGATGCGGATGAGCGATGCTGGTGGTTTTGAGCAGCAGAGATCAGATTCTTGGGTTCCTGCTTCTTGGACGCTCGTGGAGAGTCGTGGCCAGAGGGACGGTCCACTCGCTCGGCATGCTCGACGTGGGAACGCTGAGTGGGGGTGGCCGGCTTCGAAGTCGAAGGGCTGTTACCCATTTTGACCTCGACGGGACAAGAGGCACGAGAATGGGAACCCTTGGACCTCTCTGGCGGAGGCAAAAGCGACTAGGAGCCCGTTCGAGAGGTGCGACGCGCGGGGGGGCTGGTCGAATGACGAGGATGGTGGTAGTTTGGGATGAGCAGCTGAGCTTACCCAGCCAAGGCTGGCTCTGGGGAGGTACGCACAGCGCGCAGCGCGCAGCTTTGAGGAGCTGGGGGGGTTTTGCTGGGGGGTACGAGGGAGGACTGGCTGCTGAAGACAAGGTACTGTGCGCGCAACAGCTGCAGCAGTAAACTAGACGATTCCCGGTCGACCAGTAGGTCAATTACCGACGATACGACAGATTGGGAATACGTAGGTAGCTGTCTGTTGGTGGGGGGTTGCGAACACAAAAAGGCTGAGGTAAGAGCTCGGCAACACAAATAGCACAAGGGCGCGCCAGGGAACGGACAGGGTCGCGCGATCAGCTACTGCCTTGGGGTAAAAATCCGTTCTATGTCTCGGATGGCCGCGAGGGAATGGCTCTGAAGGCCGGTGGTTGGATAGACTCGAGAATGGCGGCGGAGGCTCAAGGTTTTGCTGCAGCACATGTGGTATGCTACGATGCTTGGGGGTCTACGTTGGAGAAAGGGTCATGAGACCTTTTCCAAGGTTGAATGTCGCTGCAGGGCCCAATGCTGGATGGGCTGCGGTGAGCAATTGCGGCAGAAGCTCTCGAATTGGAGAGAAGGGCGGATTTATTATTTGAGGGGGGGTTTTCGCTCGGTACGTTCAGAGTTCAGGCCGTTTTTAGTGACCTTTTGCTTCGCGGATCGTGGGGGGAAAGCGTATTCCTCTTAGTGCGGATTCGATTCCGTAATGACTGTCTAGATGTTGGGTGTGTGCGTGTGTGTATGCACAGAGTTTGACAAGATAGACTCGCCAGCCGAGGCAACTCTCCTTCTTGTCTAGTCCTGGCCGATGGAACGAGGTTATCCGTAGATCGTTCCTAAGTGAAGTGTATGGAAAGGATAGAGGAGAGGGAGGGGAGAGGGTAGGTAACAAACTGCAGCAGCCAGTCGGTTGAGTTGCAGCTTGATCAAGGTCCATGTCCTTCCCTCTCTCTTTCCCCGCCAAATCCCAAAGCCCCTCCAGATTCCATCTCTTAAACGAGATCCACTTGCTTGAGCTGTGCAGCATCCACTGAAGCTCGAGCCCCAGCAAAGCCTAGAGCGAGCAGCCAGCCCAATTGGACCCCTGCTTGAAATTCAATTGGAACTTGACTGCTTCCGTGTTTTTTTGCACAGCTGCATTAATGAAAGCCTGCAGGTTGGGAGTGACCATTGTAGTTGCAATACTATAGAGACGCGATAATCTTTCAGAGATCATTCCTCTCTTTATTATTGCTATAGAAATATGTCCCTGAGCGGTGTTTTAGGCAATCAATTGTCTTTCGTCTCCTCCTCCCGCACACGCACAGGGAGTCTGTTGAGCTTAAGACGGGTCGGGTAGCTTGCCAGGGGTATGTATGTATTTACAGTACCAAACGTAAACATATACCGGCCCCCCATATATTCTTCTTCAGTATGATTTGATCCGTAAACTTCAGGAACCCCCCATGCTCAACTTCACATGAGAGGAGATCAACATCAACTCATCACTCTTTTGACAAAAACAACACCTTAGGGCGCCGTCATGGCAACCATGGACTGGCAGACGCCACTGTCTGCGTCCCTCGGTCTGCTCTCGACCGCCGCCGTCCACCTGTTTGCAGCCCTGTACTGGGCCTTGGCGTGGATCTCCCTCAACGTCGTGGCCATCATACCCACATACCTCTACCGCGCCGTCGCCGTGATCGCGACACCCTTGACGTATCCGCTGTATTATCTCTGGAGGCTCGTCGCTTTTATCCTGTCCCCGTTTTGGGTCCTGTGCAGTGCATGCGTGGGAACCGTGTCCTGGGCTCTTGATTTGGCTGTCAGGTTCAAGGTGCGTCTTCTCCCTATTCTGAGGCTACGTCATTTATAGCACCGACTTATTCGACGTTTATAGTACCTTTACATCTTTGTATGTATTGCCCAATCAATTGAATAATTGTCCACATCTTGTTCGTGCATCAAGCATCGTCTAATTCGATGCCATCAAAAATAGTTTGCCACTGCGGCTCTTGTAGGAATCTTGACTGCCTGCCTATTACACGGCACCAGCAACTTGATCTTTTCTCTACTCAACATTGCGCCCTCGTCGTCATCGTCTTCTTACTCTCGGTCCTCTTCTTCTTATGAGAAGGCCCAGCTACGGCTCCAGGTCATGGATCCCTTGGAGGGCGGCGGCGACTACTACGATTCCGCGCCAAAAGAAGAGGAAGACGATGACGGTGATGCCTCGTCGTCATCGACTGACTTTGACAACTTGCTGTCCGAACCTGCTTCACGCCGCATCCGAGCTGATCATCCAGTGGTATGTCAAGATTTCCTCCTCTATTCTACTTGTTACTATCGAGAGTCGGTTCTAGCAGTGCATTGTTTTCCTGTTATTATGGAAATGACCGTCGATCTAACCCCTGGTGAACAGAATAACAAACTCCTCGAGCAAGCTTATCGGCAAGCCAGGAGCACGCGCTTGAGTCCCATTAAGCCAAGCAGAAGGTTCAGGGGGCTTCTGGCACAGACAATTCATGAAGAGAGTAGCGAGTCTGAATAGTTATGAGGAGAAGATTCCAGAGCAGAGGAAATGCGCAATGATCCGAGGGAAGTAACATATTATGCAATCGGTAGTGAAATCATTATCCCAACAAGCCGCCTACATTGATACCTGCTATAACATATCAACGGGTCCGCCCTGGAACGCGCATAACAATCTCATTAAACTTATTCTATTGACTTATTATAAAACCATGTCCACTATGGAAAAGTCAATGCTCGAGAGTTGTGAATTCCACCCAATCCCAATGTACTGGGCTCGCGTGACAATCGCATCATTTGCGTAGCAGGAAAGGGTATGGTACGTGTCGCAATACGCCGCCTTCGATCCCCAGTGTATAATACATGAAAAGAAGTAAGAACGGCCATTCAAGAATTCAGTCACCGCCCAATCGCTCCGGGCAAATTCTTCGCAAAAAAGATTTTCAATGACAGGTCCAGAGTGTGCAACTATTAGAAAACGAGGAATCAAGTCACAAGAACCACTGGTGCTCTGCTGGACCTTCACACACATCAATGCTGGTACCTCTCGAATACGGATGGTGTATGGATACGGAGGAGTTCCCAGAAAAATAAAGAACCTTGCACAACACGGAGAGCAAGTCTAAGTTCATGAGCGTTGATATTGTCCAGGGTTTTACCACGAAAGTCCATTAGTCCTTCGTGGAAGTTGCTGTGCTGGCGTCAAATTCATTCGGGGTGATGGACGCTGAGCATCGTTGCTACCGTCGGAATTTGCCGTGAGGGTATAATTGATATTTCACGCAAAGTGCCTCTACACTGAGATAGCGCAGACAGCTCAGAGACGTAGTACCTGTCGTGATCATCGACCAAGTCGATCAAGATGAGTATCTGAACATCATCCGAGGGATCGAGACTCTAGGAGTGCAATTAGCGACACCCTCGTTGCATACTGTGTATCGTGTGCGTGGACACAATAGAGATCTGTTAAAACGGGATAGAATTACAATTCTTGGTGATCACTGCCCGGCTCCAGCCTTGTCTGGCTGCGGCGGCGTTCAAAGAGATGATGTCCATGACCGTGTAAACAAGTCTGTCGATCTTGCGAGTGGAAAGTGTTGCCAAGAATTATTCGTGGCCAGAACCAGATCCCTATGCTATTGGTGGTACAGTCGCTGGCGCTGTCCTTGATGCTGGTTGCGCCCGCGCCGTGAGTCCGAGTTGAAGCTTGTGCCGTGCCCCCTATCCTATCGGCGGTACGACTCTCGCTCTCGGTCCCTGATCGGAGATCGACTTCTACTACGAGTCCGGCTTGCTCGACCTCGATCGTCATAGTCCCTCACGCGATCGGTGCGGTCCCTGTCATGTCGCCAGTCATCTCGATCATCGCGCCTGCGTCGATCATCACGGAGAGGGCGATCCTCTCTAGGCGGACGGTCTCGGCCATGACCGGCGTGGCCCGGATTGTAAGTAGGAATATAGGTATCCATGTTGCTACCACCACTTGCACCAGCAGGCCCGCCGCGATTCCTAGGTGGACGGTCCCGATCGCGGTACTCAGGAAAGTCATCATATCCGTTCTCTGGTGGCGGGGGCCGTGGAGGCAACCTAGTATCAGGGGGTGGATGATCACGTTCCCGGTTCCAAGCAGGTCTTCTATCATTATGGCCGCCGTTTCTTGAGCCATGGTGGTTCTGATGTCTTCCGTTCATACGCGCGTTGCCATATCCATCCCCACTGGCATAACCTTGCGGACCCTCGTAGGGACCTACACCGACAGTACCTCCACGTGGTGCTGGAGGCAGAGCAGCCTTTTGAGCTTGGAACTTTCTACGATCCAACTCGTGGCTGTCCTCGTAGAATGGAATGTCCTCTGGTTTAGCAGGATACGGTGCCGACTTGAAATAGGCGTGCTCAAGGGCATCCACAGCATTGATGCGTGCTCGCCAATCAAGCATCAAGAGCTCTTTCAGTAATGAAATGGCCTGTCCGCCATGGTCTCTGAATCGCGTAGACAGGTTTCCAGTTCGCGGTCGCGAATTCATGTTCTCACCACCCGGCAATGTTCTCCAGCCAGGCATGTTTTGATCGGTAGGTGTGCCGCAGAGATCAAAAATGATCTCCAATTGGTGCATATCGCTTTCGCCAGACAGGATGGGCTTACCAACCAACATCTCGCCAAAGACACAACTTTTGATGCATTAGCCGAGAGTCTATAGTCAAGTAGGAGGAAATACAAACCCAACACCCCACATATCAATCGCTGTCGTGTATCTTCTGAGGTTCATGAGCAGCTCGGGAGGTCGGTACCATCTCGTCACAACAAGTGCCGTGTATTCTCTCTTGCCCTCACCTCCGCCTCCACCTGGAACGGGAACCTGGCCGTCGTAATGTCTGGCGAGACCAAAGTCGGCGATTTGAAGTATGCCCTTGTTGCTGATAAGCAAGTTGGCAGCCTTCATATCTCGATGGAGGATGTGATTTTCATGAAGGTATTGCAATCCTTGTAGTAGCTGCTTGAGGTAGCACTTGATCTGAGGGACGGTGAATGTGACACTTGGATTTTCCAAAAGGCCAGACAAGTCGTGGTCCATGTAAGGCATAACCATGTACATGATGGGTCGTTTTCGCTTATCGGCTAGAGAAAGGAACTGGGTTTAGCTGACTGCTCTGGGATAGTTCGGAAAGAGCTGTCCACTCACTGCTCTTTGTGTGATGCTCGACAGCCATAGCATCGAGACGAAGGACATTTTTATGCGAGAGCAGTTTTAGCAACTTGATTTCTCGGAGAGCCGTTATAGGGAACTTGAGTCGAGGTTAGCAGCCCGGTGTCTTGTCTCGACAGGTCTCATGCGGCCATGACCCACCCCGTCTTTCTCATTGTGCATGATGATTTTCTTCAGGGCCACCAAGCTGCCACTGCTTTTCGATCGTGCCTTGTGGACTTCGCTGTTGGGTTCGTCACTTTAGTACGGTAGCAAGTCCATGGTGAAAGCGCACCTACCCAAAGGTACCTTCACCAAGCTTGTGGAGAAGTTCGTAGTCTGTGATCTTGGAGCAGCCGACGAAGCTATCCTTTGGTCGCTGGTGCTGTACGGCAAAAGATCGAGGCGATGGCGCGCCATTGCCGGCACCGTAGGCGGCCATGATCGTGATTGCTGATGTCGACTTTTGCCCTCGCTCTCCTTCCTTTGCAGTCGTGTTGCAAGCGTGCGGTGTGATGATGGTGGTTGGAGTTTAATGCGCTACCTTGATAGGGATGCTGGTCCAACGAGCTCTCAGGTAGTAAAGAAGCCGAGCGACAACATTAGGCATTAGCTGGCCAGGTAGGCAATGTGTACAAAATCACACTTGGAAAGAGAGAAAGAAAATGAAGCCCCGCCAAAGCCCGGAAAAATAAACACTTGGGAACCAAATCTTTGGTAGGCGGCGTCGCAAAAGATAAATGTTTAAGCTGCCCTCTGAGTCGCGACATTAGCTGCACGTCGATTCTGATTGATTGACGTAGAAAACCCGTCCGTGCTGCCCATGTCCGGCAAGCGCCACTAGCAGTGGAGAAGGAAGAAGCGAGCTGCAGCTCCTGCGCCACATCCTATCTAGACTCTCTCTCTGTTGGCCGCAACTGTGGCGCAAGCCTCAGCCCTCGGGAAGACGGAGTCAATCACCTCAAAAGGTGGCTGCCGGAGCTTCCAACGACATCACCAAGTGGAATTGGCGAATCAACTCACCCGCATAACACATCAACCACCTGCGAAAAGCCTCAATCGTACGAACGACACATTTCCTCATCCCTCATCTCGAAACGGTCAATCGCGATTCGATCGCTAACACGAAGCACAAGCAGGCAGCATACAGACAAAATGGCAGGCGGTCCCGGTATTCGACCTCACGTCGCTCCCATCTACAGAATCACCGCCACTGCTCTGGGCGCAAGCATGTGGTTCTTTGTAAGGATTTCCAAAAAGTGTCATCTGTGGTGGTGGCTTCGGAATTGCTAACATTGTTCTGCAGTTGATGTACCGCGCGAAGAAGGACGGTAACTAAACCTCGATATACCGCGATAACCAAAAGTAGCATCTTTACTCACGCAATTTACAGGCCCCGTCCTCCTCGGCTGGAAGCACCCTTGGGACCACTAGACGATTGATTGAACAAGCAGAGCGCATGTGGTTGTCAGATATGATAGACCTTGTACATGGACCACTTTTTGAGGAAATAGGCAGCATTCACCAGCGCAGAGCGGACCAAGAAAAAAGAGAGGTCGATTATCGATTGGATTGGGATTACAAGCCACCATCAGTCTACGCCATCTATGTACATAAGAGTCTACACGAGAGCAGGGGGGAATTATGGTCAAGGAAGTTTTTTGTTCACGCCTTTGGCTTCTCGAACAAGTAATGCGCGACGCCCCATGTGTCACCTCCTTCATATGCAAACAGCTCGGAGCAGGCCATGTAAAAGATTTGCCATCGGTTGTACCAGGTATTCGCATTTTCTGCGCCATATGTTTCGACCAGGTGCGGCCAAATCTGCTGCTTATTCTTGATCATGAGGGAAAGCCAATCCTGCACCCAAAAGAAGTCAGTTTCCGGTTCAAAAAGCATGCACCACTGAGGCGGAGAAAAGGAACATTACCTCGCAGGTCTTGGAGTAATTGTTTCCATTGACCCACCACTGCTTCTCAATCTTGAGATCTTTCTGAAAGTACAGCAGCAAGTCGGCAGAAGGCATGGTGCCACCCGTGAAGAAGTGCGTAGTCATCCAGCCCTCTTCATAATCGTACGGGCTATCCTTGTGCGCAAAGATGTGCACAAAGAGCTTGCCGCCGGGCTTTAGGACCTTGGCGACCTTGGCCATGAGAAGCTCATAGTTCTTCATGTGCTCAAACATCTGCGTAGGGGACGGGGGTCAGTCGACCGACTTTTCGTGCTTTCGGTGTTTGTAAAAGAAGAACAAGAAGAAGAAAAGAAAGATCCCAGATGGGACATACCTCGATGGACACGACGCGGTCAAAGCTCTCCTTTTCCTGCTCAAACTCGTAGACGGCCACATCGCCAGTAATGACTCTGAGGTTGGTCAGACCCTTTTCCTTTGCCTTTGCGTCAATGTACTCCTTTTGCGTCTTGGAGTTGGAGAAGGCCGTGACCTGCGACTTTGGCAGCATCTCGGCAAAGAAGAGACCTCCCGAGCCCCAACCGCACCCGAGGTCTAGAATGCTCATGCCATCTTTCAGGCCAGCCTTTTCGACTGATTGCAGATGATGAGAATTTAGTTTGTGTTTCTTGGCCCAATGTTTCTGTTATGCATGTAGTTTTGCGTTTACTCACTATACGTTTTCAGCATCTCGACTTCTGCCTGTCCCAGAGTTTCTGAACCCTTTGGGTAGAGGCATGAACTGTACTTCATCCTCGGACCCAGCATTCCGGCCAATACACCTGTGCCGACCTGTTGAGCGGTATTTGTTAGTTGCGCAAATTCCCAGCCAAGTCGACTTTGCCAACGATGAAGTGTAGATTTGACTCATCATATGACAATACACCCCCGGGAATTCAAAAACGCCCCAATCTTACCTCATAATGCTGCGTATTTGCCGTTGCCGTCTCAATGGCAATGGGCTGGGTGCGCAGACGCTCAATGTAGTCCATCTTGCGCTCATAGGCCGCCGCCAGCGACTCGGACTTGATCTCGGCGAGCCGCTGGGCCAGCTGCCGACGAATACCGATCCTAATGACGGCGTGCGGGAGATATCCGCCATCGAGAATCGCGTCTAAGGGAGGCGCATAATGGTCAGCTTATAAGTTTCCTATACAATAAAAAATAGCGGTGTGATGAAGGATTTCATAAGTGGCCTTGTGTTCATTCATGAAATATCATATAAACATGGACGCCAATCATCGCGATGGACTACCGCGCATTCTCGATGTTGTAGTGCGGGGATGTAGATGGAAGGAGATTATACCCATGCTCATGGTGTTGTAACTGTAGTTTAAATCAAAAGATTTGTAAGTGGTAAACCAAGTATAATCAATTAAACAAAAGGACAGAAAATTGGCAGAAAATATTTGTGTATAGCTTCAATAATTGAACAAGTGTTTACTCCTCTTGCTTCATCATACAAATTGCACAGCGAGAGAGTTCCGACCCAGCCATCTGTTTTGTTGACTGATTGCCCGACCCGGCCGTGCGGTGCGGTGCGGTTTCAATGGCTGAAACTGGGTAAGAGACCTGCGAGTTCCACAAAGTCTAAGCGTCATGCTGCTGACATTGGAGCTTGAACGAATCCCGGTCAATCCTAAGCTTGGTTAGGATCTCTGCCCCATTCTATTGTACACATGTGAGCTGTGCCGCCAGTAACTTGTTGTATCAGAATAAAGTAATTTAATCATTAGGACCAATCATGAATTGCAATATGAGTAGAACTTTGTCGTTCAAATATGGCCAAAGTCGTGGCTGACCAGCTACATATAGTGCTCGCTTCTTACAAAGTTATATACCGCCGTGTCTGTAACAACTCTATTTCCAGTCTACAGCGCCGCGGTGATCATCATGGTCATATTCTTTCTCATGCCTTGCCCTTGCCTTTTGGTTCGCGCCGCCTCTCCCAGATCTGGAGATACGATTCTCCAAGGTAGAGCAGCTCCTTTTCTGTATTTTCCACAAACAGATCCTGACATGTGACCCATTCATCTCGTCCCTTGTCCCTAAGTTGAACCTTCCATGTCTTCTTCTCTTCCGCTGTATCTGCCACGTCTTCCTTGGCTCGTACTGCTTCATGCACCACGTTTGCCACCAGATCGTACCAGATGGGCTCACCAGGAGGATGCTCGGCCGGGTTTGGTTCCACGTACGGCGATACGTCTAGATTCCGTGCGTCGAATGTAACAATGGTTGGGTTGCGCTCCGACACAAATTTGTTGGTGGAGAAACGCTTAATATGGAAAATCAAGTATGGTGGTAAAGGGTGCATCAGTCTGTAGCGTTTCCGCTGTGAGAGATGCTCCTGTCCCTTCATGCCATCGTATTTTGATAGAATCGTGGTCAGCGGTACTTGGGGGATGATGTTGCGTTCCAGCTCGTCTTGGAAGAGGGGCGCAGCGGGAAGATCCAAGGTCAGAAGGAGGAAGCGGTTGATGTCTGCCTTCACTTCCGCTGCCTCCTCAAACCGCAAACGATCTCCAACATCTGCCCTGGCTGTAATATCTTGTGACTCGACCTTGAGCTTTCCCTGAAAAATGCGTTGTACGATACTGCTTCCAGGTTTCGTCTTGCTTCCTCCCAATCCCAAGTGCAGGTTATTCAAGAACCACGATAGAAACTCGACGGGATCAGACTGTGTCGTCAGGGTGAAGCGTTTGTTTGACCGCAGCGAGATTTCCTGCAGAAGCTCGTGCGGCGAGACGTGATTCTTGAATGCCCGAGGATTCCATATTTTCCTAAACAAGATACTGCATCGCTTTGCCAGCTCCGACTTGGACGACATGTCTTCGAGCAGGAAGAAATTCCTCAGGGGAGCGACGTGCGACAGCGCCTGTACCACCACGTTGAGGTAGTCGTTCTCCTTGATATTGTTCATGCCCACAAAGCCCGGCGTGTACTCCTTCCCACCAAGTGTCCACGCGCGTCTGGGCTTGCGATCTAAATCCATGACTTCTTGTTTCGTGTAGCGTGGGTCCGACACGTACTTGATGTCGTCCAGCGACTTGCTCTTGACCTCGTATCCCTCGGGCAGCACGTAGACGCTCTGCGTTTGCATATTGATAAAGACATGGTGGCCCTCGTCCAGCGCGTGGAAGTAGGCGTGCGATTTGGGACCGCGGCCCTGGAAGTACTTGCCGCACACTAGGCAGGCGTAGACGTTGATGTTGGACAGACTGATGGAGCAGAGCTTCTCAAAGTCAAAGTCGAGCACGTTGCGGTCTATGGTGTCGAGGTAGAGATCGTCGTAGCCGGCAGTGGGGGCCGCTTGCCGTATCGGAGCCTTTTCTTGCACCTCATCCTCGAAATCGTCCTCGTCTTCACCTTGCCCGTCGCGTTGTGTTGGTGTTGCACCGTTGCCGTTCAGCCCGCCATTCAGCAGTTCTGCGGGTCCGTCATCGAACCTCGATTTCTTGGATGCGGGCGATCCAATGCTGCCAAGCGGCTCCTCTTCTAGAGCTTCTGATGCTAGCCGCTTAGACATTGTGGTTGTGTTGAACGATGCAGAGGTGTTGTCGCAAGGCAGAGAAGAGTGCCAAAACTCGAGCTTGAGCTAGCTAGGACTGGCTTGAAGCTCCCAAAGGGCAATGGATCTTTTTGCCCAGTGGACCCCACTGCAACACCACCTGCTGTAGCTTTATGGCCACTCCGTGAATGCATGTACGTGTAAATGTCGGATGAGGTCTTGCAATTTTCTTTTTAATTATAACTGCTGTGATATATATCATGAGTATCATGACACTCTTTTGAATTTGCTCGACTTGCTATGTTTTGAATGTCAACAGTGCTGAACTCAAACTAGATACCCGCCAGCCAAAACATACCTCAAGAGTACTATTCACAACAGAGGTCCACCTATAACGATGGACTAAGCACATGCTACGCACGTTGTAATTCTCATAAGTAATCATAATAAAACTTCTATGCATTCTAATCGGGTATCACTTTTTAAGTCATCATAAAAACTCCTTTCCAGTCCTTCATTTCGTAATCTGCCTCAACTTGGAGACTTTTCGTGCCGGCGTCGATTCACCAAATGGCGTTCTTGGTGTCACGCCTCCATTGCCGCCAATCTTCCCCCAGAGCCGCTGAGCTGCCGGAGTCAGTCCACCTCCCACCCGGGGGCTGCTCGGGAACTTGGGCACCGGAGTCTTGTCCACCTTGCCCGTCATGCCAACCTGCTGCGACGTTCTTTTCGACTGCGAGATCTTGTCCACCATCCGATGATGCAGTGCTTCCCTTCGACTCTGCTCGCTAATCTTGAATGGATTCGGTGAAGCATCTCCAGGACCAAGGTCGATCTTGGGTGGTGCGGGCCGTGGAGCCTCATACTCTGGCTCTTCGTCGTCCACAAAAGCATAGCCGTTGACACGAGGTGTTTCGCTGCCCACAATGCTCGAGCTCGCGATACTGCCCGTCCTCTTTCCTGCGATGGCATCTCGGACGGCCGACAGGGATGGAGACCCCGGCTCTGACTGGTCATCGCTGACCTTTGGGAGAGGCAGTCTAGTGTTTGCATAATTGACGGCCTTGGGCGCTGCTTTGGACTCGGATTCTGCTTTCTGGGCGACAGTCTCCAACGAGTCCTCTACACTATCGGGCGCAAACATGAGGGCGTTGTTCGGGGCTGACTTCCAGTAATCGGGTTGTGCAGGTCTTTGGTCGCGGTCTTTGATGGCGAGTCTATCCCTGTCCCAGCCGTCGTCGATTAAACCTCTTGTTTCTGACAATTTGGCTTCAATCTGCTTTTGCTTGAGCTGCATCTTGGATGGCAACTTGTTTCCAGCCCATAACCATGCATACTTCTCTGCTCGCTTGCTGTTCTGTTTGTCCAGGAGTTTGTAGAAGCTTTCATTGTCTTCGCTGGTGTATTTTGACTGAAATGCGCCCAGGCTCATGTTGGTATCAATCGGCGGCTTTTCGACTGGCCGCTCTGTGCTAGACTCGGCAGAGACCGATGCTGGCGTATCACCGACATAGCCTCTTGGTGTTTGGGCACCTGGGGCCAACGATGTTCCTCTTCTTGATGTATGCCTGCCTGGCGTCATCACCTGGTGCAGCCGCCTGCTGGCGCTGTCAATCCAGTCCTTGTCCTTTGATTCCAGTGCATCGAGATATTCTTGCTGAGTCTCGCTCTCGAGCAGCCCGGGGAAAAAGTCTCGAGCAATGATTTGCGACAGAGCATCCGTGTATGTATCTTCGTCGAGGACTTTTTTGGGCCGCTTGATCCGCTTCGTCGGTGGAGGAGGAGGCATAAGCTCCAGGTCGTCCCTCTTACGCACAAGCGCCGACGACGATGCGCTTTGCGAGGCCATGGTTGCAATGTTGGTTGTTTTGTGGATTAACTGCATGACAAGGCAACAGGACCAAGAGGAGGAACACTTGGGTTCGCCAGGCAGTGGATTGATTTAGGCAAGGTTGCTGATTGTAGCGGGGCAAGACGGGTCCTGCCGGGGTATTAGCGCCGGCGCTTGTGAGACTCTGCATACTGTAAGCGCTGGCGCTCGACTAGACGATCTACTGATACTATATTCAGTATATTTGGCGAGTTTTCGAGACATTGTTGGTACCAGGTTATGAGCAAGCACATATAACTTTTCTTGGTCAACTACTTTATTAGATTGAAGCCCCACGGAGAGCTTCTTTACTTGAATATATCTTGTTTGATAGCACCCAGCCTTACATGTCCTATCCAATGGCACTCAGCTCACACCTAGCACCCTTCGTCAACGCACAAGAAGACGCGGGAGTATATTGGTCGACGTTGCCCAGATCATGGTGACAACAACTCTGTGAATTTCTTAGAAACACGGTCTCTTTTAACATATACATGATCTCACGAACTCATATTGTTTTATTTTTTTTTTTTTTTTTTTTTTTTTTTTGGCTGTGTTGGTTGGATATTGGCATGCATCTTCAACCGCAGAGTCCATATTCATTGCTTAACATGGATACTACCTTCGAGTCGGTTCACAACCAACCATATAACGGGACAGAAAATGAGGAGAAACAAATCAACAAGAATCTTCACTGGAAGCCATGGGGGACTCGCTCACCAGTCATCATCGCCTTTATTTTGGCATCACTCGTACTGGCTGCTGTTGTCGAGGTGCTGGCACAAAAAAGTTTGGCATCTGGTGTCCTCTCCCCGTCATCATCGATCAATGATATTCCCGACTCGGCCCGGCTTGCAGCTCTCTACGTACCGACGGTCATTGCGGTTCTTTACGGCTTCTTTTTCTCTTGTATCGATCTCGATGTGAAACGAGTACAGCCCTGGATAGAATTGTCAAAACCCGGAGGCGCTTTAGCAGAGAATTCACGTATGTCTTTCTTGATATATCCCTTGCACTCACATCTATATGGTTCTATATGAGATTCCATCCCTTCCCTAAGTCGGATGAGCTGAGCCAAGGATATTTGCAGTGCTTCTGGACTATGATTTTGATTTTTTGCCATTTGTGCCGCTTCGAGCTGCTCGCCGGCGGTAAGCCCAATCGACATTCTTGCTCTGCCGAGCTACTCTAACAGTCGCAATTGCAGTCACTGGCCCGTCTTCTATTCTGGAATAATCATAGTCATCATTTTTTGGGTAATCACACCTTTGCAAAGTGCCATTTTCGGCACCGGTACTGCGGAATTGACCCAACCGGCAGTCCTCACCACTTCGGGTGGACTGATTCCGATAGAAGATCAGGCCAGCCTCTTGGATGCATCGGTATTGAATGGTGCTTTTGCCACATTGTGGCTCAATCAGACATACCCAAAGTCTTTGACAGCACAATCGGCAACCCTTCCCATTCAAGCTGTTGATATCCCTCTAAGTGCTTCGAGCGCTAATTGGACAGGTTGGACCTGGCAGTTGACGACCGAGCTGAAATGCTGGCCTGCTCTTCTGCGAAACGGCACGACGCCCTACTTCGGCAAGAACCAGACTGGAGTACTTCTTGACAATGGTCAAGGTTGCACAGTTCCCAAATCCTTTGGCTTCAACATGGATGGCGATGGAACTCCTTATGTCATTCGCTATATTGGGTGGTACGATAACGCTCGTCTGGATTACCACATGGCCAGCACAACATGCGATGAGAGATTCAAGCATCAGTTTCTTGCTATAACGTCAAACATCATAGGACTATACAATGATGTCACGAGCGAGGTCACGGCCCAATTTTGCGAGCCGTCATACTATAAGCAGAATGTCACAATACCAATGTCCGGGACGACGCTCAAACCTGACTTTTCCGCCATTACCAATGCTGGCCCAAAGACCGAGCTGACAGATACCGAATTCAACCGAACGGCCTTTGAGTACTTGCTTGGTACTGGTGTAGCAAGTGTTAACCGCGAGAGGGACTACCCTGACAAACAGACCTTGGAGGGATACTACCAAGTCAAGTCTCGGGACGAGGATATTCCATGGCCCATCGAGACCATGCCCAGCTTTGCCATAGGTTCCGGCAATTGGACTGGAAAAGACTTATTGGACCCGGCTAATCAAGCCAGTGCCTACGCCAAAGCACATCAAGCAGCCTTCTCGATTGCCATCAGTGAACTGCTGGCTGAAAGCTCGAGTGCCACTCAGCAAGGCAGTATAGACTTTCGCATCAGTGGTATAGTTGTCAGTCGACCTATTTCCGCCACCGTCGAGATTCTACTGGCGATATCGGGGCTACTGGCTGGAATTATCTTACTTTACAACTGGAACGCGCAGACTAACTTGCCGGGCGATACTTCGAGTATTGCTCGCATCATGGAAATTTCTCAACACAATGAAGAACTCCTCCAAAAATTCATTCCATTTGAACAATCCAGCGAGAAAGAGCTCAAGAAGGGCCTTGGGCAGTTACGGTTCGAATCGCAGCGAATAGGCACAGAAGCGCACCTTTCTTGCATCCCAGCCAGCCCAGAAGCGCCGACTCCAGACAATGTTTTACGAGACAGTCTTGCCGCCAGATCACAAATGACGGGAGTTAGACCAACAGCCTTGAAAGTCAGAGTAGCGATCTTGGTTATCCTGCTGTTGGCAGCTGGAGTATCGATTCTTGCGTATCTCAAATATCGAGAAGTCATATTGGGAGGTGTGCTTCATATATCTCACTCCCCTCTTTCTGCATATTTCCTAACGAGAATAAAAATGCAGGACTTGAACGGCCATCACAGAGCTTCGAAGTTCTCCAAATCTTGGAGAATTACATCCCGACTGCTTTCGCGACCTTCCTTGACCCTTTCTGGGTTCTCGTCAACCGCATTTTCTGCCTAATTCAGCCGTTTCGAACCCTTCAAAAAGGCAACGCCACTGCCAGGCGGTCGATCGAGTGTGATTACACGGGCCTGATGCCTCAGTTTAACATTATCAGAGCTGCCAGGTCCAACCATTATTTTCTTGCCATGATCTGCGCCGTCGCTTTGCTGGGCAATATTCTAGCCGTGGGACTTGGCGGTATATTTGATGAGAGAGAAGTCGACATGGAATACACTGTGCAGTACCAGCCTCAGCGGTCTCTATCTCCAACCAAGGACAGGGTAGAGTTGCCGAGCGGTACTCTCCAAATGGCTGTCAAATACAGCGACCATCTTCAGCTTGTACGAACTAATTTGTCAGCACACACCTCTCTGCCTCCGTGGACAACTCCCGAGGCCTACTTTCTTCCTTTTGCAGATATTCTAAACTCATCCACGACGACAGATTTACAGAGGGCGAACACGACCGGCATAGTATTCGAACCGAGATGCTCAGTTGTGAGCACGGACAATACGTCTTCGGAGGACTACATTCACTTTGTCTACAACAACACTCACAGCCAATTATACTTGAATCATGTTTTTCAAAATGAGTCAAGCATCCGCTGTGGAGTAATGTCAGGCACGTTTGAGCAAACTGATGTATCGGCTGTCAATATCACTGGGAAACAGGACCGCCCGCGAGGCCCATCGTCGAACGAAATCTATAGCGTGATGCAAGCCTTGTCGGAAGATGGACTACAGACAACCGATGCCGACGACGAGTTTTGTGGCAGAATGATATTGGCGGGCTGGGTTCGCATCAATGCCACTTCGCAGGGTGTGCCGTTGGACGAACCCGAATCCAGCTTCATGATGTGCAGTCCCAGGGTCAGTACCGCGCCATACCAGGTGACAGTGGACTCCCAGGGTTACGTTATCGATTCTCAGCGCCTCGGAGACCTGGTCGACGCAGAGCCCATCTTTGCAAACAGAACCAGCTTGATATTCTACTATCTATTCTTTGATACTATTTGGGGGCTCGACAGCTGGCACAATACTACAGTCGCCAATGACTGGATGAATAGCCTTCTGAAGCTCTCTCTTGACGGCACCGCGCACGTTGATCCCAATCAACCACTCGTAAGCATGGAAACCATGCTTCCAGCTTTCGAGGCCGTGCTAAGAGAAGGCATTGCCTCGCTCTTTGGCCTCAATCCGTCTTTTTGGAAGGCCACCGGGCCCGACGTTGCCCTCGTCAACGGCGTCGTCATCCGATCCGAGACCCGAATTTTCATGTCCGAGGCGGCATTCGCCGTCAGCGAGTCGATTCTAGTCATCTACATCATTGTAGCCCTCCTGGTCTATACCCGAGGCCTCGGTGTTGCGTTGCCCCGTCTGCCCACTACGATTGGGTCTGTCGTGGCATATATTGCTGGTGGTCGAGCCGTTCGAAATTATATCAAAGACCACGCAGAGACGGCAGAAAAAGTTGAGCATGACAAGCAGGAATATAGATATGGCACCTATGTTGGTCAAGACGGAAAAATGCATGTTGGAATTGAGCTGGAACCTTATTCGCAATTGTCAACTATACGACGAAGGACAATATCTCCTCCATCGCAGGGCAATTTCAGGCCGTTCGTATAGTTTGAGAAGCTGGGTCTATATTTGTATGGCCAAGATTTGCTATAGAACCATATGTTACCATTTGGGACAAATTAATCTGAAAACACCCGAGTACTGATGCTTTTCTCTTAATTACAAATCATGGCGAAATCGCATCAGTCAAGTCAAACAGTTGATATATCATGGTTGGAAATTCTTAGTCTCTTTTTTCCTTCTTCTACATCATGCTTCTTCTTCCTTGTACAATCCCCATCATCGCCGTCATAAATGTTTTTGAAAAGTTGTGTGAAGAATCGAAATAATATGTACAGTTTGAAAGAGTGTGGGGAAGAAAAAAGTTTTGGTATCACCATCCCCCCAAAAAAAGATCAAAAGAGCGCCGTCCAATGCCGATCAAATATGCACCGGTTCCCAATGTTGTTATCCAGAAGTCATGAATGTCCAAAAGTACACAAAAATAGGCACAGCCTCATTTTTAGTTCTTCAAAGCACGCATGATCATCTTGCGGCCAACAGCGTTGATGGCCATGTCGGTGGACTCACCAACGGTGCATTCAGTGCCGGCAGCCATTTGCATCACAGCGGACCACTGGCCGCTGGCGCATTGCTGGTAGCTGGAACCCAAGCAGTCTGGAACAAATTAGCAAATGTTTTCAAGGGAAGATGTGGCGGAGAGTAACTCACTAAAGACGCCGTCAGTGTCGCAAGCACCCGACTTTTGCTGACCGCTCGTCGATCCGCTCGACGACGCTGTGGTAGTAGCCGCTGCAGCTGAGGTGGTCACGGCAACCGATGTGGCCTTCGTGGTCGCCTGGGCAGTGGTAGTGGCCTGGCTAGCGCTGGAAGCAGCAGTCTTGGTGATGAAAACACCTCCCTGGGCCGAGGAAGTGGCAGCAGCCTCGCTGGTGGCAACGGAAGTAGCAACGGCAGAAGTAGCCTGGGCACTGGAGGCAGCGTAGGATGTAGGAGAGGAGCCAGATCCGCCGGTCGCTGTCAAGGAGCCGCAAGTCGCGGTGAACGAGGCAGCTGAGTAGGCACTGTTGGTCTCAACAGAGTCACCGGGGTTGGGAATGATGGGGTCCTCGCTCTCCATGCCCAATGTGCTGCATCCATCGGAGTACGGATCAATGTTGGCGACAAAGAGGTCAGGAAGAGCGTCAAAGTTGGCTTGGTCGCCGCCCTCGCCAGTCAATTCAAGAACACCACACTCCATATAGAACTCGCGATTGCCAACACGGTTCAGCCAGCTCCAGGCAATGGTAGCGTTTCCAGCGGGAATGTTGTCTGGGATCGTGTAGTCATAGGTAAAAGGGTCGGTCATACTGGCATCGTCACCCAGGTTGCCCTCCGTGTTGCGGGCAGGGCATCCTCCCTGAACGGTGTGGATGACCTTGAAGACACTGTCGGCGGTAGGTTCTCTGTCGTATGTGATGCTCAGCTGGCAAGAGCCACCTCCGTGGACTGCGGAGCCAATGAGGGCGAGCTGTTGTTGAGAGCCAAGGGCAAACGTGTTGAGTGGACCATCCCAGGCGAACGACAGGTTGGGGTTACGGCAAGGGAAGTCAGAGCCTGCCGAGTCCAGAGGACGTCCAGGGTTCTTCTGACCGTCGTTTGCGAGGAAAGTGTGCGGTTGAGGGCTGCTGAGCTGCATGTGGCCATTGACGGCGGCGACAAGGCCGGCCGCAACAAAAGCAACGTTTGATGTGAACATCTTGAATGATTGAGAGCTTATTGGTATCCAGACGAATAAGCGTAAATGATTGTATAAGTCTGCTTCCGAGCACGAGAGTGACTTTTATAGCAAGTATCACAAGAGCGATAGTTTGTAATTCTGTAAAGTCGTTTGAAGAGTCGAGAAGCGTCTCTCAAAGGAAGGATACTGCCCCAGGCAGGGTTATGGTAAGAAAGAGAAGTTGAAGACGAAGGTCTAGCCTCGATAAGGAGTGAAGGAAGAACCTGATGCTGTGGATGAAGAAACTGAAGAGAAACAAAAGGCTCCAGGTGGGACGAAACGAACGACTTATATGTTGCCAAGGAGGCAAAAAGCATACATAGGGGAGAACATACAATCTGACAGCAAGAAGAAGAAAAAAAAGACTGCTAGGCAGGGAGCGTTAAGCTGCAGACGACGCTATACTAGGATCTAGTCCGTCCTGCAAGCCTATGGAGGTCCAGATACGGGACAGGGAGAGACATTTGCTGCAGGATGGCGACTGACTAGAGGGTCGATTGGGTTCTGTGAAAACGGGGTAGAACCAGGGCATTCCCATCCTCCGGGCATGACAGGAACAAAGGTCCACTTGGACGGCATCATGGGAGGCCCATGAGCAATGCCCAAGGAGGTGCAAAAGTGGCCAAAGAGGCAGCATTGACCAGTGAAGCTCAGCCATGATGGGAGTTTCGCGGCCGGTGGGGCTCGACGAAGGGTGCACCGGAGCGACAGGGATGCCCAGAAGGGCAGCTGAAGAAGGTCTTGATTGGCCCGGGAGCGTTGGTACATTCGACTGGTTTCGTCTTGGCACCAGAAGAGCCTAACATGGCGTCGTGGACTGACTGGATAGGGGCACAAAGCGAGTTGCGTAAAACACCGTCATGGTTGATTGGTACCTACATTAGTAGTATTTGCCTCTTTTCTAACTCACATTAGTTAGCCCATAGGATGTAGCTCCCCTGGACTAGACTCATGAATGTGAGGTTGCTTAGCTCTGGCGGGCAGGCTGAGTGTGGTTGACTCAAGTGGGACCTGTCGTATACTCTGCGACGTCGGTATTTTACTCCTGCAGAGGCAGCCAGCCTGGAGAAGCAATACGGATACTACCGCCACGACGTGTGGAGCAGGACCGGCTGCCTATATTGAAGCATAATTCTTAGACAGAGCCTTATACGGTGGTGGCTCATTGCAACATGCTCGAAACTATCTGCCATAAGAAACAACGAGCAGACAGAGAGCGGGAATTGACAAAACAGGCAACAGTGTGTAAAATCGCAACCTGGATTGACCCTAGGTTGAAAATGAGTTGTCAGCATGCCAAAACCTGGTGCCCTTTGTCCGCATTTTGTTGTTGTGTGGATTGGTTGGATGATGGCAGATCTGGAAAAAACCCGAACTGCCCTGTTCAGCCAATGCAGGCCGCCAATCAGACGACCATTTCCCCAGTCTACCGGGTTGCGCTACAGACATATCCCCTGCACTGGTCATGGCGGCCGCATGGAAGTCTTTAGCGATGCTTCGGGAGTATTGACTGTCGAACGAGAATACGACTGTGCATTGAGCTGTGTCTATTTTTTTTTTTTTTTTTTTTCGTCTTTTCGCCGCTTGGCGATCCGGATGCAACTCTTCTGTGCCAATATGTCCCGCTCCAGGGCGACCGAAGCTTAGGCATGGAGGAGCTGGTTGAATGGATGATATACCAATGATCGTCATAATGAGCTGAAGGCTTGGATTCGTGCTATCGGATGAATCGTATTCAACCTGGAAGGAACCGATTAAGCGTCTCCGGCGGTACCTGAGCAGCCAAGTGGTGTGGTGCTGGAAGAAGAATGGTGAGCATCTTTGCTCAAAGCACGGAGTTCCGACTGTCTAGGGCCTCCTGGGGTGCTGGCTGCACCTTTCAGGGATCTCAGCTGCACTAAGAATGCCCCGCGGCGTCGTCTACCCCCGCAGTTGTGCATTTCTGCATGCTTTTTTTCTTCCATAGGGCCTCCATTCTTCTGCCCCTGGCATTAGTGAACCCCTGGGAAGAGCAGAGCTAGCAGAGACAGGCTGCTCCAGCGAACGGGATCGCGCAGATGGCATGTGGGATGCACGCTAGTCCCAGTAGAATGGTGGTATCCATCCCATGGTGAAACCGACCCCCGTTTCATGCCACCAGATTCGTGCCGAAGAGGATGCAGCACGACCAGTCCATGGCAAGGTGCCATCGAATCGCTCTACCCTCCACATAGACACGATCAGACAGACTGTCAGTCAGATGAACCGCCGACTCTAGTGCAACTAGAGGATCAATGGACGCTTCCCTCACGAATAGCAGATCAGATATTTTGCTCTTTCGACTCACGCGTCCCCATCTCCCCAATATGGCTGAATCGGCGTCAGGGCATCTCTGGGGTTGACTGGCTGCTCCTCTACCATGTCGTCACATCCTTTCGCGGGAAACGAAACACTGAACAACAGACAAGCTTATTCCTACCTACTGCCACGATTTGGAGAGGCTGGTCATGTACAGTATGTGGATATGTCACCGTCACTGCAACTGTGCTGCATCGCGAATGTCTGACCGTGACCGCTTCCCACTTTGCTCGGGTGCATCTTGTACGACTGAAGAGTGTCGTTGTTGTTTTCAGATCGGCAGGGGCGCGGCTTGAGAGCTCCATCAGATCTACATCCGGCGATGGATACACATCCAAGGCTATACGGGTAAAAACTTGAGATGATCAGGAACCGTACCCAAAAATCACTTTGATATCGCAGATCAGCCTCAATCTTTCAGCTGCCTCGGATAAGACCTCCACTCTAGACGAATTTGTGCCCGACTTTGCTCTGATCGTACGGACGAGTCAGACCAATAGTCAAGGTTTGCGCCGTGCATGCCGTTGGCTAGTGTCGCTGTACGCGCGGGAAGAAGCAAGACAGAGAGCTTGTACAACCTCTATCAAGCATCAACGGTCTCACCGAATCAGAAAAAAGCATCCCCCTCCCTCTCGTGTTCTCTGGCGGCTCACCTTGCACTCAGACCAGCCCATTAGCTGGTGCCAAGTTCACCGCTAGCTCAAGCAAAAGATGAGGACGGCTCCTTGCAGCTGTCATGTCCGTTCTACACTAACAAATCGCGAGCCTTGCATCGTGTCAGACGTTTGTTCGACATGATATCTCTCTGATGTCACACCTGGAGCTTGAGGCGAGGTTGGGGTCAGAAATTTTATTCCTCTGCCCACCAAAGCCCACCTGCCCAGTCGGCTAGTGCAGCTACAGCGTCCGATGGCAGAAAGCAAGATCTGAAAAACTGATGATGTGGAAGATGGTTCAAAGTGGCTACCCATCAGCCATCTTGCTCTCTGCGGCACATAACAGAATTACATAACGCAAAAGGTGGGGACCTCTTTGCCTTTGCCTTTGCCTTTGCCTCCTTCACATGGCACGTTGCAGCTGGTAAGCTTGGCGACCGACAGCTAAGATTGATAGACATGAAAGGGTCAGTGAACTGTGGCGCAGAGACTCTTGGGGCCACGGAATTACCAGCCCGGAAACAGCAAAAGAGGTGTTCCGCGCTCTGTGTCTGAACTCAGGCGGGTTGATCCGCCGAGAAGAAAAGGATCGGCGGCCGGGGTCCTGGATTTCCTTGCGGGCCAATTGACAGGGATCTAATAATACGTAAACCCAGCACAGCTGGGAATTTTCACGTCCATGCCAACAAAAGTTCGGATGAAAAGTTATGTTGAGGTCTTTTCGCATGAATATGGGCGTCCTGAATGGCAATCGTCTCCGCTCGCACAAAAAGAAAAGAGAACTGGCCGCGAACGCTTTCTTCTTGGCGTGGCGTGGCGTGGACGAGCCTTGCCTATATCTCGTATTCTATGGATCCAGATTCCAGAGGGCGAAAAGGCCACTTTGTTTTCGTAATGGCGATTTTCGTCCTTTAACCTACGAGGCTGATTTAATACTATTTGGCACGGCCCAGCGCCACCTGATCCAAGCAGACCCGGGAAATTTCTGGTATTTAGTGCTCTTGGCTCAAAAAAAACCTGGCTTGTAATGTTGGCATGTGCTTTTTTTCGGCTTTTTGGCTTTGGCTTGGGGATCGACATTGGACGAAAGATTGGAGGCCTTATGGTGATGATGGGCTGTCCTCATTGACCAGGAATTGTCGTCGCAATTGATGCGCAAGCTCAACGTATGCGCGCTATAGCTGGGGATGGCATTCATTCTGACTGGGTTGCGCATTTGTGGAATTGGGGGCCGCCGTGGTTTGATCCAGATTGACCCCATTTTAGAGACCAAACTATCTCTCGTTTCTTGACTTGAACGCGGTGGATTATCCCAGATATTCCTGCAATGTACATATGCATTTTGCGCCCACTGAAACAAAGGAACTGATGAGGAGGATCTATAGGAGTTGACAATGGAATCATACCACTCATCTCGAAAAGAAGATGAAAGGAAATTCATGTCATTTCTAGACCCAACCCACACGGCTCATTGAAACGATCAACTGACACTGTCACGTGGGTTAAATCTCTACCAAAGTGGTGTTCACTCCCCACACCGGAGGGTGCAGCATCATACGATACTAAACGCGGCTTTAGTATCTGCCTCCTCGCAAATCCTCATCCCTTTGGCGGATTTCATGGGATGCCATTATTGGCAAAAAGTGGACATGTCACGTTGCTGTCTTCCGACCATGTGATGATGAAGATGATGATGCTTGGAGAGATATACCATTATGAGATTACTTGTCCTACGAGGTACGTATGTACAGCTACACGGAGCTGAGAATATACGAATAATATATACAACAAGAATAGTTCCGCGCCTTCTCGTCGACTCTTTCCCCCTCTTCATGGCTTTGCGTCAAAGCGCCACTGCCATGCCAAGAGATCTAAATCCACCACAGACGCCTAAGATATGGTGATGTCGATGAGGTCGATGATAAGTATGTGTATGCAATGTAAAAAGGAAAAGGAAAAAAAAAAATAAAGAAAATAGTCATCCGCAAAACAAAGTATTAGGAAATGTTCGTTCCGTCATTGCTGTCGAGGGGCCAAGAAGTATCCCTCAACCCAGAGTATTCCCAGCGGCAAGGGAGAAAAGGTTTGTCGGCCGGTCTCATCTGATGTGTTGTTTTCTTCTAGATACCGGTATCGTCCTGGATCTTTTCAGTGTCGGTGGTAAAGTCGACCCAGCTAGAGCAGCTCTGGGCGAGGTAGTCGGCGTCGACAATGGCGGCAATCTCGGACTGGCGCTCGACCAGTTGCAAAGCGAGACCTTCGACCGTGTGCCAGCCAATCTGTTGAAAGAGAAAACCAGGGTCAGCGTCTTGTGTTTGTGGAGAAATTGACTCATTGCAATGACTTACGTGGCAGTGAAGCAGCCAGACACCTGGGTTGTCGGTAGGGAAGCCAATGACTAGGTAGCCAGCCGGAGGCAACATGGCAACGTCTCTCCGGATGGGGTTGGCAAAGTTGAGCTGGTCTGTACTCTCATATGTAGCTGCAGCCTGTTGACCGAGGACATAGAAATCATGGCCGTGGAGATGGATCGGGTGAGCCTGGGAATCCAAGTGTTAGTCCTCCCCTCTTCCTACTTTGTTTCTGGTCGACTTCTGACCGGATATGGAACAGTACTTACAATACCGATCTGAGATTCAATCACAAAGTATACCCACTCGTTCTCCTCGTCAAAGATGTTGACTTGCTGCACCTCGGCCCAGGAGCTGTTCTGGTCAATGACCTGTTGCAGGGCTGAGTCGATGTTAGCTCGCTGGAAACAAAGATCTTCTTCACAATGGCTACTTACTTGGGTACTCCCAGTGGGTGTAAAACTGCTGCTCATTAATGGTCCAGCGGAATACGCCGTTGGCAGAGAGACCGATTTCAAATTCAGAGGTCAAGCCATCTTGAGCGGCGTCGAGCTCGACGTAGGGCACCAGGTTGGCAGTCTCATCGTCGCAGTTGTCGCTGTACGACCAGCCCGTAGTCGTCGGGTAAGCCACATCCACGCCCTCGTAGTTGAAGATGCCGGTAATGTTCATTGAGTTCTCGTTTGAGCTGGAGCACGACGACATGGGGATGGCACGGAGCCAGTAGTTGCCCGGGTCCTGGTTGGCCTCGACAATGACATCGTAGCGCTGGCCAATGCCGATGTTGATGGTGTCGGTGGTGAAGGGCTGGATAGGCACCAGATCGGCAGCAATGACGGTCAGGTTGTGGTTGTCAATGGTAAATCGAAAGTGCGTGTCCAGGGCCGTGTTGACGAGGCGGAGACGGGTGCGGCTGCCCGAGGTGACGGTGGTCTGGAACTTGGAGCCACCGTCCTTGTATGTGTTGGTACCGTTGATCAGACCATTCTGCGCGGCGGGAATGTTGCCGGTCTGAGCGCCTTGGAACAGCGAGTCGACTGTTGGGTGGTACCAGTCTGACAACAGCAATGTGCCCTTGTCCTCGTCGTAGGGTGCGGATGCCGGGCCGTTGACAATGACACCACCAAAGACACCGTTCCTATGTTCTGTTAGTGCTGGCAAGATATGGACACTTGAAGAGTACTTACCAAGCCTGCAGACTAAAGTGCGAGTGGTACCAGGTTGTGCCGTACTGTTGTACGAATGTCAGTCAGGCAAACTTCAAACTCTACAAAAGACGACTGGACTTACTTGTGTAGCCTTCCATTGATATGTGAAAGAGTCACCAGGTGCGGTGGGACACTGAGTGATTCCAGAGACACCATCAAAGAGGTTCGATCCTCTGTGCAACATGTCAGTGATGGTCATCTACAAGTGTTGTGGTATAGCACTCACTCTTGTCTGATACCATGCCAGTGGATACTTGATCCGTTCTGGGTAGCAGAGTTCTTGACATGGACAACTGCTCATGTGTTAGTACTAGGTGTGTTGACTCGACGATCTTCTTTGTCACTCACTGATAGTATCACCCCAGTCAGCTATGATCTGAGGCCCAGGAATGGATCCATTGATCGCCTGGACAGGACGAGAGAAGCCATCCGGTGCAGCAGTAGTCTCGGTGATCTCCCACCAGAACTCTCTGACAACTCCAGTGTCGGGAGCCTCATCATACCAGTTGGTAGACAAGGAGTATTCTCCCCAACAGGTAGGGTTGTTGGCCGAGTCAAACTCACACGTCTGGCGAGGAGAGATCTCGGATGATGGAGCCGCGGTAGCGATTGAAAAGAGAGCACTGAGGCTCGAAAGAATGAATGAACGGTGCATCTTGCACAGTTGTAGAATATAGTCTATCAACGAATGGGAGGATTTGGAACGAAGGTAGAGAAGACTTCTCTTGTTTGATGCTGATGATATCGAGAGAAACAAACCTCATGGACCGGACGACGAGGACCTTATATATCCAATGTGATATTCAAGATCATGAAGTCGGCAAGACGTATCTTCAACATTGTGCCCACATGAATCTTTGCCTTGTAAGCTCGTGATATCGATCTAACTGTCATCCACCTACACGATACCCTGAATATCGGTTTTGATTACGCGGACTGCATAGGCGCCCATGTGCCAAGGATGACTTGAAAGTGATGTTGCAGAGACCATCGACAATGGGGCCAAGGCACAGACGCATCGTGAAGTTGACCCCCAAAGTCGACCGGTTCCTGCGGGCATGGATACGGGGGGACAAGCTTCAAAAGGGTCATAGCCACGAGGTGAGAGAGGAGTGGCATCTGTCGTTGTCGGCTCCGAGTCTCCGACCCAGATGGCCCTCCGAGTAACATGGGTTCTTCAGGTTCAGGTGAGTGGTGAAAAGATTTGAATATGCGCTTTTCGTCCAATATGGGATACCCGATAAGAAAGGCCAAGAGTCTGCAAGGAACACCACGAGGGGCTCAAACTAGTAGCCAAAGCGAATAGAGCCCCATAGAAAAGTTGAAGATATTGGATATTCCAGCAAATACCAAGAGACCCTATTGGCTGCATTTGTCCGAAAAATGAAAAAGGAGGTTACATTGGAAAATACTCAGGCCAGCCGCGCGCTGCTTGCTTCATAGGAAAAACCGGGCTGGTCGGGTCATGGCAATAGTATAATGAACATCTCGGATATCTCTTGATCAAGATTGCTATCTTTGCGGTAATCTGCCCATCAGGCTGTCTGCATTACTCTGCTCATCTGCCTTTGCAATCAGAGCCAAGTAGTTCCAAGGGGGATTTAGACCCAATTCAGACCAAGGCGTTACTGAGAAACCCGGGGAAGATCGCCCCAACAGTGGATCGGAGCCGCAAGCGAAGATACTCTATAATAACATGGCAGGATTTCGAGGAACTGTGCACGGTGGTGGATTCGCGGCTCCTCAGGGACTGGTAACATCGGGGCGTGCAACTTTGCCATGTGACCGAGCGCCACGAAGGTAACCCATTTTGGTGTGCCGTTGCAACCAACTTTTGGCTGTTGGCCTTCTTTCAGAGGGGCCAAGGTATGAATGAATGAATGTGGCGCTCCACCCGAAAAGAGGGAAGAATCCACCCATCTGCATTGCAGCAAACAACAACGACAACAACATGATGCAGCGACAAGTAAAATAATCCTGGGCATTTCCGGCGGTGCGGCGCGGAGAGCAGATATGAATGCGGCGGCAACGTGCCCTGCTTTTGCGGCCATGCCACCGGACTGGACTTGATCATCTCGTATTCATTCATGCTGCACGTACATACATGCTGGTATGCTTATTTCCCTGCTGGCTATTATTGGGCTTGGTTGATTTATTGTTTTTCTTGTCGCAAAACCCGCAAAAGCGGTGTCGAGTCATAATTGACTGTTACTCCTAAAGACTGCATCTCCGCCACACCTCCCAATGTGCCGTCTATGCATGAGAGCGGCGCCCAAGGTAGTATATTGCGATTGGGCCTTGTTTCGAACGTCAAGGAAACATTAGTACTTTTACCAAACATTACCACGTTGCCAAACATTCCAAGCCTGTGCGAAATGTCTTCTGTAGTAGCTAGCCGCTGTGGAGTACCTAGGCTAGAGCTGAAACTTATCAAGAAGATCTGAGAGCATGAGGCTCTTTTCTTCAGGTGAAAGAGTCCCCACGACTCCAGAGTCTGAGCACCAGAGTCTAGACTAGACACTGTTATTTTTGACCCTGAGAGAACAGAGATGTGCCAACGGAAAGATCCACGAAGATCCACCCCACGTGGAAGCGCATCAAAAGTCGTTGATCACGACCGCTTTTGTGCGCAAAGCTGCGATCTAGAGTACGGAATCTCTGCCGCTCGGCTGCTGTTACCCAGTGACGTTATGGTACAGCAGAAATCTACCGGGATTGCACCTCAATTTTCGGCTCGTGCCCGTGCTTTGGCTGAGGAAAGAGACCCAGGGGGGTCCGCTATAAGTTTACTATGGTATAACCTTGCGTCTAATCGACCACTGTTGGCCCAATCGGAGCCAGCCGAGCACTCAATAGTCGCGCCATTTGTACGCGTAATTCTCTGCCATAAGGGGAATGCTAACCGCCCGTACCTGCAGTTGGCCCTGCACGATTGAATCCTGTGCTATGTATTGCCTGTCGTGCTCACCAAAGAAGGGCATGTTTGTTTCTATTTTTCTCTTATCCCACCTCTCCCAGCCTTCGAGAAGTCAGAAAACAGACTGGCGAGCTCCGCCAAGCTTCAAAAACACTATCAGGGATTCTATGCTTATTGGCATTCAAGCATATTTGCACTACCAGCAGGCAGGCCCCCCATCATCCCCTCTCTTGGGCATGAGCTGAGACTGGGTTCAGGTTGACGGAGTCTACGGCGGCTTACATACTTACATGGTGTGCCTATCTTGATATCTCGCAGCGATTGCCTTGCATGAGGCGATCGCGATTTCCGAGGCCATATCACCTTGAGAACAAAAAAGCCCCTCTCCCTTTGTGCAGCAAGCGGTGGACTGATGAGAGCAGCGGTCAGCAGCTCGCTTATTCGGTCTTCGACCCGAGCTCGCCTGAGAGGAAGAAAGAAGCAAGTAAAGTTACACACGACTTGATGATCAGCAGCCACAAAACGTTGCACGTCCACAATCTGGTGATGGAAAGCTTCGAGAACAACCAATGCACCTGTTTAGAACTTGAGTCCTGCCCCCTAATACTCCTTTTGGTTCAGGAAAATGATGATTATGCTATACTATATTGACATGACTAAAAACAAATGCTGCATCACAAATGATCAATGACGTACGCCAAACCAGCTCCCTATTGTAGAAAACAATGCATAACAGAGTTATATAATTGTCAACCATGCATATATCAAGACCAAAGTTCACATGTTTTGACATCGGAAATTATTTTTATACTGACTGATCAATGGCCATCGTTTCCGAGCTGCGTTTCCGAGTTGCTTGCCAAAAGCGATCAAGAGCACAATCATAGTCTGAAATCCTCTGAATTGCAAGAGCCGCTCGCCGAGCGCAAAGCTTAGCAATATCCGAACGACCGAGCAACCAGGGGGGTATGCATCCCTCCTTTCTCTCTCTTTTTTTATGAAGTCTTTCCCCATCTTTCATATCAGACTTGTGTTATATACCGGCATCTCAATTATAAGTAGTACTATGGAGAGGGCTGCAGGTGCTGATAAACTCATGAGAAAAGCTATCCGCAGAAACGTTTTGAGAGCCTACCATCGCGGCTCGGCATGCCTGTATTAAGTGGACATCGGCTTACGACGCCTCGCCGGCACTAAACATGGGGCTGCCATGCCCGCCAATGCGAACCATCCCACGCTCTGACTTTGGCAACAAAACTGCCAAGATTCGTCGACGCGTGGGGAGAGAGAGAGAGAGAGAGTATGTGTGCGAAAAAAAGAGAGGGGTACATGCTGTCTTGTTCCTTACATTACCTATGCTATTTGCTTGGCCACAGCCAATACATTGCCTCGTAAAGAAAATATCAATGATATGAGCCTTGTGCCCCTCACTCTCTCTCCTGAGACGTGGTCAACGCTCACCAGCCCTCTTGTGCCGGGTTATGGACCCCCGGGATTGCGATTGCAACCAGGTAATCCCTAAACCCAGACACTAACTTGGTTGTTAGTGTCACTGCGGAGAATTAACGAGAGGCAGTAGTATAATCATTCGAATCATGGCACCATAATTACCGGCAGTTGCAAATTGTACGAACAACACAGAGTTGCATCTCTTACTGCGGCTGTTGTCAAAACTCCTTTAGCTTGTCTAGAGTTCTTCTGCAGAAGTACGCAAAAGAGTCGAAAGATATTCAAGTGTGATCACGATGCCCACTGGCTTGCACCCTAAAACAACCCCCCACACACCTGCCAAATACTTGATTTTGCTTGCCAGTTTTCTGACGGGGACGCGTCGTCTGACAAGGCTCGACTAGAAGTTCGCCTCGGTAAATGTCTGATGGGACTTTTGATTGTCAGATGGTAACCATTTGCACTGCACGATTTGCCAACCACCGTCGCTTATTTGCATTCTGTAGACAAGTCAGAAAAGAAACGAAACAAAAAATAGCCTCACAGCGGCGGCCTGGTCCGCAGCCACACCGTTTTTGTGCCTCGACGATCACTGCCCAAAGAAGTTTTATAGTGAGAACTTTGATTTCAATGTTAATCTATTCCTGTAGCTAAACTTCTAAGTAGCCTATGGGAAGTGGCCGACTCTCAAATACCCTTGTTGTCAGGTATGTTGTTTTTGCGGCTGACGAGCAGATAAATCGCGAAGCGCGCAGCAGCAAGGAGGGGTCAGATAATATATCTTCCCTGCGCCGCTTGCCGGTCATGCGAGGAACCATGCAAATGCTCTTCAAGCTTAAAAAACCAAGGGCAAAGAATCCTCGCTGTCGATAAACTCGCTTAGCATAAACACAAGCTTATCTCGGTGACACATGAAAATTCAGGTGTCGAAACAACGTTCCAATGCCCTTTGCGGGATATATGGTGCCGAAGCTCTCAAGAGTTTCGCCGGAGATGACTCTTACATTCACTTGTCAATAATCATTGTGTACTCCTTGTGACCCTCTCTATTGATATCTCCTCCTCTATCCTCTAGCACCGTAGTCTAGTTGCTTCAGAATTGCACATTATGAGAAGGTACGTAAAATCATGAATGAGCATGTGGCGCGACGCCCACGACATTGTATGTCGAGAAATGGTCTTAGACAGCAGCACCCTTCTCGTCCTCGGTGACTCCGTCAACATCAACGGGTGCAAAGTGCTCCGAGTCTTCAAAACCATAGTCCTCTCTGGTCCACTTCTTCATCTTCTGCGTGCGGAACTCGTGAAAGTCCCACTCGAGGGTCTCGAGGCGCTCGGGGTGTTTGAAGACGTAGACCTCGGTCTCGACCTCGTCGCCCTCGACGTTGCCCTTGCCCTCGTCGTCGCCGACCTTGGTCAGGAGCTTAACCTTGACCTTTTCGCGCGTGTACTCGGGGCCCTCAAAGTAGTCGAGGTGGTACATGTTGGCCGAGGTGAGGCCCGTGACCAAGACGCCGCGTACGTCGTGGGCTGCGTCCGGGATGATGCCCGGGTAGTCGTTGCTCTTGACCCGGCGGCGGCAGTAGCCGTGCAGCACGGCCGGCTGGAACTGGTGCAGCGACTTGAGCAGCTTGATGTCGGTGGTCGAGTTGCGGTAGCAGACGGTGAAGAAGACCTCGGCGGCCATCTGTGCCAAGTGGAATTAGAAACACGGCGGGTTTTGAACAAGATCCGAAACGGGTCATCTTGAACCATGAGAAGAAAGAAAAGAGAGAGAAAAAAAGATAAAAAATTAACTGGACGCCTCTGTGGGCGATTCAACATACCAGTGTGCCTGTGGTACTATGTCAGCCATGGCTCAAGGGTTGTGGTTACATATGCATGCACCGTCATCTGCTTACCGTAGAAGAAGGCAGTGCCTGTGGAATCGCTGTTGGCAGCCATGATGTATGTGTGCTTCACTTATTCCTTGCTGCCTAGCTGTGGTCGTCTCAAAATGTGCGACTTTTTATCACGGCAATGAGTATGGAGTAGCGTGTGAATGTGGATGGCCCTGGGCTTTAGAGTCGTAACCCCGCGATTTATGAGATGACGGTGTCTTGCGGCGGAAGTCGCGCTGCCGAGTTGCTACGAATGAAATGGTCTTGTAAAAATTGGGTCATTGGCCGTGCATTTAAGTAGAAGGAACGAGCAGGAGAGGAAGGTACTTTGGCGCCTAAAATCGATTGTTCCTGAGGCCCAGGAGTTGTTTGACGGTTAGGCAACCTCTACTTGGTGAAGATATCCTGATTTTTGAGGTCGAGTGGCGGCGGCTGGCTTGGGTGCTTTGTCCCTGGCGTGCACCTGATTCATGCAGTCAGGTCAGTCCTGAGGTGCTAGGTGTCTATAGCTAGATTATCTATCGGTTTGTGAAGAATGGAAAACGCAAGTTAATTTGTTTCGTAAATGACCTGTGGCAATATTTTTCTTTTTTGTATGTTGAAGACTGCTTTACTTTGAGGTAGTATGATCATGACTTCCTTTAAAGTCACATATGATAATTTAGGCCGCCCAAGTTAGGAAGCCTGCCGTAAAGCACTTATCAGGCTGCATGGCGCAACATTAAAGCTCATTAGGTCACTATGTTTTTAAAGTCATCGTAATAATAAGGCTTTCTGCTTCATCATATGTTTTTTTTAAGCTATCGAGATATTATCTTGGTTTTAGCTTGCTTATTATTTCTTATTAAAGGAGAAGTTGCAAATATGCAAATTTCTATATCCCTTTTTCGTCGATGATTCCTAAAAGGCACAAGTGTTTTTAATGGAATCAAGCTCGTCTAGATGCTTCGATGTTCCGCCTTATCTAAGCATGGAGCTGCCTTATCTTAGCCTTGATCTAATTGATAAGATTGATAAAGTGGAGCGGCTTTCGAAGGGTCGAATCCGGGGTAGTAGATCGCCAAGTCCTTCTGCCCTGATAAATGCGTGATCATTCAATCATCCTATCATGGAATTTGGATTGCGACTTGAGTGTACCCCTAAATAACGCACAGAGAAACTCGCGAATCATTAATTGAATATATAATAACAGATTATTTGTTGGAGCAAATTCGCTAACCTCTGCGATGAGTACAATACGTTTGTACCCAATACGTGCCTAGCGTTGGCCAGTCAGGAAGGAAAATCCTAGATCCGTGCCTAGCGCCTTGAGGTTTTGGCGCTCGCTGCCCCCAGCCCAGACGCGTCTCCAATTCTCTGAGCTCCTCGCTTTTTCAATTGTAGGCTCGTTCTAGTACATTTGATAGCCTTGTCTGTCTGTCGCCTGTCCTCCAGACGTATAAGTCTTCGCCCATTTCATGATACCCCCGACTTTCGCCTTTTACTATTTCAATTCGGCGAAAGTCAATTCGTATGCGGCGGCTTTATTTATTCATTAGTTTCACCTGCCACTCCAAATTCTTCAGGGCAGTGAGTTGTGTTGTTGCAACCACTTAGCATCGAGCGTCTTCGTCTTCGGTCACCATTCTACTGCAACCCCACCATCACCGGTGCACTCGAGCAACCACAACAACCAATTCCAATCATCACGACGCTGCGCTGACTGCAGTCCCCGAATACCAATAATCTCTGACGCCGCATGATCTGATACATCGATCCACTGCGAATGCGCAGTAGCCGCAACCATGGCGGCGAATGCGTTTGAGGATATCGTCAAGCGGTTGAGCATAGCGGACACAGGTAGGCCATCCCCCAGCACGCCAATGCTTTTACGCCCCCCAGCAAATGCGTCGCACACATTTGATTCATAACGTTCCTGAGTGCTAACCCAATCTACCGCAGAGTCGAAGCAGAAACTCGATGCAGCATCTAGCTTACGCGACACCCTCGATCACTACACCAATGGCCCGGCTTATCCAACCTTTCTCAAGAAGACCATGCCCTCGTTTGTGAATATCCTACGGGGGCCTTGCGTCTTTCAGACCACGTCGGTGGAGCAGGTATGTGGATGTTTCGTATCGAAAGAAGGTGTATGCTAACGAGGGTCTATTTAGAAACTGCGAAACTGCGTACTCGAGATCTTGCATCGCTTACCAACCCACCAGAGCTCGCCCGAGCCCTTCGAGTCGTATGCCGAGGAGGTTGTTGACCTTCTCATGGGCCTGGTCAAGAATGACAATGAGGAAAATGCGACGTTATGCGTCAAGATCATCTCCGACATAATGCGACACCAACATAAGGTACTGCAAGGAAAAGTGCAGCCCTTCCTTACCCTCATCCAGGAGCTTTTTGAGCAGACCGAAAAAAATGTCCGGGAGCAACTTGATAGCAATGCTGGTGCGCCCAACGCCACTGGAGCACCTTCAACCCCGGGAAGCACGCAGACAAAATTCGAGTCGCCACGACCAGGCTCGCCAGTCGCATCGGTGACCGATCTAGGACAGGACTTGCAGCAGCAGAATCGGCCACTGCTCAAGGGCATCCAATCTTTCAAAGTCCTCTCGGAATGCCCCATAATTGTGGTTTCTGTTTTCCAAACATATCGAAGCATTATCCCCCAAAACGTCAAGTCGTTTGTCCCTCTGATCAAATCTGTTCTGTTGCTGCAGGCGCAAGCCCAGGAACAAGCACATGCTGAAGCCAAGGCCAAGGGACAGACATTTGCTGGAGTGAGCCGCAACATCAAGAACCGAGCGGCCTTTGGAGAGTTCATCACGGCGCAGGTCAAGACAATGAGTTTTCTGGCTTATCTACTTAGGCAATACTCGAGCCAACTCACGGATTTTCTTCCGACGCTACCAGATATCGTGGTTCGCCTGCTTCAGGACTGTCCTAGAGAAAAGTCGGCCGCTCGCAAAGAGCTTCTGGTTGCCATTCGCCACATTATCAACTTCAATTTCAGAAAAATCTTCCTTCCCAAGATCGATGCGTTGTTGGAGGAGAAGACGCTTATTGGCGATGGCTTGACTGTTTATGACACCATGAGGCCCTTGGCGTACAGCATGTTGGCAGACCTCATTCATCATGTTCGAGAAGCTCTCTCACCTGAGCAGATCCGAAAGACCGTCGAAGTGTACACCAGAAACTTGCAGGACAATTTTCCTGGTACTAGCTTCCAAACAATGAGCGCTAAGCTCCTACTTAATATGGCGGAATGTATTGCTAGGATGCAGAACAAGGTCGATGCTCGGCATTATCTGTTAACCATTCTTAACGCCATTGGGGACAAGTTTGCAGCCATGAACAGGCAATATCCCAACGCCGTCAAACTTTCGAAGCTTTACGCTCAGCAGGCTGCCGATCAGGTCTCCGACACGTATCTTGCCGACAAGGAACCCCAACCAGATTGGGATGAGACGGATATCTTTACTGCCATGCCGATCAAGACCTCGAACCCGCGCGACAGGGGTGCCGACCCGGTCGTGGACAACAAGTTCCTCTTCAAGAACTTGATGAACGGCCTGAAGAATACTTTCTACCAGCTCAAGGCATGCAATGCTGCCATTGCGATCGACCCCAACAATGCCCCGCCCCATTGGCAGGAAGTGTCTTATGGCTTTTCTGCCGAGGAAGTCAAGGTCATTGTCAAACTATTCCGCGAAGGAGCATATGTGTTCCGCTACTACGAAATCGAGAAGCCTGCATCCGAGTCCACTTATGCATCAACTGTCGAATACATGGCCAATTTCTACATGGTTTCAAGTAGCAAAGAGGAGAAGGATTTGCTCGAGACGTTTGCTACCGTCTTCCATTGTATCGACCCGGCGACTTTCCACGAAGTTTTCCAACAAGAAATCCCACGTCTCTACGAAATGATCTTCGAACACACGGCACTCCTGCACATTCCCCAGTTTTTCCTTGCGAGTGAAGCCACCTCCCCCAGCTTCTGCGGCATGCTTCTCAAATTTCTGATGGAACGGATTGATGACGTTGGCTCGGCCGACGTCAAGAAGTCCAGTATCTTACTCCGCCTATTCAAGCTGGCCTTTATGGCCGTCACGCTTTTTGCGGAGCAAAACGAGCGGGTATTGTTACCTCATGTTGTCGACATTGTGACAAAGTCCATCGAATTGTCTACCAAGGCTGAAGAGCCACTGAACTACTTTCTACTTCTCCGATCATTGTTCAGGAGCATTGGAGGTGGAAAATTCGAGCATCTCTATAAGCAAATCCTCCCCCTGCTAGAGATGCTACTCGACGTGCTCAATACTCTACTGATGGCTGCCCGCAAGCCCACGGAACGCGACCTCTACGTGGAATTGTGTTTAACGGTGCCTGCTCGCTTAAGCAACCTCCTCCCTCATCTGAGTTTCCTGATGAGACCTCTGGTCGTTGCATTGAGAGCAGGGACCGATCTTGTTGGACAGGGTCTTAGAACGCTGGAGCTTTGTGTAGATAATCTCACGGCTGACTATCTCGATCCTATTATGGCACCTGTCATCGAGGAACTCATGAATGCCCTCTTTGAGCATTTGAAACCTCATCCCTATAGTCACTTCCATGCCCACACAACAATGCGCATTCTTGGAAAGCTGGGCGGCAGGAACCGCAAGTTCATGACAGACACCATGCCGGTATCTTTTCAGCGGTATGCTGATGATCCTGCCAGTTTCGACATGCGCCTGATCGGCTCGAAGAAGGATCGTGCATTCCGATCCGATTTGGGCATCGATTGCGCAATTCGCAAACTGATGGAAGTACCGAAGCCTACCAAGACAGCGGCCAATAAGCAACAGGAGGAATATTACAAGAAGCAGGCACTTCATCTGATCAAGTCTCAAATCAAGTTACGTATCGGGTACGATAACTTGCCCGAAGACCTCCCAAGACTTGTCCGGCTCCAAGCTCAGGATCTCGTGGCGAGGAAATGCGAACATGACTTTACTGCTTTCAACATATCAGAGCGTGAGAGGTCAGTCATCAAGAAGGATGAGGAAGACAAGACTATGAAGAGACTTCTCAAGGCAATCATCTTTGCAGAATCCATCCCCTCATTCCAAGACGAGGCGGATTTATTCTTGATGAACATTTGCCGGCATTTCACCATTATCGAGGTCGGTCGTGGACTCATCGATTGGAAGCGTGCTACTAGCCCGTTCGAAGTCACCAACGGCGAGGGCCCCCTGTTCATCGAGACGCGTACCCTCTGTGACGCAATCCTGGAGTCTTTAGCTTCCGATCTCCCTGAAGTTCGAGACGCTGGATTCCGTGCGATCCGTGCGATTTACGACTCAGCAATCACCATTCTTGGTTCCGATACACATGTGGCGCGACTTCCAATCTTCCAGCATCTTTGCCAGGTGTTCTGTCACGGTTGCTATGAAGAAGAATGGTTCACAAAGACTGGTGGCAGCCTTGGTATCAAGTACATGTTGACCGAGTTCGATCTAGGCGACGCCTGGGTGAACCAACGGCAGATGGAGCTCATTCGCGCCCTGATGTATGTTATCAAAGACATGCCTCAAGACCTTCCCGAAAACACCAGGTGCTCTGCCCAAAACACACTCGAGTTGTTACTGCGTCGATTGACAAAGAATATCACGAGGGATGACTGCAAGCCAATACTCCAACAGCCGGGTCAGCAACAACCGAAACCGCAACACCGGATGGCGCAGATCTGTGCTCTCTTCAACGATGAACTTGCCCATATGAACAGGCATGTTCGTGAAACAGCCCGTCGATCTCTGGAAATCATTGCCAAGGCAACCAACTCTGAGCTTTGGGAGATTGTTTTGCCGTACAAAGATCGCCTTTTGGGTTCCATCTACCCCAAACCTTTGAGGGCCTTGCCTTTTTCCACGCAGATTGGATACATTGACGCTGTCGCCTATTACATGGGCCTCAAGAGTGACTTTGTTGCATTTGACGATACGCTCAACCGTCTCTTGATGGAGTCTCTTGCGCTTGCAGACGCTCAGGACGATTCTCTCGCAGGAAAGCCAGCTGAGTTCCGCACTCATGAATCGATTGTCAACCTTCGCGTGGCTTGCATAAAGATCTTGAGCAAGGCAATGAGCTTTGATGAGTTCTCCAAGGGCCAAAACAATCCTACCAGGACGAAAATTGTGTCAGTCTTTTTCAAATGTCTGTACTCAGAGTCCAAACCGACGATAGAAGCGGCGAATGAGTCTCTGAGGGCTGTATTGTCCCATACCAACAAATTACCTAAAGATCTTCTTCAGCAGGGCCTTAGGCCGGTCCTTGCTAATCTTCAGGACCCCAAGCGCTTGACCACACATGGACTTGAGAATTTGGCCCGTCTCCTACGTCTTCTGACGACTTACTTCAAGGTGGAGATAGGTGCCCGCCTCCTGGACCATATTAAAGTCTTGGCCGACTCGAATCTTCTTCAACAGATATCCTTTACCTTTTTCGAGCAGAACAATGCAATGAAGGTGATTGCAGCAGTGTTCAACATTTTCCACCTTCTGCCACCTGCAGCCGAACAGTTCAAGGAGCGTCTCATTGACACTGTCCTCGAGCTCGAGGACAAGCTTCGTAGAACGCAGTATAGTCCTTTCCGCCCGCCCTTGTACAAGTACCTCAATCGATATCCCCAAGAAGTATTCAACAGCCTCGTCAGCAAGATTGAGGATCCCAAGTACGGTCGTTTTCTGGCACAGGTTCTCGTCCACCCGGACAGTCAGCCACTTCGTGATTATGCTGCAACGAATGTCGAGGGCCTTATCAACTCCTGCAACGCTGTCATCAACGCAAACAAGGACACGAAGCACATTGCCATGGTGTACACAGTCAATATCCTAGACTCTTTGAGCCAGGCCTCGAGCAATTTGACCTGGTTGGAACGCAAGGATACCATGATTTGGTTGAACAAGGTTGCCGTGGAACTTGAACGACAGCTCCGCACCAATCAATTGCCACCCAGTCTCAGACTACCCGCAGACCAAGCTGCGGACCAGTTAATGGGCATGTTTACCAAGGCCTTGTCATTGGACCCTAACAATCTGGACTCATTGTTTAGTCTGATTGACTCTGTCACGGCTGAAGAGTTTCGCGCGACACCATCGTTATTCTCGTACATCTACAAGCATGTCATCTGCAACCAATCCATTGACTACTGGAAGTCGGTGATCCTGCGCTGTCTCGACGTCTATGCCAGTAAGCAGGCCAGTCAGAAAACCAAGTGCTTCTTGCTTCGCAACATCGTCAACCCAATTGTTGCCATGGACATCATGAGAAACGGGTATCAAACTGAGACGCTCAAGCCACAAAGGCTAATGGACCGAAGTGTTATTGAATCAATCAGCGCCAAGGTTTGGAAAGTCAATCTCAGCGATCCTCAAGAAGATCTCGCTCAACCTGGCATCGACCACACGCGCATGGAGCTGCTTCAGCTGTCAGCAATGCTTGTCAAGTACCACCACGCCATACTCCAAGACGCACGCAAGGATATCATTAAGTTTGGCTGGACTTACATTCGTCTTGACGATGTCATCAACAAGCATGCGGCCTACGTCGTCATAGGCTATTTTATTGCGCACTACGATACGCCTGCCAAGATAGTGACACAAGTATACTACTCTCTGCTGAGAACCAACCAGAATGAAGGGCGCGCTCTTGTCACTCAAGCGTTGGAACTCATGGCGCCAGTTCTCCCCAAACGCTGCAATACACTGCCTAACGATCGTAATGCTGTCTGGGCGATTGCTCCGCGCCGCATACTGGCTGAAGAAGGCCAAAATGTACAGCAGATGACGAGCATCTTCCACTTCCTTGTCAGACATCCAACCCTTTTCTACGAGTCACGCGATAAGTTCACACTACTCATCATACAGTCATTGAGGAAAATATCGGCTCCTCAGAATGCTTCCAATGAGAGTAAGAAGTTGGTGCTGAACATGATGTGGCTCATCTGGGAATGGGAGCAAAGACGTGTGGAGGGGAAACAGGGCAGTCCCATAAGAGCCCTGTCCGAGTCTCCCGCCTCAAGAAAGCGACGACTCGATAGCGATCAGCCAACCTCCTCACCGCCTACTGCCAGGACAGTGCCTCCTCCAGCGAAGGAATTTCAAATCCCTGATGCATTCCGACTTAAGATGCTCAAGTATCTGGTAGAGTTCATCGCGCAGCTCAATGAGCGATATACGCTACCGTCAGCGAAGCCTAGAGATGCTGCCACAGCAGCCGGCCCGGCCCTACCCCCCCTGTCTACCGAGCTTTGCAAGAAGGCCATGTCTCTTCTCTATAACCTTCTTCAGCCTCAGTACTGGGCAGATCTGGACGTTGACTTGTTTCCCAACGTCACGGAGGTGGTCTTGGCCAGCGAAAGGACACAGAAGATCTTGAACGCGGATCCCAGCGACAAGGACAACTACGACGAAAAGTTCATTACGAATATTGTCAACACGTTGCAAGTTGTCCGAATCATTCTGAACTCCAAGAAGGACGAATGGATTGTCAAGAACATGCCCTCCATACAGAAAGTGCTGGAGAAGTGTCTGAAATCTGAGAACCCTGAGTTGCATGATTGTTTGCATTTTGCCGACAAGGAATACGACGACGAGCGAGACATGAAGTCCATAGTCCAAAGAGTCCTCGAGTCTGTCCCTGAAGATGTCCCCATGGAAGATGCAGATGCCGACGGCGAGCCTGAAGGACAGACATCGGAAGTCATCACATTCTTGTCAGGCATTGCCACAGAAACACTCAACGCCTCGAATTATGTTTCTGGAGTGAATATCCTGTGGTCACTAGGTCAGCGCAAGCCGACGGTCATCGATCCTCATATTCCTGCGTTGATGAAGGCTCTGCAGTCAAAACTGGCCAGAGAACATGTCCAACATTATACCAACGTTCAAGCTCATCAGATGAACGTACATCTCCGACCCGCAGACCAGGGGCCGCGCGAGGGAGAGATGTCCATGTACGACCTAGAAATTCAGACTGCGCTGATGATCAAGGCGATCGAGGTAACAGCCATGCGAATGGAAGTTCTTGGCGACAACCGCCGACCATTCCTCAGTGTGCTTGCAACACTCGTCGAAAAGTCTCTGCATATACCATTGTGCACCAAGATCCTCGAAATGGTTGAAGATTGGGTCTTCCGCTCCGAGGGCACCTGGCCCACTCTCAAGGAGAAGACTGCCGTTCTGCACAAGATGTTGTCATTCGAGCACCGGAGTGACTCCACGATGTTGACAAAGTTCTTGGAGCTCGTTATCCGCATCTATGAGGACCCAAAGATCACTCGCACGGAGCTGACTGTCCGCATGGAACATGCCTTCTTGATTGGTACAAGGGCTCAAGATGTAGACATGCGAAATAGATTCATGTCAATCTTTGACAAGAGTCTATCAAAGACTGCGACAGCCAGGCTCGCCTATGTCATCACGTCACAAAATTGGGACACTCTGGCCGACTCCTTCTGGCTAGCTCAAGCCTCCCAGCTTCTGATTGGCGCGGTCGAGGTGAATGCCAACATTCAGCTGCATCAAGCAGACTTTCGGACGTTGCCTGCCTCTACAGTCTTTGGTGTCTACTCCAAAGACACGAGAGAACCTACAGCCATGGCCGACGACAAGTACGACACATTCATGTCCAATCACCGCCGATTTGTGGCTGAGCTGGGAGATGTCAAGGTCCGTGATATCATTGAACCCATCATTCAACTTCAGCACAATGATACCGCACTGGCTCACGAACTGTGGATCACGCTGTTCCCCATGTTCTGGTCAGCAACAATGAAGGAAGAGAAGACAGATTTGGAGAAGGGCTTGGTGGCTCTCTTAACCAAGGACTTCCACTCTCGTCAAATCGATAAGCGACCAAACGTGGTTCAATCTCTACTTGCAGGAGCGGCGAAATCATGGCCAGAGTGCAAAATACCGCCACACGTGCTCAAGTTCGAGGCCAGGACGTACGATGCCTGGTACACTGCCCTTGTTCAACTAGAGAAGGCAGCCATCAAGCCCGATGGAGATTCATCCACAATTCGTGAGAGCAACTTGGATGCGTTGTGCGAACTGTACTCGAACCTCAAGGAAGATGACATGTTCTACGGGACTTGGCGCCGCCGTTGCCAATTTGTCGAGACTAATGCTGCTCTGTCGTACGAGCAGAATGGTATGTGGGACAAGGCCCAGAAAATGTATGAAGCTGCGCAGATAAAAGCTCGCACCGGTGTCATTCCGTTTTCACAGGGCGAGTACATTCTATGGGAAGACCACTGGGTTCTCTGCGCGGAGAAGTTGCAACAGTGGGACATCTTGCAGGACTTTTCTAAGCACGAGAACATGCAAGATCTCCTCCTCGAATGTGCGTGGCGCAACATTGAGATGTGGCAGAACCAAGACCACCGTGAGAGTTTGGATCATCTCATCAAGGGTGTCATGGATGCACCCACCGCCCGCCGCGCTTTCTTCCAAGGCTTCATGGCTCTTCTCAAGCTGCACAACAACAGAACCCCCGAGACGCAACAGGAGTTTAGTAAGGTCTGCGATGAGGCCTTGCAGCTTTCTATCAGAAAGTGGCACCAACTCCCAGGAAGACTCACCGCTGCACACATCCCCATGCTGCATAATTTCCAGCAACTTGTGGAGCTTCATGATGCAAGCATTATATGCTCAAGCTTGTCCGGCACTACGCAAGCCAATTTGGATGTCAAGTCAGGTGAGCTAAAACTGCTTCTTGGGGCTTGGCGAGACAGACTTCCCAATGTTTGGGACGACATCATCGACTGGCAAGATCTCGTCACTTGGCGGCAACATATCTTTGGCCTGATCAACAGCACGTATCTTCAGCTGCTGCCACAACAGGGCCAGAATGCCAACGGCGCCTCATTTGCATATCGCGGCTACCATGAAACTGCTTGGATCATCAACAGATTCGCTCATGTAGCTCGGAAGCACAACCTGCCGGATGTTTGCATTGCACAGCTCAGTAGAATTTACACCCTACCAAACATTGAGATTCAAGAAGCCTTCTTGAAGCTACGAGAACAAGCCAAATGTCACTACGAGAACCCAGAAGAGCTGTCGAGTGGGCTGGACGTAATCAACAATACGAATTTGAATTACTTCAATGCCCAGCAAAAGGCCGAGTTCTACACCCTCAAAGGCATGTTCCTCGAGAAATTGAAGCAGAAGGATGAAGCCGACGCAGCCTACGGAACAGCCTTGTACTACGATATTGGCAAGGCCAAGGCATGGGCAGAGTGGGGATACTTCAATGATCGCAAGTTCAAGGACGACCCTACAGATCTGAACTCGGCCAAACAAGCTCTTACCTCTTACCTCCAAGCTATTGGTAGCTACAAAGACGGCAAGTCTCGGAAACTGATTGCCAGAGTCCTCTGGCTTCTCAGTCTAGATGATGCCAACGGCACAATCGCGTCTGGCTTTGAAGACTACAAGGGCGAAACTCCAGTGTGGTTCTGGATAACGTTCATCCCACAGCTTTTGACCGGCCTCGGCCACAAGGAAGCCCCCAGAGTACATGCGATTCTTCTCAAGATTGCCAAATCATATCCCCAGTCATTGTTCTTCCAGGCCCGTACTAACAGGGAAGACATGCTGGCCATCAAGAAGAACCAGGAAGCAAAGGAAAGACAGCGCCAGCGTGCTCAGTCAGCCGCTACGACCAAGCCTGCCGGCTCGCCATCACAGGCCAAACAGGACAACCAGCAAACCAAGACGGAATCGTCGTCTCGGCCCCAAACTGCAAATGGTGAAGGTAACGGCCAGGTGAAGTCCGAGGGTGGAGATGACAAGGCTGCCGCTACACCAGCTGCCAATGCCAATGCCACACCCGCACCCGCTGGTGAACAGAAGTCAGATTCAGGTACTTCTCAAAAGAGGCCACCTTGGGAGCTTACCGATGAGATCATGTCGACGCTCAAGACTGCTTTCCCCCTACTCGCCTTGTCCATGGAGAAGATGGTCGACCAGATCCAGAAGTACTTCAAATGCCCACCCGACGAGGATGCGTACAGACTCATTGTGGCTCTGCTCAATGACGGACTAGCCTACGTCTCACGCATGCCCGCTTCATACGCCAAAGACGTAAAGTTGCCCGGAGGCACCGAGACCAACATCACTCGCTTCGCCGAGACCATCCTCCCGGCGCATATCAAGAAGTCATTTGAGGCAGATTTCGTCCAGGTCAAGCCTACCATGTTCGAGTACATTCACAAGCTACGTAAATGGCGTGACAAATTCGAGGAGAAACTCGACCGCAGGAATCCGAAGGAGCCGCTCGAGAAGTTCTCACGTGACCTCAGCGAGTTCCGCTACCAGAAATTTGACGATGTCGAAGTGCCTGGCCAATACTTGCAGCACAAGGACAAGAACCAAGACTTCATTCGCATCGAGCGATTCCTGCCCAATGTTGACTTGGTCCGGACCATTGGTGTCTCTCACCGACGCATCAAGATCCGTGGTCACGACGGCAGCATCCACTGTTTTGCTATTCAGCATCCTGCAGCCCGGCATTGTCGACGAGAAGAAAGGATCCTCCAGCTCTTCCGTCACCTCAACCAGACATTGGCTAAGCGCAAGGAATCGAGACGCCGTGATTTGCAATTTACTCTACCCCTGATGGTCCCTCTTGCACCTCACATAAGAATTGTGCAAGAGGATACCTCCAACATCACACTTCAAGGCATCTATGAAGACCACTGCCGCCGCAACAACATGCAAAAAGATGAGCCTGTTTTGTTCACAATGGACAAGCTGCGTAGCTTGATCGAGCCTAAAGGCGGCGTAAGTTTTTCAAGAACTCTGATTGGAATCGATAAGCGTGCTAACATGAATCAGAAACAACTTGACCAGACGGTCACTGCCCGTATGGAAGTCTTCACTGCTATTCAAGAGAAATGGGTGCCGCACGACGTGGCCTTGGATTACTTCCAATCGACGTATCAAGAGTTCTCAGAGTTCTGGCTATTCCGTCGCCGTTTCTCATACCAGCTATCGACTCTTACCTTCATGACGTACATCTTGTACATGACTGGCCGTTATCCTCACAAATTCAATATTGCGCGTGGATCGGGCAAGATTTGGGGATCTGAGCTGATGAGTTTCATGGCTCCCGCGAAGCCGTTTTTCCACAATCCCGAGCCGGTCCCATTCCGTTTGACACCCAACCTCCAGACGCTCATGGGACCTCTAGCCACTGAGGGCATTTTCAGTTGCGCCATCATGGCCATTGCCCGCTGCCTCACGGAGCCCGAGTTCCAACTGGAACATGCTCTCACTCTCTTCGTCCGCGACGAGATGATCTTCTGGTTCACGTCTAGTCATCGTGCGATGCACCTGAATGAGAATCAACTGCGCGATACGGTCCAGACCAATTGCGACATGATCGTCAAGCGGGCAGTTAGTCTGGCTGCCAGCCCTGTTGGCAACCTCCCTGCCAACCAAACGGTTATTGATCTCATCAGCAAAGCGGTGAATCCGATGAACTTGGCGCAGTGTGACGCCCTCTGGATGCCATATCTGTAATGTGTCGGTGTTTCATTACATTGTTCTTGTACCAAGACATGCGATTCCTTGCATTTTAGCCTTTTGCATGCCTAGAGGTCGCGCGGAAATTTTGTTTTTATTTCCTTATTTCAGCAGAAAGCATGGCGTTGGTAAAGGACATGAATTATTCTCAACATGATTGTACTCTTTACATAAAAATTGGTGGAAGGACTGGAATGGTTCTCGGCGCATCGCTCTGAGATGCTTGGTACATATGGGTATTGTACCATATATAGAGCAAGTGCAGTAATGCCGTGAACGAAGTAGAATGTATATTTTAGAAGTAATTGACCGTTCAAACAAAAGCAAGGCCTGATGATCCGGAGGGATATCCAAGTGTGACACAACCCTTTGATATGGATGGATGCATCGTAGTGTGCTAAATACGAATGTAATCAATCGAGGGCGATGACATCTATCTGATAATGCTCAATTATTAGGCAACAATTAAAAGGCAGTGCGAGGACGTTTGATTCCCGTATTTCTTCTATTCTAGTGTTGTAGGTACATGTTCGTTCGGAATGCGGAGCGTCTCCATCCTCTCCATCGGACATTGTCTGCTTTCAATAGGTATGGATCAAGTACGTACATAGTACGTGGCATTGTGGGCATCGATTCCATCAAAAGCAAGACGAATACCCACCCAAGGTTAGAAAGATTGACGGTGACCGGATGTTCGGTTTCGCTATTGTATGTATTTCTTGGGGTACTGTTCTATATGATGGGTCTTTTGCATCGAGTCAATCATGCATTTGCTGTATTTCTTCTACAATCCTCACCAATCACGAGTGACTATCAATTATACCAAAAGCTACGAATCATGTAGTTTCCTTCCTCTTTGACCTGCCGCAAGTGGCAGCTTGAAAGAAACACATATCGAAGACCCAAGCACTGACGACCCCCTGTGCTAGGGGACCAGACGGGTCCACTAATAGGTACTACCTTTAGCGGGTAAAGTAGTTCTACAGCGCCAAAGTAGATGAAAGGTACATCCTTACGTGGCGCTGCAGACCGCTGGGGAGGGACTTGACTGGACCCCGAAAAATACCCTCGACACCTCCTGGGATTCAGATTGATCCGCCCACCCTTTCAACTGGGCTGACTGACTCTCAGCTCTGCAGCAGCGCCCCCAAACCCAGTTGAGAGTTTCCGTTCGGCACACAAGGTGTCCTTGTCCATTGCCCATGCATTGCAACCAACCGACCAACCATTACTGCCTATCATAGATGACGGAATTTATCAACGGTCTTGGAGACGAGACCACATTGCAACTACGTACAACGTAAAACGTACATGGTAGCAAAGCTATAGGCGAAGGACGGCGACGTGTCTCTTCTACATACACAACCAACTTACTTACCCTTACCTTTTCACGGCGACACCGACAGTTTAGATACGAGTACCTAGCAGACCGACTGCAGTCTGCATCCATCCATTGAATTAGCTTCTTGATCGCCGCCCGACAATCACCAGCAGGGAGGTAGCAGCAGCAGCAGCAGTCGTCGTTTATCTCTCAATACTTTTGAAAGCTACGTAACAGCAGAAGCGACACTCGAACCTTCCTCGGCCCTCGCCCACGCCCGCGCCCACGCCAACCGGGAACCCACACACCGCTTCAAAAGCCTACCTGCAGACCGATCGACTCCACGCGGCTGCTCTTGGGGATGCCCCCGAGCGGGAATGGGAATGCCGCCTTCAACAACAAGCCCATACCGATCGACGGAACCGCCAGACTCCCCCGTCCATGATTCCGACTCGGATGCCGACCTAGACCTTCAGGAGCTCGACCCGACCACATCGCACAGCACTAGCGCCACGCTTCTAGGCCGCAACACCAGCCCCGAGCAGCGAGCGCCACGGATTGCGCTGAGAAATCTCCGCATGGGGGGCTTGCGGAGGACGAGTGGTAGGGGGGCACGCCGCGGATATGGCGACCTCGGACACGACAGGGACGGCCATGACGATGCCGTGGGCTTGCTGGACGATGATCACGACAGACCACAGCGCTACTCGGACGGCAGCCATAGCGGAGGCGATGATGCGCCGCTCTTGAACAACTCCGGCTCGGGGTCACGCCGTAAGCGATCCTTTGCCGGCGATCGAATGCAAAAGCTGGGCGCATCCCTTCGCTTGCCGAGCTTCATGTCAAGCACCAGCGCGAACCGAGACGCGATTGAGGATCTGGCCGACCAAGAGGACGACGATCCCTCTGCCTCGCGTGTGGTGGCCGTCGGTTCCTCTCAAACGACCCGATACCCACCAAATATTGTATCGAATGCTAAATATACAGCCTTCACCTTCCTCCCCGTCACCCTGTACAACGAGTTTTCTTTCTTCTTTAACATGTACTTTCTACTGGTTGCTTTATCCCAGGCGATTCCAGCACTGAGAATTGGTTATTTGAGCACATATATTGCACCCCTTGCTTTTGTGCTCATGATTACCATGGGAAAGGAGGCCTACGATGATGTTGAGCGACGGAGGCGAGACAATGAAGCCAACTCGGAGGAATATGCGGTGCTTCGCTTTGACGAACCAGGAAGCCGGGCGTATCCTACGTCTCGATCGCCGCGAGTACTGAAGTCATCATCCATGCGAAAGGGCCAGAAAGGATCCGTACATCGGGACAGACTGTCAGACATCAGGGAGGAAGAAGAGCAAGCAGAGGGACACGGCCTGGGACAGCCCTCCTCGTACGTGGAGGAAATCAGCAAGAAATCTCGAGACCTGCGTGTCGGCGATGTGTTGAAGTTGAGCAAGGGCCAGCGTGTCCCGGCTGATGTGGTCATACTTAAATGTCTGGCAACGGAAACCTCGACGGCTCCCACAGACCAGATGGAAATAGTCCACGAGGAAGAGTCACTGCTTGTCGACGCGGATTCGAGTAGTACCACCTCAGGCAAGGGCAAAGAACCAGAACAACGTCAAAAGCCTGACGAAGGCAGCTCCAACGGGGAGACCTTTATCAGGACTGATCAGTTGGATGGAGAGACGGACTGGAAATTGCGGCTGACTTCAGCTCTGACACAAAATCTACCGCTGGAGGAATTAGTGAGACTCAGGGTGACCGGAGGCAAGCCAGATAAGAAGGTCAACGAGTTCATTGGGACGGTCGAGTTGATGCCGTCTCGACAAGAGGCTATGGATCCTTATCCCAGCGACAACGCCCAGCCAGATACAAACAACTCGGCCCCGTTATCCATTGACAATACTGCCTGGGCCAACACCGTCATTGCGTCTCAAGCAATCACTCTTGCGGTCATTGTTTATACTGGTCCCCAAACCCGATCAGCCTTGTCGACATCGCCTTCCCGATCCAAGACGGGGTTGCTCGAGTATGAAATCAACTCTCTGACCAAAATCCTCTGTGCCCTGACCTTGGGGCTTTCAATCATTCTCGTGGCTCTAGAAGGTTTCGGTAACACGGACGGCAATGTATGGTATGTCAAAATCATGCGCTTCTTGGTCCTTTTCTCTACCATTGTGCCCATCAGTCTTCGAGTCAATTTGGACATGGGAAAGAGTGTTTACTCATGGTTCATTCAACGTGACCCGGGAATTGCTGGAGCAGTAGTACGGACGAGCACAATTCCAGAGGACCTGGGAAGAATCGAATACCTGCTCAGCGACAAGACCGGAACCTTGACCCAAAACGAGATGGAAATGAAGAAAATCCATGTCGGTACAGTGTCATATGCCAATGAAGCGATGGACGAAGTATATGCCTATGTGAAACATGGGTTCGCTGGGGCACCGGCGGAAACAGCGCTCGTCACACCTTCATCTTCTTATAACACGACAGCCGGAGTCACAGCTACCCGTACAAGGCGAGAAATTGGCTCCAGGGTTCGCGATGTTGTCCTGGCTCTTGCTCTGTGCCACAATGTCACTCCTACAACCGAGGAGGAAGACGGACAGACCGTCACGTCGTATCAGGCTTCTTCCCCGGATGAGATTGCAATTGTTCGGTGGACAGAGTCGGTTGGATTACGCCTGGCTCACCGTGATCGACAGGGGATGATCCTCGAGTCCACGGAAACCGGAAAAGCAGTTGTCAAGGTCAAGATATTGGATGTCTTTCCGTTCACGTCGGAAGGCAAGCGTATGGGAATTATTGTTCAGTTCTGGGAGCACACCCAGAGCGCACCATCACCCGAAAACGCAGAGATTTGGTTCTACCAAAAGGGTGCCGATACCGTCATGTCGTCCATCGTTGCCGCCAACGATTGGCTCGACGAGGAGACGGCCAACATGGCTCGTGAAGGCCTCCGAACGCTTGTTGTAGGTCGCAAGAAGCTCTCCTCGGCGCAGTACGCCGAATTCTCCCGATCTTACCAGGAAGCCTCTCTTGCCATCAACGGGCGCGAGGCAGGCATGCAGAAAACCGTGTCCGAGCATCTTGAGCGAGACCTGGAGCTGCTAGGTGTAACAGGCGTGGAGGATAAGCTGCAAAGAGATGTCAAGCCCTCTCTCGAACTGCTCCGTAATGCTGGAATCAAGATTTGGATGTTGACAGGCGACAAGGTCGAGACAGCTCGCTGCGTTGCCGTCAGCTCTAAACTCGTTGCCCGTGGTCAATACATCTACACCATCACCAAGCTGAAGAGGAAAGACAATGCCCAAGATCATCTCGACTTTCTCAGGAGCAAGACGGATTCGTGTCTCTTGATTGATGGTGAAAGTCTTGGATTGTTCCTCACCCACTTCCGAACCGAATTCATCTCAGTTGCAGTCCATCTCCCTACTGTGGTCGCTTGTCGTTGTTCCCCAACACAAAAGGCAGAAGTCGCCAAGCTTATTCGCGAATACACCAAGAAACGTGTCTGCTGCATTGGCGATGGTGGCAACGATGTCTCCATGATTCAAGCCGCTGATGTAGGAGTGGGCATTGTTGGTAAAGAAGGACGACAGGCCAGTCTGGCGGCCGATTTCTCCATTGAGCAATTCTGCCATTTGACCAAGCTTCTTGTTTGGCACGGCCGAAACAGTTACAAGCGGAGTGCCAAGCTCGCCCAATTCGTCATCCATCGTGGTCTTATTGTCGCTGTTTGTCAAACAATGTACAGTATTGCAATCAAGTTTGAGCCCGAGGGTCTATACATTGTAAGTCTCACCTTTTTCTTCATGATGCATCTAAATCAGGTCGCTCACAATTGTTTCCCCCAGGACTGGCTCATGGTTGGCTACGCGACCGTCTATACCGCAGCTCCCGTACTATCTCTAGTCCTAGATAAGGACGTTGATGAGAACCTGGCGAATCTGTATCCAGAGTTATACAAGGAGTTGACATCTGGACGATCTCTATCTTATCGCACATTTTTTGTATGGGTATTTGTGTCCATATATCAGGGTGGCATGATCCAGGGCCTGTCTCAGCTCTTGACCGAGGTCGATGGACCGAGGATGGTCGCGGTCAGCTACACAGTCCTGGTTCTGAACGAACTGCTTATGGTTGCCATTGAGATCACGACATGGCATCCTGTCATGATTGTGAGCATTGTGGGCACGTTCCTGGTATATGCGGGATCAGTTCCGTTCCTGGGCCGTTACTTTGACCTGGATTTCATCCTGACTTGGTGAGTTTCTCCTTTCAAGTCAAAGAGTCTTTTGCCGTGACAATTGCTAATGTTGATGGTTCTAGGGGCTTTGTATGGCGCGTATTTGCAATTGGCGCCATCTCACTGATACCACCTTATGCTGGCAAGTTGATTAGGAGAACAATGAAGCCACCGTCATACAGGAAGGTTCAAGGGATATAACGAGATGATACAATGTCGAATAGCGGGCTCCAGCTCCAGCATCAGACGGGGTGGGCGCATAAGCATTGGGTGGCGTTATCGGGATTCTCTCCATTTACGTGCTTGCATTATCATGCTTTTCTCCCGGTCATTTGTTTTCAATTATGGTCACTGGCAGATGGTACTGGGCCCCCCGTGTACGTTGCCGTGGTTCAATACCCCTAGAAGCATTCTTGTCGTGAGAAAATAAAAGAAGAGAAACATTCTCTCCATCTAGATCTGAATTGGATTACTTGATGGCTGTAGAGGGGTGCAGGGAATATCACGAATGCACGCAGAGCCAGCCCGTGACCACTGCATGAATAAGGGTCCATGATCCCCTTATCCCGATCTATGCACGCACGATTCATCAGCGAGTATGTTGCTGATGACCGACATGAATGTTACCAGATCCGGCCACACGGTTCAGATTTGAGCCGGATCAGAGACGCGGCGGCGGGCTGACGAGAGGAGGGGTGGACCGACGTCGGTCTCGAGCTTTTGGAGCTTATTCGTTGGCCCCCCTGAAGGTCTCCACTACGTACTTTGTGTGTAGCGAGCTCTTTTAGAAATGATGTCATTCTTGGTGCTACTATGGCGATCTGATTGCCTTTGAGTTTCTCTTCTTTTGGATGGGATGATATATTTCCCCCGGAATGCCATCAATGAGACTGTCTGCTACGCTACTCGTTTCTCCACATCTCCGCGCTGCCCCCGCGAAAAAGACCGAGAATAAAAAGGAAAGTGATGGACATTCTCGATGCGGGACCCCCATATGTGGTGGTGCAGATCACTAGGAGAGGCTCGGATATTCTCTTCTTGATACAGACCACGAGTCTGCAGTACATGTTTGTCTCCCCCCAGGGCGGCGGAAGGGGCAATAATTAGGAAGAAAATATCGCGCAGCGAGAGAACTACCGAGTGGGCAAGAAACATTCAACAAAAAAAAAACGCGAAATGGACAGCTCAATGGGCTGTCGCGTCTCTCTCGTAGATGGGGTGCGACCCCAGAAGTCCTTTTTTTTTTGCCCACTCTCCTCACGATGGGATTTCTCAGAAAAAACCCACCCTCTGATTGAACAAGAGGTGAGTCGGGTGGGTGCCTTCGTTTCTGTTCGTGGCAGGGTATACGCTAGTTCCCCCATGCCTGCTGGCTTGGCTTGCTACCTGACGTAGCGGGGAATTCAGCGAAACCCCATGGATAAAAATATTCATACGGAAAAAAAAAAAAAAAGGTTTCGCATGTCCACGATGCGTTGTAGTCGTGGCACAACTGGGTAAGGGGAAGAAAAATTTTTATACTTGCTTGCTGCTAGCTAACTGGCTGTCGGCCACGTTCGCAGGAAGAAGGTTAGCTAGGGCGCGGGAATGTATGGACTATGGTGACTGATGGCTCAGTTGCATCTGCGTCTTTGCGGGCAATTTGATGCAGCAACGCCCAATTAACAAGCGCAACATGCATCGGCCATGGCGATGCCGCACCGTTACACTGAGGCACCAAAAGTTTTTGTGCCAGGGGTGTTTCTCTGACAGGCCTGTTGATGCGGCGAAGGAAAACCCTACAGGCTACAGCGTACATACATACATACTTACATACATACACCCGCGATTGCTACATACGTAGTACAATGCTTACATGCTAGGATGCATCAAGGCTTTCGTTTCTGATTGTCTTGAAAATTTTAATAACCTTTTGCAGCTCGCGTCCGATGACGTCCACCAGAATCTGTAATAGGCTTTGATACAGCAGGAATTGACAGCGGGAGAGAGTCAGCAACAGCATCAAGGCTTGAACAGAGGAGAGACAATTCGTAGTCCGTGGGGGGGAAGTAAGAAAGAAAAGACAATACTTTCTGTCTGGGTGCCCAAATATACGGCAAGAGAGGGGATGAATTGAAGCTATCTCGATCCAACTGGGGCTCAATTGTACACCTCATGCGGGATTTGCATCCCCTTGGGGTTTAGATTGGGGAAGTTCGCGCTAGGCTGTCGCAGCGTCTGGAGCTGGAACTGGAGCTGGCAAGTGCTGGACTGGGGAGCGGATGGAGGCGCTGGAGCTCGTACCCATGGGGCCTCGACCAACCGCCAACCACCTCGGGCCCTCCAGATTGTACCAAGTGGGGGTCTCTTGGACCGGGGGGCAGGGGGGGAGCTCTCGGTCTTGCAAGCCTAGCACCAAGTGTGATGCCATTCGATGGTCATACGTAAGGTACTCTGTAGCTGGCTCGGTTTCTTTCGCACTCTCTCTTGCGGATGTTGTTGCTGCTCATCGCTCCAGGTTACGGTTGCAAGCTCATTGTTCAAAAAGTTGGGGGACTGGGATTAGAAACTCCACTTCCAATTTGTTTTTGGGCGTGTCTTTTTTTTTTCTTCCTTCCTTCGTTCCTGCTCCTGCTCGCTGAATCTTTACTCTGATCTTCCCCGATCCAGATCCAATTCAAGCGAAGAACCATTCTCTCTTCTTCTTCTTCTTCCTCAACATATTTCAGGAATCTGTCACGTTCCTATCTTTATATTAACCTCTGAGCCACGCGCTCCCCAATTGACATTGTACCAGACTGTCACGAGAGCTTCTTGCATCTGTTTTGGACCTTTTGCGTTAACTACGCGGGTACCTTGAAGGTAAGCTTTCCAGTCCGGCTTCTCTCTGCGCGCCACACGTACATACACACACACCAGCACACTTGCTAGGCAAGCAATTGGGAGGCGAGTGTCATGAGCTTTAGAGACAAGCAGAAACTCTAAAAAGAAAACATGACATAAACTCCTACATACTTGCTTTTTCTCTTCTTTTGGACGCACACCTGCTTTTTTCGACTCCAAATGTCGCTTGTCAAAAACTCGGCATTCTTTTCGCAACACAATGGCTGCTGAACTACCGCCGCTAATCACTCGTGCAGAAGATTCGCTCGAGCAGCCCTTCTCAAGCCAAACCGCCAATATGAGCGACGACGAAAGACCGGCCAGGGAGGTCAAGAACCACCTCCTCTTCGAGATCGCGACCGAGGTGGCTCATAGAGGTAAGCTTGAGCTTCTTACCCCTCGTCCAATCCCTCTGCCATTCATCGTCTGATCAACCGCTGACACCAAAACATAGTCGGTGGAATCTACTCTGTCATCAAGTCGAAAGCTCCCGTCACGACTGCCGAATATGGCGACCGATACACCCTGATCGGTCCTCTCAACCACCAATCGGTAAGTTCTTGTCCTGCGAACCCCGCTCAAGAATCATGGCTAACATGAAGGAAAATAAACAGGCTGCGGTCGAGGTCGAAGAGCTGGAGCCTTCCAACCAAGAGCTCGCCAAGAGCATTGAGGCTATGCGAAGCCGCGGCATCGGTATCCTCTACGGACGATGGCTGATCGAAGGTGCCCCCCGTGTCTTGCTGATTGACACCAAGACTGCCTACAAGTACATGGATGAATGGAAAACAGACTTGTGGAACTCTGCCAGTATTCCTTCCCCACCAAATGATGACGAGACAAACGAGGCCATTGTCTTTGGTTATCTCGTTGCGTGGTTCCTTGGAGAGGTAAGCTTCCATCTCAACGCAGTCAGTCCTTGACAACGCAAGAGCATAGTTGACCCGCTTGCATAGTTTGTCTGCCACGAGAAGACCAGGGCGGTCATTGCTCACTTCCACGAATGGCTCGCCGGTGTGGCTATTCCTCTTTGCAAGAAGCGCAGGATCGATGTGACCACCATCTTCACCACTCACGCAACTCTACTCGGCCGGTATCTCTGTGCTGGATCAGTCGACTTTTACAACAACCTGCAATGGTTTGATGTGGATGCTGAAGCTGGAAAGCGTGGCATTTACCACCGATACTGCATCGAGCGAGCCGCTGCTCACTCTTGCGACGTCTTCACAACTGTTTCCCACATTACAGCATTCGAAAGTGAGCACTTGCTCAAGCGGAAACCCGACGGAGTCTTGCCCAATGGTCTCAATGTCACAAAGTTCTCCGCCATGCACGAATTCCAGAACCTGCACCAGCAGTCGAAGGAAAAAATTCACGACTTCGTGCGTGGACACTTCTACGGCCACTACGACTTTGTCCCAGAAGACACGCTCTACTTCTTCACCGCCGGTCGATACGAATTCAGGAATAAGGGTGTAGACATGTTCATTGAGTCATTGGCTCGTCTGAACCACAGACTGAAGTCGGCTGGTAGCAAGACGACCGTGGTCGCTTTTGTCATTATGCCTGCCCAGACAACTTCCCTTACGGTGGAAGCTCTCAAGGGCCAGGCCGTAATCAAGTCTCTCCGCGATACCGTCGATGTCATTGAACGTGGCATTGGTCGCCGTGTCTTTGAGCGATCTCTCAAGTGGCATGAGGGCGACCCGCTCCCTGATGAGAAGGAATTGATCACCAGCGCTGACCGTGTCTTGTTGAGACGACGTCTGTTTGCCATGAAGCGACACGGTCTGCCACCGATCGTGACGCACAACATGATCAATGACCAGGAAGACCCGATTCTCAACCAAATCCGTCGTGTCCAGCTTTTCAATCACCCAAGCGACCGCGTCAAGATTGTCTTCCATCCAGAGTTCCTGAATTCGGCCAACCCAGTCTTGCCTCTGGATTACGACGACTTTGTTCGAGGTACCCATCTAGGTGTCTTTGCATCCTACTACGAACCGTGGGGCTACACACCCGCCGAGTGTACCGTCATGGGTGTTCCCAGCATCACCACGAACCTTTCCGGCTTTGGTTGTTACATGGAGGAGCTGATTGAGAACTCGAGCGACTATGGAATTTACATTGTCGACCGACGTAACAAGGGAGTGGATGACTCTGTCAATCAGCTCACGTCGCACATGTTTGATTTCTGCCAAAAGAGCCGTCGTCAACGTATCAACCAAAGGAACAGAACAGAGCGACTTAGCGACCTGCTTGACTGGAAGAGGATGGGCATGGAATACGTCAAGGCACGGCAACTCGCGCTGCGCCGGGCATACCCTGGATCATTTGCCGGCGACGAGGAGGAGGATTTCATTCCAGGCGTCGAGCAGAAGATTTCTCGACCCTTCTCTGTACCTGGCTCCCCTCGTGATCGCAGCGGCATGATGACCCCAGGTGATTTCGCTAGTCTGCAGGAGGGACACGAAAGCCTTAGCACCGAGGACTATGTTGCTTGGAAGCTGCCGTGAGTTCAATTGCAACAACATTTTCGTGGCTTGAGCTAACAATTTTTGTAGTGAGGAAGAGGACCCAGACGAGTACCCCTTCCCCTTGACGCTTCGGACAAAGAAGCCTTCGACGTCGGGAGCTGCTAGCCCCTTGGACAGCATCAGACTGAACGGCAACTAGTGTGGGCACAGTGTTCTGAAAATGCCGTCCATGCGAAGAATGTTGGGACGGACTGTCTAAGTTCAAGGGATGAGGGTATGATTTGAGGAGGACAAGCAGGACATTGCTCTCTAGTGGTCGACTTTAGGTCTCTAGCCACGATATTGTGGCAGTCACTCACTTTGGGCCTTGTGGGAATGTGGAGCTGTTTTGCAGAACACACTCGAACCCGAATTGGAGTTGCAGGAGGACATGGCTATTCATTGAAAGCAGCAGTCGATATCGTGGCCAGACTTTAAAGCTGGCTCTAACAAACATTACATGGGCTAGGTGTCATCTCTGCATGGGAATTGAAACACAAACATTGCATAGCAGCCGCATCAACATTTCATGTCACTATAGGTATCGTTATCAAGAAATGCATTAATACTGGACCAATTGACTTGTAGCATGATCATTATTTCCTTGGTTTAGGTACTAGCAACCTAGGTACCCAGCGTGTTTATTATACATGTATATTAGGCTGGGGTTTCGTACACGTGTTAACGGCCAAGAACCGGCGGACCGCATATTGAAGCTCGTCTACCTTATTGGACATCTAATGTATCTGTGTATTGCTGGCTTCTCTACGAGGTTGATCCCGGGACTTGATAGATGAAGCAGTGGATCAAAGGTTGCGGGTGGCTTTCAGCGGGCCGGGAATAACCTTTTGGATAGCTGGTATACTGAACATGGTACGGCAAGGCAAATCAGCTTCCGTCTCAAGATTAAAAGTCGTTTTGAAGGCTGTAATCATGTAGAGGAGATCAACTAGAGGAGAACAGGGAGACAATAGCCACTCGTGCTCAGCACTACAATATTGCGTTCTGTACCAGTCATGCATACTGTCGGGACGTGGTTGTCAATCGGCGGTGCATCACTATCAGACATCTTGGTTGAACGATCATTCTAGGTTTAAAATCTGCAACATGCTGCCGTCCATACATGAAGGAATACCAACGTGAATGGCTCACACCTCAAGCAGAGAAAATGCGGGGCTGAAGCAATGTTGCTCTGCTTATGTGGTACAACAAAGTCGTGGTGGCCTGCACTTGCCCCTCGTGTTGGTTGCCGTCTTATTCCATCTTTTTCATTTCTTTTCTCATCTAGGAGTATTGCAACACTCAAATCACGTCCATACGGTTTCGATATTCTCCTGCAATGACAGGCGTCGATACAGGCGCAAAGGCGACGATAAATGAGCGAACGAGACTCATTGCTACTATTCGAGTAACACCGCAGCAGGGCAAGTTTAGATACGGCGACATTGAGAGGCGATATGCTGTCATTGCTGTCTGCTCAACTTCAATTGCAGTCTTTATTGCAACCATCATCTGGTCGGTCGCTTCTCTCCTGCTCTCGGATTCTGCAACGGAAAATACACCAACCATTAATTATTGTTTCAACACCTCGACCGCCTACGCAAGCGCAGAGGCTCTAAACAACAATATTGATGCTTTCTGCCAAGATGTAGCCGACAACGCACGCACTTTCTCATACAGCCGCGTGTGGACCAAGATCTATTACTCCAATACACCCGAGGAATACAAAATGACTGTAGCATTATCAAAACGTACGTCTGGATTTGATCGCCACAAGTGTATAGCGTCCATGAGCTCCATCGTCAACAAGTGCGACATTGACGTGAGCGGGAGCACATCGTTACACTGGAAACATGGTGGAGGACGCGTGCAAGAACCATACGAATATACAATTGAGATTGCCCGTCACAACCGGCCGTGGCCTCCGCCGTCAAAGCCTTTACAGCACTGCGAAGGATGGTACAAGTTCATATTCCACCACTTTGATATCTATGGTGCTGCTTGGGCGAGTCATGATTGGGGGCAAAGGTCGCTTTTGCCAGCCATCAACCCGTGTTGTGGCCCGGGTAAGTTTTAAATTTCCAGGAAAACAAAAAGACGGACATTGGTTTTGCTACAGTATATAACTAGTATCTGACCCATTTGTGTTATAGGAAGCCTTACTGGGTGGGGGTTTGAATACTTTGATCAGCCAGATGAAAACGGTCACGAGGTAAGAAAAACCGTACTTTCCAACGGAATCACTATTGCTCCTATGGAATATCTAACCATTTTATACTGCTTATTAGTGGCACGCATGGTTCAATACCGCTCTGGGAACGAGAGGTCGGTGCTTTGATAACAGTATAGTTCAGTGCACCGCTGGTGGACCTTGTGATTCTTACTGTATTGGTAATTGATATCTGGGATATTGATTGGAGGCGATTTTACCACGACAAGGTCGGAATCTGTCTACACAGCTAGAAGGCATGCCGCAGATGTTTCCCCCCCCCCCTCCCCCTTTTGCCTCGTTGGCTTTGCTATAAAAGGGGATGTACTGGTTCTCAAATCGTCATGTTCGTTCAGTCCAGAAAATTGGCAACTTGTTCTCAAACTTGTTCATTTATTCTGCTGCATCAATTTCGTAAGGCGAACAAGTTCTTTGTGATTACTGCTGTTGAGATTGACGCGCGGCTTGATGCTACGCTGAACAAAGGCGATGATCTATGTTCGACATGGAGCGATGGGCTGAGCCGTTAATGAAGTAGTGTCTCGAATGTACGACAAAACACCAAGCACAAGCTTCCACAGCTTGGTGGGCCCCATCTCTAAAAGTGATGCATACAGTTTCAGGGTCTATTGAGGATGATCTCGACAAGTAGAAGAGATTCTGTATACGATGTAGACCGGGAGTTACTATTTTGGTTTTTCCGAGAGGCCTCTCGCGGCTCCACGTTCAAAGTGTAGTATAATGATAAAAATCTGAATTTTCTATTTTGGCATACTGCTGACATCATCGGAACTTGACCCCTCTCTCATTAAGATTATCTCAAAAAGATTGCGCAAACTTAATGAGACAAGAGAGAAACGACGTGTGCGTTCTCGTACCTGTGCTTTCTTTCCTTTGCAAAGCGAGTGGGTGATGGGATCGGCAGAGCATTTCTGAAACAAAAGCGCGTCTGCTCAGGGGTCTTTTGGGTCTACCAAAAATGCCAACTAACAGGTGCTAGCTTGCAGATCACTTGTCGGAACAAACCAGCAGGCAAGAAACAACCGACCGGATCTGTCATCCATCACCCCCCAAAGCATTAATCCCTACCTGGGTATTTTGGGTGAGTGTCGAAAGTGATTGGGCCTGACGTGTGCTTGTCGTATGGTGGGCGGGGGCCGAAGAGTGACGAAAAAGATCAAGGGAAGAGACGAGCTTTCCAAGTCTCTTCCAGTGACGAGACGAGACATAGCTAGCTCCCAATTTAGCAGCTAACGGCTGCCGCATCCCACTGTCATCAGACTGGGTGCAGGTACGTATGTAGTCGTACCGTACCTTGGGAGCCCAATCAAAAAAGTTCAAGTCGACTCTCGAAAGTCAAGTAACTCAGTCTGCTGCATGAAGCAAGACTGACTGATGTCTCTTGTTCTTTGTCGTGTCAATTCTCCATTCGGGCGCTTACCTACGTGTTTTTCATTGTTCTTTTCAACAACCTCATGCCAAGAAAAGATCAGCTCCAGATTCAGTCAGCTAGTTGCCAATTTAGTCAATCATATCCACGAGTTACTCGACCAAAGAGAGACTCTTGCACATGATCACAAACTCTATCACCTATCATTCACGACCCGTTACTGACTTTTGTGGTATGTATGCAAGCTCTGCAGGAGGGTCCAAAGGTTCAAACCGTCCTCCCGCCCGCCGCCAGCCGCTCACCCACCCCTCCTTTGCAGCCAGCCCCAGTGTCCGGTCCAAGTCCCCTACCTAGGTATCTAAACGTTGGCGTGTAACTCCACCATTCCCATTCCAACACCTACAATTACCCCACCCATCCATTACCAGCAGGACCAGCGCGCACCATTAGGCATCGCGGAACCCAGCTAATGCACCCCGGCTACTCGGATTCGTCCCTCACAATTTCCAAAGCAGTGACCTAACGAGGATCAGTGGTCAGCAGCAGCAGCGCCGGCAGCAGCCCTGCAAGCCATTGCCAGCAACCAAGGTAAGCAAGCAAGCAAGCAAGCAAGCAGCTCGTCCACCTCTATCTAATTCATCATATCTTGTTCTCTTTTTGATTTACTTTTCTAACTTCTCCTGTGTCTACCCAATTATCAGCCATCTCCTCTCTCACAGATTTATATCGGACTGGAGACAGAATTCAGCATCAACAATACGAGCGCAAAAGAGAGTAGCGAGGCAAAGCACCCACCTGCCCCGCGAAAACGGGCCTGACTGATCTCATCTCCGTCCAATCTTATTACAGCCAAAGGCCAAAGACCAAAGACCAAAGACCACACACACAGTGGACGGCCCCCGATACCAAGTACCTGACCTGAATACTACTCCAACCCGATAGTCGGATCTACGGCGCAAGGAGGAGGGATCTGGGTTTATATTACCACCACTGCAGATCGACCTACCAACCTACCCATGCAGCGTGGACTTTCAGTAATCCCAGAATAATTCATTCAAATTCATTCGTTCGGATCTGCGAACCCACCAACAACAAGGAGGAAGGAAGCACAAGCAGCAGCAGCAAACCGCAGTGGCGGCAACCAACTACTCTCCCAACGACTTAAACTGTCATCGAAAACGAACGAACCCCTCCATTCCATCCAATCCATCATCCCATCTAGGTTACCTACTACCTCGGCCGCTGAGGGATCCTCCCCCATACATTAATTTCTGCCACCACCCTCCAAAAAGAAGGTCGACGTCGCCAGCCTCGTTTACATTTCCGCAATATTCCTACTTCATGTGAAGCTAGGAAAAGCAATTGTCGAAAAACAACAATCTATTCGTGTTCACTCGTCTTTGACATTCACCGACTTCCTCCCTTGCCCCAATTTTCCGAATACTCCTTGACAGAGACGCACTTCTAAAGAGTTGTCAACCATGGGGTTCACAAAGCTCTTTCGGCGGAGCAAGAAGTCGAAATCCGACACCTCGGACTTTAACTTCAACTACGATCGCGATGCTCGCTATGCCTCCGAAAAGGCCGGATACAACAAGAGGAATAGCCACTTCATGGCCATGCCCCTAGACAATGGCATTTTTGCACCGTGGTTGCAGCTCCCCGTGCCTATTCTGCAGAGGATCTTCTCCTTTGTGTGTCCCCACTGCTACGACGAGAGCTACGAGACATGCGAACAGAGCGCCATTGAGGATGCTTGCATGCTTTGCGATTTGAGGGATATCTCGCATGCTGGTCGGGTGTGCAGAGCTTGGAGAAAGGTGGCCGTGCCCATGATGTAAGTACGGGAGCTTGCATTCAAGGCCTTGTTTGAGCTAGGACGGCAGCAGTCGAGTCTCACACTGCCAGCAATACGAAGACAGTAACACGGCCTCGTTTGTTGGCAGTTGAGTATCGCCTGGAAACAGATGGCCAGTTTTAAGGATGAGGCGACGAACGAGTTGAGACCAGTCAAAACTAACATCATCTTCTACAGTTACCACAGCATACGTATTGATGCTGTCCACTACTGCGAACGCGAAATCTACCTTTCAGATATGCGAAAGCGCAAGACAAAGTTCGATCGCAATGGAAACCCGGAAGACCCGGCGAGCGCACGACTCAACCTGCTATGCCGCACTCTTCGCGACGACCCCACGAGGCTGGGCAAAATGGTCCAGTACTTTAAGACGCCGTACATGTTGCGAGAATCGAAAACGTCGGATCTTGCTCGCACCATTGCAGTCCTCCCCAATTTGCACTACCTAGACCTGCCAGAGGGAGTCTTCGCTGGAGACCCTGCCTATGCGACGCTCACGCTCGAGGTGCAGGCTAGATGCCCGGACCTCAGAAAGATGACGTACCTAGGCGGATGCGAGCGCAACTTGGAAACTCTGGCCTCGGGCAACGTCTGGACAAAATTGGAGGTCTTGGAGCTCACCAGGATCAATATGGACCCGCAGACCTTGAGACATTGCCTGTCCGTCATGCAGTGTCTTCGAGCACTCAAGGTCACAGAGAGTCGGGTTATGGACGATGACTTTTTCAGGTACAATGACGTCTTACCTGCAGTACCAGCTCTGGAAGAGCTTATTCTCAAGGAGGTGCCAAGAGTGGCAGCCGCTGGCCTGGAAGCCTATCTTTCGCGTCCTGATGTCCAATCGCGTCTCAAGGTGCTATCCCTTCAAGACACAGGAATCCACCCGACCAACCTGCATGAGGTCTTGTTCAATGCGCCCAACCTGCAGGCCTTGTCGCTGATTGCCGAGGTGGACACTGCATTCCCGTTCAATGCCAATATTCCACCATTGGCCAACTTTAGCCTCAAGACGCTGCGTTACGAGATCACGGCCTCGCCAGAGGTGGGCGCATATGCTGGCATGACGCAAGGATATTACAACTACTTGGCCCAATCTCTGTTTGCCGACGGTTTCCCGCTACTCTCTTCTCTTTATGTTCGAGATGAGACTTTTGCGGATAGGCTACTGGGTCTTCCGCCACCGATGCCAGGATATGCAGGCGGTGCTCAGCGCCCATCGAGTTCTTCGTCAATGGGCCCCTTTGGGATGGGCGGCGGGTCTATGAGCCCCCAATCCACAGGCGGAGGCAATCCATTCTCACCCGGCTTAGCAGCGCCTGGTGGCAACACCAATAGATTTAGCAGCAACAATCCGTTTGCCCAACCACAGGTCCAACAGCGCTTTGGAGGTCCTCCGATGCTGAATCTTAATCAGACCTTGGCGGTGTACACAAAAGGCGAAGACGAAAACGACTGGGGCCTAATCAAGATGGACCCCTACGACAACCCCGGCTATGCCGGCGGGCGTGGTGTCGGCGGTGGCCGCGCTCACCATGCGAGAAGTAGCTCCGCAACTCACGATCGACCCTTGAGCAGTTATGGATTAGCCGACGTAGGGTCGAGATGGAGAGAGGGCAGCGGCGGTGCCCGTATGAGTGTCATCATGGGTAATGGGGCAGGTGGCTTCCTGGCAGTACCAGGCGGTGCCGATCCGTCTCACACCAGGAGGAAGAGTGAGGGCAGCGGTGCCGACGAGTGGCCGAGACCAAAGAGCAGCTCAGGAGCCAGAGCCGACAAGGATCTCTGGCGGTAAAGCGATGATGCGGGAGATGTGAAAAAAAGAAGAACTGAAGAAAAATGTTTGAACGGCCGTCGTTAACGAGAAAGGGAGGCGCTATAGTGGATGTTGGAGTTTGTCTTCGTCATGGGACTCTGTAATCATGGAGACATTGATCAAAGCAAGCAAGCATTGCTTACATACCATTCTATGACGGACAATTTGGCTGAACTTAGGGAGGAGGCTTTATACCCAATGGGATCAATTGAAAATTTTGCTGTACTCTGATGAAATACTAACCTTGGTGTGACGTGCCGATATGATATATGCTCAGGGAAATGTGGGTATTAGACTAGAATGGTATATGGTGATTGGAAACAGATGATAACCGAGAGAGGTCGGAGTAAACCATGGTGATCCGTAGCACTATGGTATTGGCCAGCCACTAACAGTGCACAATTAACGAATGCCAATTTTGTATAGTCGATGGATTCCACCAGGACATCTTTTCCACTGTGTGCAATTGCAAAACTGGAAATCCAGTATATCAATTAAAAGGAATTTCATCGTATTTGTTCAAGGGTGAAACAAATCTCATGTTTTAATCAAGATTTTCCATCTTCTACTCGGATACTTTCTTTACCCTCGTTTTTCTCTCTCTCGGGATTCGGAACTCATGTCAGCATCATGGGCATGGGTAATGCCGAGAAATACTTTAGTCTACACCCAGGCAGCATTATCATTTGCCCATGTAACCCCCCACTTCCGAAGCCGAAGTAAAATGATACCAGGTTATTGGAACCGGCAACAACAATGTGTCAGAGCCGCATCGTATGAGAAGAATTTTGGCGAAAAGAAGGAGTCAGACTCTGGTCTTGTTCCTTGGATCACCAATTTTATTGAGTGTTATGCGAGTGTAAAACTGTGGGTGTTTACAAACCTGCTAGAAGCACAATTCAATCCTTCCAAGTCGTCTACCCAAGGCTACCTAATCAGATCAGACCTTCAAGGACTCGTCGATTGACTCACCATCCAGCCACCAGGTCCTTTGGTTTGGACTGAATTGGCAATCAAAACAATGCCCTTTTCTACGGGCGAGGAGAATCTGCTCCAGCTGAATCAGGCCGACTTTGACTTTAACGTGCAGTTCGAGCAGCTATTCTTCTCCATCATCCCATCCGTCTTGTTCATTGTGACCTCGCTATGGCGGACCATATCTCAAGCGCGGAAACCCACCGTGGTGAACGCGCCTGTATTCCAATTGATTAAACTAGTATGTCTTTCTCTTATACACCGTAAATATATATCAACAGTCTAGAGTATTTATATCACATAATACTAACGTCGATACTTCCACAAAGGGCGCCATCACAACATACGTTGGTCTCGAGCTGGCACTCCTCATCCTGGTGGCAGTGGGCTCGTTCCGCGCAACCACCATGTTTGTGGCTGCGTCGGCCCTCAAACTCGTGTCGGCTCTGGCCATGATCACGCTGAGCGTCGTGGACCACAGCCGCAGTCCACGGCCGTCGGTCCTGCTGAGCAGCTACTTGTTCCTGACGCTGCTCCTCGACGGCGCGCAGGCCCGGACGTTGTTTTTGCTGTCCGCCTCGGACAAACCAGAGCTCACCTACAGCAGCATCTTTGCGGCAGCCATGGCCCTCAAGGCTGCTATCCTGTTGCTCGAAGCCCAGCGCAAGTCCAGATGGGTGAGCTGGCCGGATAATGAAGGCGAAAAGGAGCACAGCCCCGAAGAAACGAGCGGCATCTTTTCCTTGGGCGTCTTCTTTTGGCTGAACCGACTGTTTGCGGAAGGCTATAGCAAAGTGCTCGGCCTGGCCGATCTATACCCGCTGGACCGCTCCCTCAACGGCAGGCTGCTCCATGACGAATTTTCCCGGACCATGGACTATGCGAAACTCCAGGGCGACCAGTACGGCCTCGTCAAGGTGCTCGTGCCGACCCTCAGAGTCCCGCTGCTCTTGCCCGTGGCGCCGCGTCTGGCTCTGCTGGGCTTTACCTTTTGTCAGCCGCTCTTTCTCGAGAAACTGCTGGACCACCTCGCCGCGCCACAGATTGAGGACAATGTCGGGTACGGCTTTATTGGCGCCGCTGTTCTCATCTACACGGGTATTGCCGTCTCGTATGCCTTGACGTCGTATTTTCACCACCGCGCCCGCACCATGCTGCGGTCCATCCTGGTCACTGAGATCTTTGACAAGGCGACCAAGGCCCGCATGGGCGGCGGCGGCGGCACGAGCAATGATGATAGTGCCGCGCTCACCCTCATGAGCACCGACATGGAGCGCATCCGAGTGGGACTGGCCAGACTGCATGATATCTGGGCCTCCATCATCCAAGCCGGCCTGGCCGGGTGGCTATTGTACAACCGCATCGGCCTGGCCTTTCTGGTGCCTATTGGCCTAGTGACGGCGTGTTTTGGCGGCCTGGGCGTCCTCGTCAAGTTCACGGGAGACTCGCAGAGATCGTGGATGGAGCGAGTACAAAGGCGTGTGGGCCTGACGGCAACGGTGATTGCCAGCATGAAGAACCTGAAGATATCGGGTCTCTCCGGCGTAGTGGGAGGACTCGTCCAGGAACTCCGCGTCGTGGAACTGGCGGCGGGCACTCGGTTCCTGCAAATCGTCATCGTGGCGGCGCTCCTGGGGTTCACGCCGCTGCTGGTCGGCCCGCCGCTCACGTTTGCCGCCGCCGGTGGGCGCGCCCTGGACGTCTCTCGCATGTTTACTAGTCTCTCATACCTCTTGCTGCTCACCAGGCCCCTGGCGGATGTATTCCAGGCCATACCGCAGTTCCTGTCTGCCCTGGCATGCCTCGGCCGCATCCAAGCCTTTCTCGAGTGTGAGACCCGGCACGACTTTCGTCGTGTCTTGGCAGACTTGAGATTAAACTCGGAGAAGCCATCAAATGAGAGCGGTGCCTCGTCCGAGGGTGTGGCGTCGGTACACCCAATCACTATAGAAAATGGCAGCTTTGGATGGGAGCCCGACAAGTTTTCATTGCGAGATATCAACACCCGCATCCCCAAGTCCTCCCTCACCATGGCCATTGGCCCAGTCGGCTCGGGCAAGTCGACCCTGTGCAAAGCCTTGCTTGGCGAGATTCCCTATAGCCAAGGCAGCGTGGTGCTGAGTAACAGATTTCCTCACGTGGGCTTTTGTGACCAGACGGCATTTCTTTCCAACGGTTCAATCCGGGACAATATCGTGGGCTTTACCCCGTTTGAGCCGAGCCGGTACCACGAAGTCATTGAAGCCACGGCCCTAGCATTTGATATTGCCACGCTGCCGAAGGGTGACGGGACCAACATTGGCTCCGACGGCATCACCTTGTCCGGGGGCCAGAAGCAGCGCGTCTCGCTGGCGCGCGCTCTGTACCTGCACTCGGACCTGCTGGTGCTCGACGACATCTTTAGCGGTCTCGACGCCGACACCGAGGACCAAGTCTTTCGCCGCGTCTTTGGGCCCGAGGGGTTGCTGAGGCGGCGCGGCACGACCGTGGTATTGTGCACCCACAGCGTCCGACACTTGCCGGCGGCCGACTACATTATTGCCCTGGGACAGGGCACCATTGCCGAGCAGGGGACACTTGACGAGCTCATGGCTGGACCGGAGGAGGGCTATGTCCAGCGTCTGGGGCTGAGGAGCCCGTCCGACAGCGACGTTACCTCCGACGCGTCGACGCCAAAGGATAGTGGTGGTGCGCAGGAGCCCGCGTCACTGGTGCTCGCTGCCACGACGAGCCATGCCTCCTTGGCGGCTCCCAATGTGGACGAGTCTCGTAAAGTCGGGGACAAGACGGTCTATAAGCATTATATTAAGAGTATGGGCTGGTTTTTGGCAGCTTGGAGTTTATTCTTTGCAGCGCTGTGGGGATTCTTTACCAATTTTTCCACCGTTTGTGAGTTTATCCTTGTCCCTCTCGTTCAGGTCTGATATAGTCGACATATTCCACAAACGTGACTTGAGAGAAATAGCAAAGACTGACCGCGTCGATGTGTTCCCACAGGGCTAACCTACTGGACCGACGATGCCAATTCTGCCCACCCGAAACACGGCTATGCCTACTACGCCGGGATATACGCCTTGCTTCAAATCAGCGGCATGATATCGCTGTTACTTCTTGGTGTGGCCTTGTTCATTGTTTCGGTGAAAAGGGCAGGCGCCAATCTTCACCAAGATGCTCTCAAGACATTGATGCGAGCACCTCTGCGATTCTTCACCAAGACGGATACTGGCGTCGTGACCAACTTGTTTTCGCAAGATCTGAACCTTATTGATACCGAGCTGCCAGATGCCGTCTTGAATACCCTGTTTTGTGTAAGTTTGTCGTCGTCGTCCACGACTAATGATTTCAATTGAGCTAAATGAGAACTTGCAGGTCTCTCAAGCCATTGGCCAGGCAGCCGTCATGCTGACTTCCTCTCCATACTTGGCTATCAGTTATCCGTTCCTCGGTGCTCTGTTGTATATTGTACAGTGGTTCTACTTGAGAACTTCTCGACAGCTGCGGTTGCTCGACCTCGAGGCCAAGAGTCCCCTGTAGTAAGTCTACCCATGGTACAATCTGGTAGTTCGTCGTGATTTGTGCTGACACGGGATGAAAAGCACTCATTTCCTCGATACACTAAAAGGCATCACAACCTTGCGAGCTTTTGGTGAGTATCCAGCATCATTGATGGACTGCAAAAGCGTTCTGTGAAACGCATACCGCTCTCGGAAGCCTCACAAGCAGCTGCTAACACCATGTTCAGGATTCATCCCCAATGAAATTTCGAAAAACTCGCACCTGATCGATTCTAGCCAAAGACCAGCCTACCTGTTGCTCATGATCCAGTCGTGGCTGAATCTCGTCCTGGACCTCGTAGTCATGGTCATGGCGGCCGTGCTGACGACGCTCGCGGTCCGCCTGCACTCCAACGCCGGGTTTGCTGGCGCCTCTCTCGTCACCCTCATGAGTTTCGGCGACAACCTGTCGGGTATTGTCACGTACTGGACCAAGCTCGAGACGTCCATTGGAGCCATTGCCCGGCTCAAGACGTTTAACGAGACGGTCGCGCCAGAGGACCAGGAACAGGAGACCATTGTGCCGCCTGAGCAGTGGCCCCAGAATGGTGCGATAGAGCTCAAGGGTGTCTCGGCGAGTTATGAGTAAGAATGAGATCCCTCCAGAATATCATATCCCTCATGAAAAGACTGATCAGTGCTAATGAACAAGCAGTAGCGACAATGATACAAATGGCGCACCACCCAATCTGGCACTGCGCGACATCCACTTGTCTATCAAGCAAGGCGAAAAAGTCGCCATCTGTGGACGCACCGGCAGCGGCAAATCCAGCCTGGTGGCGCTCCTCCTCAAGCTCCTGGACTCGGTGCCCGAGACGGCCGACGAGGCCATCATCATTGACCAGACGCCTCTGCGCCGCGTGGACCGCGGCGCCCTGCGCCAGCGCCTCATTGCCGTACCCCAGGAGGCCGTGTTCCTGCCCGACGGGTCCACCTTTCGGCGCAACCTCGACCCCTCGGACAGCGCCGCCTCGTCATCGGCAGAGGCGTGCCGAGATGTCCTGGTCGCCGTCGGCATGTGGGATTTTGTCCGGGATCGCGGCGGTCTCGATGCGGGTATGAGTCCCGGGACCCTCAGCGCCGGGCAGCGGCAGCTCCTCTCGCTTGGTCGGGCTTTGCTGCGGCGTCGCGTGCGAGCGGCGCAGGGACTGGGTCTAGGCTTGGGTAGCAGCGGCGGGGGATCCGAGGGTGGAGTGCTCTTGCTCGACGAGGTGAGCTCGAGTGTCGATCACCACACGGAAAAGGTGATGCAAGATATCATCCGGACCGAGTTCCAGGCTTATACGGTGGTTGCGGTCAGCCACCGGCTAGACATGATAATGGATTTTGATCGAGTTGTTGTCATGGATACCGGAGAAATTGTAGAGGTTGGAAATCCAATGGTACTTGCGGGAGAGGAGGGGACGAGATTTGGTGACCTGGTTCGGGCTGGTGGCTTGTAGATGGAAATGATATGTGTATATTTGTGGTGAGTTGTATATAATTTAGATGACGACTTTACTTGTTTGAAGTCTTCATTACTAGTAATCGTATATATCTGACACAGGTATCTCATTACAGCACGCAACAAGCATGCACTTACTTTGAGAATGCACAATTTCAAGCATCAACCCAGTGTCATGCTCATACACGGCGAGACTGCATTCGATCTGGCTCGACAAAGCGTTCAAGTCGAAAGGGATATTCGTCAAATTGTTGACCCGAGGATGGCCAGCTGACCCTCAGAAGGAAATAATTGCAGGGGGAAATCTGCTTTAGCGGCTCAAACAGTGGCGTCTCGAAGTCATCAAGTTGTGTCCCCTGCCGAGACAGCTCATCCCGCCGAGCGCGGAACCCGAGAATGTGTATCGTCACGACCAACGTGTGCAGCGACCGCATCGACGCCACCACGGCCCAGACGCACTCCCAGGGCGTGTCGCCATGGCCGATGCCGCCGTCCCAGCCGGGCCAGACGCCGCCAAAGGCATTGTGTGATTTTGTGACGAGGCCATCGCGTCGCCATTCCAGGAAGAGGGATAGCCGGACGTGCCGCACATTGTCAAGGTGGTGAGGGATCACGGTCCGTGGAAATACGCAGATGGACACAATGTTGCTAAAGTGTATAGTGCTGGTCCTATAGAGGACATCTACGGCCTCCGAGTATCTGCCAAATGCATCAGCAATAAGTTTTCTAGATCTGGCCAAACGATCATGATTCATTCCCAAGAAATATCCAAAGGGGCAAGAATTTGTGGCCCTCTCACATTAATCGACAGGCAGTCAAGAGAGCACCGACCGGACTCCTCTCGGAGAGTGGCTGGCGGTCGCGAAACAAGTCGAGTTGCTCCTGTTCCATGGTGAAATTGGTTTCCAGGGGCAATCCGATGCACTTTTCGTGGTCGCTGGTATCCGTCGAGGTTGGCTCGAGGCAGCGCAGGCCGGCGAGCTTCTTGTCGTGAATAAACATGTGCAGGTGTTTTGGCCCAAATACGTGCTCATAAATCATGAATCTTAGTTCTGGAAGCAGCATGGTGAAGAACAATGACGACGTCTGGAGTAGTGGACCTGTTTCCGAGACTGATGAATGGGCCATTGTGTTAGGTGTATGTGAGGATACTGTCCCTTCCATGACCTCGTGGTGGTTGGAGACTGTTTGCCGTACTGTGTCTGAGAAGCAATAATGCGTCTATGTTGTATTCGCATAAATCAAACAGATACTGCCCACCTTGTAAAATATGCGAAGAAAGAATTTGTCAATTTAGTGATTAGGGAAAACAATAGTTCTTTACCACAAGGACTTTGTCAGCTTGAAGTTTAGCTCTCTGTCCTAGGTCCTAATCTTCAAAAAGTCCTACACAGCCTCTCTTTCATACTCGAAAAGTGGCGAGTGGGGTTCTGAGTGATAGGGTAAAGCGGCTATGTTGCTTGGGCCAAAATTAGACTCGAGAACAATGTATAGGCAGTCAACTAATCGAGAATGAGGTAGAATTGGGATATTCTCATGTCCATTCTTGTAGTTATACAGAGAATAGAAACCGGTGAGTATAAATACGCAGCCTCGGCTACAGATGTTTCTAATCATCATTTTTGCCTTGCTTCTTGGTTCGGCCAACTTGCCAATGGATTACTCCTTTGTCCACGTCGGTCGGTATGCCTCCAAATATGTCTACGAGGTTTGATATTTAGGTGTGATCTCGAAATGTAATTGAATAATCGAGAAATGCATCGCATGTGATGAAGCTAGTGGTATAAAAGTTCCCAGTGGCATTATGGATGTGGATGTAACAGACGGCACGACCTTGAAATGGCAAAGCCAAACCTCAGCTGCGACTCTATGTATGCCCCCACCAAGCCCACTATCAGGGTTTCTCCACGATAAGTAATTTCTGGGCGGCAACAGTGGATGTCTTGCGACATGGTCTAATCTAAGACCACGAATCTCCAACAGCAACCAATCAAGTGGTCAGCCGAGCAACGGCAGGCACGACTGAGACACCTATCTCCCAAAAAGCGTCGCTTTAGCTCACTTGGGAGAGCGCCAGACTGAAGCCCCAAACTTCAGGACCTTGTTATCTGGAGGCACTGTGTTCGATCCACAGAAGCGACATTTCCTTTTGCATTTTTTGTTGATTTGGAGTGACCTTTTTTCCCCCCTTGTCTTTTGGTGCATGCATTTATTTCCTTTTTGCAACGTCGGGGTTTTGTTTGCTTTTTTCTTGACATATGCGGTGCAACCACTGCAATAAAAGTTGACCCAAGCTTGTGGCTCTCCCGCCGTAACCGTTTTGAGGCGCGTCTCACGCGCTGCCGCCCATTGCATTCATGCACCATTTTTGGCTGTTATTCTAATATAGACTTGCCATGCAATGCGCCTTGTTTGGACGTGTGTTATACAGCCATCCAATGGCCATTGCCTTGATCATAACTACTTGCTTGAATCATGTCAATGGGTAAAAAAGGTCGCAGTCAGCTTCGTCTTAGCGGAATAAATGCCTTTTGATCTGCCTTTTAGCTGACCATGCTTGTACATTAAACACAAGCCTTGAATCTGGCGGCTCGGCCGATTGACTTTAAAGTTGCACCCACGCCTATGCACAAATGAAGCAAGTCCTGTACTATCTATGCAATTCATGAGTATGATTACACACAAAGGAAACCAGCTAATCTATCATTTCTTACAGAGTAATAAAAACCACAAAGAGGATCCCCCCCGAATGATTTGACAGCGGGAGCCAGCGATCCCGCAAGCTGAAAAGTTTAGTTCATGGTTGGCCTCGCTAGCGGAACGGGGTATCCTTTGTCGCTGCTGGCACCAGGGACGGGTGACCACGTTCTTGTACAGGACCCCCCATTCTATGTCTGTCTCCCTTAACATGGAGAGTAGAGCCCCTGAGTCAGTCCAACTGCGGCGGTCTGTCAATTCCCCCAGAAACGACGGTTCCAATTGATCCAACCCCGGACAAGGCGAACGACAGTTTGTGCCTCTCTATCCTCCAGACTAGCGATTCATCAGCTCACCACAGAACGCTTGGCTGTACGGAAGCTTAGACACACTACCGAACCTAGCGCCCTCTCTATTGAGAGCTTGGCAACCACCAAAAAGATTCTCTCTGCAAAGCCAGTGGAAGAAGCCTGTAAAAGAGAGAAGGAATGGACCTTTGCGTCACTCAGCTGGGGCAGCGGGTCGTACAACTGGCAATTGCTCCCACAGCCACAACAACCTTCTTTTTGTTTACATAGTTTGCGAGGTGAAGTCCTCTTATTTTTTATTTTTGGGAGAGATTCTAGTTTTTTCTTCTTCTTCTCTTCTTCTTCTTGTTCTTGACACACCAGTGCAAGGAAGAGAGAACATCACCACAATCATGCGTCTCCCTCACATCTGTGCCATTGCCGGCTCGTTGGTAACCACCAGCACGGCTAGCGCCATCCCCCTAGAACAGTCTCAGCAGCAGCATGTCCTGCTCAGCCCAAGCCCAGACTCGACAGTGACGGCTCACCGGCCATTTGAGACTGGAGTCGGCCACTTCAGCGAATGGTCCCGTGAAACCAAGCGGCACTTTCTCATTGACTGGCAGGCGGGACGGGCCTCTGAATGGATCATTGTGCAGGGCAACGAGGGCGGTGACCTCGATTCCATGACAGCCGCCCTGACATGGGCGTACCATTTGCAGCATGCCACTGCCAACACTTCAGAGCCCATCAAGGCGATTGCCCTGTTGCAGACGCCCACCGATGCCTTGGACCTGCGCCCCGAGAACAAGCTGGCCCTGGACAACTCCCAGATGAGCTCGGGGCACTCGGATCTCCTCACGCTGGACGAGCTGCCCGAGGACCCCCAAACGCTGGCCGATGATATCAAGGGTATCGTCATTGTTGATCACGCAGTGCCCCTGAGAAAGTGGAGCAATGCCAAGATCATTAGCATCTTTGATCACCACCACGATAATGGCGCTGGACCTGATGCCCAGCCTCGCATCTTTGAGAAAGTGGCCAGCTGTACCACCATTGTCGCAAGACAGATGCTCGACGAGCTGGAGAAGCTGCCCGAAGAGTATCACATGCCGCACGAGCTGCTTGAGCTCATCTTGTCGGCCATTGCCATTGACTCTGGCGGTCTGTCCAGTGCTACGGATGCAGACGTCGAGACAGCCGGCAGGGTCCTGGCTCGAAGCAACTGGCGCGGCAAGAAGCTCGAAAAGAAGATGCGCAAGCTCGCCGACAAGCTTGGTGACGCCAAGAAGGATCTTGACCACCTCGGCGTCCGCGACCTCCTGCGCAGAGACTGGAAGGGCGACTTGGTCGACACGCCCTCGCCACGCACCCCTACGGTGAGCCTTGGCTTCTCGTCCATCCCATACTCGTTCGACAATCAAATCACCAAGACCGAGTTTGGCGAGCTCTTTAGCTGGTTCGCTATTGAAGCCGCCTGGACTGCGCAAATGGGTGCCGACATTAGCATTGCCTTGAACAAGTACAAGATCAAGGACAAGCACGGCAAGAAGCGCAAGATTAGAGAAATCGTCTTGTGTGTCCGCAACGATGTGCGCATTGACGAGGCACAGGCCGACGACCTGTTCCGAACAGTCTCTGAAGCCATTGAGAACGACAAGACGCTCAACGTCAAGCCGTGGCACCGCGCCGACGAGCTTGGCAGGCGGCAGATGATCTGGACGCATGAGCGTTCGGACGCGGGAAGAAAGGTTATCCGCCCCATTGTCGAGGCCGCAGTCAGAGACTGGGATATGTAAGTCTGCAGTTAATGCAGCGTCGAAAGTCCTCAATTGGCAGTGTTGGTCTTGAACCCTTTATGCCATATCCTCCCTCGTCGGGAACCATTTTGCTTGCCGCCTGGCAAGTTGCTCGCTTTGAGCTATACAAAAGTCAAGGGTCACTTGGGTGGAACCGAGTAAAATATTAATCATTTGTGCTAGGTCTTGGACAGAGAGCAAGGCAAATTCCAAAAGTACAGTGTATCATAGATTTAAAATAGACTAGGCCTTGAAGCAAAGGTCTCTGTTGGCTGAACTACCCAAGCAAACAAACAAACAAATCCATAACCATCAGATCAATTATTCCATGTAAACACAAAACTTGGTGCTCAGGTTCCACGGTTGCCATGCTGCTAACAATACCAGCAAGAGTCCCTTTTACAGTTGGAAGAACACAAAATGAGAACACCAGTGCAAAAGTCTTGTAAGCATAATCTTGCTCCATACCCACCTGTAGGGCTGCAGACGATATCGGGAGCTAAGAACTACCAAGGACAACCCTCTCGGCTCCGAGACAAATGACAACCCGAGCAATTTGACCAGGCTATAATGATTTCAATTGGTGGTTCGTATCAATCCCGACAGTCAGCGCCCCCTCTTCGCCCGTCTCTACCCCTCTCCATCATTACTCTCAGAATCTGTTTATCAACATGACAATATTTTATACATGGCGCAGGACCTAAGAGCATATGCACCTGCGTGGCTGCAAGCCATTCAGCAGCGAGCTTCCTTCTTGCGTCAGCGATGCTTTGACTACATATCCCTCTTGGGATCCTCTTTGCCAATATTGTCGACGAGACGCCCGGACACCGACCCAGATGCACACATTTTACAACAGCGGCATCCTCTGCTCCACGCGAATGCCGAGTCGAGTGAAGAGTACTTGGTCCTGTCCGACGGGCGAAAAGTTGGTGTCGCATATTATGGTGCGCAGAGTGGCCCGGTGGTCTTTTACTTGCACGGGTTTCCCGGCTCTCGACTATCTGGCACTTTTTTCGATACTCCTGGCAAGAAGTTAGGGGCCAGGATCATTGCCGTGGATAGACCTGGCATTGGAAACAGTTCTCCGCAGCCTGGCCGCACAATATTTAATCATGCGAATGATGTGCGCGAAATTGCCGAGCTTTTGGGTGTCGAGTCTTATGGCATCATTGGCGTCTCTGGCGGAGGCCCATATGCTCTAGCTTGTGCCTACCTCTTGCCCAAGGAAAACCTGAAGGCCGTCTCCATCCTTGCTGGGATGGGTCCGATTGATATTGGGACCAGAGGCATGAACTGGAGCAACTGGTTCATATTTAATGGTTTCATGTATTTCCCCTTTATAATTCGTTGGATCCAGAACAAGCTAGTAGCAACCTTGGCGACGGTTTCCAACGAAAAGATTGTCGCCCTGGTCGAGAGGCAGTTGTCGAAACCGTCAAATCGACAGTTCATGTACACTGCCACGGATATCGCCATTCTAAGAGATCCCGACTTTCTCTCCATGATGCTCAACTTTTATAGGGAGCATTACAAGCAGGGAGTCGACGGCCACATGGAGGACGGACGGGTCTTGACCACGAATCTGGGGTTTCGCCTGCAAGATATCCGCCCCAGTCTGCCGATCCAAATGTGGTACAGCAAGGACGATACCAATGTACCGTTTCGGATGGCTCGAGCAATGGCTGAGCGTCTCAGCTGTCCACCCCAGTTCCATGCTATTAGCGACGAAACACACTTGAGTCTAGTGTTGAAGTATAGTGCCGATGTCTTGGAGCATCTGCTTGAGAAATTATAAGTCCGACTCGGATTCCTCGCTAAACCATCCTCTTTTTGAGTAATTATAATATTGACATGATTCCGCGGATAATCAATTGCGTTTACTTGTAATTCAAGAGTTGATCTATCTGATATACTGAAGAGAGAGGTGCTGAAAAGCAAACTAGGTATGTACCCGAGCAGGTAATCTGCGGTCGGTCTCGAGGCCGGTCTTGACAACGTCAGTGCGCGCACAAGATGGCCAATCCTTAGACTTCTCTATAATCCCTCTTGATCAGGTCTGCTGCTTTCTCTGCGATGGCATATACCGTAGACTGCAGATTCCCCGTGGTGACGATGGGGATGATGCTGGAATCGACAATCCGAAGATTGTCAATACCATGTACCCTAAGCCGAGTGTCCACGACACCCCCTTTCTCCTTGGGAAGCATTGCACATGTACCTGCATAATGCCACATGGATACCGCATTGGAGCGAATGTAGTCCTTGGTGGCCTCCATGTTGGAAAAATCGGTAGTTGGGTCCAGGTAATGCAGAGGTTCCCTCAGAAGCTTGTTGAATGGCGATGAAGTCGCGAAACTTTGCAGGTATCTCATCTCATGTGCAAGCACTTCAATATCGACAGGGTGAGAAAAATATTTCGGATCAATCACGGGAGTTTCCGAAGCCAGCCGAGATCGTATGTGGACGCTCCCAAGAGACAGTGGATGGGGAAGATACGCAACCAGCGTTAGCCAAGTACCTGGAACGGGACTTTTCCCAGCTTGGCTGAGCACGGAGAGATAGGCCCCAGATGGCATTGTCGGATCAGTGAGGACCTTTCCAACAAAGTCGTGGAGATCTGCACCTATACCGCCATGGCCATTGTTCGATGGGACAGGCTGATTCTGGTCCAGAAGTTCTTTCAGAGCTCCGGCACTGTCCCGTGATAACTCTGTAGTGGTCGGCATGTATGCATACGTGGCCGTGCCGGGAGATGTCAGCAATCCAGTTCTATGCGTCGCATATTCCTGCATGGCCTGCCCGATTGCCTCTGGTTCCTGTCTTGCAAGAGGATCCATGGTCTCCAGTCCATCTATAGCCTGTACGCTTATTGGACATACTATATGATCCTGCAGATTCTCGCCAACCCCAGGAAGTTCCACGACCAGTGGTATGTTGTTTCTCCTTAGTATCTCGGCATTACCAACCCCGGAAAGCTCCAGTAACTTGGGGGACTGCAAAGCACCGGCGGCAAGAATGACTTCCTTGGCGGCTGTCACTGTCTCGGTCTTCCCGTTATGAGTGTACTGAGCCCCAATCGCTCTGGTGGCGGAACCTTGCGTCTCGAAAATAATCCGCTCCACCACTGCATTTGTGAGGAGCTGTAGGTTGTTGCGATCCTTGATGGGGTTGTAGTATGCCGTGGTAGCGTAGCTCCTTTCTTTTCTCGAGGGGTCCACCGTCGCAAGGCTGCTAAAGGCGCCGACGGGTTGGCCGAGCCATGGCTCTGCAGACACATAATGTCCCTTGGCCTGGAAGGTTTCGTTCCAGACCTTGTGAATTGGATGAGAAAGGTTTGTAGATAACGAGACCTGGAGTGGTCCATGGAAATCCCTCTCCCCGTCTCGTTCACCCTTGGTTCTCTGTGTAACTCCTGGCAATGTGTGAGAACGGGCATAGTAGCGTTCTAGTTCCTGCCAATTCCAACCCGGATTTCCAGCCTTCTCCCAGGCATCAATAGTGTGTTTTCCGGGGGGAACAAACGCCTGGCCATTGATGGCACTAGATCCTCCAAGAGCACGTCCTTGGTGCAAACCAATTTCCCTTCCATTGAGTGTAGGCTATTTGAAACATGAGAGAGTGAGCAAAGGACATGACCGAATTTCAATGGGGATTCACTCACCTGTGGCTCCGACTTGAAGCCCCAGTTCGCATCTGATTTCATCAGGGTAGCATAGAAAGCTGGAGTCTTGACGCGAGGGTCATCACTGAGATCTGAGCCGGCCTCCAGGACAAGCACACGATGGCCGGGATTCTCGGACAAACGTGATGCCACCACAAGTCCAGCCGTGCCCCCACCGAGGATCACAAAGTCAAAGGTGGAAGTCATTCTTTCTTGCAAATGGTTGCAACACGGAGGTATATGCAAGATATGTGGTGATAGAAGCAAGAGTTTCTAGCTTCCATGGCAACCGTACAATAGTTCTTTTATAAGAGTCAAAGCAAGAGGAGACTCGATCGTTTGGGGGAACGAGATGACAGGTTACAAAGTAAGAGGAACATACGACAAGACCGTATAGTGCCGCAATCTCACGTCACACGGGAGATTTCGCCCATGTGACATTGTCTTTTGCTTCCACATACGAAGCCACCTTAGCGCGGCAATCAGCATTCGCGTATGTACTGGCAAGGTACAAACGAGAGAAGTCAGCAGAGACTTTTTGGCCGAGAATATGGAAAGCTGAACCTAACGCCAGACATATGGATTAGCGAGGGATATTTCATCACTTTCTTTCCCATTTTTCTTTCCCAATTTTCTTTTCGTACTTTGAGGTCTTGTGCGTGCATACCAGGTATACATATATGCATTCGTGGTCCAACATGTCCATGCCTTTTGGGTCTTTTTTTTTTTTTTTTCGTTGAGACGAACGAGCTTATAGTGAGTGAATACGACAATACAATGTAATGTGTCATCGAAACAGGAGTTTTAGAGAGTGTCATGCGATTTAAAGGTGCAATGTCGTAAAAAAGAAGGGACATAAGTCCTGTCGTAGCGTGTCGTAGCGCGTGTTTGGCAAATCTCACCGACGCTCTCAGACTCTTTGTGCGTTTAATGGTGGATCATACAAGCCCCAACCCCCTCCCCTCTTGAGAGGATCAGCACAAAGTCATATATAGATAAATATTCAGAGGTAATGCGCTTATTGGAAGAAAACCGTTAAGCGTTTTGATGGCATGGAGCGTTATGGCATTACATGTAGCCACGGTTACCCAAAGTCGGAATAGCCCAAAAGCATAAGATGTGCCCGCATACCTCGTTGTCAGTGGATGAAGCAGTCTGCTGAGGGGTGTCTTCCATTGCCTAGGGCGAGAATCTTCCAGGGGAATCAGGTAGAACATCAACAAGAGGCAGACCAAAGCATTGAGGTTAGTGAATTGTGCTTCTCCTGGGAGAAAGTACGGGTGGTCTGGGAACTCGGCAAACATGCGAAACGGGACTGAGCTGGGGAAGCCGAAGATCCACAGTAGGAAGGTTTCGATACGTGCGCAGGTAAGGGCGAGCACGTCTAGCACATAAATGCTGGTCGATATAATGGATGTAAAAAGACCCCAGGTATCTTGTATGAGGGCCATCGTCTTCGAGGGTCAGAGAACCTGTACGTCAATAAGCTGAATCCTGCGGCTGGTCTGTAGGGTCAAAATGATTTTTAGACTGACTGTTGACAGGTTTGAATACGCGTTTGGTAAAGAAAGGATTGAATGCTGGATCTAACTGTCTTGTGGGTGATCGTGCGTCGAAACAACATATCGCACCTGGGTCGCTAAATGAGAAAAGAGATTTTGTGGTGTACTGGAAAAATTTATGATTTATGGCAGGGCTTTGGATTATCAAATAGCTAGCAGCCATTATCACTGCCACTTCAGCTAATGACACTACCTACATTGTAAGGTTCATGAATTAAGGCCAGGTGAGCAATCCCCTCCGGCACTCCGATACACGCATTAGGTATCAACATTGGAAGGTAATAATTCTTTCTCGGCAACCTTAAGTTACCATGCCTTACATAATTGCACACTTGATGAAAATTTTTCACTCTGGGATGGAGTAAAAGAACCTAGAAGCTGCCCTTCGACGTGTCTTTGGGGCCGGCAGGGGAGAGCCAGTATTGGGGCGTGAGCAACCGGGAGACAGATCTCTGCGACAAGTGCCTACGACAGCTCACCACCATTCATGCCGAATGACAACTTACATCGGAGTGAGCAAGAACTCTTGTTTTCTATGCCACAAGTTCTTGCAGCACCACACAATGAATTTGGTGGTGTCAGCATGCCATCAGAAGTTGTACCCCAGCTGGTATGCCCCCCGCGGATGTACAGACAGGAAGGTTTATAAGTAACACAAAGAATTTGTTAAGGAGTCGGTAATAGTCATGGAGTCAGTTATCAAAGATGATATCGAGTAAAGGTTGAGGAAAAGAAAAGGGATAACTATTCCTTAGCCAAGGGCAGCGCCTGTAACCGAAACAAAAAAGAAAAGAAAATTCAGTCAGCCGTTCTCCTATTTTAAAAGTTATGGCTAATTCCTGTGCAGGTCCACTAAGAATAAGCGACTCGGAAGTATGTAACTCAACCAAGCTTTATCTCGCTCCAGCTCGCATCATGGAACGCCGCCTGGAACACTTTGCCTATAGCGATGCGCTCCCACAGCGCACGCTCGTGGTTCCTTTCCAGCATCATCACGTAGAACGAATCCCACTCGCTCTCCTCCCTTCCTTTCGGTATGTAGTAGTTCCACACGGGGCATTCTTCCTCGGTCATCGTTTTAGCATCGGAGAGGGCAATGAAAATGTGAGGGCTGACATCGCGGCCGCCCTTGAGCTTCGTAGGCAACAGGATAGAACCACACCAGTCACCTGTTTTGTCGACGATGCTGTGTCGGCATTGGTCTCTGGGCGCCGCGGAAGATATATTGTCTTCCTGGCGCCCAACGACCAGTAGCTCTGTCTGCCAGGTCCAGAATTGGAGGATAGGCATGGCGCGGATTTCGTCCTTGGAATCTATGGGGAATGGTCCCCGGATGATGCTGAAAGGATTGTCCGGTAGTATACCGTCAAATTTGTCAGCGTTGAGGTCCTTCACTGTGGATCTTATAGGACGGCCAAAGTTGTCTTGCCTCCTTTGATCGCTCCTCCAATTTTGGCTCGAGCTACCTTGCGATGAAACTTGATCATCGGATGAATGCGAGTCTACAATCATGTATTCAATTCCATTTCCGGAACCTTCATCAAACGATTCGTCATGATCATCGCCATGGTGATCACGACTGATTCTGCGAGGGCGTTCCGGTGCAGAGGCCGGAGTGAGTGTGCTTCTGCGGCGATAAGGGGTGGTTGCGTGGGAGGAATTTGGAGGATCTTCTATTGGTCGGACACTTGCTCGTGCGGCTTTCCTTTTCTGGTTCGCCTCTGCATCCTCTTCAGGATAATATCCTGGCGTAAGACGGTCCAGATACGCCGCGTTTGATTGTCGCGTCCAACTTCTGTTCGGCTTGGCCTTGGACCGATGCCCGTGCGGTGGGATGCGTGAATCAAAGTCGACATCAGCTCTAGATTGAGAGTCTCTCCCTGCGTAACCCTTCCAGTGTTCTTCGGTGCTCCGATCCTCTGAGAGGATATCCTTGTCCCAAAGAGGCCGTAGGTTACCTTCATAATCCCGGACGTACCAACAAATCCAGGTGTGGTCTCTCAACCACTCTTGGACATTAGAGACACAACCCTCAATCATGTTCGAAGGGTACTCGCATTTGCCCCCAATCCATCCACTCCATGACCAGCTTGGAAACTCTTTGCCTCCATAGCCATCCTCTTCCATCTTGCAGCTACAATTGCCCATATCATCCTGAGTGCATGATGCTCCGCTAGACTTGCGTAATACAGTCTGTCTCCTCCTATCTAATTGCTTTGACCCCATCCATAGTAGAGCAAGGTCGAAGTGTGAAGAGGGCAATCCATAGAACAGAGGCGCGTTCATCTGATGTTGGAGAAGCCACGATGTTCCTTGAAACGCTGTCAGAATGTCCCCAGGCTTTGTGAGGTTTCGTCCCGTGTACAATGGCACGCACTTCATGTAGAACCAAAAAGCCCGACGCGGCAGCTCACCCAGAGTGCGCAGAGGTGCGTTAGTCCAGTCTAGAGACCAGCCACTGACGCCCCCATCGGTGAATATGTGTTGCGATATAACGGTTGAACGGCATTGAAAGTACACTTGGCCTTCAGCAAAGATGAGGCAGCGGCGTGAGAGAAGCCGTTCTTGGAATGTCCAACCTCGTTTGTTCCACATTGAGTCCTCTATGGAGGCCTCGGGTGGCCTGGACACCAAGAGTCGGACGTTCGGTAAGCATTCAGCCGTCAGGGGTGGAAGTTCTGAAGCATCTGCCGCTCGAAGTGCTCCTCGAACCTCTTCTGTTGTCATTCCATAACTCGATGGGAGATTTGAATGCGAGCTAGGGACCGGAGAAGATGCTCGCTGCCGCGGATGTACGGATTGGGTGGTCGTCGCGATAGAAGAAGGAGAAGAGCTTGGGGGCCCACGTTTGTGATGGCTGGCGAGTGGACTCGAGCGCAGTGTCGAACTGCTTGCTCGCAAGCCTGCATCCGCGTCTCCGTCAGCTGCGCAAATAGTAAAGTGCGCATTTCCATATACCAGGTGCATCGCCTTTGCGTTCAGTTCCCATGAACTGACACTGTCTTGCACAATGCAGAGAGAGTCAATCCATACATAGCGTTCGCCTAGCCGAGCCACTAGAAGTATTGTTTCTTGTATTGTGCGCGGAAGTCGCTCCCATGCATTCTCTAGACCTCCATGTTGGATACGAGTCATGACGTTCGCTCTCGTTGTTGTATATGGTTTGTCCCTCAGATGGCTCTTCCCCCAGACATAGCTCAGCGCAACATATCGCTCAGGCTTTCCGTTGACGACGGGTAGTGGTTTCAGCTGCATATCAATCACGTCAATGACACCGAAAAAGGTGCTTTTGATTAGCTTTTTGAAATCAGGCTTCATTGCATGCGTATTCTTGCACGTGGGGCCGTGCTTCTCGACGCAGAGGTCAATCCAGCTCTTCATCAGCGCTTGTTTCTCCTTCTTATCCACAAGGCCACGGCCAAGGAAGTGCGAGTCTTTGGCCGAGGCAGCATAAGCGTCCGAATTGATTCTACGAGAGCCCTTTGGAGCTACTAGCACCATGTACACGTTTTCTTCCTTGCCGCTAGTCTCGTGCCAGGAAAGTCGGATTCGTCTCGTGCGGTTAATGATAGTGTTTCCCTTGCCTGTTTGACGGCCGTCTATTTCCCAGGTTAGAACCAACCTGGTATCCGCGCTTACTCTGATACCGCTATAACGCTGAACAGCTCGGTAGGCAAGATCACAGAATCGACAGGTGCCGCTTCGATCTTTCATCTGATCCAGCCGTGCAGATATTCTATTGGGATCGCCAGAGTTCAGCTGAACGCCCCGGATGTTAACACCCCGGCTTGGCACAGGCTGGCTCGCATCGTCACCTGTCGAAGTAGTCTGAGGGAATTCAGAATTGCGGATGATGAACCTGTGAATACTGAGGTTGAGCTGCTGACATGTTGTGCAAATCTATTCACAGCCGTTAGTCAGCTGGCCTCCCACCAAAATAGTGCATGATCCTGGACAATGACCCACCTGAGCGTCGCCGCTTTCCTCCGCAATTACTGTAATGCTGCCACTTTCGGAATCAGGCATCTTTCTGATGGAACAGAGACAATAGGAGCAGCTTTGTTGCCAGAATTCAAATGCGGTACCGACTAACGCAATGGTGCTTTTGTCGAAAAACGATGGTCCTCATTCTCAACGAGAATTCAGAGGCGGGGAAGCTGGCGGCGATCAATTGCGTCGAGACTGTGTCCACTATGTATGCATTCATTGGATGATGAGGCTTGGGCTGCATGGCTGTGGCGTGTGCGTGGTCACGCTCTTATGTGTATGGAAAATTCATAAGTTATGTTGTATAAAAAGCCAGCATTATCTATGACCCTGACCCACCAAATCCTTCAATAATAACCGACGCCGAGCACCGAGTAAATTCCATTCCAACCTGTCGCATTCTATAGAGCCTTTCCTTACTATACAAAGTTCACACGAGCCGGCATACCCTGCGACGGCTTGGCAGTGACATCTAGAGTCTGGTACATGTATGTGCCATTTTCGTAGGCCGGTACAAACTCGAAGCGTCGCAAAGTCATCACAAGAGTAATCTTGAGCTGCATGAGAGCCAACGTCTGCCCCAAACAGTTCCTCGGCCCCTTCTCAAAGGCCCTGAAGGCCTCGGTGGATACAAAGTACGGGTCTTCTGGGTCTGTGACGAGAAAGCGCTCCGGATAGAAGCGCTCGGCATCCTTGAATATATCTTCACGCCGCATGGTGGCACAGTTGTTGACGAGCACGGCGAAGGGTGCCGTGGGCCATTCCTTGCCGTCCTGTTCCAGTGTTTGGCCTTCGAGTCCGTGTCGCAGGCTGACTCCCGTCGGCGGCCACAGGCGCAACGCCTCCTTGATCACAGCGAGGGTATACGGGAGCTCGTGGACCAGCTGGGGCTGAGAGCGAAGCATGTCTGCTGCATTCTGAGGATCTTTCCCGAACAAGGCTTCATGCTCCTCACGGAGCTTCTGGACGACATTGGGATTCTTGCTCAATGCGGCATAGGTATACTTTACAAACAACGTTAGCTACTTCAACTCGAATCATGATGGGGAATTTGGCTTACGCAGAGAGTGCTTGCCGACGTATCGTGCCCAGCGAAAATCAGAGTCTTGATCGACTGAATGAACATTTCGCGCGTTTCCGTGTCAACGTTGGCCTTGGAGTCGATATTCTTGCGGTTGGCCTGGATGGCGTAATCAATAGCGTAGTAGTTGGTGTCCTTTTCCAACTTGCTCTCTTCGTCTTCTGTTATGACGACTGGTCCATTGACGACTCTCTGATCCACTAGGCGGCCGATGTAGCGGTCGATGGCACGACGATTCACCCACTTGAGATAGTTTCGTCGTGGATTGATATCCCACAAGTAACGGGACCAAAAGTCGGATGGCGCAAGAGCTGCGAGCTTGCGGAACAGTGTCAAGAACTCGTCGTCATCTCTCTGAGCGTTGCAATCAATGCCCCTGAACAAAATCATTAGCAAATTAACGCTTTTATGCAGCCAAAGAGGGAAAAAGCAACTTACAGAATGACCTTGGCAGCAACATTGAAAATCATTCGTGCGCACAGGTCCTCCATCGTGACCTTGTGCTGCTCCTTTGCGTGATGTTCCATGACGTCGCAGAAGTCAACAGCACTGTCTACAATACTGGGCACGTGCTGTAACAACTTTCGAGGCTGGAAGCCCGGCACAAAGGATTTCCTGGCAACCAGCCAGTCGTGTCCGTTGGCAGAGACCATGGACTTTTTGCCGAGGATATGGCCGGTCCACTTTTGCATGATGGGGGATTCCTTGGGCAGGTTCAGCTTTTGCGTGACCTGCGAAGCCAGATCGGGGTGGGCGACCACGAGCTGTGGCGGGGCGAGCGGCCACAGGTCGAGGTAGAAGAAGTCGCCGAGGCCATATTGTTTACGCATCATGTTCGCGAACAGTTGCGGAGTCGCGTCGGGAGGCAGTTGGCCGGCGATGTCGCGCATGATCAAAAAGTGCCCCCAGATAGCGTGATGCGGTGGCCCGGGGAGATCTTTGAACAGCCTTCTCTGCTGGTACAGTCTCAGTAGACCGTAGCCCAGAAGAGCTAGAATCACGACGACTGGAAGAATCATGATGACGTTGGGTGCTCAGTGACCAAGAAGGGTTGTGGTCGACAGTCGAGTGGATGTCAAACTGAGTTGGAGCAGAGAAAAGTACTAATGGGTAGAATTCGTATTCGAGCATGCTTCAGATGAAGGAACTTGGGAAGAATGTCTTGTTGTTTTTTCTCATGTTAAATCGGCGCAATGTGCAATATTTAATATCAAGGCATTCCATGGCCCACGAATACCAAACCTGTGTTGCATGACAATGAATCGCTTGCAAGCGACATAACGTGAGGCTGTGGTGGCTAATTCCTGGAGAATCTCAAACTGTCATTGCAATGCAATCCTGGTATTACTCTATTCTTGGTAGCTGGTCTTGCATTGCCACTGATACGTGATGCTATTTTCTGCAGAACTGTCTGGGGTACAGGTGAGGATTCCGCCCTACATCGTGCCTGTCAATCTTGTCATACAGAATTCGACCAATGCAACGAGCCTCATTTTTCATTGCTATCTCTGCTCATCACTGCCGTGTTCTATGGAACTTCCATAAGCAGAAGCTGATGATCCTACGATTGATTATATTATCAATGAGGCGGCCAAGAACCTGTCGATCGGAGGATTTATCCACGTTGCGGCAGGGGTTCGAGGGCGTTTTAGGGGTCCTTCAAGCTTTCGGCCAAGCTTTCGCCCAGCTTTCGCCCAGTGATCTGATGAGTTAGGCGAGACTATGATCCTTCTGAGCGGGTACATGTAGCTACGAAATGGCCAAGTACCTGTAATACTTGACAGGGGTCGCCTTGGCGATCGGCGCGGGGCAGGGATTAATCAATTACGGCGCAGCTGGCCCATGTCATCTTCGCCTCGACGACAGTCCACAAAATTAACATGGTGGGAACTTCTTCTCCATCTTCGGCTGGTCCAGTGGGTATGGTGGCGTTGCTAGACTCTGCGGCACAGTTCGGTAGCAACTAAAAATATGTTCACCCACATCGGTCGTTCCTCAAATCCTTGGGAGTCGTCTAGCCCAAAGCAATGACCATTCCGGCACTTTGGTTCCGCTCATTGACAGTATTGCAACTAAGCCGAATCTGAGCATTGAGGCTTATTGTCGTCATTACCTCAGCCGAAGGAGCTTCGGCCCGGAACTTTCATCAGTGAAACACCATTGTGACGAGGCGAGCGTATACTCAACGCCACTCTTCGACTCCTAGGGGCTATTGGCAAATCATGACCTTGTAGGTAACTTTTATTCTACTGTGCACCAGAATAGAAAATGGTCACGCCTCACTGATGGTGTTTCGCTGGACAAAAGTGCAGATCACGAGCTGTGGATCGTGGCACTATTCCGCCAGGATTTTCGAGCCAGTTTGAGTATATTCCAATCGCTCATTGTCACAGCATCACCGGTGAGCCCGAATAAGCACTTGCTTTTGGCCGTGAGGCTGCTGGCGGTAGGTATCCTCTCACTCCAAAAATATTGTGAATCAAAATGCCATGTTTCCAGTATTTCTCGCTTGATTTCAGTCAACTCCCCTGCTGCAGTTTTACCCATCGTCAACATTTTATCCATCGTCTTCATCATCATCATCACCAAAGTCATGTTTACTCTCAAAGATACCATCTACCTCATTGAGCTGGCATTCTATGGGCCCATCATACCTGCCATCATCTTTGTCATTCTCCTCCATGGCGGCAAGAAACCATACACATGGCGCCCGGTCATCATTCCCCTCATGTTGATGTCGGGCCTGAGAATCGCCGGTGCTGCTGTTGGGCTCAGGTCACTGAGTCCAGACAAGGCCAGCTTGGCCAGCACTGCGACAATACTCGACACCATCGGGCTTGCGCCAGTCATTTGCTTGATTATCGGTCTTCTCATCAGAGCGTAAGTACCTTCCATGAAGCAGCAATTGAGTATGTCGCAGTATATTGACGAGAGAGCAGTAATGCACCATTGTATCGAGGGCTTCCGTTGTGGGCATTCATCCCGCTCCAGATGCTGGCAGTAGCAAGTACCGTCATGACAGCATACGGGGGCAGGGACCTGTACACGGCTGGGAAGAATGCGCAGCGAGACTTGACACTGATGCGAGTGGGCATCTTTCTGTTCATTACAACCTTTGCCGTCGCAGTGGTGCTGGCCGTCATTACTGTGCTCAAAGCCAGTGGAAAGGGCTACAGAACCGAGTGGGCCGTCGCCGTGTGCGCGCTGCTGTCCGTTCCCTTCATGGCCGTCCGTCTCACTTTCTCGACGGCGTCGCTGTTTACTGGCCAAGACTCTGTCCTCAACCCCATGACTGATAATGATACGGGGGTTTGGCTGCATTTATTCATGGTTGTCATCATGGAATACATCATCAGCTTTTCGGCAACCGCTGTGGGTCTGACTTCGAGGAGAGTCGTCTCTATTGCTATTGAGAAAGATGACTTGCTAAGTGAAGAAGAACATTGATTGTTTTTATGATTTTTGTCCTTGGAAATACATAGTTTGATAGATTGGGAGAATGGAAAGGTTGATTTTTTTAAGCAGTTAAATTGAAACCCATATAAATTATAGACAATATTATGATCAATCAACTAATTAAATTGTGATTTTACGATTTTACGTAAAGCGAACGAATACTCCGCAAAACCAGGGCAATACACTGTCCTAAGCATAATTGCTGCAAATTTCCGTGTGCAATAGTTTTAGATGTCCAAATCATACTGTTGGCGGTTAATCAAAGAAATCTTTGTAGCAATAGTTATTCGTGAGTCAACCTATTGGAGAGTTAATAAATGGTGCTTTGTTTTATTATACCTTAATTTACTTTGTATTCTTTTTTGAAAACGTATCGAGTTGGTGTGTGTCAGGTGCTAGGCACTTGCACTAAGTACTAGTACTAAACCCCTTGTAGCCACTACGGCATGCTGCATTTGGCCGATGCAAGTTAGGGGATTAAACCTTAAAATTATTATTCTTATGTCTTCGTAGCTAGCAATACCATATTCGCTCACTTTAATTTTAACTTTCCGTTATCTCCGGAGGTCACTAATGTAAACCAACAAGCCTCTGGCCTTATAGCATGAGATGCCGTGCTGAATAGCGGGGAGAAGGAAGAAACAACAACAGACAGGCTAAATAGGATGTAAAAGAGATCACAATAAGTGAATAAGTAGGTTACAATTTGAATTCATGTAAAGATTCTGAAATACACAAAATAAATGATAACGAAAATTCCCTCTAAAAATGTCGCACCGGTTTGGTCGCGACACACAAATATGCGCCTCCCTAGCCTCTAGCAAACGCCGAATAACGCCATTGAGTACTGCATAAAACATGCCCGTATCACACAGCAAGTAGAGTATATACAACTTGATAGTCCCTCCAACTCATTTCAGTTTCAATAGCCGGACACCGAAAAGCATCACCGCTATGACAAGCACCCACAGAGCAAAGCCAAGAACCATGGCTACTCGCTTATAGTATTTCAGATACCCAGATTCATTGCCATGCGGGAACGCGTTTGGTCGTTGCCGGCCCAGAAAGTCGCACAGCGGCTCCCAGCCGTCCTGGCACTTGAACTCTAGGAGTCTCTCCTTGGGCACAATGCTCTTGACCCAGGCATTATGGGCGTGGTACATCTCCACCGATGGCTCGGGGGCAGGGAGGTCGAAGCGCTCGGCTGCCAACTGCACCCAGCCGCGGTACAGGTCATTGGCAGACACAATGCCCGGCACCCAGTACCCGAGCATGCGAAAGAGGCTTGAGCGCAAGTCGATACCGAAGCCGTGCCAGGACCGGAGCCAGACCTCGGCCGAGGTGCGCTCGGTCAGGACTACCTTGGCATCGGGATACATCTCCAAGAGGTCGGGGAGACAAGCGCTGCCTGGGACCTCGAGGGTCGCCTCGTGGCCTTCCAACAGAACCGCCAGCCTCTCGCGCCGCAGTTTAGTGTCCTTGGTGTGGACAATTTCGGCACTGCGCTTCAGGTTCTCAAACTGGCAGAGCGGTTCGGCCAGATGGAAGCAGTTTTTGTAACCCAGTTCTTGTAGAGCTGTTTTCATGCTGATGGTGCCAGTCCGTGGAAGACCCGCCTTGGTTCCAGATTAGTCAAAAGCCAAACATATGCTGATGCGGGTTATGAACTTACGATAATGACCTTGATTGTTTTCTTTGGCTCATGATGTTTTGGTGATGGTGTAAATAGTTCTTGGAAAAAAGACAAAGATTTGCGCAATTTCAGGTTGGCTATGCCATTCGAGGCCAAGATACTGAGGACAACCTCGAAGATGACTGCAAGTATTTGCAAAATCAACTCATATCTATTGGGGGGAATAGAGGGCCTGCTGAGCTTCGGCGCGCCGAGTGGCACCCTTGTGCTTCGGATTGATGTTGTGTGATTCATTGTCGGAAAGCTAGAGAATGGCTATTGGGATTTAGATGAATGCGATATTATTGGAAGACTTCTTTGACTTTTGTAACACAGCATCATCGATTTATGGAGCGAAGATCAGCCTTTTAGCTTTCCAGTTCCATCTCGCCAAGCCTCAAAACACCATCAAAGTCAGTATAATGGCTTGCCACAAGTCTGCCAGTCAACCCTCGTATGACCTATTCGAGTCCATGTTTCATGGATCCACGCGCAAAGACTGAGGATAACTCAAGCATACCTCTTGCCTTCGCCATAATTTTCAGTTCTGACATCAGATGTTGAGCCTCGGCAACTCCACGCTCAATTATTTTCACCACTGATCAGCAAGAGATCCAAAAAATAAGGATTAGCCTCTTCCCACGAACTATTTTTGTGCTTCTTGACATGGTTAGCAGTGGTGTACAAAGAGAATAAAGATGAAAATAAGTGGTCATCTTGCAAGTCATTGGATGAACTTGTAGATGTAGATCACTTGCAAAGGATGATGGCGAGTTGAAGGAAGGCAAATGGGCCGGAGGCTTTACGTCTCGAGAGCATCTTGAGGCTGACCCAAGGTCTCGTGAAACGCCACTATGCCATTGTCAGTATATGATTAGAGTCGAACTGTGCTAAACCTGGTGCTCAGATTGGTTTGATAGTGCAAACAAGCTTTTGGGATGGATGACAGTGACAGCCTCAGGAACGGGGTCTTGGACCCTGAGTATACAAAGGTCCGCACAGCAGCCGCCACAGCCTTGTGGGCAGGAGGACCCCTAGAGCTGAAAATAGCACGAAAATGAGGCGGTATGCAGGATTCGTCGGGCGAGGTCATCGACAATGTATGATCCTGAATGAACAAAGAAATTACTAAGAATATCAAGTCGTCAAGATGGATCCACGTTTTTACATGGAATCGCATCCTTGAGACGCGCTGGAGAAGAAATAAGCTTCCTTGGAAATCTCTAGGCGGACGGGAGCCGCAAATGCGGGTCAAATCCAACTTGGGCTAGCTCCGAATCCTACAGGCTCAATACGCTGAATACGCTGAGGGACTTCGCCGAGACTTTTGACTGCTGTGCCTCGCGAGCCTCATTTTGCAGAATTCGGAACAGGGGTCAGATCATTGCCGAATCCGCATGGTACGTCAGAATCAAATGACGATCAAGGATGAAGGAAATGTACCTAGCGGGCGCCTCTTTCGCAACCGAGGGAGATGTCGCTCGGGCCGTGCACTACGATCTTTGCCAAGCCGGGAACACTGAATGGATATACGACATGGGTAAGAAAGTGTGTCAGCAAACGACTTTACGTAATTGCTTGGACTTGCACATAAGATATGACAGGCTGTGCTCAGGAGTCGCGAATAGATTGGCTTCCCAAATAAAGACACTTGATGCGCCACGGCGTGACCGTGTTGTGTGGCACCCTTCGGGAGACACAACCGGAAGAGTTACTAGGTCTATTTGCTCACACATTATTTTCGTAGATGTAGACTATCTTTAATTTTACTCTTTATTTTGGATACAGGTCGTATCAACACTGGAATGGATGAACATGAAAATGTGAAGATGGAATTTTTAGCCGCCTGACCATAACATGGAGTCGGACAATTGATACACAAAGTGACTGCACTCAAAAATAGGGTCTAAAAGTGTCATATTGAATTGACTCACTTTCGTATTTCGAGGTATCATATTGGAAACTCTTGCTGTACCCATTGTTTTTGTCTCATTTCGAATGTGCCTGAGTTCATATGATTAAACCGCAAGCCAACGCATTACTTGAAGAAAGAGACTTTTACTGTTGGAATAATGGGATTTGCGGTCTCGTACGAGGACGCTATCTAGATAGATAGTACAGACTGGTTGGCTAGTCACCACAGCCATAGTGTGCCTGAGGGTTACTAGCATCCGAACGCCGGAAGGCGTTCTCTACAGGCCATCGTACGAAGGGAAGTATTCCCTTAAGACGGTACGTTGAATGTAGATCTATTTGCCGTCACCTTTTGTACGAAGTAAAATCCATCTGGATGGTGAAGCTATTCTACACTTACAACAACTTTGGTTGTTAGTTAGTTTATTGAGACCTATTGACATTAATCACGAGCTTGCAGGCGCCAATTTTAGAGATGATTTTATGTAAAAGTCATAAATTTCAAACAATCTATACTCCAAGCTATTTTACAAAAGACACAAACTCCGAATGCCCTCAACTCTGTTTCTAATGACCGCCAATCTTTCAATGCTGTAGAGGAGTGAACTCAATGCTCATATCGGGCAGTGCAGCTTCCTAGTCCGAGTTCACAGTGCACCTTGTGAATGAAGATCCACTACCCTCAATCATGACACCAACAAAGTTGTTGTTGTAGTCGGCAACAACGCGGTAAACACCAGGCTCGCCAGTGGTCCAAGTACCACCCTGAATGATGGGGTACTCGCGAAGATCCTTGGTAACACCGGTAAAAACGTCGCTGCCACCCGACTTGTTGCCGAACTGGTGGGGGTAACCGCCGGCGCCGTAGTCCGCCAGTTCCTTGATCTTCTTGAAGGCGTTGCCAACGTCATCCTTGGACAGAGTCGTACCGTTGCAGTCGGCGCTGCCGACCTTCTTCTTCTTGGCGCGGGCGGCGAGATCGTTGAGAGCAGAAGAAGTACCAGCGGCCACGGCTGCTCGCTTGGCGGTGGAATCCGAGCTAGAGTCGTCGCCGCCGACTTGGTGCTTCTTGTGCTCCTTGTCCTTCTTGTCCTTGTCTTCCTTGTCCTTGTCGCCGCGCTTCATCTTCTTGGTGACTTTGGTGCAGGCAGTATACTGTCCTGCAACTGTGGCACCAGTGTGCTGCACGACGCCGCGGAAGTCACCCCTGTTGTCCTTGTAGTCGGTGATGACGCGGTAGGGGCCGGGAGTGCCCGTGGTGTAGACGCCGCCCTCGACAATAGGGAACTCTCTCAGGTCGGTGCCAGCAGGGACGTTGGTGAGGACCGCATTGTCCCCATCCTTGTTTCCAAAAAAGGCTGGATACTTTCCAACGGTGCCATCATTGTGTTGGCGACATTCCCCGAAAGCCTTGCGAATGTCTGATTCCGCAATTGTGTGTCCATCGGGGCAGAGAAAGTCGCCAAGCTTTGCTCTTGCTACGATCTCATTCATGCCGTCGTCTCGACTAGGGACCGGCGAGGCGGTGGAGATGGCCATGAGGCCATACAAGGCAAGAGACCTCATGTTGAACAGCATATTTGTTGCGGTCGTAGGGTATGAGTGATAAGAGAATATGAAATAGTAAGTTGGTTTTTATCAAGTAGTTGAGAGTAGGATGGTTGATGATTTGTATGGTGGTCAAGTAGTCAAGAGTAAGATGGTTGTTGGTTTGTGTGGTGGTTGCTTTGATGTCTTGTGATTGTGATTGATGATGGAGAATGAGAATGTGGAATATGTCGACGGAAACTCGCCAATATATACACATTTCTTCATAGCAATAATCTATTTCGAGTCTTCAAACATGCAAGTGAACAATATGGTAGGATTGATTCATTGTCATGGATGAGCATCTTGATGCAAATCCCTTCTAGCTACGATGCATCCTTCTGTTTGGTATATCCACACATGTTGAGACTCAGCCAAGATCTCCAAATAGTTCTTCAAAGGATTTCTCTATTACAAAGATACCCGGCCCGGGATCTACATGAAATTTAGTTAAAACGGGCAATATTATTTTTAGGTGTCTTAGTTGATGTGCTTTTTGCATTTCTACTCTGGGAAATAACACAGTGGGTTCAGAAAGTGTCAAAGTGGTTGACTCCCCTTGTGATTGGAGTATTTTGCCCATTCATTATCTAATATGTATGACATTACACACAGCCCTACGCCTGACTACCTTGCACGGAAGTCGGTGACCACGCAAAGGTGCAGGGCAGTCTGTGCACTGGCAGGAATCGCATCCCGGGCACTAAAAACCGGGGGGATGCAGGGGGTAATAGACACTTACTGGGGCGGTACTTGTGTTCCTTGACAGGTACTTGGCACCATGGTACCTGCTATTGTATGTATGATCCAGTCCACCAAGGATGCATATCAAGTAAGCATAGGGGCAGTTGATCGCTATATTTCCACCTCCCGGCCGCCAAAGGATCTTTTAGCGGGGAAATAAGCAATCCAAGCCTCTTGGCGATGCTGAGCGGCACAGCATTTCATTTTGCCGACCATGGAATAGTATTGCGATAGACGTCATTGTCCATGACCCTGCCTGCATAGGCGATGGATAGGGCCTTGACTAGCCCAGCCCCCAACGTTCCTGCCTTGCTCCTCTTGGCGTCATCGCCCTAAAAATAAGCGTGCGAGCCCTAAAGGTTAACATTATATGATTCTGCCAGTCACCCGCTAAGAGTAGCTTCTTTCAACCTAAATTATCTTTATCTGCCATCAGACGATTGAAGATATATATCGTATCAATCATCTTCAAGCTTACATTATTTTTTATTCTATCCCAGAAACTCATATTTGCATTCTCACCGAACATAGTATTTGCTTTTCCATACCGAGAGCACAATCACATTTCCCCCCACCATGTCAAGAGGACCCCCAAACGCTGAGCAGCGCTGGATCAATACACAGCGTTGGGTCAGTGAATTTTCAACCACGGAAGAATTTAAACTTCTCCACGACCTTGTCACCAAAGATGAAGCCACAGCCCGCGATGCAGTCCAGCAAGTCGACAAGATGGCTATCGCAGCCACTGCAGCCCGTGGTACTGGACGGGGCGTGGCCAGTCTGGTCGACTACAATGTTTCCCTGTCAGTCCTAGAGCTTGCACAACAGCTCGAACCTACCAAGCAAACAAAGCTAGTCGAGTTCATGTCACTGCTCCAACAAAATGAACAAAAGAACCCTGCAACTGGTGAGACGTTGCTGGTGGACAGTGGAAGGCTGTTCCAAGACTTGCCCTCCTTTGGGTACACTGAATTAGAAAGCTGGGTCCAATTTGGTGGCGCTCACGTAGGTATGTTATTTCAAATTCATGACACAAGCGCAAAACAGAGGGCTCCGAGTCTGACAGAGTGAACCAGATCCCTGCGACCCGGACATGATTCCTGAGCAGAAGCAGCGATTTGCAAACTTGAATGCTTTTATTGCGCAACTCAGTCAGGCTGCCGACGTGTCAGTTACGCCCCCAGATCAGATCCATCCCTTGGACAAGACGCTCCACGCCATTTGGACGATGCAAAAAGCATTTGAAAACAAGTCTCGTCTTCCTGCGGAGCTCGTCGACACAGCCGCGATGCGTGCCGCGTGCATGTGGTTTATATACGCTTCAGACAGGCTCATGGACAACGTGCGCAGCTTTCGCACGTTTATGGACAGTGCCAGTGCCGGAGCACACAACTCGAGAGAAGAATATGCATCGCAAGGCTACAAGGGATATGCGCTTGGCAGATGGCAGCTTTGGCGGCAGGGCCTCGGTCAAGCACTGGAGGCCTGCAGTGATGAAGAGACAAAGTTGTTGATTGGAGACGCCCTTGCCAAAATGGAAAGTGCAGAGAAAAAAGACTAAAATGATGTTGGAAGGCATCTATGTTGCGATGCGACAAGAACCTAGCCTAGGTAGAAAACCCCTAGCCAAATTCGTGAAACGAATCAACCCCGTTGGAGGTGCGTGTTTGGAATATACCCAATCCATCTACAGCCTCGCAAGCACAAGTGGCCAGATAATTGTCATTATTGTTGATCAAGGTGGTGCATTCCATTGGAGTTCTAAACTGGTCAGAAATGGGCGTTCATTGTTGATGTATTGATCTATGTTGCCTGACTATTTGTTTCAACGAGGGGTAGGCTTTATTTGGGCGGCCCCGGCTAAGTCCCAGGAGCCCCATACACTTATCTAGACGCTATGGCGTAGCTGTGCATGACTTGCTCAGGTGTCGTTGCTTCACCAAACCCCAGGCCTGGGCTCAGTTCCCACTATAGAGCTACCCTATTATACGTGCACTATCACAAAAGCCTAAAATTGACCAAGATCAAAATAAAAGATCCAATCTCAAGAGGAGAAAAATGATACACCCTGTTACTTTTTTTTCTTGGTATTGTCTTTCTTTTGGTGGGCTCATAGCCAAATGAAGTGGAAAAACCAGGGCAAGCCTTGGTTGACTATTAGGTAGTCACGACGAGATGGAAGCTACCAATGGTTTGCTGGGTTAGCAAGCCCCTGCTGAACGGCAGTCACAATGTATTGCCTTCATGTCTAGCGGCCTTATCCACGATTACCATTCTGCCAAAAGCCCTGCGCTAATGAATGTTGTAAGAAGACCCCGCGACTTTCATTTATAGTGTACATCACCACCATGCAGTCCCCCTGCAGTCCCCGAGCGGTCATTGAGGCTGAGCTGCAATGTACCCATGCTTAGAGCACAATGCGCAGGCTGATTACAGTGTATGTACGAAACTGCGATGAAAAGAGGCAGCAGTCCGAACGCTACTCACTGCAGAATGCAACTTTAATTAACCTTGATACTCAGCTGTGTTGTAGGTCACAGATTTGCAGCAAACCCTCAAGCCAATGTATATATTTGTTATGCACCCCTATCCCCCGCATTGCCCCTTCCATGTGAAGTCGCGTTGAATCAGGAAGTCTCCCCACAAAATGTACCCTCTGATTTCCCTTGTAGTTCTAGATCTACGAGACGCTCGCCGCCTCACATGGCTCACGAAGTAATTGAATTACACCAGTTGAACAGGCCGCGTGCAACATCAGCCAAAGGAACATATTCGGACTTGGCGCTGCCACCCGACCATATCCGTTTGCTTGACCTGCACAACGCCCCCAACGATGCCCCATTGACGGGTATTCTGCGAGTCGAGCGGCTCACCAACCTGTCCACGTACAAGACTCTGTCGTACCAGTGGGCCAAGGAGACGTCACAGGGCGCTACAATTCGATGCTCGCTACAAACCAATGAACCGCACATTGAGCTGCACATTACGACAAATTGTGCACAGGCCCTGCAATTCATTCGCCGAGAATTTGGGTCGGTAACGATTTGGGTCGATGCGATTTGCATCAACCAAGATGACGACAAGGAAAAGGAAAACCAGATCCCGTTGATGGGCAAGATCTACAGCCAGGCTGAGACCGGCTTTATTTGGCTTGAGGGAGATGGTGACCAGTTTCGTGATGCCGCCCATGAGCTCCGGCTGCGATCCGTAATTCACAAGCGGCTGCCGCTAGCTTACCTGGCAGCCGATGCAGGGGAGCAAAGACAGCTTGAGCTTGATCGTTGGAGACAGAGGTGTCTGGATGATGTCTTCGGTAAGTGATAGCGGTTATGCAACATCGATTAACCGGAGGCTGATACGATTTTCATTCTTTAGCACGGGATGGACTTGAGGATCACGCACACTACTCGTTTGAAGACTCCGGAGACGCGCGGCTACAGGTACTGTTTGAGCATATGTGGCTGAGTCGTATGTGGACATTTCAGGAACTGATTCTCTCGCGCAATCCACTCTTGCTCTTTGGCAACAGTATCATACTATGGGAGGAACTGGTCAACGCTATTCTCGTTACACCGCAAAAAGTTGACACTAAAACTCATTGGCAAACACTGATCCAGTTGTGGTTGGACTTCCCGCGACATCGCCATATGGAACAGGCGCTGTCACACCCCGAGGAAAGGGATGCAGCTGTTGAGAACGGGCAAGCGGTCGTCACAGATCTATACACATTCCGCAGCCTCATTGAATTCTCTCCAGAAAAAAATATCAGCACGCCTTGGCAACATATCCTGCTTCGTTATGGTAGAAAAGGTGCTAAATTGTGCCTTTGGAACTTTGGCCGCTGGCTTGTACTCATGGTGCTGTTACTCGTAAATCCGATTTTATTGGGTTATTTTGTTACCAACAGCGGCTCCGGCAGATTCCTTCACCTTGGTATAATCTTTCTTCTGTTCTGGGTCGGGTCCCTCTTTCCCATTGCTCGGTTGGCGATTATCAATGCACGGAGAATGTCTTTCTGGCAGCTTCTTCATGGAATGAAACGACCAGAGCCACGACGACGGAAGTTGTCTTCCAACTCGACAAATACAATTGTTATTAGCGCCATCTGGACCACGCTAAGAATGCGCAGGTGCTCTGACGACCATGACATGGTGTATGCGCTAGCCGCTATTCTTGAGGCTTATGGTATGGTTATGCCGCCGCTAGAGTATTCTCAAAGTATCAAGACGTCCTACCAGGCTTTCTTTCAATGCATCCTTTCATTGGAGCCGCGCGCGATCCAAATGATCGTTGATGCTAGTGTGGAAGACCCGTCAAAAATGGCTTGGTCATCATGGCTTCCGGATTGGAGGATGCCAGAAAAGAACAATTGGCTTTTCAACGAGCACGACGCAAAACACACTTGGATCCAAGACTTCCCCCAGTATTGTCAATCACCTGCCGTCATTGGTGATCGATTGTCCGTTACCGGAAAGGAAGTCGACAAAATTGTGGAATGTTTTCATTTCACAGCCGTGAATCTTGACGATCAGCAACTCGTCCTCGCTAATTTGAGGGTGTTACTAAGATTTATGCAGAGTGTGCATAACAGGGCAGCTTATGGAATGGATCTGTATTATCGTGGGGCTATACTTGCCGTCTTGAAAGGCCTTTTAATGCAACCCGTCGAGACAACAGTCCGAGAGAGTATACCGGATGTCCTTAATGGACCTTCAGCAAGAATGTTAGTTTTGGATGAAATCATAGCTCCCTTTAATTTCGAAGCTTACCGAAAGGACTTTTATGATTTCAAAAGGCTAAATGGTCTCACGCATAGCTTTTGGGAACGCAACGATCCAATTACTCAGTACGACCCAAATATGGATATGCAAGAATTAATACGCGAGGTCCAAAACGACGGAGCTGCTGTTGGATTCATGTTACGAATGGCGAACAAGCTCGCGGAGCAGAAGCGATGTGTTTTCGTTTTGTCGTCTGGTGCAGTCGGCTCTGGACCGCACTTTTCCGCCGCGGGAGACGAGGTCTTAGTGGTACCAGGCGTTTCCAAGCACTTGGTCGGCCGAAAGAAAGAAAGACAGGGTACCTATCGCTTTATAGGCCCTGGGCTGGTGCATAGTATTGTTGCAAGGGACACGCTTGTAGGTGGACAATATAAAGACTTCGTTTTTGAATAAAATAAATGAATATTATGCCTATATATGACTCAGAGCTATATTTTATTGACCGTACTGAGTCTTCATCGCTGGGAAACAAATGTGTTTAATCAAGGACCAGTCGAATATGGAATGCTTCTTGAGAGAATTGTGGTCAGAATGACAAAGCATGTAAAAATGTTTTATCTTATTATTTCATGTGATCAGATGCTAAGGTTTGCAATCGCGCAACACAAATAAGCCGTTTCGGCCGGCAGCCATATGCATCCAATAAAAGTGGCCTACTCCGGATCTGAAATTATGCGGCTGGTTTCTTGCCCACCATCAGATACATGGGCGTGAACAACCTTTCCTTTCCACCAGCGACAAGACAGTCGGCCGCACGGGCTAAACTCTCTCCTGTCTTCTTTGTGCCTGGAGGTGCAAGTCTCACGGTTTCCAAAGCGCCAGAGAGGTTGTGTGCCATCCAGCGTCCCCACTTGGTCATCCTTGCGATGGTTGGTACATCCCAAATGCTTTGCAAATAGGACCAGTCTCCTGCAAGTGGCCAATACCACGGAATGGGATCAGGACGTTCTGCCAGATCTTCATGATGAAGCACTGTGAAACCTGCCATATTCATTGCCTCCAATCCTTCTGATATCTTGACCATATTGGCGATGCCGTCTCCTTGCTCGATTCCAAGGCGGATCTCTCGATGACGCAGATTGTCGTGATCGTAATTGTCAGTCATAAGCCATTCATACACCCCGAATACTCCGCCCGGTTTTAACACCCGCAAGATTTCTGCGTAAACACCCGCCAACTGTGGAGCATGGACAGTTGCTTCAATCGCATAAACGGCATCAAAGCTGTTATCGGGAAATTCCATTTGCATAAAATCTCCCTTGACGAACTTGAGCTGACTCGCGAGCCCATCTCTTTCGGCGTAAATGGTGGCGCGCTGGAGCTGATAATCATTGTTATTCAGTCCAGTAACATGGCACCCGGTAAACTTTGCAATCTCACGGGCTGGGCCTCCAACACCACAACCAACATCAAGGACCATCATGTTTTCCTTGATGCCTATCTGCGTGGCAAGATAGTGTTCGTGACGCGCGATAGCCTGAGAGTACGACTCTCCGATGGAATATCGAGCGAAATGGAACGACTGTCCCCATCCGTATTCGTAGAGATCCGTGGCCAAGTTGTAGTACTGCCTCGTGAGGGTGGCGTATTCGGCTCGTCGCTTCTGCAAGTACAAGGCTTCGTCAATTGGCTTTTCTTAGAATATTTACTGGATCAAAAAGGATGAAGAATGCTATTTTAGCCAATCTTGAATCAGAACCTACGCTTCGGTGCTCTTCGGTCTCGTCCTCTGCAGCTTGGTTGTCCCAGTGCTTGAAGTATTCATCCAGAGCGGCCTGTTTCGCGCTGCGGTCTTTGCCAAACATGGCCCGCACACCACCACTGACTGCTGCAGAATTTCCATGCAAGGCTTTGTTGAAAGCGGCATCACGAGCCCTGTCTTGAGTTTCGAGCATGCTATTGCCTGCCATTTTGAATAAATATTCAGCCTGAGCGAACAAATGCTGTACACCAAGAGAAGGAAGTGGCCAGAATATCCAATATTTAAGTACTCAAAACAGTCTGTAAAAGAACTAACCTTTCTCACTCTTTCAGTTCTTCGGATTCGTAATTTCCTATATCGTATACGATGCATAGTCATGGCGGTTGCAAAAGCCGCGTAGCCTTGGTCACACGAATACGAATACGGGGAACGCTACAACTTCGTGCTCGGAAACCGTTTCTCAGTCACGTGACCGTGTTTAAATTCGACCAATTTGTATGATTAAACGTCCCTGGGCATTGATCTCATTCATCGCATATTTAATAAACATTCTGGCTTTCTCTATTTCTCTTTTTTTTTTCCTAGAACGCCTCTACTAAAGAATTCTTGCCGTGGCGAGATAATGCGGTGGCATGTACCATGTGACAAAGCATGTCGTATCGTGCTGTCGTCTCCAACATGTATAGTGATACCCTTTCTATTCTTGAGTCAATTGAAGGACTTGGTAGCTAACACTTCGTCCATCTCAAAGCAACCACTAGTACTCTGGTCACATCCATACCAACGACGGCTTTACAAAACCCAAATTGCACTTGTTGGTATCAAGCTGAATTCGATTCTACCTGCGATACTTTTCTTGTATGCTACATCTTGGAAATGGAGACAGTCTACGAATTAGACACGACCGTCAAGGCCGATTGCAGTGGTCTGATTGCAGGCACTTATTACTGTGTCGAAACCATAGCCACCTCTAGTTAGACCGAGGATATTGGCGACGGAGACGACAGCAACGATGACGAGAACGACGATCAGCTGCGGATATAATGGCGTATTCGCCACGCGAAGGCTTCATCTGCGCGCTTGATGAGATGGGGCCAAGACTGTAATTTGCCAAGCCGTCTTACACGTTGCCGGAAGTCATTGCATCGTACAAGTAGGGCGGAGAAGAATCAGGTCTTACGTTGGATGGCTCATGATCCTTTATCGAATTTGTCTGTTTAGTATCTGCCCAGTCCATGTAGACTTGGCTTATATGCAACTGAGGCGAGCTCCCAGAGCGTGTCTATAAGTAGTCTGGAACACCCCGTTCAGAAACTCAGTTTATCCTCTTTTGCATCACATCACTCTCAACTCTTTTCTCAAAAACACCAAGCATCGCAAGTCCAACTTGGCCCATCCCAAAACAGCAAAAATGCGCTCCTTCGCCATCCTCTTCGCCGTTGCCACCACGCTGGTGGCAGCCTCACCGGCAGCGGATCTCTCGGACAGAGCTCCAGCCAGTGTTCTCTGCCCCTGTGCTGCCACAGAGTCTTGCGGCTGCAACTCTGTCATTGCCGGCTCGTGGTGCGTCTGTTCCGGTACCTCGGCCGGGACTTGGAATGCTGCACCTTGCCAGAATGGCCAGACCTGTGGCTGCGGCTCCCTGGGTACTTGGGGTGTCTGCGAGGTATGTTTATCTCTTGCGCCTCATGAAACTGCTCCAAGATCTAGTTTGACTAATATGGGTTAAAAGCTTCTTGAATGAATGCTCCCTCGGAAGGAATTGTGACGGTTAAGTTGATTGATAGTACGGTCATTACTTTTTGGAGATGCTGTTCCAAATATAGTTTACAAGTAGGGGGGATGTTTTTCAACAAAGCTTCAATTACTCCTGATCAATCATGACTCATGTGATTTTTAATTCATGTTCTCTGTCTCCTAGTCTCTGCACTTCGCGGGCGTATTCGGGTGCTCCCGGCTTACCATTGAAAGCGCCCTGCACCCACGCAAAGCCACGCTAAGTCTATGGACATCGTTGGTGTGCTTCAGTATGCACTCATCTCTGACAATTGCCCATGCTTAACTAGGAGTACGGCACATATCTGTAATGTAGTAGGCACTGGTGGCTGTTCATGCAACTCCCATGTGACCATAGCGTAGGTTCCTGTCCACCCTGAACTCTATTATGAGCCGTCGGAAAACTCACAATGGCAGTCATCAATATTTTTGAACAAATGTTTGACAAGCAGAAGATGGGCAATATACGCAGCCATTCAAGGCTGCGTATTCCTTGCTGAATTCCCGTTATTCGAGCTGACCAGCCCAGAAATTTGGCGAATACGCAAAGGTGTTGCGTATTACCTCATCTCTAGTAAGTGGCGAACCCGAAATGCGAACCCAAAGTACGAACCCAACGACTGTCGATCTGATCCCGCATCGCACGCTGTAAGGGATGCTTTACGTGGCTGGTCTAGACAAATCATTCAGGGCTACTATTCGCGCTAAAGCTCGAGTGTGCACCGTATCAATTTGGATTGCCAATATATACCAAATCCCAGCAGTTACACTTGACTGCATCTTCTGGATACAATGGTGTTGATCAGTGTGCTGTGGCCTGTGCATCGGCTGATTTTGGCACTAAATTCCAGTTATACACTTGTCCGGAGTGTTACACTTACTGTGTATGCTCCTTGTGCACAGAGGTCAAAAAAAGATCTGGAAATTGCCAACACTTGCTTGATTGATTCTGTGACTTTGGCAGACGAGTCTCACCATAATTATAAGATTTTTCGAGCAGATGGGCACTCATATCATACAGCTGTACCGTCTGTACTGAAGCGTTCCGCTCTTAGGGCGGGGCGGTCTTTTCTAGCGCCGACAGCTGCCGCAGCCCAACGCTGATCAATGTCTCGCCGTCTTGAATATCGCGAACCATCATTGTAGATCATTCCTTGCTGCACTGAAAATCAATTTGTTTTAATATGTAAGTTTGGTTCATGAGTTGTAGTCTCCATCCTCGACATAATAAGTGCGACTCCTATAATATATCGCGAGAATTATCCTTGTTTTTCTTTATATACATTTACCTAGTCGCTTAATAGTTGTTGAATAATACCATTGTACCATAGAACCAAAAGAGACATGTCCCCACGGTCTGGGAACATAACAGGTATTATCTAACACACCCCCTCAGCTGGGACATAGTTCTTTACGGGCGAGCTGGACATCCAGTATTCCAATAGGCTCTTAGCTCCGTTACGTCTTTTTAGCTGGATAACGTAGCTGGGGATCGAACCCAGAACCTCCCCTCATTCGGTGCACTACCAGTTATGCTACTAGGTTATCGCGGAAGTGCGTAGGTCGCCAACCCACTGGTTAATGCACGGGTGGCCCTTGCGAGCGAATGAGACTCTTAATTGTTGAATAATACCATTGTACCATAGAACCAAAAGAGACATGTCCCCACGGTCTGGGAACATAACAGGTATTATCTAACAATAGTGTTTAAAAACATGCTACACTAACCCTATATAAATCTGTGCACACATCTATTGTTGATCAAGGTGGTGCTTTCCTATTGGAGTTTAAACTGGTCTGATATTAGTATTAATTATGTGATGTATTAATTTATATTCTGCGCTTTTAATTTTAACGAGGTATATATTTATTTAGGTGGCCCCGGCTAATCCCCGGGAGGTCCCGTATATCTATTTAGACACTATAGTGTTAATCCGTGTGCTTAAGCATACCTTAATATATAAAAACCATAACCTACCATCTAATACACCCCTTTAAATCCACGATTTATCGTAGATTTAGCTATATTTAAATTAAAGTTGCTAATTAGCAAAATATAGCTTTTTTGGGGTTATTCGTTTTAATTACGATAAACAATTTTAAATCCTATTTATTATAAAAAATTCTGCTATTTGCCTATTAGCAAGCTTTTTGTTAATTTATTTATTATTATTTTATTTAAAAGTTTATAAATAACTTTAATCCTTTTTTTAAGTTTTTTGCCGCAGCTAATAGTTATAAATATTTATATAATGGAATTTTATTTTTAATAACGCGATTTCGGCATTAATTAAATTAATAATTTGCTTATTATTATATTTAATAATAATAATATTATTATTTAATTATATCGATAATTTTTTTAATAATCGATTAACGAATAATATTTTTTAGCAGCTTATATTAGCGTAAATAACTTAATTTTTATAATAAAAATAATAATTATATTTTATTTATTTAATCGCTAACTAATTAATTTTCCGAATAGTTTTATAGCGAATATTTAGGTATTTTTACGATTAATACTATTATCGGCAAATAATACGTTATTGGCAATTATTAAATTAGCGGATTTTTTAATTTTAAGCGAAAATTCTTTAATATTAATTAGGTAAATTAAAGCTTGATTAGCAGTTTTTTAATATGCTTAATTTAAATTATTAAGGAATCGAATTAATTTAGCTATTACGAATATAATATTTAATTTTGTAAATATAGCCGCGAATAATAATAATCCGATTTTTTTTTAATATTTTTATATTTTATATAGGAGCGCTATAATTAATCGAAGCATAAATTTTTCGTAACCTATTAACGTCGCATAAATTTTTTATTTATTTATAAGTTTAGCGATTTTTTTAAAATAAGCTTTTTAAGATAATTAAATTATTCTAAATATACGATTTTTAATTATTTTTATCCCGAAGAATTATTATATTAGCTCGCTATTATTAATTTTATATTTTTTTATAAAATATTATATTAAATAATTAATAGCTTTTTTATTTTTATTCCTATATATAATAATTATATTATTAATATAAAAAAAAAATTAGCATTTTTTTTTTAATTAAATGCGTAAAGCTTATATAGTATTTAGGTATAACCGATTTCGGCTAAAGTTTTTATAAACTTTTTTTATTATAATAGCGGTAATATCCGTAATTTATAAAATGCTTTATTTAATATTAATATAATATTTTTTTTTCGATATTTATCCGGCATTTTTATAAATATATTTTAATTAATAAAAGCGTATATAAATATATTTATTATATTATATTATATTAATTTAAAATCGAATTTTGCTACGATCGCGATTAGGGTGCAAAATAATTTTTTAGCTAATATAGCCGCGTAAATTTTCTAATTTTAAAATTTCGCTTATTAATTACCGCAAACGATAAATTTTATTTTATACTTTTAAAATCT